GAAAGTTGTCTCAAATTGAAGTCCTAGAGTTTCATCAGCACGCTGCTCCTTGTATCCTGTAAACAGGCTTTATAAATGGGACCATTGGCATCTAAGTCACGCAAATTGATGAGAAAAATTTGATAACGAAAGAATTTAGTTGTACAGGACCATCTCACAAGACTGCTCCACTGTTCATGCTCATTACTTTGATCCTTAAAGGGTTGGGATTCCAGCTCCATTTCCGGGGTTTGACCTGGATAAGTACTTTTTCACACGAAACGATTCAAAGATAGATCACACGAAACGATTCAGACGAATCGATTGATTCAAAGGACTTTGAAACTTCAAAGTAATCGAAACGATTCATTCAAGTGCGAAACGAAACGATTCATTCATTCATTCATTGCGACGGACGAAACGATTCATAACGACTTTTTTGCTTCAGTAATGCCCCAGCTCAGGGGTGCGGGGAAAGCTGTTTAGTAGTCAAAGAAGTCGAGAATATCAATCCACAAAACGGTCGATTGACGGACGAGTTGCGGAGGGTCCAGGCTGAAAGCGAAGATCTGCATCAGATTGGATATTATACAATTATAAAGTACTCGTAGTAACAAAGTACAAAGGTATATATTTTAAATTCAGTTCTTATCAAGAATTTTATGAAGAAAAAGAAACAGGGAATTGAAAAATTGAATCGCCATGACGTTTCCAGAATGACACATGGGGAAAGACAAAGAGTTTTCGAAGCTGGCAATGGTTCGCCGGCAGCAATGTATGTATGTATGTATGTAGGTATGCATGTATGCATGCATGCATGCATGTATGTAGATATGTAGGTACTGTAGGTACTGTAGGTACTGTAGGTACTGTAGATAGTGCAAAAGATGTGCAAGAAATTGCCACAGGAACAGAGCATCAATCATGGAAGTCTTGACAAGTGCTCGTGGACTTGTTCTGCAGTCCAGCGCTGCTGAGGTGCAACCTGAAGCATCCCATCCAAGAGTTGCAAGTAGGCAGGATTCAGACCCATGACAACTTGCGTTGCTCGTTGCAGGGTGAAGCTCTGTCCTTCATTGAGATCAGGATCCATGAGGACTTCCATCATACGCTCGTTGAACGTAGTGGATGCAATTCCACGGGCAAGAACAAAGTAGCGGAATAGAATGCTGTTGAAGTGCGGATGCTCGTAGAGCACTTCGCCAGTCAAAAGGTTGAATAGGATCACAGCCGAAGACCACAAGTCGCATCCATAGGCACTGAATGGGAATTGCATAAAGACTTCGGGTGGGAGGTAGGCAGGTTTTCCAAAGGTACTGGACCTTTGGACAATATCATTATCATGTGGAACACGGAAGGACATCGCAAGATCAGTCAAGACGACCCGACCTTGATGGAGCATACAGTTATCTGGTGAAAGGTCTCGGTGGCAAATTCCGTGAGATCGCAAGTAGAACAAGTTTTCCAAAATTTGTTCATAGTACTTGCGGACCTGACCTTCTTCCAATCCGGCTCCGCTCATCCATGGAATACATTCCACCAGAGACTCTTCTTCACAGAATGGCATAACGATGTAAAGATAAGTTTCATCTTGAAGAGCATCAAAGCAGCCTAGGACGTGGATATTATCTCCTAGGGTTTGCATACGTAAAAGTTCCACATAAGGATTTTCTTTCTTTCCCTGTAGCAATGCTTCGTTGACTACTCGTTTGTTGAGACGTTTAATGGCCACGAATGAAACAGTCTCAGGAGAAGGTTCCTGATACATGCCATCGTCCACTTGAGGAAGGATGATACCAAAGTACACTCGTCCCCATCCGGGTGCATGGTGATCCAGATCCTTGTATGGTTTTGATGGGATTATATCATAAGCACAGGGGTGCTGAGGAGAAAGAATAGACAAGACTTGTCTTCTTGGAGGAGGTGCAGGATCGGAAGATGATTCCACAAATGGCAAGACATATACTTCCTGATCTGTTTGGCAACTCAAGATGCGAGGAATCTCTGGCTCTTCAGATGGGATATGTATCCGATAAGCGGTGTCTTCTAGAGGGATATTGACAGCTTGCATGTTTGAATGAAAGTAACGAGCGTTTGGAAGTTGCTGGAGGGAAAAATGGACAAAATCGAATTCATTTTGTTTGCGAGTGAAGCAAAAAGGAAAGGAAAGAGTGAAGAGAGAGTCGTGGTTAGTTGATGCGATGATTGCAAAAGCTGATAACGTCAGGAAACCATGGGGTTATGTCTCTTACCTGTCTGGTGTTACCTTGCATACGGTCGATTGAAGTGTATGTTTCAATTGTGACGGTGGGTTTCAGGTTTCCACATATTGCTGATGATGATAGTATTTTGTCTGAGAGTCAGCCAAGCTTATTTTAACTCGGTCCACGTTTCAACATGTCATATGGTAGAATTTCTACAGGAATTCGTACTGAAGAATATGAAAGCAGCACTCTCGCATGATTTCAGTTGATTCATTCGATTGATTGAATTTTTGTAAATCTGTCGACATCATCATCATCATGCAAACCGGTACCTGGTACCGCAGATATTCATTTTCATATCTCATCTTTGATTTGGTTGATTTCCGATACAACCGACCAAGACTATCTGGATTGATTACCCAATATACTCACTGCTACAAGCAGTCACTGATGGATGATATACTGAAATTTTGTTCCATCAGAAAGTCAGAAGGATTGATTCCTTGGTTTCTACCATTTGATCCGAGCTGCGAGTCGATGCTCTGTATGAGAGCGCTGATGTTTCATCCAAGATTGATTACTAGAAGTAGGTAATATTATGAATGAAATCACATATATTTGCTTCATTTTACCACTACTGAAGCTGATTGACAAAGCATAGGATGCACAATCTGATGATACGCCCAGAAATTCAGTTTGGAAGGATGGATGTAAGGACTATATGCCGATATGACATAGAGCACCGGAATAGACCAGAAAGGACCTGCCGTACGAATACAAGGAATCCCACAAATAAGTGCCTTGCAACACAGAATACTCAGTCGAAACAGAAGGTATTCATGGCACAGCATTTTTCGTATACTACATCCTAGAAAGTTACCGAGCAATAGCATTCAATGCCGCCATCCAATAAGGCTGCTAGCCCTACCACATCGACTCGAAATCATTGCCCGTTCCATCACTCTTCTTCATCATCTTTTTACGAGTTCGGAAGACCTGCTTCACTTTTTTCTCCACTTCCGCAAAGTCGCTCTCTACCCAACCACCATCGGCCTTCTTTAAGAATCTCATACCATCCTGCAGCAAGATACGAGTAAGTTCTGTGGGAGTATTTACTCGTTTGTACCTCTGGGCATTATTGTAGTCGTCTTGATACACCTTTAGAAACTCGCGAAATCGGACGTTGCCTGGATGCCTCTGCGAGCCACGTCCCCTCCCCAACAACACATCATTTGGACTCGGTTCGATGATCAAGCCGTTGGTAGCGCTTGCACTATTGGAGCGGGCCGCATTATGAGTTGTCGTACTAGACTCGACAATCTGTGCCTCCGTCTGCTGTGCGCTCAAAGAGGAGCCCACGTCACTCAGCAGTATGGCCCAATTGTCAACAGCGTGGTCGTTTCCCGTGGCCATCATTTCCTTTGAATCATCCCGTTCAGACAATGAAAGTGTGCTTTGACTGGCAGAAGCAAACTTGCTTCTGTTATATTGACCAACATACTTGTCGACCCAGACATTCAGAATGTCCCGCCGAAGATTCCCGGCAGTGTCCACTGGAAAAGTTTCTAGCTTCAGGCCGTAACTCCTAAGCGAATATTGGAGCTCAATATCGGATCCATAATGCAGCCGAGCTCTGGTACTTGCAGACCGTTGAAGATTTCTAAATATACTCTCGAGAATAAGGTTTGTAGCTGCAAGACGTCCAGGAAAGGCTTTGAGACAAAAGTGCATAGCAGAGCGACGAACAGGAATATTTTTCACAAAATCCATTGTCTTGAGTACGCGATCCAGTGAAGGCAATGGCACTTGTCTATCTGGTGTTGAGAAGTCGTAGTAACAAAAAACAAACCCTTTCGCTTGGACCGATGGCATTGAACTCAATATATTGAAATAAATGAAATACACCACGCGTATCTGTAAGGAGATGAAAGAGGCAGGCGGTTTTCAGAGTGAATACATAACATTGTGAGCTTCGAAACGATGGCATTACTTACAACTGAGTTTGTATTCATTCGCTCCAACGTGTGTTTCATAAGGTGTACCACCAATCTACCGTTTCGGTCTGTGTCGTCTTGAATATGGTATAGACCAGATAACATCACTTCAACATCCTCCTTATCCAAGTCATTCAAGGTAATGTCGCGAGCAACCTTCTCTCTGCCAAAATATGTCTCTTTGCAACTCAAAAAGCCAATCATTTGATTGACAGACTGATTTGCATTGTGATCATTTACCCTTAGAAATCGCAATCGGAACTCGGGATCTTCCACGTAAGATCGATTTTGGCTTTCAGCCAAGTTGTAAATTGCTTCATCTCTTTCTCGCAGAACTCGATCGAACTCCTCGAGGGATCCCCGAACCATTTCGGGAGTTTCCTTCAACTCTTCCCCAACACAGTGTAACTCATCCAGAGCCTTGGATCGTTCCTGAGCTGATAATTTGTTCATTTCCGAAGCGAGAAAGTCTTCCGTTGATTTCATCTCGGGTCGAGTATCATACTGGGGGATACGGGGCGGAGAACCATGCTTATCACAACCAAAGCAGCTCTGAAAGCCCCCCGTATTTCGCATGCCAATGTTCGGATAAGATGGTGAAGATGCCATCTTAAATTAGGCAACAAGAGGATCAATGGCATATACCATTCAGCAAAGATGCTTTCTTCGAGAATCCACAAGAATTCTTACTTTGCGATGGGTCCCGATACGCGGGTACAGCTGTGTGCCCACCTTCATGCATGAAAGACTGCCAAGAACACACCGGGAGTCCGTAAACGATTGCATGAGCGAAAATTCAAAATGAGCCGGCAATGAACACTTATTGCACTCATGCGCCACTGGAAATTTTACGTTAGATGAAATGAGAACGTACCTAATCCTTTCTATAACGAATTCATATGACCACCCAAGATGCTCTTGTATTTATTTTTTTTAATTTTAAAAGACTTTGAACATATATAAAATAACACAAGGGTTGCGAACGCAAAGTCTGTTTATTATCAAATTTTCTCTCACAAACAATTATGCGCCACTGCTATATAGATATTTTAGGACTGGTAGGACTACCGGTACCGGTAGGACTACGGCAAATATATTTGTGTATATTTGCAGTATTTACCGTCTGTACACTTGTACATCCTGAAGAATCAATTCGACGTAGTCGATTACTTTCCTACCAAAATAAAAAATAAAAACGTTGGACCTGCGTACCGGTATATTATTCGTTCCACATCATCCAACCCGCAAACTCGCACATTGCACTTATAGTATTGCCCATCTACTTCCAATTGGTATTAACCCAAGATGATCACTACAGCAAACCGACGGTGTATAATCTCTCTTGTCATAATTCTGGTGAAACTTTCATCTGCCTGTCTAGATGCCTTTACCATCTCTTCTGCAGTCAAGGCACATCATTGTTCACATCCATCCATTGAATCCAAACCGTCCATCCAATCTCTGAAACAAGGAGAGAACCAATACACTTCCCATCTCTACAACGCACGATTATCCTATCTGACTCTACGAGCTGGCGCTGTGGACAACAATGCTGACAGTGAAGACCGAGACCGATTGTCCGTTTCCAAAATCGCTCAAGGCGTGAACACTTGGACCCAAAAGAATTTCTTCCTGGCAGGACTCGTTGTGGTGCTTGGCATGGCCAAGCTGTTTCCATCATGGGGTGTCAACGGATCATTCTTACGCCCCGAGCTAACCGTCGGCAAGTATGGAGTTGGTCTAATTTTCCTACTTTCAGGCCTTTCCTTGCAAGGATCCGAGCTGACCAAGGCCGTAGCCAATGTCAAGCTGAACGGATTGATTCAAGCGGCAATATTTCTTGCTTGGCCCTTTTTGGTGGGATCACCGCTCAAGAAAGTGCTAAATGTCTTTCAGGTGTTACCTCCGGGACTTGTCGACGGCTTGCTCATCCTGACGTGCTTGCCCACTACGGTAAACATGTGCATCATGCTCACGACGGCTAGTGGTGGAAACGTTGCAACATCAATTTGCAATGCTGTCATCAGCAATATGGCTGGGATACTAGTCACTCCCGCACTGTTGCTTCATTTTTTTGGGACCAGCATTCAATTGCCCTTTGTTCAAATGGTAGGAAAACTTTGCCAAAAGGTTCTTCTTCCAGTTGCCATTGGTCAAGCACTGCGAGCGACCAAGGCAAAGGAAGTCTATGAAAAGAATTCCAAGGCATTCAAAAGACTGCAAGAAGTCATCTTGTTGGGAATCGTTTGGAACGCCTTTTGCACCGCTTTCACAAGTGGACTCGGATTGAAATTCCATCATACTTTGATTCTATTGACTCTCCTACCAGCTTTGCACCTCGGATCACTTGTATTCCTATTCAAGTTCTTTTCCATCAAGACTTTGGGATTCTCACGAGATGAAATCGTGGCAGCCATCTTTTGCGCCTCGCAAAAGACACTGGCCTTTGGTTTGCCCCTGATCAACACCATTTTTGAAGGAAATCCAAACTTGGCTTCCTTTGTGGCACCGCTCATGTTTATCCATCCCCTGCAAATGACGCTAGGATCGATTCTAGTACCAAGGATATCAAAGTATACCAGTGGGGATAAGAAAATATAATAAGTAGGGTGTTATAGTTACGTCCGACATACGGTACCTATATATACCGACAGTTTTGCATTTGGATTGATGGCGGAAAGTCTGCTCATCTCCCGTCCCCTACCAAATAATAATACCATCACATCCATCAAATTATTTTCATTCCCCTATATTTCACATGCAACAACACAGAGAAGTGCCGTATCCGGTCATGACAACAATCAAGACTGCAACCGCACAGGATCTTTGCACCCAAGCACGTTCAATCTGGCTCGAAGCATCTTCTATTGAAGAACTTGATCAAGTAGAGCAACTTTATCGACAAGCCCTTAATTCCAAACAACAATCAAATAAAACTACCCATGATGGTCGTCCACTCAAGAAAAAGAAGAAAAGGACAGCCATTGCAGAGCTGAGCGCTGTGGAATATCGAAAGGCAGGAGAACGACTATCGCTGCTATACTGCCAATCGGGAAGGGCGCAAAAGGCGAAAAAAGGACTCGAGTATCTCGGGTTCACATGCCGGCTTTCCCAGCAGGTTCTGGATTACCCTCTGCCCTCCAAACACAATGGAAAGAGTCGAAAACGTACAGCCACGAAGCAAAGCCACTCAAAATCTGCACCGCCGTGCGTCATATACGACAATTTCTTGTACGACGAAGAGCTGGAGCACTTGAAGGCAATATTTGGCGACCCCAAGGCGAGTTACTGGTCATCACACAGCTACCAAGTGGAGCCACCTAGTCCTTACTTTTCCTATGTACTACCATTATTGCCGAAGAGCAACCGTCGCTCCAAGAGTTTTATTGATCAGCTGGTCCGAAAGGTATGGAGGCTTCCACAACTAAACAGTAAATTTCCAGACCTGTCTCATGCAACACATGTTGAGATGTGGGCTCATAATCGACCCCATGCGTCTGGCCACCAAATGCATTTCGATAGCGACGATGAAGGACGGGGAGGAGTCCGCAATCCAATCATCTCCACTATATTATACATTTCTGCTGATGGTGGTGGACCTAGTCTTGTGACGAACCAACGATTGGACTCGTCAAATTTGGCACACAAAGGATGGCTTGCCCATCCAAAAACGAAACGACTGGTGGCTTTTGATGGTCGTGTTTTGCATGGTGTCGTACCAGGAAAGGGCTTCTCTCGGCAGAAAGGTGGCAGAAGAGTAACTCTAATGTTTGCCTTTTGGAAGCACATCAAGGTCCGGGACGAAGCAACGCCTGGTTCGTCAAGACCTTTTCCAATCGAGTCCGAGGATCAATGGGCAGCAGGCTTGCTTGATGACTCCCTCACGCTCAAGACCGGGGCAAGTGCGGACATGAAAGATCAAGATCCGATTGAAATCGATGCGGTATACGAAAATTTGGACGGTCGACATTGGACCCGACATAATGACATGCCAGACTACGAACAAGTCTTTCAGGGATTCTGAGCAAAGCTGGCATCCTCCTTGATGCTGACAGTCTACCGGTACACTATACTTTACCAGGCATGAGCTGCTGTACCACCAGGATTTTAGTAAAGGTACCAGGTACGGATCTACCGCAGCTGAATTGTACTGTATGGTACTTCTGTAATACTGGTATCGGTGCAGTAAATCGATCCATAAAGGCCTTACACTACTGGGCTATTTGTTGGGGTCAAGAATGTCTCATTTTTAAAAGCTGTGGGTTCGGCTGAGCATGAACGTTAACGCTTCTTCCTGATTAGGATACCCGAAGCGCCCTCTTCTTCTCTTAAATCATTTAAAGTGTAATCGGATTCCCCACTTCGAATTTCTTATTCCTTCGTCAGATCTCAGAAATACGGAATGTCGCGGATTCTAAACGTCTGACTTTTTACTTAATGCTATTATTTTCTATTTCGGATGCTAATGATGCAACTCAACCATTTACTTAGCGTTAACACAACATTGATTTTCGTTTTGATGCGGTCGAACTCCCTTTGAGGAACCGGTACCGGAGCTACGTGCTAATAATTCGTCAGCTCATTCAAAATTCCCATTCGACCCTTGAAATGTGATACCGCCCGGCCGGATTCCAAAATCAAGAGTTCATGCACAAGTGATCAACAAGTGATCAAAATGTTCGACTAATTCGACAAAATATTCATTAAGTAATTTTAGACATTCTTCAAATCCGGTTCTGACCCAAAACCGTTTGGGGAAGTTTAGTACCAGAAGGGGGAAGACCTCATAATTTTTTGCTCACATACTAATTCAAGCACATTATTATTCCAAGGAAAGCTCATTACAATCGACGATAGCCAATATGAATAAGCAGATTCCAGAACGTAGCTGTATCAAGAATGAATTTCAAACAATGAAGAGCAATTTCTTCACGAAAAGAGCGGAAAGCCCAACTGCTTCTGGAATTCAATTTCCATGGAAGCTTCACAACATGCTCGACAATGCGGAAACGGAAGGGTACAACGCTGTTGTATCGTGGGATGGAAAGAACGGCTTCAAAGTACATGACAAGGACGCTTTCGTTGCGGATATTGTTCCAAAGTACTTCAGTCAAACAAAATACCGTTCCTTTCAACGAATGCTAAACATGTGGGGATTTCAACGAGTCCGTGAAGGTGCACGAAAAGGAGCCTACATTCACGAAAACTTTCGAAGAGGTGAACCAGATCTTTGCAACCGAATGAAGTGTGAAAAGATCAAGCGAAGACACACCATCCCCAAGACGACCAGCATGAATAAGAACATCGACATGAACACGCTACAAGGGAGCACACCCAAGAATAAGGCCGATGTGGACCTATTCGAAGGAATGACCTTCCACGCTGTCGAAGGTGTACAAGAAGCTAACCTACAAGACTTGAGAAAGATTCCAGATCCTTCATCACGGAAGTTCTCGTCTATGGACTACCTTTTCTTGGACGAAATGCTGAATGTCTTCGACTCGGGAGACGAGGCCCCAGTATTTTGAACCGCTTCTTCATTCCCCCCAGCACTTTCGTTCATTCATAGACACAGCAAGCAATACGCTGCATGTACACTAGCATAATCATAGAGATTCACTTCATTCGTTGCAATCTTTTTCTATCCGCGATCATGGTCGCTTTCTTTTCTACCATGTACGAGTACCCATCAGTGTAAATCCCAATATCATGTACGGTAAGTCATATTATTATGATTGAAATTCTTCGACGTAAAAAAGAGAAAATTGCGCATCCACGCAAAAGGGGGGATCGGAAATGGTGGCGCGTGCACAAAAAAATACTATCTTACTAAGGTACTAATATTACAAGCATCATTTCATCTGTCGTAGTACCTTCAAAGAACGAGACAATGAATATTCAAAATCGGGCTAGATGGTGAAACCATCGTTACTGTATAGCTGCTATGAAATCGGTGTGCATATGGTATTTGTCAGTAGTAGCTACAACCAAGGATACAACGACAAGTCGATCTCAAGCCAACCAGGCGCCAAGCCAGCCATTCATGGGATGTGAAATGGTGGCAGGTGATGAAAATGTATATGTCATATACATTGCATGGTGCCCGCTACTCTATTTTTTTCCTTCACCAGGCCCATACACTCTCGCTATTTTGTCACCCTTCGATACCTCGTGAAACTGTAGATCTTCAAACAAGTCCGAGTACGTCGGCAAAGGCGCCGATTGATTGCTTTGTTGTTTATTCGGATCAAAGGTGTCTGCATGTGGATGATCAACCTTGGCAGTAGTCTTCCTCTTTCCCACCGGTATTATCTGCTTGATTTCACCAAAGGTATCCTCAAAGGATGGCAGAGGTGCTGCTGCGTCTAATACTTTTGCAGCTGGCTTGGTTGCTTTGTCGAATGTCACGACCTTCTTTTCCGCAATCTTGGACGGTGCCGGTTCCACTTCATTGGATGATTCCAAGGCCAGTACGTTGGCCTTGTATTGCTTTGGTTCCTTGGATTTTGCATTGGCATTAGCATTAACATTACCGTTGGCATTAGCACCACCAGGTGTTGGTTTCTTTTTGATTTTTTCGCATTTCATTTTCCCACAGAGCGAGGAATTGCCCCGTTGAAATTGTTCATGATAATAAGCCCCCTTCCTTGGTCCCTCTCGTAATCGCTGAAAGCCCCACATGTTCAGCAATCTTTGAAAGGATCGATATTTGGTTTGACTGAAGTACTTTGGAATAATGGCCTCCACAAAGGCATCCTTGTCGTGCACCAGGAACCCATTGTCTCCGGACCATGACACAATGGTTTCGTAATTTCCTTCTGCAGCATTATCCAGCATAGCATGTAGTTTGAAAGGGAATGGCAATCCTGATGATATTCTCATGCCCACAAAGGAGTTATTCCCTTCAGGTAATGCTACTATCGGCACGACACCTTCCGTTTCCATTCCCGCATTTTGGGGTCGGTTCATTGTTTGAATGCTGAAGTTATGATTGAGATTGATGCTTGGTGATGATGTATTGGCAGCAGGGTCAGAACTAGTCTTTGAGTGGTTGCTCTGCATGATTTATGACGTGGTGTTTATCGTGCTTTTGACAGCGCTCGCATCTATACGGTACCGTTGCCCTTGATTCTTGAGATTATTGTTGCATGCATCCGTGAATGCGATGAGACTACTCTAGCACGTTTTGGCGAAACAATTAAAGTCGGGATCGCAACCAAACCCGAAAAGAGAGTTGAGGTCTTATATATTTGTTAAATTTGGTACCCGGTTATTAAAAAATAGCGAATGGCGAAGAGATATATATAAATATGGATCGGACATTTCGGATCACCTCTGTAAAAGTTCGATCACCAATACCGGGAGTGACAATTCCCTCCTAGGGTGTGACGAGTCAATGAACCAAAAGGAAGCTCGAAAGTTCCAGAACCGCGATTGTTGGTACCGGTACGTAGACGAGGTCTCTGCTCAAGCGAAAAATACCAAGAGAGACAATTTTTCCAAAATTTCTGATCGAAACCAAAACTCTCACATATCAAAAAAAAAATAAGTACTGCTGTGCAAAACAACCACAACCGCAACAACAATGACTACATCTCCCGACACATCTTCCCCAATCAATACTATCACTGCCTTGAACTATGCGGATGTTCAAGTGGACAATGTCTTCAGCATGATCAATACCGTTCACCAACATCCTGGCAATCGTATTTTTGCTAGAATTGTCAACAAGAACCGTCCCATCTTTTTGGAGTCCAAAAACCAACAACAAAAGAAACTTTTGGTCCTATCCATGATCATTGCCGTACAAAAGAACGGCGGACGCTTTGTCCAAAAGAATGATGCTCAAGAATGGGTTGCCCTCGGCAACAAGGAGGCCTTCGGATTGATCATTGAAGCCTTGAAGCTTGTCGGAATGCCACTTCGGCCATCCATTCTCTTGAACCGAAAGAGAGGATCCATCTTCAAGGCATCCATGTCCAAAACTGCATCATCCAAGAAGGTGACCATCAGCTGCTGATGACAGCGATGATGACACGATTGCCACCCACACAAACTGCTTGAAAAAGGAAGAAAAATGTACCAAAAGTGACCAACAAAGCTAGGTCACTACAACAGCCATGATTTTGAATAGAGAAACAATAAAAACAATAATAGAATACTAGAGACAAAATGCAACAGAAAGTATTTGTATCATTATAGCATTGAAGCTGTCCGTATTCAAAAACTTCTTATTTGGAGACTGGAGACTGACTCCCTGTGTCCCAGTGGGATTTCTATGGCTGTGACGTCACAGACAGAATGTCCATGAAAAAAAGGAAACACGCGACATTTCTCAGACAAACAAATAAAAAACGGTTCCGCCAGAATGTTTTTTATGCGATGCTCTCATATCGCATCACTCTCACATTTGTCATGAGTACTCATCGTATCAAAAGGGGGCGTCATCAGCCAGTCGAAACACCAAAAGCCACTAACACTAACAACAACAAAGTCAAAAGACTGACCTTGACTGATTGGTACGAACTCTGTGAAAAGTTTGTAGCTGCCAAAGAAGAGGCTCCCAGCCTGTCACGAAATGCCTTTTTGAGATCCAAAGCCAGTGGCCCCAACTTCGAAGATAACCAGACCATGCGAAATGGTTTTCACAGAAGTCTCAAGAAATACAATAGTGGAGAACTAAAGCCATGCAATCGCCTCCGAATGAGAAGCAGAAAGTATCATGCCATTGAAGAAAAACTGCTCCAATACATGCAACAACAACAACAACAGCAATCCAAGAGGCATCACTATCATCCTGCACAAGACATCATCAATAATACGATGATGTTACCCTACCCCGAAATCAAAAAGCGTTGTTTGACATGGGCCAAGGAATTGGGTTTGGATGGTTTCAAATGTTCCAACAAGTGGATTTCCGATGTCTTGAGTCGGCGTGCCGAGATTGCCACTGTGACAAACCGCAAAGAAGGTAGTGGTGATCGAACCACTATTACTAAGGTTGATAATGATGCGACTGCTACTGCTTCTGCTTCTGCTGGTACGAATGAACAACAACGACAACAAGACCATACTGCAAGCCCGGTAATTGGAAATAAGGCATCGGAGAAGGATGCTGCTACTGCTACAGTTGAAAAGCAAGTCCCGCCTGCCAAAGCTTCGGTGGAAGCAAGCAAGATCAGCAGAACGCAAACACCAGTAGTAGTAGTAGCAGCAGCAGCAGCAACAACAACAACAAGCGGCAAAGACTTTTTGGAACAAGGCGACAATAGGAGTTCGGACGACGAGGACATTTCTCTGGAACGGGTCTTGACAGGTTTGAAAGATGTCCAAACCTATTGCAAAAAGAGAAAACTGGACGACGCGTCCTCCTTGTTGCAGATTGTCAAGAAATTCATTAACGAGAAGTCATGAAGTGATAAAGCATTCCACATAGTATTTAATGAACGCTGCCAATGGATGCTGGGAGTGGGTTCTTTGGGCGTTTCCGAAAATTTGATTTGAGCAAATCGGTGGCATATCAGGTTCCTTCTAACTTTCTTCCTCGACACACGGGACCGATTATGCTCGTCCCCCATATATGACGCATCCAATTCATAGCATGGGTCCAACACCTGATCAATCCGCTGGACTGCGCAGCAAGAAGCCCCAACTGTATGATGCTAGCAGGATGATCATTCCATATTATGATAGTGGTATCAATTCAAATACGTCTATCGCTGAAGCCATACTTATTGTAGTATATACGATATTTGCCAAACCTTTTGCTATAATAACGGAAGCACAAACAACGTATTCATTCGTCTACTGTACGAACTGTAGTGTGCTGGACATGCATCTCTGACCTACTTCCTCCTATCGGTACCTGGTACCGGTATTATATGTACTCTTTTTGTCGCGTCTGCTCGTCCCACCATCCATCATTGGTTGCGCACGCCATCCTTCGGCCGGACGCGAGCGTTGAAAGGTTTCCTATGGCAAATAAATCGATGATCTACGCCAGACATGCATTTTGGTGGCTGTTGGTGATGGAGGTACGCTTTGGCGCCCAACCGTAATTATTTTTTCAAATCTTTAGGAGAAAGCTTCAGGTGTGGAATACGTAATCATCATCTAAGACTCATATCGTTCAGGTTAACTCTTTTCATTCGATAGGATAAGTTACTCTCAATAACACAATGGGACGACGAAAGAAAAAATCTAGCGAAGTCGAGGACTCTGCCAATTATGTGGACATGGGAGGTACGTAGCGAAAAGGATTGATTGATTCCGTTCGGAGTAGTTATCAATTTGAGAAACACTCCTCTCACGATGATGCATAACTTCTGAAACACTTTAGCCGGCGAATCTCCGCTGAGTCCTGGTGAGTCTTCCCCACGGCGCAGCACACCATCGCGAGGTGATAATAGTGACAGCGAAAGCATGGAACGTCGAAGACGCATCTTTGAACAAGAATACAAAAGCGATGGGGAAGAGACCGATGCGGACGGCGACACCTACTATACGGCCGGTGTCACCACTATTTTGCGTTATCGCGGGTTCTCGACTTCCATTAAAGATTTCTTCTTGGACGAGTCTCTCGTGTGTGCCAGCATTGGTTGCTTTGGATTGTTCTTGAGTAACCGCACCGAACACTTGCTCCAGCTACGAAATGATCGACGAGGGGTTCGATGGGGACGATCTTCCTCCAAAAACTCGTTGCCATCTCGTATCATTGCGTACGCTTTGTTGTTGACACTCGCTTTGATTGGTATCACTTTTGTTGTTTGGGGATTTGGTACTGGAAATGCGTCTCCCATGGCACAAAATTGGTATGATGGATATGATGTCTTTGTCGAGACGGACGATGCTTGGAAATGGGAAAACAAAAACAAACAAGCTCAGATTGATGATGATCAGTACCGATACTGGTTTGCCGATGATGATGGCAATAATGCTACCGATGATCAGTACTCTACCAACGATGATGGCAGTAGTTCCAGCAACAGCAAATGGTACAACAGTTGGTACAACAAGAACAAGAACAGCAACTACAACAATGATGATGGCGGCAGCAGCAGTGGAAACTACACAACGGATGACCAATACAACAATGACGATTACAATCGTCAATTGGAGATTTCGCCCACTGGCAATGTTGTCCAGCAACAGCAACAGCATCCGGTTCAGGGTATCTTCAAGTTACGAGATATGGATGAATCGCTATGGAAACCTGCCATTGCTTTTTTAAAGGATGAATGGAACCGACCTGATAGCTACAATGGCAATTATCATCATAATGATCATCACGAACGCCGCCTCTACGATTCCATGTACGGTGGAGAGACTGACGAACGAGACCTGGCGTCGGATGTAAGACTTTCATTAATGTTTGCCTTTTTGATTGTCTTGGGCATCTTTGGACGTCGTCGCCGCATGCGCACTCGGTACTACTTGGTGCGGGCTCGGGCTCAAGAAGATCACCTATATTATGCGTCGGCTGCCGCTGGACTCAAAAAGGTTACCTTTCAAGATTCAAGAGAAGATCAATACGAGGGGGCTTGTAGTCACACACTCTGTGGTTGTTACCCTATTGATCCCCCGGCGGAAGGCGAAGAAGTGGTGGACGATGAGATTCATGTCGATGAGCTCGGAGTCACGGGACAAAAAAAGAAGCGACGTGTAGGAGATGTCATGTCTAGGATGTTCTCTTGTCTCATGAGCTTGTGCTGTGGTGCTGTCTGCAAGTTTTGGTGTCAATGCCTCAGTATTTGCGCCTTGGCCCAAGAGGCCCGCGAAATACGATTGTTGGTCCCCACACGATACCAACGACTCGATTACTTTACCCATCAGCCCTTTGTGGAATACGCCAAGGAGATTAATGAACTCCGTCGCGGATGGCTGGGCAAGGATCGCAAAAGGAATGGCGTTATGCCACACTTTAATGCGCTCTCCAAGTTGAGTCGGTACATTTTGATCTTTTTTGCATCGGCGGTCGTCATCATGACAGTCACTCTAGTCTTTAATCCACGCGCCAAGTTCTCGTGGCCCGATATGGTCATCTTGGCGGCTACTTTTGGACAATCGTTCATTGTCCTCCTCATTGTCCACTCGATCTTCCATTACAGTGATCTCAGTTTGGATGCCGTCATCAAGTTCTTTGCGGCTGGATTCCTGGTTGCCGTCCCAGCAGCCTTTGTATTTGAAGGAATCTTGGTCAATGTTTCACTCTTGCTCGGCTACCTCTGTTACGCGCTTGGAGAAAAAATTGCAGGAGATAATTTCACTTACTTTGTCATTGGGAACATTAAGATCTTTTGGTTCGTTGGAGAATTGTTCAGTGCCTACTTGGTGGCTGCGTTGGTCGAAGAAATTTGCAAGTACTACACATTCCGAACGGTCGAACACCCCGACTTGGTATTTCTCACTGGACTCCAACGATCTTCACAAGACGAGCGTGTCATTGAAGGTGGGATTGTCAAGTATCCCTTTGGATCCCATCAAATTGAGAATACCAACCGCAAGGGAGGGACTTCCTACGACGATGACGATGCCGACCGTGATACCAAGTACAAGGGCAACTCTCATCGCAAGAATACCACCGATGACAAGTTTGACCTTACCAAGCACTTTGGAGAAGATGGTTTTATGGAGGAAGAAGAACCAGATGTCCGAACCTTTCGCCAAAAGGCTTCTGCTGTCACTACTGGAATGATCAGTGTTGCAGTCGGTCTTGCTTGCGCCGAGAACTTTGTGTATGTCTTCCTGTTGGGTGGTACCGCTGCCAACAGTGGTGACGCCGAATCTGGAGGAATCTTGGAAGAATGGCTCGTTCTCCTGTTCCGATCTTGCTTCCCTGTCCACGCTCTTGCCGCTGCCATGCAAAGTGTCAACGTCATTCGCAAGTTCATTGAGACCAGAACCGACAATGATAACCACCGAATTGGAATTGGAAGAATTGTCTTTCCTGCCATTTTGATGCACGGAACCTTTGACGCTGTCCTATTGTCAGTCAATGTGTACATTGAGACCGTCTGGGAGAATTACTTGGCCAAGTACGGTGGAAAGATCGATCCCGACGACCCTCCCTACGATGCCATGACACTGAACATTGTGGCATTTACAAGTATCGCCTGGGTCATGTTGGTAGGATTGATCTGGTACTGGCGCGAGTTCCGCAGCCAGAGACAACGATTGATTGTCTTGGAAGAAAAGGAAAAGGCCAACAGTGACAGTCTTCCAGCTTACACGAGTCCATCAGATGCAAAACCAGCAGGGGACATTGAACTAGTCTAGTATTCTAGTAGAATGCTACATTGTTGGCCATGCATGTGATACCGTAATGAAGGAATACAGTATAACTAGTTAATGATATGATCTATATACAACTTGTTGCATGGCCCGAGCTGCTTCTATCTGTTCTGTATCACTGTATCACTTTAGTCCACGAAGCTTACAGTGAAAATGTGATGAAACCAAAAATCTATAGTGCCTAACTACAATAAATTGGTCAAGGTATTTTTAATTCACACATTATCGTTACTTGTAACTACCTTCTTGGTGCACTATACAATACAAATGCTCCCAGGGATTATTGATGCACATATTCGAGTGATGCTTAGATCAACAGAACGAACATGGAAGAATGAATGAATGAATCAGTCAATTTCACACCACGATGAAACGTAACCTTTATTGTCTAACTTTTAAATGGCATTGTAGCCGTACATATATACATATTTCACAACGTCCATCGTTTTGTTACATGACAACACACCAAGGGCATTGATCAGGAGTTGTAGAGTTGAATGTATGGCAATTGGCACATCTCCAAGAGGTGGAACCATTGGGCAAGTCATAGGGCTGTAGTAATGATGATAACGATGATAACAAGATAACAAGAAAGCAATCAATCAATCAATCAAACAACAATTAGTGTGAGCGGCAGGTTTAGAATCACGACATGATTTCAATATTCGTCCGTAGGACTTACTGTGCGGCAGCTGGAACAATAAAACCGAGTGTGTTGAGGAGGAATGGGTTGGCCGCTCCCATCGCCCCCACCGCCAGTAGGTGGTTTGTATTCCGAATCTCCTGCTGGAACAGCGGCAACAATGACATCCGGTTCCACAGTCTTCTTTTCGGGATCCATTCTTATTGTTCTTTCTTCTTTTGATGGTGGTGGCGGCGAAAACAACAAAACGAGAGGAGGTTTTTGAGAAAGGAAGGGAAAGAAACACTTCGAAGAAAACTCCAGTTGACACTATACGATGATTGATGCCTTCTGATTTTCAACGCAGCAATATCTCGAGGCTTACTCACATTTCTTGCAATCAAATCGATTGGATGAGTATTCTATTCTACGACGAGCTGAAACTAATGGCTTCAAGAGTCTGAATGGTTGGTTTATGTTGGAAGATACGGACTTCGATAAATTCCAAAGTAGGTCTTGTTTGATGATACAGTTCTCGTGTTGTCCGTACTTTTTCTACGAGGCTTCTACGGAGAAACGATTCAAAAACTGTCGAGATGGAAACTGGCAAGGAGAGATGAACATGACAAAGACTGAATTACGAATTAAACCATGCTTTTGCTACCGTATTACATCGATTACATAACACTTTTTCATTTCTCATGTACAAAAGGGGTGTCCCAGCCAAATAAATTGCTTGGCTGAACTCAGAATTAGGCACCTAACTACTATCAAAACCCTCATCTGCACTGCATATCCATTGCGTCCTTCTCCAGTTTTGCCATCTATGCTTGTCAGCACGACAACACAACGTCTTCCAGACAAAGAGCAGATTCCAAGGATTGTTTTGAAACTTGCAAGGTGGTGATGGCATCCTCCATGACTTGCGGAGGGACGGCATAAAAGGGTGCGGACTCCAAATCTCCTAGAACTTTGCACAGCAAAGATTCTGTTTGATCAAAGGCCTTGAGCGCCCGCGTCATGCTACTGTCATCATTGGCTCTTTTCTCTGATGGTTGCGTAGGCGAAGAAGTTGAAGATGGAACAGAGGCGGTCGCGGCATCAGGTTTTGCTTCTGCTCCTGCTTCTGTACTCGTCGTTGCTGTAGCAGGTGGCGAATTATTTTCGGATCCAGTCGCTGTTATTGATGGCGGTGACGCGGCTGATGGTGGCGACACTACTCTTGGAGAAACCGCCGCAGCCTTGGCAGGAGGAGTTGTTTGTTTTGGAGGTTCTATCGTAGATAGAGGAGGTGCACCAGCGTTCCGTCGTTGCCCAACTTTTCGCTTCGGACTTCGTTTGGGTGGAGAATAAACGTCATCGTCGCTGCTGAAACCATCGGATGCTGATGACAAGGATAAATTGTCGGAATCTACTGGATCTGGCAACATGCCAAAGACACCTCCAAACACAGAAACGGTGCGGTATTTTCCTCCATCACCAGTTGGTAATGCCATGCTGTTCTTCAGCATTAAATCTTCCGCTTGTAGTCCATAAGCACTGTGAAGTGGGACATTCATAAAGTCTTCGTCCTTATGATCACTGACTTCGTGGTCCTCTTCTTCCACTTTGTTGCTGTGACTGTTGTTCATGACGGAATTTTGTTTGTGTCCTCTTTCATCTTCCTTCCTATCATCCACCTTGTTCTCTTCCTTCCCTTCTCCTCCATATTCAGTGCCGTGAGTACGACTATGATGCGAAATTTCTTGGGAAGAATCTTCACAAACTTCGGCAATACTCATGAGTGGACCACGCAGCCGCAGATGCTTGTTTTCATCTTCATTATCAGAGTCGGAGTGGTGCCGCCAGTCATCATAGACATCCCGACGACCCCAATGTCGCATCATATCCGAATCCATTATATTTGTTTGTTTGTTTGCTTGCTTGCTTGCCTTTTGAAACAAGTTATCGGCTATGGATGTTAGTGTTTGTCCAGTGTGTTTGCTTTCTAACTCTCTCTCTCTCTCTCTCTCTCTCTCCTTCTAACTGATGCAATGGTGACCTGGAAGTTGAATGATGACATTTTCACAAGTGTACGCCGATTTTCCACGTGTGTCAAGTACCAGCACGTCACGTGTTCGAAATAGTCGGCAGAAAAAGAAGAGATCGCGAGGTGCCAGAATGGACATCCTCCTTCAACTACAATTCATGACGATGAAAGTGGGTTCCAGGTGCCTGATGAAAAAGCTACAGTAAGATGATACTTGGACTTGATATCTTAAAATTGATTCTTACAGTAGGATACTAAAAACTTACAAAAATAAGATTTCAGATGAATCAATCAATCAATCTCTCAGGTGGCCAATACCGATTCAGTATCGAAACAAGGTCCTTCCAAGACATGCTCTCATACCCCTTGAGAACAGTCCCCTACTCCCTTCCCTTTCTGATCTGAATGAACTTGATTCATTCATTCTTCCAGAGCCCCCTGTTGAATCTCGCATCCAGACTGTATCACTCCACAGTGTGTGCGAGGCAGTCTGATTTGGTATATGTCTTTTAGGCACACCATTTGGTTGCGGAGATCAAATAGAGGCCAGCCAAAATGATTGACCTCCACAGTTTTTGTGAACTGATTGAATTGAAAACTCTTCGTTTTAGGAGACAGGCAAGAAGAAAAGCTCATTGAGAAAACAGCGTTGCAACTGTCGCCGTTCTTCCAGAGATTTATCCAAGAATAACGACAAATCGATACTCTTGGGAATGTCATCAGGAGTGACAACACTCTCGTCAATTTCAGAAGCTGCGTCCTGTTCAAAGCCATTGGCATCTTGCAGAAGATTTGTTGTTTCGGTTGTTGTCGTTGCTGGCACTGACTCTGTAACTTTGGATGTCAAAATTTTCTTCACCGGCGGTTCCGAGCTCTTTTCTTGTTCACGATAGCGGTCATTGTGTTCTTTGTCTTCGGCACGAACTTCAGACTTCTCGATTGGTTCATCTTGCTGTTGCGCGTCTGACTTCAGTTCACTGTGGACCTCATCATCTCTGGCCTGTTCGGATTTGAATTCAATTCGTTCTGTCGGAGCCTGCCTCAATGGTTTGGCCTTTCGCGGTTTTCTCTGAGGCTGCACCTCTTCTTCGACGGACCAGTCGTCGCTGAAGCCATCCGACGAAATTGAATCACCGTCGCCGTCAGTGGGATCGGCTAAATCTAAGATACCCCCAAAGATGGATACAGTGCGGTACTTGCCGTTTGCACTTGACGCAGTGGCAGACGCTGGAATGTAATTATGACTTCCCATTCTATGACTTGGTTGAGAAACCTGAAGCAGGGAACTGTTGGTCATGTTTGTCATGGTGGTTGTGCTGTTGGCCGTGGAATCGTGAACTGTTGTCTCTGTATCTGAATCCCCATACAGATTCTTGACATTGTCATCTTGCAAGTCTTCATCCTCATCAATATCTTCATTCTCGTTTCCATATTCTTCATCGTATACTTCTCCATCGTCTTCTTCGTCCACCACTCGTTCGTCCTGCGAGTCTTCATCCTCGGATCCTTCCTGAATGGTAAACAGAGGACCATTGCCAAAATCACTTTCCGAATCTGATACTTCCTCCACATAGTCCCGGCGTCCCCAGTGACGCATTAGATCTATGTCTGACATGGCCTATTTTCGTTATTGTTTTTTAAAACTTGATGATGCTGCTACAGGAGGAAAGTCAAGGGAAGGCTGGCTATCTCTGCTGTATTTGATGGGATTGATCGTCTGCCTTTCAGCGTTCTTTCCAGAACGCGCCACCTCCTGCGTGAAACTGGTACTGTACGTGAGTCTCCTAGCGATTTTCGCACCGGTATTCAATTCGTTTTATATATATGTAATGAAGGCGTTTCACGTCCAATAATTGAATGGGCTGGTACATTAGCTGTCGTACAGCTACAGTATCCGTTCGTTGAGACAAAAAAGTCGACGCAACGACACGCGTCATGGGAGGTGCTCGATAATATATGTGTTGCAAGCTTCACCCAATAAAGCTGCGTTTCAAATACACCTGATACCGCTGCACCTACTGTGTACTCTTCCAATACACTCACTTGTTCTCACGTGAGTTGGTTCTAATGATGATGACGATGACGCCCCCCATCTATCGTCTAAAAATGATTATAAAATGTTTTAGTGATATTAATAATGTACATTGTCAGCAGATCCCTTGAATCTCGAAGACAGAAAAAACACACACAATTGAATTGAACATGAGAATAGCTGTAATAGTTGTCCCTTTTTTGCTTCAACAAGAAATCATTTCTTCTTCTCCCTTTTTGGTGCTTGATTTCTTGAACCGTTTGGAGAAAAAGCCACTTTTCTTTTTGCTTCCGCTTGATTTCTTTCCGTCTCCTTTCTGTTGTTTCTTGGATTTCGATTTGCTGTCCTTCCACAATGATTTGAATATACTGCTGCTCTTCTTCTTCTTCCCCTTGGACCGTTCGTGGACCACATCAAGGTCTTCTTTCGACTGTTCTTGTTGATCCATTGGTGGAGGAGATGGGGGTGCGTTTGCCCGAACTTGCTTCTCGTACTCTTCCAAGGTTATTTCATTGTCATTCCCGCCATTCGGGTTATACATGTGAGTCAACACCTTCCTCAAGTTGCCAAATGCCCTTTGGCTGTCATTCTCCTCTACAAATTCTTCATCGTCTCCATATTCATCGTCCTGCAACAATACATGAAAGAAAAATGTTAATGTCATGCCTTTCACATCATGATAATCCACCTAAATCCTTTTATCCTCGCACTTTTTCACTTACAAACATGTGATTGATCTTTCTCACTTCCTGGGCATGTTTCTCGTCCTTTTCTTTCTTTGCCTTGGCTTCTGCTTCCGCAGCCTCCAGCTGTATTCTCGTTTGCTCCTTCTTTCGAAGAAACGAAATGCCCTGAACGACATTTTCAGGTGCCTTGGTTCCTTTCCGTAAAGCATCAATGGCAGCTCGTTCCTTTTCCAGTCGGGCGTCTTCGGCTTGCATTTGCTTCAATATGACTTTGGAGACCTTTCGTTCCAAGGGTGACATTTGCTGCAATGGGTCCTTTTGTTTTGATTCAGGTGCTCGCTCTGGAGTTGCAGCAACAGGAGGCATCATTGGACCCTTTGCTGCTGGTGCAGGCTCGTCTTGGTCGTGATGATAATCGTGCTGCGAATAGAATGACGGCGGGTGACCTCTTCTTCCGGCATTCTCCTCCTCTAGCTTTTCCAGTTCTGAGACTTGAGTGTCAATGGCCGATTGATTTCCCCCTGATTCATCTTCGTGTTGCATGGGAATGGCAATTTCCATTGGGATTTCACCACTTTTTTTTGTGGATGCCGCTGCTGCTGGTGATAACATTTGCAGACTATCTCGAAGTCCTGAAGTAATTCTTCCCAACAGTGCATTCTCCTCATATACGCCATTTTGGTTCTTGCGGTTCTTATTATGTCCTGCTCCTCCACCATCATCAATCCCATGCAAGGCTTCATCCCCCACACAATTCAGAATTCTAGATTCCTTGACATCCTGAAAGATCCCCTTGACATCTTCCAAGCTCAAGAATTTTTGGTCCGAGCTTTGCGTTGTATCAATCGTCTCGTCCACATCCAACATGGACTTTTCCATCTGAGCATTGTGTTTTGCTTTAGAATTTTCAAAGGCTTCTTGTTCCATTGCTAGTTGACGCCGTTCCTCTTCTATATTGTTGTTGTTGTTGTTGTTGTTGTTATTGCTAGAACGGTTGACTCGCATGGTATTCTCGGGCATGTTGTAGGCGGACAAGTCGACAGCTGTAGTTTTCTTGGCACTCTTTTGGCTTCGAGTGATACTATTCGTGCGATTCTTTTGAAAGGATTTGATGTCAATGTAATTCATATCCTCATGACTCGATCCCGCATAGTGACGAGGCTTAGGTGAATCATCGCCAGTCCCAGTCCCAGCTAGTAACCGAAGACCGATGGGAGTATCGTCTCCTTCAGAAGCAGGATTCAGGCTATCTTGTCTCCTTGAGCCTTGCGAAGTGTTAGATAATCTTCGTACTGGATCGTTTGCTGCTGAAGCGTGTCCAGAGGAAGTTTTGAGGGCTCTCTGAGGTTGAGAATTATTGATCGTTGCCTTGTTTCCATCACCACCGTTAAGTTTGTACAAGGTTGAAGTCCCTTCATCGCCAGGAAACTCCTCTTCTTCCTCTGATCGATAGTGACGATTGTGTTGCAGTTGCCTTGATGGCAACATTGCCGGTATTATAGGATCTGCCTCCATGCTGATGGTTATGCCTTATGTTTGTGATGAATGTATCTTTGTTTTGCAGTGAGCAATGTCAAGCGACGGGAGCTTCTGCTCTACAGCAGGCGATCGATTGATGGACGTATCGTATTAAAGGCTACTACAGTATTTCCTAAGAATCACCTTCGCGTCGGCTCGTCTCGTTCCTAAAGTTTTTGGTTTTCGGCACCTATTTCGGACCGTTTGTCCTGAACACGTGCGTAAGTTGAACATTCCAGATATACAGATACGTAGATAAAAATTTCTCATTACTCAAAATGAGAGGGCGACGTGTGCCGCGAATTTTCATTTGCTAGACAGAACACCATTTTGTCATTGGCCAAAATAAGACTCCCATAAGTCGAGTCAAATGAAACAAAAGGTGGCCCCAAATCAGATGTAAACAGTTCTATTGTTCACCAAATATACCTACAGTACAAACAAACACCTTGCCAAAACGCTAATTTGCCTAAAAGGATGTATTTTGATATTCAAAGTTATACACTAGCAGTATGCATGTTGATAGAACATCAAAACAAACCCATACGACATTCATCATTGGACCCTACCACTGGAACAAGGAAGCAGTATGTTCCGCAGTTTGATCCATAATAAAATGACGCTGGGGAAGTATAGTAGAATAAAATGGAAAAACAGATCCGGCATGATGAAATCTCGCAATATCTCCTCCCACGTATCCAGTATGGGACGATATTTGCAAAAAAAGGCATCCATGCGAGAATTGAATCAAACGCGCATTGATTCATCCAATCCTTGGGTCTGTTTGGTCTTCGAGCCTCTCGTTTTTTCATTACTAGCCCATGGAACTCCAATCAAAACGAGACTCTGGAGGGTGTTGAAGTGCCGGTCCACCACGTTGCAAGAAAGACTCCGTAAGGCCTGGCAGGGCTGCTGCGGATGGTGGTGCCTCCTCTTGCTGCTGTGGTTGTTGTTGATGAAGATTGTTCTTTGAGGACGATTCGGCGGTAGCGTCGGCTGGATCAGAAGAACCAACCAGCTCCGTCAACGACGACGGGCCCCATAATCCTCCCAACTCACCAGTCGCCGCACTATTGTTGTCATCAATGGATAGCGCACTCAATCCAAAAAGGGCATCAATCTGGGCATCATCAGCCTTGGACTTGTCCGCAGGACCAAAGAGGCTGTCGATCAAATCTGAATCCTGCTGCCGCACAGGAAGTGCTGATTCCGGTCCAGGACCAGGTACAAAGAGTGACTTACTGGCAGCAGCAGCGGGGGCGGCATTTCGACCAGCATTCAATCCATCGCCGTTCATGTAGGAAGAACTTGGCGGGTTCCACAGTCCTTGTGATTGGGGCGCACCAGGACGTCCGCCAGCAGCATCCATTGCTACGGCGAACTGAGGGAATTGCTGATGCTGTTGCTGTGATGGTGGCGCCATGGGTACTACTGGCTTTTGTGGCAAGCCAGCAGAAGAAGGAGGAACACCTCTCATTCCACCACCCATCATAAAGTCACCTGGCGGTTGCACTTGACCAATACCACCATCTCTTTGACCATAGAATTGAGGTGGTGGACCTTGCAATAACTGCGGAGGCATACCAATGCCTGTAATACTTGGTGGAGGACCCATGAGGAATGGTGGGCCCGCGCTTAATCCTGGATGGACAGGACGAGCACCAGTGCGATTCATTGACATCTGTTGGTGGTGAATAGAAGGTGGAATCATCTGGCCGGGTGGCATGGAGTAGGGTGGCTGTGCAGTCCTCATCACATGTTCTGGGGTAGCCGAATGAGAAGAAGACGCCGACAAAAGCCCATTCGCATCTGGAATCAAGTGTGATGGATGTGCCTGGGAGCCTTCTGTATCGGCTGGCTGTTGAAGTTGGGCATGAGGATAACTCAAGACATCTCGAACCATCCGAATGGCAATTTCCACGTTTGCTTTGGAACCAGATACTCTGATCTGACGGGGAGTTACCGCTTGGTCAATGTCGACACGTGCTCCGCTTTCGTCTTGAATGTTCTTTATGGTCCAGCCACGTTTTCCAATCAGTAGTGGGACAAAGCAGGCCTCACATGTCAGCATCTGCTGGAACGCTGGTTTCTGATCCATTTCGGATGAATCGTGAGCAGGTTCGGGCAGGTGGATAGGATTCTCGACAGAGTTCACAGCTGGTGTCGCATCGACTAATCTGGCCGGTTCATTGGCAATAGCTCCTGGCTCAGCTTGCTTCTGTACGGTTGCGACTGGAGGTTTCGATGGCTCTTGAATTGAGTGCTTTTGAGTAGGAATTGGAGAAGGCTTGTTTGTCTGCGGCAGATGCTCTGTTTGCTGCTGATGCTGCCCAATTGGTGCTTTGTTAACTAGCTCGTGGACCATCTTTACAGCTTTCTCAACACACTTTCTTTCTCCGCTGACATACACGTTGCGACAATCAGGTGCCTTGGCCTTCTCCTGATCAATCCAAATTTTTGCCCCACTCTCCTCCATCATGTCACGAATTCTCTGACCACCTTTTCCAATCACCCAGCCTACAAGCGTAGACGACATTTGCATTACACACTCGTCGCGATTGGATTTGGATGCATGCGTACCAGAAACAACCTTCAAACGAGTACCCGTCGTATTCGTAGTAGCAATTTTTGGCGGATTCTTCGGTGGGACGGATGGCGGTGTCTTCATACTCTTTGATGAGATGCTTTCGGTGGTTTTGATTGGCAATTTGTTCTGGAAGACTTCTTCAGCTTCATCAGGTGCATCTTTCGCTCGAAGACGTTTCAATGCCTTCTTTGCATTCTTTCGAAGTGCTGCTCGGCCTGGAACTCCTTTCAGTGCAAACAATATCTCATCAATACCTTCGCAATCACCATTTTCGATAAGCTGACATAGCTTCACTTCGATTTCATCAAATTGCGATCCCAACTCCGCAGACTGCTTGGGTGCCAATGATGCCGCTTGATCGGATGGAGACGCAGACATTGACGATGCATCCTTCTTTCTAGACTTGGCTTCCTGCTTCTTTTGAAATTTCCTGGCTTGCTCCGCTGCTTTCTTTGCCTTGGCTTCGTCCTCATGACGTTTCTTTTCTTCTTCCTCTCGTTTGATTGCTTGTTGGCGCTCTTTCTTTTTCTTCTTCTTAGATTTCTTGGACTTGGCAGCCTCTTCTTCTTCTTCCAACTCGGCTAACAGTGCTTCTGCCGCGGCATCTGCTTTTTGCTTTTCTTGTATGTAGTTTTCAACAAGAGCATGCTCCAGATCCATTTCTCTAGCGGCATAATGTAAAGCCGACGTCGTTGGATCCGACATGTGACCACTTGCTGCTTTTGCGGCCATGAGTATACTCGAGTCGGGTTCATAGTCTTCACCGTCATAATCTTCTAGCTCTTCAATGGTGGTTGTATTCCTTCCGGCATGTCCGGCATGTCCACCATACGGACCCATTTTACCTGATGGGTTGGAACTGGACTGCTTAAAGGCCTTGTATATGCTTTTCAGCCTTAGATGGACCAGCTGCTCCATTCTTTTGCTTGGACGATGCCCACATCTAACGCATGGGTCTTTGGATCCGGAAGCGAGACAGACTAAGCAATAGCTCAGCCGACACGTGTCGCATTCTACCGCAAACTTGGCATCTCTGCTGCACAGAACAATCCCACATCGTCCACAGGCAGTGGCGCACTCTTCACAAAGCCCACCTCCACAGAATTTACAGCTCAAAAGGGTTGAACACGATGCGCACACGACCTCCCCACAATCCTCGCACTGATCCATTTCATCACATCCTCGACAGTAGAACGCATCACACCGATCACAGACTCGGATTTCATGGTTCGCTTGGTATTCGTGACACCAATGACATTCTTCGCAGACATAGGCTTGACATTCATCACAGTGGACTTGGATGTCGTTGGACATACTATGGCAGTGCAAACAGCCTTCGTCGTCCTCTTCATCTTCAACATCCTCGTCCTCCTCATCTTCAGATATGTAGTCTTCACCCCTTGAATCGTAATCACCATCTGTTATTTTATCGTCGTTGTGATCCAGCAAATCTGGGACATCTTCATCGTCGTCGTTTTCATGGTGCACTGAAGTCTTTTTGTCCGGAATAGGAACACATTGATTCATTTTGGGATTGGGGAATCGGCAGTTGTTCATGAACGTATTTTGAACAGTTTCGTCTCCTTGTCGTTTTCTCACAGCTCTTATGGCCGCTGATCGGGCAGAGTTGGCTTTATTACGCCGCCGGGGAGGCATATTGCTCGATCACTTGGTCTTTAAAGGAGACTTTCTGATCTGAACTAAAGTCGTGAGCTTCTCGTGGCCTTATAGTTTTCAGGAGTACCTTTCAACACCTTTTGGCTCGCGATTCCACCCCAAACTTTCAGGCAACTTCAGTTTCTTGTTGTTGTGTTGCTTTTGTGCTTCTTATAACAGACTCATAGGCTTCTTATGGTCAATTCAATGCTCTTTCTATGCGATACCCCTGAGGCCTCAAGCTTCCTCTTCTGTCTGGCTGTCAGCGATGCTTGCAGGCTGGACCAACTCAGGAGGGGGAATCGGACGAATCAATCATATTTTTCGTTGGGACAATAAACGGCTTTGAAAGTACCTTGAGAAGTGTTCGATTGAAACTTCACGGGCAACAAGAAGTCAGAGTTCAAAGTGTCCGGAACAAACTTGTTAAATTCAGCGCATGCCATGCGGAGAAGCTCGGAAGAGAACCAAAGAAGTACTGGAAGATCGATCAGAACACTCCCAGTATCTGGTATCCTCGGCACGAGAAGACGACCAATCTCGAAGATAGCAACATAGCACTGACAGTAGGTATTGGTCGTACTCGTAAAGTATATCTGCAACCACCAGCTATCTGTGATTTTAAAATGAAAGAAGTTGCTTCTATCACGAATGAAGTAGCACTCACAATACAGGTATATATAGTGGGAAGAATATGCGATTGAGAATATATCTTATAGAGTCCATAATCTTAAAAAGAGCTGAGAGCTCGTTACAGTATGTTGCTTGTGCGTGCCTTGACCACCACTTCAAAGTAGTATTACCTCTTGGAATGGTTGAAGACATGTGTCTTTTTGTGATCCTACTGGTGTGTGTGTGTTGAGTGTAGATATGTGTGGTTGTCAGTGGTGCGATTGTTCGCTTTTAATCTTCCAATGATAGAATGGGGATTTTGCTTGGAGATGAGATGCTGTAGCTGTCAGCAATGCGAAGATCATCATTTCGAGGGCGGAAACCAAGGTCAATGCATCGAGTACCAAGTCTGACAGGAGTGCTTGGGCTGGACTCGTCAAGAAGTGCCGAGACACTGGTTGGAGATGACTTGAAAGAGACTCGTCGCATTTTGTTGGTGACCTGAAAGTCATCCACAAGTGATCGTGGAGTAAGATCGAGGACAATCTCGGCTGCATTCTCCTTCTTCTCAACTTCACGTCTTTGCTTCGCTTCAGAATCGATGTCTGAAATCAAAGAATCTATGTTTCCCTGCCCCCTTCTGTGAGCCATCGGTGTGCGCAGGAGTAGCTCATCTTGTTTTGCGCTCATTGTGGTTGTAGTCGTAATTGTACGCTTCATAGTTCGAGATGATTGTGAAGGAGGATGGAAATTTACTCGTCACTGGATTGTGAGCTATGCGAATTTTTACATCACGAAAAACCCGCATGACCAACAGTGCAGCGGCGTCGTTTCGAAGAAACAAAATATCAACACCACGTGTATATATATGAATTATCCCTTCAGACATACATTATATTCTGATCAAGCTGCAGATGGCCTTCTCTCCTAGCTTTGCGGATGAAAAAAATGCCGCGCATTTCAACTCAACACGAGGCTTTGTAAGTACCTGTTCTACGCTACTTGCCAGAACGCTGACAGTAAATGGTTCCCGGTGCCAGTATAACGATCGCACCGGAAGTAGTTGAACACTGACACTGCCTGGTACCTTCATCCATTTTCCTCAAGGAGACGAAGCAACCTCAAAGAAGATTGCAATCGAACATCGACAGTACCATGTACTCGAAAACACCTCTATCCTTCTCTCCAAAGAAACAATTTCCTTTGGCCCACATTGAATCGAAGGGCTGATTCAAGTTGCTTGTTTCCATTGCTAAGTAAGGATGTATCAACTACAAATGGACGTTTGGGGAGTACATGCAACTGTTGAAAATGTATCTTGTCTAGTACCGAACCTTTTAAGAGCTGATTGCTCGGTGACATAAAATTTGATTTGTGTATGCCGTGACCTTTGCACGGATTGCAAATGCTGCAAATGTTTGTGATCGTGTGTGTTGAGTGTGGATATGTGTAGTCCTGAGTGGTCCGATTGCGATTGTTCGCTTTCAGTCTTCCAATGATAAAAGGGGAATCCTGCTTGGAGACGAGATGCTGTAGCTGTCAGCAATGCGAAGATCATTTCGATGGCGGAAACCAAGTTTGATGCATCGGATACCAAGTCTGACGGGAGTGCTTGGGCTGGACTCGTCAAGAAGTGCGGAGACACTGATTGGATAGGATTCGAAAGAGACTCGTCGCCTTTTGTTGGTGAGCTGAAAGTCATCCACAAGTGATCGCGGTGAAAGATCGAGCACAATCTTGGCAGCATTCTTCTTTTCAACCTTACTTCTTTGTTTAGCATCAGAATCGATGTCTGAAATCATAGCATTAATGTCTGTTTGCCTCGTTCTTTCAGCCATCGGTGTTCGTAGCAGTAGCTCATCTTGTTTTGCGCTCATTTCGGTTGTAGTTGTGATTGTACGCTTCATGGTTCAGGGGGATGGAAATTTACTGCTTACTGGATTGTGACCTTCGAAAAGAAGCTTTATTACCGGTACGTAAAACCCGCAGGACCTACAGCAGCTTTGTTTGTCAGATAAAAAATATCAATATCCTGTCGGACATAATCAAACAACCCCTTTCTGATCAAGCAGCAGATGGCACCCATTTCATGCCTGAAAAAAATGCCGCGATCTTTTGTATTCAGTATTATTGTACCACATTGTTGCTCCCGCCCGCCGGACATGGAACGCGATGTTTTTGAGCGCGCTTTCTGAAAGTTCAACCATAATCTCAACACCTGCACGAGGCCTCTTAGAAGTATGTACCGGTACCTTTTGTTTGGTCCTGATCCCTCGGATTCAGCTACTGGAAGATCGCATCAGAACGCTGAAGGTCCTAGTGGTTACCAGTACCCTCAACAATCGCACTGGAAGCACTTGAACACTGACATTATCTTACTCCGTTTGGCAGTCGTGATCTTCAACAAGAAGAAAAAAATCCGTGAGATCAGAACAGAACAACATCAATCTCAACACCCAGGAAGTACTAGAAGGCCCACTTTGAATGGAAGAATTGATTCAAGTTGCTTGCTTCCATCGCTAAGCATAGCAGCATCCAATGCAAAAAATCGCTGTTGAAAATGTATCTTGTCTATACAGAATCTGCTAAGAACTCCTGATTGCTCGGTATTACATACACTATAATTTGTTTGTGCATGCCGTGACCATCACTTCAAGCAACTATTTTATTCATTGGGACATTTGGAAAAATGTGCCTTTTGTGATCCTGGTCTGTGCGCTAAGTGTGGATATGTGAAGCCGTGAGTGGTGTGATAGAGATTGATAGAAGGGGGTTTGTACGCTCATTGTGGTTCTAGTTGTGATTGCACGCTTCACAGCTCAGAAATTTGCATGGTGATTTGGAATTGTTATCATCCAGAGAAACTACATGTGTCGATGACATCTTGGTGTTAGTTGAAATAAGTAGCAATGGAATAATACGTGGTGAGAAATGTGGCGAAAAGCTTATTGATCAAATTTGGTTTTGATGTTTTAGAATCATGTTTTTGGCGCGTTTTTTGAAAGTTCAATCAAGACAACCTCACTCAATTGAATTTGTTGGGTTTATCCGTTGGCACAGTACGCCACGTTTATAAGATCAGAAGGAGAGCATCAGCAGTGTGTTACCCGTTGATACCTTATTACCAAGATCAGATAAGAAGTTACAAGAACTCCTGAGTTGATCAGTGGCGGTCGGCGGGTTGAGTCTCGGGACGCATTGCCATTATCATTGCCATGAGCAGAATTTGTTAGTAGTGTCGGTGTCAGTGTTAGCTTCAAGACATGCATCATTCTGTCTTAATCATCCAGGCAGTCAGAGAACCTTCCTCCTATCTACCCTCTCTGGCTGTAAGAGATGTTGGACGGACTGGTAGCTCGGGGAGAATCAACAAGAATCGGAAGAATACTTTTCAATCCTTTGTTGCCGGATGGAAGCGATTCACTGACAAAATGATACTTATTGGAATTGGCTACCCTACGTGAAGAAAACATGTGATGGTTCCAAAATAAACCGGGACGGAGCCATAAATAAAGCAGACATTCAGTGTCTAGGTCACAGGCAGACAGATTACTGCCGATCGCAAGGAAGGGGATGGATAGTACCAGTATCGTCTCATCGGCTTGTCAGTAGTAAACTGCGATTGTCAGCATTGGCAGCATACTGAGTGACTACACAGTGTAGCCACCAGTAGCAGCCAAACGAGAAATTGGCCTACAGGCCAATGAGAATAGAAACAACAATAATGCACCGCAATTGATTGAGGCAAATCAAACTATTTCATAGCTTCAGCAACTTGTCGTTCGTGTGTGATCCAAACGCTAGAGAGAGAGGGGATTCTCCAGCCTTTGGGGCTATCTGTTGACTATATTCTATCTGCTAATCCAGTACTCGCCCTTCTCCCACAATTTGGGACATTAAAGGGCTTTTTTTTAAATGCGCCTCTTGGTCGTAGAAAACTTCTTGGTTATTCATATTTTCTCTTGGCCGTGTATCGAATCTTACACCTTTTCCGAGGGTGCAGGCCATTCTCCCACTCGAAGAAAACCGACAGTTCCTGGGTGCCCGGTACCAGGTACCGGTACCGCAGGTACCCAAAAAGACTGCAAACTGACGCTGGGAATAGACACTCGTCTCCATGCTCCAAAAGATCGCACTGGAAAACCTAGGAATACCAAAAACCGCATTGATTTCAAGCAACGAGATAGACGCATCCAGCAATACAATTAGGATGATGGGGCCCGTTTAAAATATATATTAGCTAGAGTCCTCAGTGCTGATTGCTCGTTTTTCTTATTTTTACTGTATTTGTGTGTGCCGTAGTGACCTTCGTTTCTTCAAGCAAGTGTAATTGGAATGGTTTGCGAAATGGAATTGTTTGTGATCGTGTGTTGAGTGTGGATAAATGCAATGGTGAGTGTTGACATACCGATCGCTCGCTTTCAGTCGTCGAATGATAGAAGGGGAATTTTATGTGGAGAAGAGAGGCTGTAGCTGTCTTTACCAACATATTCATTTCGAGGGCGGAAGCCAATGTCGATGCATCGGATACCAAGTCTGACTGGAGTGCTTGACTTGCCATTATGTGCCGAGACACTGGTTGAAGAGGATTCGAAAGTGATCCGTCGCTTTTTGGTGGGGTGCTGGAAGTCATCCACAAGTGATCGAGATGAAAGATCGAAAATCTTGGCAACAGCCTTCTTCTTTTCAACCTCACGTTTTTGCCTGGCATCAGAATCGATCTCTGAAATCAGAGAATCGACGTCTGTTTGCCTCCTTCTTTCAGCAATTGGTGTTGGCAGGACCAGTTCTTCTTGTTTTGCGCTCATTGCGATTGTAGTTGCGATTGTACGTTTCATAGTTCAGATTGTGGAGGGGAAGGAAATTTTCTCGATTCTGAAATGTGACGGCGAAACTTTCATAGGGTTGCGAAACATGCAATCTTGTTTCCAGAGAAAGATATTTGAAATTAGTAGCACGACCGTTATGAAATAGGAAAATGGAAAGATGACACGACACTTTCTCCGTGAAATGAATTGTCAAGTTGAGGGAAGGTTGGGTTGCGTCTCCTTGATCAGAAAAAGGTGGTTTTGTGATTTCTAAAAGGTAATCTGATTGTTCTGATCAGATGTAACAGCGGTTCCCACTTAACGGCAGTCTAAAACGACGACGAGTCGTCTGAAATTGTAGGCGGCCAAAACAGGTGAAAACCCATCCTTTTTGGCGCGCCTTGCATTTTGGCGCGCTCCCGATGTGTCTTCAAACAGCATACTGTACAGTATTTCAACACCTACTGCCACATTGATATTGTTGGGTTTAGCCGTTGGCAGTGTAAGGTTCCACAGAGCAGAGGATACAGCATATCCAGTACCGATTGATATTATTGCTTTTGTCAGACCAGAAGTAACAAGTGCTAGAGTAACATTTTTAAAAAATACGCATAGTAAGATCAGATGCAACAGATAAATAGCGTCAAGCGGTTGGGGCCTCGCCATTTCTCTCGCCATACATCAACATCGCCATAAGCAGATTTTTTTCATTTCGTTGCTGTCAGTGTTAGCCGAAAAATCCATGAATAGTTTAGTCTTGAGCCTCAAGCATACTAGTCAGTAGCTTTTTACTACACAAAGAATGGACTTTCATGTGATGGCATTGGGTTCAGCGTGTACCGGTAGCCATTCCTTACTGTATGATCGATTGCGGAGCCTTGGCTCATTCCGCGAGATACAGTACGAGTACGTACTGTATATTTATGCTTTTCCATGATACGAACTGATGACAAGTAAGGGCTTAAAAAGTACCACGGGTTTGACGGGATCAAATCCAAAGAAAGTTCTAATCACGCTCCTACAACCAATCAATCAGTATTCCTTTGACGCATTGCGATCAGAGGATTTGGTTTCAAGTAAGTGGTTTCCAATAATGCTAAAGAAGTATTCAGTATCGTATCGTACAAGTGCAAATGTTGGGCAAAAAATCGGGCTGCTACTGTCGTTATTTTTAGAAATACTAGAAGCGTCTTCAGATTGCTCTTTATTGCTTGAGTGTGCAGTGACCGTCGCTTCAATCGAATATGCCATGTTTTGATGGGTTCGCAACATGCAACGTTTGTCTATTGTCGTGTTTGTTGGGTATGGCAGATAGTAGTTTCGATTGTTGGTGTGCAAGAGATTGCTCGCTTTCACCAGTCTTCGAAGAGTGATAGGAGAGAAATCTTGCGTGGTGGAAATGAGATACCGCAGCTGTCATTGCTGAGATCATGATTTCGCAGACGGAAACCAATGTTGTTGCACCGGGCCCGAATCCTGATAGGAGTGCTCTGGTTGGTTTCGAAACTGTTTGGGGAGGAGATTCTTCGCCGTTTGTTGGTGTGCTGGAAATCGTCCACAAGTGATCGTGGTGAAACATGGATCGTCTTGCTAGGAGCGTTTTTCTTCGCTCTTTGACGTCTCTGTTTGGCATCAGAATCGATCTGCGAAATCACAGAATCGATGTTTAGCGATCTTCTTGGAACCAGTGGTGTTCGTAGGATTGCATCTTCTTTGTCTGACCTCATTGCGATCGTGCCAGTTGTGGTTGATCGTTCCTCTTACAGATTGTCGTAGGAGATTGAACTTTGTTCATGAAATGGGAGCAACAGATGGAATCGACCAATCTTGATACGACGACGAGCAATCTTGCCTGTCGTCTTGTATTCAGGGTTCGCAACCGTTAAGATCATCAAAGATGGGGGTTTTATTTCAATGCACTGGAGTTATTTAAGCCTCTTGGGTGGCATTTGATCAGAAACGGGAGGTATTTTCACTTCCGACCGGAAATTGCGAGGACTTAGGGAAAGCATGGAATTGTCGACGAAGCATAATGACATAGGGGATCATCCTACGCGCAAAATGGTTCTTCTTTGACGGGTTCAATCTTGTGTCACATCCTCGACACCTATGTATTGGGATTATTCTGGAAATGCTACTTCCAATGGACATGGTATCCTGAATGAAATTATGCGATGCTGGTGAAAGATCAGAGGGGGTGCCACAGATTGCTGCAGCAGCCAGATCGCAAATAGGTAGGGGATGGCCATCTCGCGTCAGTTGAGGAAGTAGACTACGATTGTCAGCATTTGCAAGATTCCAAGTGACTCTAGTAACCACAGTCAGCCAAGCAATAGCAATCTTAGAAACAAGCAATTGCATCATGCTTTGTTGTGAAATCCTCGTCCACACTATCTGGCTGATTGCTTCAGCAACAAATCGTCTCCTCTTTCTATCTTAGGCTATATAGAGGACTGAAGTCTGGTTGCCGTTGACATTACCACCCCATATGATCAGCATCCACAATGAGATCATGTATGTAAGACGGGGGATGACGCCAAGCAAATCCATTCCCTATCATTGCCGAGTAGTACAGTAGGCCAGAATCTGTGTTAGTGGCGTTGTTGTTGCCGGGCTATTGGAAATAAATCCCTTTTTTGCCTTTTTCCTTGATCGGATATGAGGGATTGCATTGCATTTGATAGCGTTGGTCTAGAGCCATGTTTAACAATTGCCTGCCTTGTTCTTGTAGAGCAGAATTTGATAATAGCGTTGCAAATATAAGTCCCTTATTAAACGTTAGCTTGATCGGATATGAGGGATTGCAATGCATTTGATAGCGTTGCGGTTAGCGTCTAGCCATGCATAAATTGCCTTGAGCAGACTTTTGTTAGTAGCGCTATTGTCAGTGTTAGTTGTCGTATTACACTAGATACGCTCATTCTGACTAGTCAATTTGAAAAAAGCGTTCAAACTGAAGTTGATCAGATCGGTTGGATTGACCTGTTTTTGTTAGCGTTGGAGATAGCGTCTAGTCTTTGATATGGTCCTTCTCATCAATCGCTTTGGATTTCGCAGGCTCCAATTGGGCCTAAAAGAGTATCAACGATGTTTTTTGGGCTGACAGTAACTAGCTGTTGGCCTGGCTGAAGGAACACATGGGCATGGTGCCATTTCCGGGCGCGCTTTGATCAGACGGCATTGTTGGTAATTCCAAGTGATTCAGTTCTGCAAGCCGAGAACCATCAACAAGGGACCACATCTATTGCATGGTTACGTGTACTGGCAAACAGTTGTGATGGATTGTATTCAATTTCTTTTTCTAAAATTGCCTTAGCTATGAAATCTTAAGGGCGATTTTCTCGCTATTGTTTTTGTTTGACGAACCGTCGCATCAAGGGAATATGGTGCAAGGATCTGCGAGAATGTATCTTTCTATCGTGTTTCTTGGGTCGTGGATATTTGTATAAATCTGTAGTAGTATGCTTGGTGCAAAAGCGATCGTTCGCTTGCACAGCCTTAGAATGGCATGTAGGGGATTTTGCGTGGTGATAGGACGATTTCACTTTCATTGTAAAGCTCATTGCCAAGGTATCTTGGACGAAGGCGGAAACCAATATTGTTGTCCAAGTTGGACCTTCTAAATGGGAATGTGCTTGGGCTGGCATCGTCAAATGCCAAAACTCTGGTTGGAGAGTACTCCAAAGAGGTTCTTCGCCGTTTGTTGGGTTGCTGAAAGTCATTGACCAATGATGGAAGTGGATGATCGAATCTCTTGCCAGCACTAGAATTCACTGCTGGATTCTTCTTTTCGTCTTCACGTCTCAGCCTGGCATCAGAATCGATCTGTGAAATCATAGAATCGATGCTAATTGTTCTCCTTTTGATGATTGGGGTTAGTAAGATTGCTTCTTCTCTTTGAATGCTCATTGTGAATTCTGAATGATGATAGGAATTGTGTTTGGATGATGCACGATCAGATTGTGGAAGCAGATAGAAAACTTTTGAATTGTGAGCTGAGAAGAAAACTCGATACGACACTTTTCTATCGAGTGTCGGAATCGTGTTTCTCAGAGCATGCTTTCGATTACTATGGTGAAATTAATCGCAGCCGTTACGGAACTGGGCCCACGATTCGCAGCGCGTCGTTTTTGGCAGTAACATTTAGCAGAATTTACTTACGTCAGTACCGTCAGTATGGAAGCGAAACGCGTGCCCATCTTGATGGGATCTTTGTTTATTTTCTTAGTCACTCTTTGACTTCAAACAGTAGGCCGATGCATTGGATATTATCAATACCGGTTTGGATCAAGGAACCGCGATCTGGTCATGCACTTTTTAATAATACCACTGTGAAACAATGAAGCTATCAGTGTGGCAAACCATGATGGGTCATTGTATCAGCATGAATAATGAATCATCAATCTTTCAATGCCCACAACTCATAGAAACAACAACAAGTTTCACATGACTTCCAAATCCTTAAGACTAAAAGTTTGCGGACAATGGAACATTCTTGGTTGCTGTACCAGTCAAATCCGGGACAAGATCATCGGAGTGGCCCATCAAAGCAGAAGCATAGCACGAATCGATCACGAATAAATCATATGGTATCCATGTCGTACACGGGACCATGGGTCTTGCCTTCTGTTTCGCAAAAGATCCTACCGTATGCTTTTATATGTATATACCAAAATAATGATGCTGATGTCGAACTTCCTATTAAAATTGCTGCTAACATTGCATGTATGTTCCTGCCTCGCCTAGTGAACCGAAATATTACAATGGCTTCAGATGATGATATTATCCATATGAATATCTTAGATAGTCGTTCGTACAAACTACCTGATACCAACCATTATTTGACAGATCCGGGACTAGTGAAGTGAATCCAAGTGCTTCTGCTCGTGACAATTCACGCGCTGCAGCATATTGACCCTTGGTAATCGACACTTCACACTCTTTTGACATAGCTAATGATGTAAGCTGAAAGACTGTTGCACAATAGTATGCTGCCGATTGATTCATTTCTTTGCCTGGATAGGACTGGTGCATGAAGGGACAGTTCGTCGTGAAACTTTCACTTGCGCCGATTTGGAGTACAAGAAACAAAACAGAGCTTCCTTTTCCACTGCCTCTTGATTCTAGACATATCAGCCACTTCATCCTTTCTTGCTGATCGATGATGGAATTAATCATTCAGAGAGTCTCAGAAGAAGTTCTTAGGTAAAGCCACCATTCCCTTCAGAAGACATTGTGACTTCTGACATCTTCTTCGGATTGGTATTCGTGATTGTTGTGCCCATGTTCGTTTGGAGGCTTCTTCTTGAATAGCTTCCACCATGAAATGGGGAATACTTTGGGAGCCACTTTATGACGACGTAGCATGAACGCCCACAAGGGTTGATCTCTCCAGGAATCCAATTCCAAGGAATATCTGCTCCACATGGAAGTCGTAATTTCTTGAAATATTTTCGACCGAGGATTGTAACCGATGCATTGGTTCAAGAATATGTTTGTCGTATCATTGAAATCTGGCTGAGCTTTCATCCAGTTGATCGACTTTTCAATATTCGCGGCGTAGTCCTTCTTGGCCATGGCAATGCCTTCGAACTCCTGCATCAGGCTCTTTCGTTTTCTTGGATGTCGGAATTGCATAAATCCAGGCTCATACGCTTCAATCATCTCTGCAAGCTCTACAAAGGTTGTCTCATTCGCTCTAGGTTCTAGCACTGGATCCATAAAATAGACGACCCGGCAATGGTTCCGAATCTTGTCGTACTTCCATGCCAGAAACTTGCCGTACCGTGAGTGTGTTATTCGTCGTCGAAATGTGAAATCCGTGATAATCTTTTCCCAGCCAGGAGTCTCCCATTCTTGATCCTTTAGATTGGTGAATATGAAAAATTTGAAATCCGGATACCGGTCGTGAACATCACTCAAGGGGTCCAATTGCGCAGCGGTATCAGAATATCCGCACGAAACAAAGCATATAGGCTGATCCTTTGGATCAATAGCAGCAGTGCTACCACTTTTCACCTTCCATTCAGATTGATTGAAGGCTGTTGGATCTGACGTGATTGCTGGTCGTCGTCCTCCTCGTTGGTCGTCATCCACCACTTGGATAAAGATTGTCAGTTTGTAGGCTGACCAACATACCACACCCATTATACACATAAAAAGCAATGCATTTGTATTTGTTCTCTTTGGTTTTATTTTGACCGGTACCATTGTGAGTAGTTGCACAGGTACTGGTACTGAGAGTCAGAGTATTTATAATAAAGGTATGTTTTGGAAGAATGCACGCTGCTGAAATTTAGGAAAAGCATTGGTTGATGATTTTACAAATCAATACAGTTGTTGTGACGAAGCACTAATGAAGTACACCTTTCAAAACTGTCTGTCATTATCCGGGTTATATTTGGCGAGCCAGCACGGTTCCTGTTGTCGCCCAAATCGCGTGACACATAGGGTTTGCTTCGCCAATTCTTTCAAAAATACCGTTTCCTGCGAATTTTATTGGTAATGTACGCGTATCACGTAGCCAAATGTACTGCCCCAAATTTAATTGACCGCAGTTCTGTATGTGTTGGAAACGCACGCCCGGATAAGAAGTGTTCCCTAATGATTCTACTGAAGTCCCTTATCAACATCAACCTTACTGCCTTCCCACGTCTCAACACGAAAGCAACAACTCGATTACACGGAGCCTCATCTATACACTCTTGTGATCAGTCGTTGTTTATCTTAGCTAAGAGGGGTTGTGATAAGAATATCTCGTAGGAACATTCTCTCTTACTTTGAAATTGTGAGCCAGAGAGGTCTTAGTCTTATTGTTCGCTTCCATATAGAAAGTCTTATAGAAGCACACAATCCACTTCCTCATTCCACGTTGACAAATAAGGACAAATCAACTGCAAGGTGAATCAGCAAAGATCAATAAAAGCTACGTAAAGGTTCTGCTGTTGGTATTTGTTCACTCCACGATTGAATGCGACATCTGAAGCAACAGGTGACCACTTCTTCTTCTGTGGCGGTTCCCTCGAAGAAAGTCAACTCGGCGATGGAATATTCGGAAGGGAATAGCAGTAGCGACGGGCAACAACCTCAGTATCATATACCTGGACATACTCAACAACCGGGAGGGGTTTATGCCCTTCCTCCAGAGTCGAGACAACCGAGACAACAGCCTCAGCATGCTCATCTGATATCACAACCCGTTTCGGCAGCACAACAACAACCTTGGGCGGTTCAGCAACATCCTGGGTATGTTGATCAAAGGCAATACGCTCCACAGATATATTCTCAGTCATCACATGATAGCGGTATGTCCATGTCCATGGTCGATCCTTCTCAGGTGGCTTATTTGACTCCTCAGCAACAACACCACGCACAGCAACCGTACATACATCCGAGCTATCATGTCAACCCCGCCGCCTATACCCAGCAGCAATACGCACAGCAGATGAGTTATCAACAGCAATTAGCTTTGCAATCGACTATGCAGTCGTCTTTGCTCATGGCCGGACACCCGCCACAGCAACCTCTTTTACACCATCCCATCAATCAAAGCCTCCCACCTCAAACGGTTCCGCAACAAGAACTACATCCATCTTTTTATCAGCAACCGCCGAAACTTGGAAGATTGCCAGCTGACAGGCCACTCATAAAGCTATCTGTTTCGTTGATTGACACTTATAAACGCATCAATACTGTATACTACGAAGAACGAGATACCAGGCGACCGACGCGAACCAAGGAAAAGACAAAGAAGGGTCAAGGAGTCAAGAACCATGGGTGGGACGACGACAACTACGATTACATTATCAATCCAGGCGAGTTGTTTTATAATCGATATCGAATACAAGAACGAATAGGAAAGGGTAGTTTTGGTCAAGTCGTTCGAGCAGAAGACATTGAAACGAAGCAGGATGTTGCCATCAAGATTATCAAATCCAAGAAACCATTCCAAATGCAAGCGAAAACAGAGATTGAACTGTTAACTCACTTGAACCAGAAGGATCCTGATGACGAAAACAATATAGGTGAGTACTTTGGCTTGTGGCAAATGCGTGCAGAGGGTTTTCGCAACTCGTTTGTGTTTTACTCATACAGTCTTCCTTATTATATTTGCGCAGTACGACTGATCGATCATTTCATGTACCGGGACCATCAATGTCTTGTATTCGAGATGCTATCGCTAAATCTTTACGAGCTATTGAAAAATACACAGTTTGCAGGCGTATCACTAAACCTAATACGCAAATTCGGAAAGCAAGTGTTGAAATCACTCATGTTCTTGGCCCGAGAGGACGTGGACGTGATACACTGTGATTTGAAACCGGAGAATATCCTTTTGCGTCATCCCAAGAAGAGTGGAATCAAGGTCATTGATTTTGGATCATCGTGTAGGTCAAACAAGAGGATGTATTCCTACATTCAAAGTCGGTTTTACCGATCGCCTGAGGTAATGTTGGGATTGCCGTACTCCACTGCTATCGATATGTGGAGTCTCGGTTGTATTCTAGCAGAAATGCACACAGGAGAGCCTCTATTCTCCGGTTCGGATCAATTTGACCAAATGCAAAAGATCGTCAAGGTACGTGTACCGCTGCACTTGATCAGCACGATCCATCAATCAAAATATGCAAGTCAGCTCACGTATTCTTTTTCTCATTTTAGATTCTTGGCATGTTACCTACCCACATGCTTGATAAGGCGAATGAGCAAAACAGGCACCAGTTCTTTGATCGTGTGAGAAATAGGCAGACAGGCAGGGAAGAATGGATTCTGAGGCAGGAAAAAGTGGTATCCAACGCTAGTGGCCAGCCACCTCCGCCACCGGGCCGAGATGACGCAGTGAAAAAGGAGCCGATAATTCCCAGTCAAGATCCTATTGCCTCATTGTCGCAGCTCATTCGAGCAGAAACTAATCGCAAGAAGAAGTATCCACCAAGCGAAACTGGGAATTCAACGCGGAATTATGATCTCTTTGTTGACTTGATTCAAAGAATGCTGACATTCGATCCGAAGGAGAGGATCACACCACAAATAGCCCTGCACCACCCGTTTATCGCTGCGGCAGACTGAGGCAAGCACAGTGACGGACCTCACGAGGATCCAGGTTGGATTGGACCCAATTCGGAGCCTCCGCATGTTCCAAAATTGACTCTTGTTGTCAAGGCAACTCCCACTGCGACTATGCCTATCAAACTGTCGATCATGCAACTGTGTGCTAAGCGAAAAAGTGTAAAATAATGAAAAGATCTAATGCTAGGACACAAAATGCTACACAAATGCTCCGCCTCCGAAAGAAGTAGTGAACTCATCATCAGGGCATTACGAGGTTTCGACTAAATCGACCAAATCTTCACGCACGTCCGCCAAGACTCATTCCAACAACACATTAGTATACTCCTGACACTATAATACAGTACTGTAGCATCAACGAATATGGATAAAATGCAGGTCTAGATAATGGTTCAGAATGTACTATGCTGCCCAGACATAAACAACCATCATGTACAAGTTTGCAACTGCAGTGGTTGCAATCATTACAACGATCCCAGGATAAAAGAAATTCAAAAACGAAATCTCATAACCCTTGTTGGTCGCAATACCAGCCGTAACAATATTTGCAGAGGCCCCAAGCAGAGTTCCATTACCCCCCAGACAAGCTCCGAAACTCAAAGCCTACAGTAAAGTGAAAATGGCATGATTAGGCGGAGGGTCCAAACAGAATTTCATACTCTTGTTGGCACACATCTATGGTGACTTACCCAGGCTAGAGTCTTAATCGGCAAAGTTTCTTGAAGCTCTTCACCCAAGATCTTAATGACTGGAATCATTGTAGCAGTGTACTGTTGGTTTGATAAAGCAAAAATGAATGAGCAAGTTGTGAGAAATCATATAAGCAAGGATTGCTGGAAAGCTTTCCTACTACTACTCACCGGGATATTATCAAGGAATGCGGATGTAATTGCGCTGACCCAGAGAATGAGCGTAATTGCTACTCCCAGCTGGTCCTCTTCTTCCTGTCCTTCGATTAGGTCTGCGAGAGCATTGCCAACCAAACGAAGCAAACCAAGAGCAGCGCACACTTCCACCAGGACAAATAGTCCTGCAAAGAAAAGCAGGGTGTCCCATTCGACATGATTGCGCAGCGCTTCTTGAACATCATGTGGATTTGTGAACGTCATAGTGATAAAGGCTCCAAGAAGTGCTACCCATGCTGTATCTTTGTGATGCACTGGATGTAGGAAGAAAATTAAGATCACAAAGAAGGAAACAGTGCCAGCAATAAGAAGTCTTGGCTCATCGTATACTTGATAGGTTCTGTAGAGCTTGTCCTTGTCGAGCTCCGGCATCTTATCGATATTCATATAGTGGCGATATAGATAAAGGACAAGCACGAGCGACACAGGGATGCAGAGCAAGAAAATACATGGCATGATGTGGATGATAAAGTCAACAAAACCCTACAATTTCAAAAGGATGCGGTCAGTACATTATTCGATCCAGTAGTGAAAACATTCGAGTCTTTGTGAATGTGATACTTACAATTTCCTCAAAGGAACTACCAATGATGATATTCGGAGGATCACCGATCAAAGTTGCAGTTCCACCAACGTTGCTCAGCAATACTTCACCAATCAAATATGGCCTTGGATCAACATTCAAAATGCTGCACATATCAATAGTGACAGGAGCAATTAATAGCATGGTAGTGACGTTATCGAGGAACGCACTGGCCACGGCAGTCAAAAGGCATAAAAGAGTCATCAATCGATTGTAGGATCCCTTGGATGCCACTAGAATGCGGACCGCTACCCATTCAAAGATTCCAGTATGAGATAGTTCACCGACGATCAACATCATTCCAAATAAAAGCCCGAGGGTGGACCATTCCATATGCAACATTACAGTGGTGATGCTTTCACTCTCTCCCTATAACAACAGTAAGAAAGAAACGTGTGTCAGATCCGGATCCGCAGTGGCCACAGTGTTGAATATTCAACTTACCTCATGGATGATAAAGAAAAAGAGAATTGCAATCAAAGAGCCATAGATGGCAACCAGTGTTCTGTGAATGACCTCCAGCAAGATGAATAGGTATACAAATACCATGATGAGTGCTGCAATCAGCTCACTGTGCTTTGCAAGAGAACTGAGTGGGGTGGCATGTAGTTTGTAAGTCAATACCACATCCGACTCCGTGTCACTGGTGGCATTCCAACTTGTCACATTGATAATGTGTTCTTCGTGAGGGTTCTCAAAGGTGACTTCCATCTTGCTTGTAAACTGAAGTGGGATTTCTGGTGACGGAGGCCCCACCATCTCGGTAACCTTGACTTGTCCTGACTCTTTGCCGACAATCTGAACAGCGACATGCATCTCCACATTCGGATTAGGATCCAATTCCAAAATCAGCTGAATGTATTGACCCTCTTCAAAAGTGTTCTTGCCACGAAAGTAATCGTGTGTTTCCAGGTGACCCGTACAAGGCGTGGAGCAAGCCAATCCGACAGGACCAAAGGTACTGAAGGCTTCGTCCAAATGCGTGCGCCAGCCAATAACGATTCCAGTAAAGGCAATCATGACACAGAGAAGGATTCCTGTCCATAGATAATCGCTTCTTGTGGCTCGAATGATTCCATCTTCTTTGATTTCTTCTTCTGCTTCTTCGTCTTCAGGAGTCTCATCGCCCTCGGGAATTCCTTCGTCACCAAACACCTTAGCACGAGCTTGGTCCAAGTCGGACTGCAAACGAAGCTGGGTTTCCCGAATATCGTGCAAGAGCTTTTCATTTTCCGTTTCTTGCATTTTGTCTTCGAATTGATCCGTGAGCATGTCCACCTGCACTTTCAGCTCACGGTTGTGGTCGCGTTGCAAGTCAAACATCTTTCGGAGATGTTCATCCGGAACTGCCGATTGTGCCGGCGCACCACCTCCACCATGGCCATGACCGCCGCCGCCCGAAGGTTTGACTTTGAGGGGCTTGGAGAAGCGAAGAGGGCGAAAGATTTGGACCTCCTCTTCTTCCACTACGTCTGTAGTAGCAGGTGCTTCGAGCCTTTCATTGTCTTCTTCGACAGTTTCAATCAATTTTTCTTCTTCTTCGTCAACATCCTCATCCACATGTCCAAAGAAGTCAGCCTGCTCCGCTCCGTAAAGATCCAGGGAAACTTGTTTTCGTTTCAAAATGTTGCCAATCCCAAGGGTTCGCTTTTGAAGGTCACCAAAGCTAAGTTCCTTCTTTCTTCTGGCTGGTGTGGGAGACCCGGCCGGAGATTGGTGGTTGGAAGATGCCGGTGGATCGAAAAAGGCATTGCCTGCGGCACCACCGATAGGAACCGAAACCACCTTCTTGCGACGCAAAATGGGGCCCATCATGTCTTCGTCCGGAGACCGGTACATGGTTTGCCGAATTCTCTGGACTGCCGCATGTTGGACACGAGGATCCAGTGAGGTCTGTTTGCGTCGTCGACGAACTCCTCCCTCAGGAAGCTCCGGAAGCTTTTCAGAGCCAAAGTTATCTTCTGCCATTGCTGCTGCTTCCAATCAATACTGTAATATCGATGATATTTATTCGGATTACCCGAATCTTTTGCAAAAACAGAATTCTTGTTTTTTGTGGTGGACAGAAATGTGGGAGAAGATGTTTCGAGAACTGGAACTTCCGCCAACACTGCACTACCGGTATGTTACTGAGGCTCTTCAGATTGCAATGCGAACCCGAAATCATGCATTCGTTCGGCTATTTTTCACCTGTTTTAACTGCACATGAGAACTTTTGATTGCGCCCTTCGTTACCGTTATTTATATTACGAGGATATATATTATTTTTAGGCGGGATAGATCGTGACTGTCCACGATAGCTGAGGACAATAATTGAGCGTGCGATAATGCGCATTATTGATTGATTCAAGATAGGTTGAGTCAATCAATAATGGCCATTATAATTGATTGCTCAACACGTCATTTACTTAATGGCTAAAACGGATGGATCATCATGGTTGCTATCTCCAGATTCAAATTTGGGGAAAACCCCACAAGCATTTTTCAAATTTCGCGTCTTATTGTTTTCCAACATGTTCAATGTCGTATCTATGCATGTAAAAATTGTAGTCGTTGCAGCAGACCTCCGCCTCACAAAGGAAAACTAACTCTTGATCGTAACAATCATGAGTCTAATGAGGTTATCGCTTGGCAAAATCAGGCCGTCAGTGTTCTAAGGTAGATACAAAAAGGAGAACACAAAAAAGCATAGTCCTACGATAAAAAATCGAAGAGTGTTGAGCAATAGTGTTGTAATACTGTTCATAGGTATCTTCGTTGCTCTCGTGAAATTATTTAGCTCCAAATGATGAAGTCTATGACAGACTTCATGTGCCATGTGGTTTTCCGTCCAAAGAAAATGGTTTGCGAAAGTGACGCTTCAACCATGAGGAATATTAGAACGGCATAATAGAAAGACATGTTGGCCCCTCTTACGTCTTGGACAAAGCATCTATTCTTGAGATAGCCATAGGCAGTATCTGTTCTCATGCGATGAATACTTACGAAGCAATAATCAACATTTTCAGAAAACAAGATCGTGCCCGATCAACAAGCGACAAGCCTGTCTTGGTCTCAAATTTGGCAAAGAAACGGTGAGAACTTGATGAATCTCGTCAACGCTTGGAAGAACGTAATAGCCAAACATAAGTGTGAAGGAAAAATGGATACTCACTTCACCTTTTTCAAAGCACACGACAAAGACAAGGTCATCGTCGAGGATAAGGTGAAGAAAAATTGGAGTGCAACATGCTCAAGATTATTGGCATTTCCAACAATTAGGTAAATATATATATGACGCGAATTGTTTGTACACGTCGCACAAAGATCTCTTTTATTTATAGGCCCTAGACTTTTTCACGGTGAAACTATTTCTTGATCTCGCGGTGAAACATTTTTGTCTGGGGTTTCGTGATTTCATACAAATTGCACAAGACAACCAGCATCCTTTGCCTTCCAAGTCTATCAACGGCCAGGACGAATCGGCAATCAACCATCTAGTCACAAGCACACAAGGGAATGTACGATGTATCGATTATGACTGATTTGGTCATTAGGATTGTGATCGTTTTCCAATCCCTGGAGGGACAGCTGAAGAATGGGTGAGAAGAAGTTTGGATCAAAGTGGAGGAGCAAGAACTCGACGTAATGTTTTCAAGCCAGAGCAGCGTATACAGCACGGTGCAGAAGGAGATCGATGGAAGGAATGTTCTGGGCAATGTCTGTCGTGAGTGGGACGAGGCCTATATCAACGATTGTGGAAACATCAACGACTATGGAAAGCACCGTCTTCAAGTCAAGGGTTTCATCCCAATAATGCAAATCGCGGAAGGAGATCCAATTGAACGGCAAAAATGGTTACATGCCCTATTAGCACATATTTTTATCTATTAAAATCTACGTTTTCAGCCAATTTCATTATCGATATGGTAGCCGAATCTGCACTCTTGTGCCATTGTCGTTTGTTTTCGTGAAAGTCTTTGTTTCAAAAGGACGAGTGCATTTTCGCAATCCCCTTTTTATTTATTTGGAATGCCCCTCCTTGTCTATCTGCTCTTTACATGCGTAAGTACTGGTCCCTACCAGGATGTGCCGTTATTGATGGCTCAACATGACGGATACAGTAGATGTAGACAGATTGCGCACAAGCAGCGCCGTAGGCGCCGTGGAAATGTACGGACCCCCAGACATTCCTGGATATACACGAGACTTATATATCTTCTCGAAGACGTGACCTACAATATCGTGTGGATATACACCATTACGCCGGTACGGTACGTTGGATTGCGGTCCCGAAATTGACTCCAACCAATCCAGCTGCGACTACCGGCCGGTACATGCCCATCAATGTCACCTTTTGGAATGTATTGTAAGGATGAGGCACCGCTGATGATGCTAATTTGTGCCAAGCGCAACACAAGCGCAAATAGCACACAACATTCTATTATCGAGTAATGCAAATGCTTTTGGTCTGTTGAATGTGCGCAAGAACATGAACTAGGTCTTGAATTTGATCAAATACTCTAAGAGTTGGAATCAAGAAAAGTGAACAGTGAGAATTGGCGGCCAATTTGTTGCGACACCGATAATGTCAGGAACAATAGTTGCTTACCAGGATAGGCTTGCGAATCATGATAGGTAACATAGATAGAGGGATTGGCCATGGAATCGCCACTCAAAAGGCCAATGGTAGAATCGTACAACGTATGGGTCTTGGCATCACGAAGGTCTGGAGTCAATGCATTCGAAACTCCAGGACAGTACTCTCCAACTGCGACTCGACAAGCCATTACATACTGGTATCCTTTGGGATCTTTGACCGCATAGGTTGGACTGGCCGAATAAGATGTATCAGGTGCGAAATAAACTCCCTTGCCGTACACTGTCGCATTCTTCCCGCAGAAACTACGATTGAATCCTTGCTGAAGAATCTTACCCATCACTTCCACGTTGGTACCATGCCACAGCCAGCATCGTTCCAGCCGTTTGCGTTGGAGACTGGTATCGGCAGCGGGATCGTCACCAAGTTCCCGAGACAGGATCGTTTGGCGCTTGACCACAAAACTCTGCCACATGGCCAGATTCTCGATTCGCTGAATGCTGGAAATCTTGGCGCTGCGGCCGAGGGAGGACTTGAAAGCCCTTTCTATTTTCTGGTACTCTGAATCTTCTTTCTTTAGCTCTTGAACTTGGACCACGGAAGGATCGGCAACGTCGTTCCAGTGAGATGGAGCATTCAGAGCATCAGTGTCACCCACATTCCGCTTTAAAGCCTGAAGATCCTCTGTAGTTGGAACACGAGTGGCCACCATTTGGAACCAGCCCGTGTCAGCAAAAATGTTTGCATCATCTTCATCACTGCTGACGGTAGCAGTGTCACTTGTCATTCCAGATACGATAGACCTAGCAACATTTTCGTCATGATGGTACAACTTAGTTCCAAAAGCCCAATCAGTATCCTTCTTCTGCTTTGAAATCTGGATCACATCTCCGGGGACCAGCACCATTTGCGGCTCATTCTTGATATCGTCCGGTAGCTCTTCGCCAAACTTGACATTATCGGTTGCGATATCATATAGTTCGGAAGCGGGGAGGAAGGCAAGTGGATCATTCGATCCACCCGTTGAAGAATTTGAAGTATCTACCAAACGTTGTACCTCGCGAGTAAATCCAGTTTGTTGTTTTGTCTGTGTCATTGAGCTGAAATCCACCAAATAGCCAGACAGTGGCGATACGCTGCCTTTCCAACCTTGTTGTTGAAAGGCAGCTTCAAGAACTGCGTTGGCTTCATCCGAATACTTGATCCAGCAGTCCTTTACATCACCGACGACTTGATCTGGATGGTGCCGATCCATGGCAAAGCTAGTTTCCTTCCAGCACCACTGGACAGTGATAGACTTGGTGTCACGTTTGATTCCTTCTTTTGGCCGATCGCCAATCGACGGGAGATACACCGCGTTGGCAGTTCTCATACCAACAACAGAATCTCGAAAGGTTTCCAGCTCTTGCTTGATCATTCGCTTTGATCTACGACTCCTCCAATACTTGACCGCGACGGCAATGAGAAGGATAATCACAACAACTAGCACGGCAATGATCCATACCGGAAGTTTCGGAGGAGGGACGGGATAGGAATCCGATGGGACAGTAGTCAGCGAGCAACCAAGGGTTGCCCAGCACATTCGAGACAAATCAGCAGTTGCTGCTCCTTCCACGGTCCCAGATTCTCCTACATTTAACCACTCAAGGTTCCCTCTCTCGTTTCGACGTAGGTGGAGGATCGAGTACAAGGGGTCTTTTCGATCACCCACCTTGGTGAATTGGACACGGCCCGAAGCGCCCTCCATGTCGGTTGCCAAGAGTCGCTGGCGGATTTCATCGCCATTACGACGGTCGCTCAAAGGAACTTGATAAATCGCTCGCACAAGAGACGTGACAGCATCGATCATTTCGGCTGCAAAGGATGGCATCTGTTCGAGGGATCCGGCTCCATTAAACCTTGCCCAATTGTTGAATTCATTCAGATATCCTTCTGCATTCGGATGTTGAATTGGACCGACTCCTATATATCCCGGTTGGTCTCGTTTTACAAAAGAGTCTAACTTGACATCGCGTGGTCCCGCCCAAGAGGATGTGCCGACCCAAACTGTATCTGGCTGAAAGCCAGTCTCTTCGGCACGTTTCAAAAGGGGATAGGCATGTTGGTTTTGAGCAACCAGAAGTATGATTCTGGAGTTATTGGCTGGGTCGTCGGTTGGCACCCCTCGCAGTGCAGTATCCAAGGAATCAATATCCAGTGTTCCATCGGCACCCAATCGAATCACATTGGAATATGTGACCTCGCCACTAATGTCGTTTCCTTCCCAAAGCCTTCGAAACTCGCTGACATAATCCTTGGCATAGATCGTATCTGTAGACAAAATAGAGACACGCTTCCAACCAAACCACTTGAGAGTCTCCACTACAGCCCCGACTTCGCCTCGACTGTCATCTGGAGCGACTAGGCGAGTAAAGTAGGGAAATTCTTCCGCATCACTCAGAATAGAAGAAGTCGCACTGGGAGACACCATGTTCACCTTCTCTAGACCTGCAATTCGTGCCAAAGACACGGACGCACCAGAGCATCGAGCTCCAACAATCCCATGTACGGGAACATCGAAATTTTCGGTGCGTAGCTTCCAGTAGGCTCGTACGGCTGTGGTTTCGTCACATGCAGCGTCCACTACGGTGCTGTTCAAGTTTTGGTAAGCAGCGTTCTGGTTCTTGATCCTGGTGACCGCAAAATTGAAGATGTCTTCTCCCCAGGAGAACGACGAAGTATCAAAGATACCCGCAATCGATACAGCCGTAGACATTGTGTTTCTGGAACAATGCGGGTTTCCAAGTTCTATTTCTGTGATGTCGTGTTTGTGAGACGATGAATCAAATAGTATTTTCTGAATCAATCTACAGTACTGGCAGTCTACTTTTTGTTTTCTGGACCTCTCGGAGACGTCTTGGAAGGCCACGGTGGATGCGGCTGTAGCTGTGCGGGACACGGAGTCAAGAAGAATACGAGGTGCACCTTATTCGCCTGTAATGAAATAAGATTTCTCCTTTCAAATCCTGACGGCAGGTGTCATCTTCCTGTTTGAAACCAGTACGCAGCCAAAAGCTTGGTTCCGAAGGGAACCAACACAGGGGCGTTTCTGACAAACATACAACCGATTAGCTCGACTAGATGAAAGCGTACATGATTTTTTTCAAACTATGATACAGTGAATCTACCATAGATAGCCACGCAGCGTGTTCTATATTTTACTTAATTAAATGTATTATATTCTGGATTGATCATATCTTCAGCTGTAAGCCGCCGTCTAGTTCTTCATTGTCAAGAAATCCAGGTCTTCAGGGTTCTTGAGCTTCCAAGTTCGGCGACGAGACGACGGCGTGCCATCCTCGCCACTGACAGGAGTGCTGCCAAGCCAATCTTGGTTTCGGAGGCTGCGGTCCACACAACCTGGACTTTTCTCCTGAAGTGTCTTCATATTATGCTCGCCATGATATTTGCTCGATCGCTTTGTTCTAGAGCGGATGGGAGACAATCTTGGACTCGTCTCCGTCATCATCATTTGTGCTAGGAGGTCACTAGAACCACTAGTGGTGATGCTGCGAGTGGAGGATGAAATCCACGAGGCACCGTCGTCATAGTGTTCGGAATGCGTACTCTCATCAACAGCACTGTATCTTTTGTTGAAGTCTCGGACCTTGCGGTAGTGAGCAAGTGCTTCTTTGTTGTTGCTGGGAACTTGGGACATTTTGTTCTTAGTAGTAGTACTTGCTGGTTTTGGTTTGGAAGTTGTTGCTGCTTCTAATTTGTTTGCGTTGGGATTTTGTGAGAAGAGATTTCTTTCATCTCATGATGAGGAGATGATGTGTGTGATTGAATGGATCAATCATGGTAGGTGATTTGATTTGACGAAATGTGAACCGGTTGAGCGTCAAGTTGATAACGTCGTCAGTGTAAACTGTGAATCATTACATCCTATCGCGGTAGCCCCTAAGTAAACAAATACTGCGTGGACGGTGGAAAGACGATTCGGTGCCTTTTTCACATACTGTATGATATATACGGTATGAATGGGACTCAAATGAGCGAACAAATATTCAATATACTCAATTTTACCAAAAAATCTGTGTGGTCTTGTCACAAGACTCTTGTGTGTCCATCAAGCCTGCATGCCGAAAAATTCAACCCATCCAAATCTTTTCAGCAACCTCTCACAATTCGCAAAAACAGATTTCCTGTACAATCCATACTTTACAAAATCAAAATGGAAATTTCAAACCTTTCTTTGAGCGAACAAGAGAATGGGCTTGCATGCATTTGGATCTACTGCATGGGAGACGACGAAGAAGATGTGGCCATGTGGGACGAAGCATCTATATCCTCGCCATCCTTCACGACAGAAGACGAGGAATGCAGCTCCCCAGCTCGAAGGTCCGCCTCCATCTACAACGAACAGCAAGTCGAAACTCATGTCAAGTCCTCTGTCTCTGCTGCCATGGAGCGAGCTCGCCAAAGGCACTCCCTTAATCTGGAACGAAAAGGCAGCCCTCGAAGCAGTCCACGAAGCAGCCCACAAAGCTTGAAGGACCGCAAAAGAGTGAGGCTATCCATGGTCACAGCATTGTCAAAACCGAACTTGGATCTATAAAAACTCACACCAACACGGTCGTGATCATGATGGGGAGTCCTTTGGTTTCACAACGACATATTGATGTAAATACCGATGTGGAACAAGAAGACAAACCACCAGTATGAATCGGCAACAGATGCCGAAACTACATACCGGAATGATTTATTCACGAATACAGCACAGTCAAATGACAGTGCGTAGATAACGAAATAAATATATGCATTGGTTAAAAGAATTGCTTTTCAATGTATACACTTTGGACTTCAACAAATTCGTTGGATCATTCATTCAGCCTACCGGGGTACCGGTATGATGATCGTTGCAACAAGAGTATAGGTTGCAACAGGATTAATTCATGAATCTGGTCCCATGGCATGCAGTTTTAGTTTGCCGGGTACGTACCGGTACATGAAGTTCGTCGTTTTTCTGGTGTGAGCGCGACTATTTACACAAGTAAAAGATCCTTTAATTCGCAAATTGCGTCTATGAGGACTTCTTGTCGGACATTCGCCAAACGATAATCCCTCTAAATCCAATTCTAGCAATGAAAGCGCATCTAATGTCATTTCTCCGCAAACAGATGATTGACGTTGCGGCCTTACGGGCCCATGCGTGAAAAGGACATGTGAAATACACAAGACTACACACTAAACATCTATTACAACGTTCGAATCTTTGATCTGTCGAACTCACAATTTCCACATCCAAAAAGGAAACAGATCATCAATTGAGATCATCTCAAAGCACTTTTCTCAATAACCCAAGGAAACACAAACATGAGTTGGAGTGCATTCAATCAATACATCAGTGAAGAAGAAAAAGGATTAAAATGCGTTTGGACCTACAACAGTGGAGACCTATCTGAGTCTGAGGCCGCTGAAGAGGCTGAGGAGGAAGAACTGTGGAACTCTTCTAGATCCTCATTTGCAGAAGAAAGAAGAGAACAAGAGGAAATAAAGAATAGACCGGTAGAAAGCGAGAAGCGTGTTATCCCCAAACGAGGACTCGCCTCTTTCTACAGCGAACGCGATGTTGAGATTGCTGTCAACTCTGCCGTCTCATCAGCTCTTCAACGTGCTCGTCAAAGACATTCAGATGGTCAACAAGCAGAAAGCCCAGGAACCCGCCGTCGTTTTGTCAGGTCGAGCGTACCGTCCTTACCACAGCGTCATTTTGACATTCCCTCATCCTCATCCTCATCCAACGCAAGGACGCTCAATCAGGACTCGTGCTGAGGATAAGAAGGAGGAATTTGTTGAAGGCACAAGTTCTGATTGCTACAATACTGCATGTGATGGGAATAGTGGCAACATGTCTGTCCTCTGACGATCGGACGCCCAATCTTTCATACAGATAAAAAAAGCAACCATAGTAGGTGGCTGGCAACTTCCATCGATAATTTTGTTAGGTACATTTGTTTACATTTGGTTGGATTTAAGCTTTACTACACAAACAAGTTTTAGGCTTGTCGAGGTAAGAGCCTCTCTTCTCTGATGGCTCAAGCTGGAAATCTTGCCTGCACTCCTTGCTCCGTGAAGGGTTTTGATGACGTGGCAGGCGAAAGGACTGCTTTAGTGCTGTTTGGCACCTCACAATAAACCTTTGACAAGAACATCGTCACGAAGAATTTATTCGTATCATCATCATCATCATAAATTCGATTCTGCTCAAAACATTTCTCAACACTCCAACAAAATATTACCATGACTGAGCCTGCTGTTATCACTATCGACCAATCCGCTGTGAAACGAGCCCGTCAAAGACGCTCGGATGCTCAACAAGAAAGAGAAAGCCCAGTGACCCAACGATCTTTTGTCAGGTCGAATGCGCTTTCCTTGTCACAGCGCCACTTGGACATTGACTCCTCGTCCGACCAGGATGTCAGTACAAAGCATCCGAATCGGGACTGAGGATACGAAGGGATGATTAGGTTGAAAGCATTCGAAAATGATGCTCCTTCTTCCCTCCTCTACTGATAACCGCAGCAGACATGAGAGCAACCATGGCTTGTGGTCACCTTCTTTGATTCTAGAATAATAGAGCTAACGAAAAGTAGCCTATACATACTGTCAAGAACTCGATGGCTTTGGAACTACTTCTATAGCTAGCACTCACTATTAAGAGGAGAGGCCAACAAATAGAGGAGTGGAGAATTTGCTGATCGGAAGCAAGGCAACAGTCGTGTTTACACCAAGGCTCGTGCTTCTGGGCTTGGAATAAGCTTGATTGAACCAATCAGATTTCCAATAGACTACGCTCGGAAAAGGTTCTAGCCCAATGAATAATGGAATAACGAAGATTGATGACGACAAGCTACATTTTGTTCAGGTATCAACTTATCGGCTCTGACACTTGAAGACTACCCGGAACTGTTTGTTATTTTTTTTCCCTTCGAAATATTTTTATGTATTTTTAGATCCACAGAGCCTACAGACGAGTATGGTGCATAAGAGCATGAAAATGGATGACCAGAGGGAAAATTTTTGGTTTGGATTCCGACCCCTTTGACTTTGAAAAAACCAGCTGCTTGAACTGTGATTTCAAACGTGTTTCGTTCCGAGTTCTCTGCTCGTGAACATCCGGTATTGCCTACGAAATCTACACAACATTCGGAACAGCTATATTGGTCGACTGATTCAAACACCTAGTCAAAACCCCGTGGGATTCACTGCGACACGACATGATAAGTAACATCGAGCAAGTTCATCAATTCCAAATCACTCGGATGCTGCACTATCTCCCGAAATCACAATCCTTCAAACATCAGGTTTCCTCATAATTTTCCACAATCGCAAGTTGCAAACCAACAACACAAAATTATCATGACTTTCATGCGATCTACTACACTTGCTCTCTGGCTTGCAACCATCACTTCTGCTGCCGCTATCAGCACACCCATTCGAGATTTATCTCAAGAAACGATCACCGAATCCCAATGCGACTGGCCAAACTTCCAAGAAGATGATGATCTCAATGGTGCCATGGTTCTCTACAAAGGTCACAAGCTTGCCGAGTGGAGAAACCCAAACGGGCAGAACAATGACTGGTTTGGCCAAAACTACGTCGACGGAACAACCCAACATGCTCAGTATTCTGTCACCAAAACATGGGTCTCGGTATTGGTTGGTATGTTGTACCGTGACGGTTTCATGGACTGGGAAACTGAACACCCCGACAAGATCACTCTTGGTGAGATCTTTCCGGATAAGGTCTGGGAAGATATCTGGGACGTTCCATTCTTAATCAGTGGTAAGTGGCACTATCTACGAAAACTCCATCTTTATTGATTCGTTCGGCAACAGTGTCTAACAAACATTGTTTGCTCCCTTTTTCATCTCAGGAGGATCAAAGGTTCCCGAGCTCAAGGCCATCACTCTTGGACAGCTCATGTCCATGAGGACCGGATACGCTGAAAACGGAATCAGCTCTCCCTTCGATAGTACCTTGGTCCGCGACTTGGATCGCCTCGTCGCTTGGTGGCACCCATTCTACCGCACCGGAAAGATCGAGTCCCAAACATGCTTCGAATGTGGTGACTACTTGTCGTCTTCTGGTATTGTCAATTACATCATCAAGGAGAAGACCAAGACCGATGCCAACCCAAGAGGATGGGACCCCCTTGACTATGCCCGTCAAACCTCCGAATCATTGCCAGATGGCAACGTCGGACTCTTCGAGGCCCTTGGTATGGAAGAAGGATCCTACACCTGGGATCGTGATCGTGATGACGTAGCTCGCGGTGCATTCGGTCTTTGGGCTGATCTCGAGGACATGGCCAAGTTCGGTCAGCTATTGTTGCAAGGAGGAACCGTCATGTTCGATGGCGTCGTCCGCGAGATCATTCCATCCTACTACTTCGAAGAGATGACCAAGACCCAATCTCGAATGATCGGTATGGACCTTCCCTATGGCTGGCAAGTGTGGAACTGGGGCGAAGATGACGATGGTGATAGCGGCTTCTGTGCTGAAGGTCTCGGATGGCAATCCATCTGTGTATTCCCCAAGCACGATACTGTTGTCGCCATCCAGGCTCCAGTGTCATTTGGCGTAGAAACCTTTGCTGCGAATCTCGAATTCCGCAATGATGCCATCAAGGCTATTCGTGATGGAATTGTGTGTGGGCCAACAGCTGCACCAAATACACCAGGAGGATCGTCCCCAACAAGCCCTCCTGTGTCATCGACCACTGCGCCTTCCGCTGGAGACAACTTGGTTGGGGACACAATCGAAGACCCAATTGACGGAAGCGGCTCTAACAACGGGGAAGATCCCAACAATGTAAATGAAGATCTTGGTGGCACTAACGAAGACATTGAGGACACTGATCGCGAAAACGAGTCCGAGCAAGTCTTGATTGGATCCGCCAACGGCGAGGATGATGCTGATGCTCCAGTCGGTATGATCATCGGTCTGGCCCTTTTGGCTGCTCTCATGTGTGTTCTATGTGCTTTGTTCTTCTGCTCCAAGCGCAGCAAGAAAGACCAAGGCGCCCCAAGATCTGTGGATTGCAAAGTTGTTCCCGCTGGATCCCAAGATGATGAGCTGAACAAAATGTATGAAGCCAAGCTGAATGCCGATGACCTCAGCGTTGACACCGATGACGAAAGCGGTGAAATCGCTTATGCTGTTGCCGATATTGAGCAACGATCATACTAAACTCTCATTGAAGAGCAGGAACCCGAGTTAGACTGGTATATTGTAATGACAAAATAGTTGTACATCATATTTCGAATACCTTTCAGTACCCTTGACAGTTCTCGCCACCGCATCCTTCCATAACCGCAACCACAACCATCTAGCTTTTATTCATATTCTTTGAAATATTTTTTTGTGTTGTAGACTGTATCTTGAACAGAGGTGTACGTGTCATGCAAAAGACCTCAAGTTTGAATTGCGTGCAGCAAGGACTTGACGGAACGATAGATTTTCACTTTGCATGTCGTGTTGGCTCATGGTATCATCATTGTACTGACAGACCAGTTCACTTCGTCTTCGAAGATTACCCTAGCAGCGATATCTTAGTAGGCAAAGCGGTCTTCTAAGCATCCACTTCACATCAACAATAATATAACCGGATGGTTTGGCGCGCAATCTACAGTATATTAAAATAGTAATGTGCATAATAAAAAAGGTTCGTATACCGCGATATACCGGTATATTATTATTATGCCCTACCGGTATACCGCCGGTGACATATTTTAATATAAAACATACTGTAAAAAATATGAGCGCGCACAGTCGAATGAGTCAGTCAGTCATTGTTGTTGTGTTATTTAGGAGAAGGAATTTGGGGAGGGGAATTATAAAAAAGGATACAAATAAATGTATGTACCGGCAGTATTAGTCCTACCACGGTATATATCACAGCACATCAATATCATAAGCGCCCATAATAGGAAACAGGTATCGGATCGTTTTAAAAGCATGCTGAGATGCTCAGTGCCTTGCCGATGACTGCTGTTTGTTCTATTTGCCTAGGGTATATCAAGTCATGGTACTTCTGGTATGTGATTTTTTGGTCAATGATCAGTCAACGTTGATCATAGTAAAAGAATCTCAAACCATTAAAAACGACTCGCACTGAGGCTCTGCTAGCAGAAAATTAATCAGGATCCCAGCTATATGATGACGAACAAAGGTTTCGCTAATCTATAACATGACCCGGTTTCAAGGAAGAAAGTTGTCGTTTCGGAATGAATTTTGATTGCTTCCAGTGTCAACTATACAAAGAGGAATCAACTATACATTAGCAGGAGAACAACTGAACCCGTCTGCACCATACAAACCGGTTTGAATATGAAGGCATCTGTGTAGTATAGGGTTGGATATTACTGAAGAGTTTAGTGAGATGTGAACAAACCGAAGATATTCAGGCAGAACAAGCAGCCCAGATAAATTCGACAAGTCATGGGATCATCAAGCACGCGACGTCGTATTATTCTTATATATATAACTATGAAGTACAGTCTTACTACAAGGCTGCATATGTTATGGAAGGATTACTGGCCAAACAAGAGTCGATCGGAAGAATTTCCTATCCCAATTATGGCAGTTGCTTGCCCTATGGATTGCAGCAAAGGTTACGAGATTTCAACTCACAATGAATCTGATAATGACAATCCAGAACATCCAAGGAACACGATCCTGAAAACCTGGCCTTTGGTTCTGCAAAACGGTCCCTCATCGCATAGTCTATGTACGTGGTGCCACCATAATGACAACCAACTTACCTACTACTCCACCAGTATTCACAAGCTCGGAACCCCAACCCTGTTTCACGGAGACCTGCCAATCCTGGATTAAATTTCGAAGTCGGTGGGACTTCTTGCGAGATTTGGGCATAAGTGGGCCGGCGCGATGCAATAAGTCGCAATATTCCGAAACAAGTCGTGGTCACAAAAACCAAGTTTCTCTTCTTTGTCAAAAATCAACAAACCGATCACAAAATTCAAAAAGCAATCATCATGACTCTGATGCGTTCCACTACACTTGCTCTATGGCTGGCTGGCATTGCCTCAGTAGTAGCCATCAATACTCCAATCAGAGACTTGTCTATAGATCCTGTCGAAGATTCCCATTGTAATTGGCCTACCTTCCAAGAAGACGATGATCTCGATGGTGTCATGGTTCTATACCGAGGCAACAAGCTTGCCGAGTGGAGAAACCCCAACAGCGAAAGCACCGATTGGCTTCAATTGAACTATGTTGAAGGGACCACACAACATGCTCAGTTCTCAGTGACAAAGACTTGGATTTCAGTGTTGATCGGAATGTTGTACCGTGATGGATTCTTGGAGTGGGAAACTGAGCATCCTGATAAGCTTACTTTGGGAGACATCTTTCCTGAAAAGATCTGGGATGATATCTGGGACATTCCATTCTTCTTTAGTGGTAGGTTACGATTGTTGGAATGGCATTGTGTGCTTTGCATCAGTACCTTTGTCTGACACTTGTTTGCAACATTTTACAGGAGGATCTAAAGTTCCCGAGCTCAAAGCTATCAAATTGGGCGAGATTATGTCCATGAGAACAGGATACGCAGAAAACGGAATCAGTTCTCCCTTCGATAGCACATTGGTCCGCGATCTGGATCGTCTCGTTGCTTGGTGGCACCCTCTTTACCGCAGCGGAGTGATTGATTCCCAAACATGCTTCAACTGCGGGAGCTATCTAGCAACTGCTGGCATTGTAAATTATGTTATCAAGGAGAAGACAAAGACTGATACAAATCCTACCGGGTGGGATCCATTAGCTTATGCCCGTCAGACATCCGCTACCCTACCAGGTGGAAATCTTGGCCTCTTTGAAGCTCTTGGTATGGAAGAAGGTTCCTACACGTGGGATCGTGACGAAGAAGGGGTCGCTCGAGGTGCATTTGGTCTTTGGGCAGACCTTGAAGACATGGCCAAGTTTGGACAGCTTTTGCTGCAAGGCGGAACCGTCATGTTCGACGGAGTAGCTCGCGAGGTTGTTCCCTCATACTACTTTGAAGAAATGACCAAGACCCAATCTCGAATTGTCGGTGTTGATTTACCATACGGATGGCAAGTATGGAACTGGGGTGCAGACGATAATGGTGACAGCGGGTTCTGCGCAGAAGGTCTCGGCTGGCAGTCCATTTGCGTATTCCCAAATCAAGAGACTGTGGTGGCCATTCAAGCTCCAGTGTCGTTTGGTGTCGAGACTTTTGCAGCTAATATTGGAATCCGCAATGATGCCATCAAAGCAATCCGTGATGGTATTGAATGCAGCCCAACAGCGGCACCAAGCTCGCCATCTCTTCCTATCACCACTTTGCCGCCTCCCACAGGAGACAACATGGTTGGTAACAGACCCAGAGATCCTATCGATGGAGGGAATTTCATTGGCGAGAATGACAATGAAGATGTCAATAACGGGTTTACCGAGGACATCAACCGTAGCGACGAGTCGGAGATCGTCGTTGGCGCATCAAACGAGAATGACGATGACACGCCAGTTGGTTTGATCATCCTTTTTGTGTTGCTTTCTGTCATGGTTTGCATCATGATGACTTTATTTTTTCGATCGAAGCGCAATAATGCGACAAAGGATGCCCCAAGAAGGTCGACAGAAGCCATGTTCAAAGTTGCACCACACGGATACGATGATGATTTGAACAAAGTGTATGATGTCTCTCTTGATGATGAAGACAGCGTCGATACTGAGGAAAGCGATGTAGACGTAGTGACATTCATTGTTGCTGAAGATATCGAAGGGCGATTGGCAGCTCCCTAGGATCCTTCACCACGAAGGGGTAAGGGGTAGCAGAAGGGATGTAACAAGCTATAACATTTTTCATATCTTTCTTTTTCATTTTTTAAAAATGTATTCGATATTATTATATTGGAAAGATTTTAGATTTTTTTAAAAAAGATATTGCCGTGTGACCTAAAACTCGGAAGCAATGTGTCGTAGAATAAAATATAACATTTCCTCTGCTGAAAACAGCCAATATATAAAACAGTGGGACTGCGGGGGTGAAATATCCGAATACTGTCTCATGTGAAAAAAGTCACTAAGTAAAATATCGCAGTCGTGAAACGAAACAGTCACTTCCGTGCCAGTTTATTTGTCAACATCATGTAAAACCTTCAAACTCTCACATCCATAGATCTCCAGACGGCGATTATTATTGCAATAGAAACGCACCAACCATGAATTTCAAGAGATATACTACACTTGCTCTCTGGCTAGCAACCATCACTTCTGCTGCCGCTATCAGCACGCCCATTCGAGATTTATCTCAAGAAACGATCACCGAATCCCAATGCGACTGGCCAAACTTCCAAGAAGATGATGATCTCAATGGTGCCATGGTTCTCTACAAAGGTCACAAGCTTGCCGAGTGGAGAAACCCAAACGGGCAGAACAATGACTGGTTTGGCCAAAACTACGTCGACGGAACAACCCAACATGCTCAGTATTCTGTCACCAAAACATGGGTCTCGGTATTGGTTGGTATGTTGTACCGTGACGGTTTCATGGACTGGGAAACTGAACACCCCGACAAGATCACTCTTGGTGAGATCTTTCCGGATAAGGTCTGGGAAGATATCTGGGACGTTCCATTCTTAATCAGTGGTAAGTGGCACTATCTACGAAAACTCCATCTTTATTGATTCGTTCGGCAACAGTGTCTAACAAACATTGTTTGCTCCCTTTTTCATCTCAGGAGGATCAAAGGTTCCCGAGCTCAAGGCCATCACTCTTGGACAGCTCATGTCCATGAGGACCGGATACGCTGAAAACGGAATCAGCTCTCCCTTCGATAGTACCTTGGTCCGCGACTTGGATCGCCTCGTCGCTTGGTGGCACCCATTCTACCGCACCGGAAAGATCGAGTCCCAAACATGCTTCGAATGTGGTGACTACTTGTCGTCTTCTGGTATTGTCAATTACATCATCAAGGAGAAGACCAAGACCGATGCCAACCCAAGAGGATGGGACCCCCTTGACTATGCCCGTCAAACCTCCGAATCATTGCCAGATGGCAACGTCGGACTCTTCGAGGCCCTTGGTATGGAAGAAGGATCCTACACCTGGGATCGTGATCGTGATGACGTAGCTCGCGGTGCATTCGGTCTTTGGGCTGATCTCGAGGACATGGCCAAGTTCGGTCAGCTATTGTTGCAAGGAGGAACCGTCATGTTCGATGGCGTCGTCCGCGAGATCATTCCATCCTACTACTTCGAAGAGATGACCAAGACCCAATCTCGAATGATCGGTATGGACCTTCCCTATGGCTGGCAAGTGTGGAACTGGGGCGAAGATGACGATGGTGATAGCGGCTTCTGTGCTGAAGGTCTCGGATGGCAATCCATCTGTGTATTCCCCAAGCACGATACTGTTGTCGCCATCCAGGCTCCAGTGTCATTTGGCGTAGAAACCTTTGCTGCGAATCTCGAATTCCGCAATGATGCCATCAAGGCTATTCGTGATGGAATTGTGTGTGGGCCAACAGCTGCACCAAATACACCAGGAGGATCGTCCCCAACAAGCCCTCCTGTGTCATCGACCACTGCGCCTTCCGCTGGAGACAACTTGGTTGGGGACACAATCGAGGACCGGACCCAAAATCACATCGATGGTGATGACTTTAACAACGGGGGGGGTTCCCAGGCTGAAGACATCAATAATGAGAACGGGTCCAATTTGCATTTCGGAAAAGTTATGAAAAACACTGGGGTACCAATTGGCCTTCTCGTGTCGCTGGTTCTCGCATCAATTACTCTATGCTTGTTGCTTGCACTCTTCTGCTATGCCAAGCGAAGCGGAAAAACGACCCAACTGCCAAGAACGATGGAAGCAATGTGCAAAATAGCTCCAGTGGTACCAGTAGGATACGATGACGAGTTTAACAAGGTGTATGATGTAGCTTTGGATGACGAAGAAAGTGTCGAAACCGAAGAGAGTGATGGGATTATATACTTCGTCGAAGAAGATATTGAGCAAAAGTCGACATCTCATTGATTTTGTTTAGCTGTAGGGGAAGGGGGCCAAGGCCGTGTCATTTAATAAAAACGTAGACCATTTTTGTATTTTACATTTTGATTGTATAGCTATTGTATCTTTGGTCGTCCACGCAGCCTTCTGCTTCCTTCTTGAATAAGAACATCCTTCCCCAGAGGATCCACGATGAACAAAATGACCAACGCCAGGATCATAACAAACATAATACCAACAGCTAGATACACTTTCCTCCTCAATCGCTGACTCCGTAGCGCCAATTGATCTTCTCTTCTTGTAACTGCATCCAGCTTTGCGTAATAGTTTCTGTCTTCAACAGAGTCGACTCCCGAAGCAGCTGAATATGAATCACTCTCATCGGATGACTCGTCAGAAACTCCAATGACGTTGTAGTCTTCAAAGTCGAACTCATTATCGCTGTTAAAGTCGCTGTCGTCGTCATTTTCGTTCACAACGCCATATCTTTTGCTTTGTTCGGTGGGCTCATTGTCAGAACTTGCTTCATAATCCTGCTTGTCAAGTCCAATGCTATCTGAGCCGTCAGTGTAATCGACTGACGAACTAGCGTCGCTGAGTGGTAAGTTTTTCCTTGGATTGCTTCCAGGTACTGGCCAACTCTCTCGTTCACGATTGTTGCTTCCTGGTACTGGCCGACTCTGTCTTTCACGGGCGCCCTTTCTTTTTTGGTTAGGTTCGTACTCGTCGTCCGATTCGTCGTCGGATCCATCTCTTGATCCCTCATTATCCTCGTTTTGTCCGCTTTCACTGTCACTATCTAATTCGTATTCATCTAAAACGGCAGTCAAATCATCGGAGCTCACTGATCTTTCCAGTAAAGCTCTTCTTCCAGTCCTTTTCGGAGATTCCTCAACTAGATCTTCTTCACTCTCGGATTCTTCACTGTCGGACTCGTAATCATCCAGGCTCAAATCTGACTGCTTCTCCGCTCTCTGCAGCATGGTCCGCCTACCACTTCTCTTTGGTGGTTCCGCAATTGGTTCCTCTTCTACAAAGGAGTCACTGTTGTCACCATTGTCGCCGTCATCGCTGTCACTGTCCAACTCGTATTCATCCAAAACGGCAGTCAAATCATCGGAGCTCACTGATCTCTCCAGTAAAGCTCTTCTTCCAGTCCGCTTCGGTGGTTCTTCAATCGAGTCGTCGCTGTCGGACTCGTAATCATCTAGACCATCCAGACTCAAGTCTGACTGCTTCTCCGCCCGTTGTAACATAGTCCGTCTGCCACTTCTCTTTGCCGGCTCCGCAATTGGTTCCTCTTCTACAAAGGAATCACTGTCATCGGATTCATAATCGTCGTCAATAGCGACACTGTCTCCAGCATAATCATTGCCAAATTTGCCTACTGCAGGACTCTTATCTGACTCATATTCCTCATAGGCGTTGCCGAAATCTTTGTTGTCAGCATTACTATCATCGACCAGGTCGCTTTCATATTCAGCCTCCGAGGGTGGAACGGTAGAATCCTGTTGCATGCTATCATGATTCGAATAATGCGGTATTTGTGATCCAGACACTTCTGAGCCATATTCAGTCCCACCTTCACCTTCGCTTGACTCTGTCTCATATTCGTCTTCTTCTTCTGTAGACGAAGATGAGATAGATGTGTCTCCGTCGAGTGGCAGTAGTCCCACTTCATTTGTAAAACTTATCATGTGAATAGGTTTCGATGGATGAAGTGGCTGTTCATATTCTACCTCCTCGTACCCCACAAACTCATCATCTGCTCGTCGAGTGCATGAAATGTTACTCTCTTGACGTGGAGCAACTGCATTGTGTTGACCCGGCGTCGATGGATGAAGTGGCTGTTCATACTCTGCCTCCTCGTACTCTACAAAATCATCATCTGCCCGTCGACTTGATGAAATGTTACTCTCTTGACCTGGAGAAACTGCATTGTGTTGACCCGGCGAATCTGCTTTGCGGCTGTTTGTTTCCTTGGGATTACTTTGCTTCGGTGACACTACACTCTCTTTATCCGACGGGCTCATGGCATGAGCATTTGCTACTGGCTGACGCTGATCGTCTGTTGGGACTACTTTTGCTTCCTTGTTTTGTTTGCTTGGCTTTGTGAAAGGTGCTTTCTGAATCGATTCCCTCTTCGAGCGGCGTCGTTTGGGTTTTATTTTCGCAGAAGAGACTTTCGATGGCGAGCCTTTCTTTGCGGATCGAATTGACGATTGCTGAGTTTTAGATCCTGGGGTTTCTGGAATAATTGCATCTGGCTTCGAAGGTGGCGACAGAAGACCAGCGCTTCGTGGTGTCCTTTGAGGTCGTGAGGAGTTATCATACTTGGATGAAGGCGTTTCTGGGATATCATTTTCCTTTGATCGCCGAGGGTGACCTCTGTCTGGAGAAGCTCGATCTTCCTTGGCGTTGCTATTTTTCTTGACTGACTTGTGGGATGAACGACTCAAACTGGAGCGGGACCGTTTGCTTCTGGAATCACTCCGCTCTGACTTGGATTTCGTTATTTTCGATGCCTTCTTTTTCTTTTTTAGCGGTGTCTGCAAGGCTAGTGGAGAAAGAATATCATCTTCGTCGCCACCAGCACTATCACCAACCATTTTTCCAAGAAGCGGCGACAGTGGTTGCTTTTCCAATTTATACCGCCGACTCGATTTAGATCTCCGTGATTTCGACTTGTCCTTGCTGGAGGCTTTCGATGCTTTTGATGCTTTCGAAATTTTGGAAGCTTTCGAAGCTTTCGAACTGGATGACTTTGATGGTTTTGGAGATTTCCTCTTTTTCGTTCGGTTTTGTTTGGAATTATCCCTAGCACTGACACTGGATGCAAATTCGCCTATGGAAGAGGAGATGGAACCGTTTGGTATGGCAAAGGAACTTTCCGAGTTGTCGTCGTCATTGAAATCCCCCTTTCCCAAGGCATCGTCCAATTCTGCGGCATCAAAAATGGAGTCTGTAGATGCAGCACTGATTATAGTATGACTGGACTCGTTAAGTGATAATGACTGCGCAGTCTGTTGGATACTGTTGGTTTCGGAAGGACTGCTTTTGCCATTGGCTTGTCTCTGTCGACCCGAGGGGGTAATTTTGCTGCGTATGGGAGTGGATGGAAGTGGTGACAGGATGGCTTTATGCTCGGGTAGACTATGCATGGTATCCTGTAGACCAGTTGATTTTGGGGGTGCTTTGGCTGAGGATTTTTTGATGTCAACCTTTTTTGGTGAATGCTTCGGAGAAGACTTTGGTATGTTCATGGTGATCGGACCTAACCGACTATTGACGTCCACGGAATCTCTATGCGCCCGTCGGTTTAGAATATTCTGCACCAAATTTGAAAGATCAGCATCATCCTCGTCGTCGTCGTCGTCGTCGCTATCGTCGTCATCAACAGGAACACGAGCAGGTGCATTCTTCTTATTGTTGTTTTCGTCATCATCGTCGCTACTGCTGTTGCCTGGATCACTGTCATCACTGATAGAGTCGTATTGTTGCACCAGACTTTGGACCAAGTTGGAAATCGATGAAGGGAGTTTTCCAACAACGTCGGCTCGTTCTCCTGCATCTGAATCGCTGTCGTCATCACTGCCAGGTGCATTTGGCACCAAAGAATTGACCAAGGCAGCGATTGAGGGAATACCTTCGTCATCACTGCTATCTGAATCTGACATCTGAGCTATAGAATATCGTATTGTTGCTCTGACTTCTTTCCTTTCTTCTTTAGTCACTTATTATTGGGTCATTATCATTTTGGACCAATAATAGTGGTGTCACCGCAGCCAATTGCTTCTATTTTCTTTTGAAGTTGATTCCTTCTTTCTTTCTTTCAATCTGCAAAGTAGTGCTGAGTGCTTGTCTCTACTAATGGCTCCCCTGGAAGAAGGTTCTCTTGGTCCTAGACTCTATCGTTGTCGTTGCAGGCATCGAATCGTATTCTCATTTCATGGGTCTTGTTTTTCATGGAAGTGGTCGCCAAAAAGTTCCATTCAAAATATATTGTTGGGTGATGATTATTGTACCGCGGTATTTATTGTTGCCGTCCCCAAATAAGTTTTGTTGGGAAGGACAGACGCTCAACGGACCACCATACATTTACCCAGATAGGTATTTGTATCATACTATCGTATACCAGTATTATATCTGGTACCCTTCGTGGTGTAGACTTAATCAAAACTGTTAACCTAACAATGCCTTCATCTTATTTCTACAAAGAAAAATATTGAAGTTTCCTTGAACACAATGGTTATTATCCTCTCTATTAGAGGCCTAATTTCCATTGGAACACCATCCAGCCATTGTCGTCAAGTCAAGAAGAATCCACCGACTGACAACACCGCGTGTAGAACCAACTTCAATACTAGCACTACGGTTTCGCGCTAGGGAAATCTGACATTGACACAAAGTGACATGCCGGCGCGATATGGCTTGCCTTTCGTTCGTATGAGTCGAACTTGTTGGGTTGGATGTCCGTCTGGCCTGCGTACGTCTAACTTTTTAAGTGTTGAAAAACAAATGTATGGAGAAATGGTGAAAAGTACCAGGTACCTGTTACACCTTCAATAAAATAAAAACTGTGCGGACGCCAGCCGACTTCTGCAAAACATCTTTCAAAACTATTATATAATACCGCGATAATAATATCTTGTCAAACACTACAATGCACCATTCCTTGTTTGGGTTAGTAGGGATTTATCAAAACGTTTTCTCAGAAACAAATTAGATACAGTAAGAAATATCAATGGCACCATATCATTAGTATGCCAACAACCAACTCGTCTGGTGGTGGCAAACCAAAGGTAAAGTACTAGGCTCCGACATCTCTGAAAATGCCCGAAACTGCATCCTTCGCAGTAGGGATCTGATTGAAATTTCCTCTTTTGACGGCTGGGCCACTTAGCCCCGAGTTTGGACTGTTTTCCTTAGATGGGGAGAAGAATTGCCGTACTTTCTTCATTGTCTTAGATGAGGAGAAGAACTGCCGTGCTTTGCTGCTGCTGTCGCCGTCGCTTTTGTTGAAACCAGCGTCGCTGGTATGGAGATCCAATGGCTCCAATCGGTCTCCGACTTATTCATTTCCCTCACTTCGTCTTTCTGTATGTAGTAACGCTTGGACAGCTGCAATACAAAACGTTTCCTGATGCATAAAGGTGCACCACTTGTCTGAGATTCTTGATCGACGTCTTGTTTGTCTGGCATATTATAATTCAATACCTGCGGAAGACGAAGCTCTGGATTGGAAGGCTGCAAATGCACCTGCGGAGAGGGGGAAAGGGCCAGAACTGCAAGTAGGGACATCGTCAGCCATTGGAACAACGTTTGACAGCGTTGTAGTACTTCTCTCTACAAAGTCTTTGAAACGCTTCAAGATCTTCTTTTTCTGGGTTCGTAGCGCATTGTCACTCCTTCTCCAAAGCTCATAAACATCACCCAATAATACGTTATCTCGTGCTGCCAAGCAAAGATGAATTGTTGAAACGACCAAAAGTTCATCTTTTGAAAACTGCTGGCACTTCCTCTTTCCAAACCATTTCATGCAAAATATTTCACATTCATTTTTTCAAAGAAACCTTTTAGGAAATCTTTGTAGCTCTTTTGATTCAAAATCAAGTCATCCAATTCCTTGCGATGTATCTCATTCTTCAATTGAATAGCATGATGTTGGATTCTTGGTCGACGACTGTCAAGGACAGAAGTGCTCTTGCACAACAGCGAAACTTGTGGTCTTGATCTTATGCAAGAAGGTTATCGACTTCTTCTTTCCCTCTTGGGGTTTCAGCAAATTCACGGAGCTCGTTTAGAAGAATTTCTTTTTTTACTACCGATTTTAGGTGGCATTGGAGCAACGAGCAGATATTTGGAGCAATAGCTCATGACATTGTGTTGTTTACGACGATAGAATCTATTGAATTGCATTTACTGATAAAAATAGATCATTGTCATGCTGTTTCTTGAAGCTAAGGTATCAACTAAAGCCTGAAGAAATTTAAAACAAGTTTGAATTTTCCTGGGTTGGATCAAAGATTTGTGACAAGTTGTTGTGCTGATGAAGTCCCTTTATATAGTCGAAGTTGTTGTCGGAGAAACATTGAGATGAAGACGTAGCGCGCCAGCCCTCCAGCTCAATGTTTCTCCGAAACCGTAGTGTAGAGGAAGAACAGTATCGTCAGTATAGCTAACTTATTTTGCCATGTCAAGCGTGTTGTTTGCCTTTTCTGCATGGCTATGCAATGGTGGAGCGTTGAGGACTGCTGGGATTGCGTCCTTCAACAGACACACGCTTAGACATACGCTTATTTTCGCGGGTGTGCCATGATTGTAAAGAAGAATCATGGTGCTTATCCTATCAGCCTCTCCCATCGAAAGAGTGAGCTTCAGGAATGAACCGTTGAGACTGATAGTTGTCTTCAAATTTTCTAGAAAGTTTCAGCTGATTGATTTTTCTAGCATCGACTGCTAATCATACCATTCTTCCGTTGGACTTGAATTACCAGCGCATATCCTCCTTGAACACTATCGTGTTGGGGCAACGTGTCTACTACATTCAGACCCATATACCACAAGAATTCTGTAGCATCATTATCATTCCAGATAATCGGATCGTCAATATGATCCAAGGGTGACTTGACGTGTTTCATGTGGGCCGCAATGACTTCTTGTATGGTGGTGGACTTCTTTTCGCGATGCCAAAAGGTACGTTCTTTGTTAGGAAGAACAGCGTACAAATAGCCACCATCTTTGACGGCTCGTCCCCACTCACAAAAACTGATAATGGGATCCCATGCAAATGGATCGCTGTTTTCCACCGAAGAAGGAGCCAAGAGTCGATTGGCCAAGACAAAGTCCAATACTCCCTCATCAAATGGGAGGCGGTCGACATCTTTGGGGGATAAGGTTACATCGACTCGCCTAACAATCCCTGCCAATTCGAGTTGTCGATCTATTTCATTGTGGCTCCCTTCTCTGGTGGTAGGACTATCCGCTTTTTCAGACTTGGCTTCTTCTATCACTTCAGCACCACCTGCCGCATGCTGTGAAGGTAGCAGGTCTACATTCAGTGTCGTTAGTCCAAAACCTTGATAGGATCGAGCTCCGATTTCAATTCCTAGCATTCCATCCAACAGTTTGTGGGCATGACCAGACTCTGGAAATTTGTAGGTATTGTTGTCCGTCACCACCTTTTTGGAATCAATCAGATTGCCATCCGAGTCGTACAACTCGGATATGTTGTTGATACGCTCAGGATCATTGACCAGACTCAATAGCTTGTTGCGCTCATTGGCAAAGGTTTGGTCCATTTTGTGTGCCTTGTTGTTGGCAGATGATGAAGAAGCGCTGAAGCCTTCCATTGCGTCGCTCTCACTAAAGTAGTAAAAGATGTACAGCCCAATCAGTAGATACGATAAGCATAGCATTCCTTGGTTGCACCTTCGATTGGAAGTTGAAGCTGAAGCAGAATTGAGGTTGACTTGGACCATTCTGCAGAACAAAACTCGTCGTGAAAGATGCGATGCTGCTGTTATTGTTGCAATCAGAATTCGTAATATTATCGTTTCTCATATTCAATGTCACATTTGCTGACTAGTTCGACCGCACGGAAAATTCTCGATTGACCTTGTGGTCCCAGCCAAAAAAATTGATTGCGGATAGGACAGCGTTGTTAGGTTGATTTTGGTCACACAAGAGATTTTTTTGCAATTTTCACTACCCTCAATGCCTGGAGAAAAAGTTATATATCTTGCGAAAAGGTGATATTTCTCATGATCTCGGTGGGGAAATTCGACCCCTCCAAGTGCGAGGAAACGGACAAAAAAAGTCAAAAGGGAATCTGGACACGTTCGGAGATCTCTGATTGCGCATAGGATGGCGGTAGCAAAAGGAGGATGAAAATGGACACATCCTACATGCTTCCAACCAAAGAAAGAGGTGCAATATAGATATCGGTAGGACCTAGCAACACCGAAAATCAAACAAAGAATACCAGTGCATCCTTGGTAGACAAGACAGGTAACTCAATTCCAGTTACCGTACAATGTTTTATATAATATGTCTTCTGTTTTGCCATCATGATTGTGAGGGGTCCCACATCAACCAAGTTCTTTCTTCAAATGTACTCGTAGAAGAAAAATATTGAAGCTGAGACGAAACCAAAGAACTTGAACACATTCGCATATCTTTGGTTGTGCTTCAGATGGCGGAAGCTGTGTGCACCATTCCATTCCAGCATCTTTCGATGATGGAGGCCAGGCAGGATAGAAATGTAATAACGCCGGAAAACAAAATTTCTTTTTCTACCGCATATACCGGTTGGAGGCATGCAATTGTTTTTCAACAAGTCCTCACATCATCGATTGTTCAAGGGCACGTTGTGACGTTGGAATGGAACGCAAAGAAAATGAATGTTTGAGGTAGAATGTGCGATTTCATATTATATTTTATTTTTCAATTCATCGTCCCCATCTTTGATTCTGCTTCGGATGGCGGAAACTATTTTTGACATATATTATGTGGACCTACCGGTACGTCCTACGCGTTTTCTCGCAAGTTGACAGTACAGTAGTAGTAAAACAGATGGAATACAAAAAATTGAAGTAGAACACAGATACGCAGATCCGCAGTCTCTCACGCAGTATGTTGCCGATGAAATGTAATGCACTATGTGCAATAGATAGTGCCAGCAGTAAAGGCAGATACGGCAATATTATCATCGTGGCTCTTTGAAAGAATGATTTTTGGCATAAACAGTGTCATTCTATAGTATCACTCAGCCATTGTTTACAATACCTATATTCTACATACCGGTACATATCACGGGATACTAGTTCATCCGATCCTTGGCAAACGTATCCATCATGTCCATCATTTCAGAAACAAATCTAGAATCGTGTGTGAAGAAATGATCACCACCCTCAAAGACTTTCAACGAGGAGCCTTCTTGAACCTTGCAGAGACTTAGCCATAGCTTTTCCGAATCACGGTAATCTTCACTTCCGTTCATAAAGAGAATGGGAAAATCCAAGTTGGGAATGTGGTCTGCTGGCTTGACGCTGTGCAAAACCTCCACTTGGTCCACGGCAGAGTCAAAGAACATTCCAGCTCCGAAGGTAGACTCGATCAATTTCCAATCCGCGGGGGACTTGGCGGTAACGTCCTTAAAGGTGCCCATCAAGCTGGCGTTGCTCATATTCTTGGAAATCATCTTAAGGAACCATAGTCCAGCGCTGGCCTTGAACGAACAGTCAGGTCCCACATTTTGACCACAGTCCATCAGAATGGCACCGCAGAATCGATCCTTTAACTTGTCCATAGTGTAGAAACCAGTGTAAGCACCGAAACTAGCACCAACGTAAATCGTGTTCGCCTTGGTCAGCTTTAAGGATTCTTGATTCTCGTCCAGAACGGATTTGACAGTCTCTGCACAGCTCTCGAGGGTCAACTTGGCCTCTGTCAATGTGCCGTGTCCTGGAAGATCCACTAGAATGGACCGGTGTCCCTTTTCAGCTAATATCTTGGCGTGTGCTTGGAACATTTGACGTGATGCCCCTCCACCATGAACCATGACAAATGTTGCTGTTTTGGAGGAGGATGTACTAGTACTTGGTTCCACAATGTCATAGGTTCTGGAGAAATCAAGCGTCGAGACTTCTTCAAAGCACTCCTTGGTATACGAGTAGACAGTGTTGTTCTTCTTCAGATCGTTTGATTCGTCAGGATTCGAAGCATCAAACGGAATCAAAGCATATCGTCCAGCTTCTTCCGATGTCAAAACTTCGCCTGACTTGTGGCAGATTTTTGGTTTCATGCAACCCATTGGAACACTTTGTATGCGATACTTTCGTCAATACAATTAATAAAATGATCATTTCTTGTGCTTCTGCTACTCGGTCTTTCTTTTATTGTTTGACGAGCATCTCCAATGCATCAAACCATCATAGGTAATACGGTGATAACGGAATAAAGGTTCAGGTGGATTTTAACAAATTTCGACCAATAATCATAATATCATATATAAAATCTTCCACCTGAGTACGACTGCGACGACTCACTCTCCGACAAATTCACCAAAATTGGCTCACAAATTTGTGATAGACACACGAATCAATCACCTTCCCCCGTCGTAAGGATGATATACTCTCGCCCAAATTCCCTGCCACATGTCAGCACAAAAGCCTTACAACTGTAATCGTGTGAAATAGGTTGCTACCTTATGCTGCAATCGCCGAGTTTCCTCGATATTTTGTCGAAGTCTGAATCTTGTTGTTGCCTGCTGGTGGTTTATATATTCACGACCCTTATCGACTGCTGACAAGCATCCTCCAAGCATACTCATCTCCCCTATCACCTCTCGGATCAACGCAGATTTCAGCAACACAAACTACCTTCACTGCCGTGATCTGCTGAAAGTGACCTAAAAGAGACAAAAACAAAAACAAAAACACAACAAGATGCCGCCATCTACCATTCGCAACTTGCAATACGCACCTACTTCCTACTTGGATCAGAAGCATCAGTTTGTAGGCTTCGATAGCTTGAAACACTACAATACCCACAATGATGACATGTCCGCCTCGTGCAACACGGAGGAAAAGGAACAATTGGATGCCTTGGAAGACAAGTTGCTGGAAAAATCTCGTCAAGAAGACCGACTGTCTCAAGTTTACCACAGTTTGGGAACTTTGAAACGAAAACAGGCCTACCGTTCGATGCTAAAGGGAGAAACTATTGCCTCACAAGAATCCCTGTTGCCTCCCAATGTCATGTTTCATGGATTGGACCCCAAGTACTACGATGAAAACGATCCCAGTTGCCCACTCTCCAAGGACAACTTTCGGCACCATGAAAACGGAGAATACAAATTCAACGAAGAAGATGAAGATGCAGTAGACTTTGGGGAACAATACAAAATTCGCATGTTGCGATCTCAACGCTTGAAGCAACTGACCCTCAAGACCCAAGAAGAAATTTTGTTTCTTGAATCACGAGAAGAGAAGCGACAGCAGGCTCTTGAGCAGGCCAAGTGGGACGCCCTTCACGAAGAACAGGAGAGACTGACCATTGCCCAACAACGGGAGCAATTGGATCGTGAACGAGCTGCCTTTGAAATTATGCGTCAAGCCACCCTCAAAAAGGCAATAGACCAACGAAGAAAGGATCGTAACAATGCCAAGAAGGAAGTCGAAGAAAAGAGTCGGTCCTCCATTGATGGTTGCAGGGGATTCAATATTTTCAATGAGGCTGATGACATGTCGGCAATGGATGGGTCCGTCTTTCCTTCTCCCATTCAAGACTTGTTCGATTCCATGGCCGAGGCCTGCGACAGATTGATCTTTTGTGGTGGAGTGATGGATCCTACTAATGTGAACGGAAAGGAAGTCAAAACGCCAAAGAAGAATGCAAAACGATCGGCGACCATGGTGCCCCCCGAAGTCATGTTATCGGAATCAGACACTTTTGCGGATACCCTAACGGCTCCTGATATGGATGAGGACAACACGACGATAGAGGAAATCCATCGGGTGGATTGTGACAAAGAGACAAAGTCAAAGGCATTGGCTTGATTATTTTGCCAAAATAGTATATACTACACAGCTGAGGGAATAAGTACACATTTAGGAACATCAATTGCAAGACTAATATATTGCTCTATCTTTATCGTCGATCCATTATCGTGTATTATATAAACCGGTACACCCCTAACACCAGCATAATACCGGGATTAAGTATTTTGAGTTAGTCGTTCGAGTCGGAAATGGAAGGACGTGGATATTTTTTCGTATACATGCGTTATAAAATATTATAAAAATATATTGCCGAGTGTGTGTTGCAGTTATCATTGCACTGCGGTGAGTATATCCTACCTTCTTTGCTTTTGCACTTTGCATCCTTTGGTTGCCATCTACAGTATTTAACATTGTCTCTTCGTCGACTAGGCTCTAATATAAAGAAGATCGATTCAGGAAGTTCAGGAGGAGCAAACTGACAATAAATCAAATCAACCTATACAGTTGAAACCGAAATAAGCCACATATGCAATTGGAACAAGATTCAAGAATAACATGTCGGACACTGTGACAAGAATCACACATCAATCCTATGGAAATCGAGTATCTGCTGCTTGTGGTGCCATCATTTTCTGTCCGGTATTTGTGTACTTGGGATCCTGGTTGCTGATATGGAACGAAGGATTCTCCATCAAACAACACAGAGCTCTGACGGAAGGAAGCAAATTGGTGGTGGATGTGACGAATGTAGACGTCATCAATCCGTCGTTGGATCATTTGCCAATACATTTTACTGGATTAGCAACCACAGATTCCTCTCCCCTTGTGGATCCCTTATTTGGAGTTTCGCCGTCCTCCGAAGGAGCCCTGAAGTTACAACGGCATGTGGAGATGTATCAATGGACCGAGTCCAGTCATTCCGAAACCATCAAGAATCCCGATGGATCCACAGATACCGTTACTACCTATACATACTCCACGGAATGGGAAGATCAAGTCATTTCCTCCGATAGCTTTGAAACATCCTCAGGGCATGAAAATCCTTCCGGCATGCGGTTCGACTCGGCAACCTTTACTGCGGACACGATTCATGTCGGAGCTTATCCACTGACCCAAGAGGTTTTGAGTCAAATGGATTGGTTCCAACCAATTTCGCGCGAGTACTTGACTACGGATGAGATACCAAATCAAGAATTGCAATCCGAAACCATTCTCCATCACAATTACTTTTACTACTGCTACTCAAGCCCCAGGTGGCCCCACGTGGGGGACACTCGAGTATCATTTTCTCAAGTGCCCTCTCAAGTCATTAGCGTAGTGGCACAGCAAAGCAATGGTGTGCCGACAAGCTACAGAGCTTCCAATGGGAATAGTTTCTTGCTAGTCGAACAAGGAGAAACTAATACTGAAGTCATGTTCGAACATGCCCATAGGGCTGTTTCCCTTCAAACTTGGCTGCTGCGTCTATTGGGTTTTGTCATTATTTGGATTGGGTTCAAGTCACTACTGGAGCCGTTGGCCGTATCGACCAGTTTTATACCTTGCGTTGGCTACTTGACGGAACGAGTCACCAACAGTGTCAGTTTTCTGCTGGGATTCTGCGTCTCGATTCTCATTATTGCCGTGGCGTGGTTGGCCTATCGGCCAGTCTTGTCGGCATCGCTCATACTCTTGGCACTCTGTTGTGGATTCTGTGGAATGCCTCATAACGACGAGGAGCCACCAACGAACCAAACTGAAAAAATGGGTGGATGGTACGATGAGATTCCAACTGCTCAGGCTGTTCCTGTCCAAGATGACTATGGTAGATATGATTATGATGCGTCGGGATATCAACAACGAGAGACATCCTACTCGAATATCACGCCTATACCCGTCTCTCATGCTATGTCGTATGGGGCAACCGCTCCGCCAAGGAACTTGGCATTTGGTGCAACGGCCCCGCCAAGTAGTATGGAAAAGTAAAGTATATATTTTAAAATTATTAAAAAAAGGTCTTTAATGTTGTATCAAGAATGGACATATTGTCGTAGATAATTTGCATCTACTAGGCGCAAACTTGCAAGAACCCTGTCGTTCAAGTCTGCCACTGGCAAGGGATCCAAGAAACCCACCACATTTGGAATAATGACCGGAGCCCCACAACGATCGTGTACCTCTTGGCGAGTATTATCCTGTCCTCTGTTTCAAATGCAAAAATCTTCCCTTTTGGAATTATCGTCTTGGCTCAGCAATTTGGCACTCCGCACAGTGAAGTCCTTTCCATGCGCTCGAATCGTTTCCATCTTGTGGGTCAACGTGGCTATATGCTCGCTACGATTGGATAAATCCTTTAGTGCGATGGATTCTCCTTCTTGACGAAAGTCCCGTCTCCATTGGTTCAAACCAAGACTTTCGACGAGCCAATCGAATACCTTCTGTTGCAGCAAGTCCTGGATCAGACCCGATGCCATTGTCGATGGATTAGCACAAAGAGATAGTATATAGGTGTCCGACCCCACTTGTCTGATTGTCACACCAACTCGATTGGAACTACCTCTTTTGTATCGCTTTGAAGAAACTTGGATTCAGATCTTGGGAGATTGCCCAAATGTGAAAAGGTGCAAGTCCACAAAAATCTCTATTGGTAACGAGATCTGGATTGGACTCGATAGCCTCGCTAATCTTTGCTATGCTACGATCAAATCCACTTAGGTCTGTGCTGAAATCACAATTTTGGCTGTCCCAGTAATCGAACATGATCAGGGGCCGCTGCTCATCAAAGATACGATCATCATCATAGCAGATCTTGTGGATGGGCAACGAATAAAATCGACCAGTCAGGACACAACTCGTGTAATCATCCAGTCGCGCTTATGATCTCAGGGTTCAACAAATTCCGACACCAATAAAATAGCCCCACAATTCTCAGATGAGTTACAGAGTTTGGAAGACTCCTTTGAACCATAGCGAATGACAATCCACGAAACAGTCATCGTCAATCTCCTTCAGCAGTAGATCACCATCCTCCGCAAAATTAACTTCTTTGAGCGAGAGATGATGCAACCATGAAAGGCTCGATCTCCAAGGATCTAGACTATAGCCGGAATTGATACCGACTTTCAACTTTTACACAACGAAGACGCTTCGCCTTGAATCTCTTTGAGCTTGAAACGAGCAAAGGTTATAGTGACCTCTTCCAAATATAATATTATATACTCCAAACAATAACCTCGAAAGGTGGAAGCTGGAATGACGGTTATGGAATGAATCATCCACAATCAAACTGACAATGTCTCGTGGAATCTCTGATTGAGGCTGTCCGGTGTAGCGGAATGACATGTCGTTGCATGAGGCAGCAGCATTCTTTCCCTCTCTGCGGGCTTTGACATATTTACATTATTGTTGTTATGATGCGTCTCGTACGTGTACGTCATCAATATTTGGGCAAACCGAAGAACTGACTTAGCTTTATTTGACCTTCAAACATCATCGTCTTATTATTCAGGTTATCTTCTTCTGAAACCTTGTTGTACAGTATAAGGTTCCGTTGGTACCCAACCAAAATAAGAAATGCCTCTTCCGCCATGGGCTACCATTCATCTAGATAAGAATGTAAATGTCCGAAAAGACTGGGAACCAACCACAGCTAAGACTGAAGAGCTCTTCCGACAACGATCTGTGAGGTATTGGAGTGAGAGGTTGGATCAAGCGCAGCAAATGACCTGGGAGGATATTTCTCGTAATGAACTGGAACGCTTTCAGGATTTTTGTCGGACCGGTGATGATGATGATGATATAGCTAACGACACTACTGATTCCAAAGCATCAGGGCCAACAACAATGCCGCAGCAGTTTCACAATGATGAGAACAGTAACATCCATGACAACAATGTCATTGTGCCCTATCATGAAAGGTTTGCATTGGAGCCATCCACTGATTATCCCTTCGACTTGCTACCATGTCTTATCATCAATCCGCCTCCAAGCTGCAAGCTGGACCGACAGGCACTGATGCAATCCATATACCTTCAAGTGATGAAACAAAATAATATTGTGGGCAAGAAGAAGTCGCGCCGCTCGGCGACAATACTCCTACCCCGATTGTTGCCAAGATTGAGTCAGACACTGGCATTAGTCTGGCGACAGATAATACACCAGGAACCAAACAAAAGTCTATCTAGGTTTGCGTCCAAACGACTGAACAGGAATCGGAGAACCCAATCCCTTCAGAAATGGATTATTTGGTGGGCGAGTCGAACTGAGCACTTTGATCAATTGGTGATACTATTGGAGGTAAGTCCTATAGCCTCTGGCTGGTGACATTGGGAACTACCGCTATGTCACAATGCTTTCGGTATAGTTTTGATGTCACAGAAGAACTTAACAAATCCCATTCGCGTTTTCCCTCCATATATTATGTTTCAGGACCCTGGTGGATTTGCCGAAACAGAAGTTCGACAAGACTTTTATCGATGCATGGCGAATTGGCGCAAAGAAAAGGGTCTTCCGCTATCGCTAATAGTAATGGGAACCCAAGAACAAGTTCGGGATCTCTGTCCATTGGATACACGCATCCAAATTTTGTCGCCTAATGTGCAAACGAAATGGATCTGCCAATTCTTGAGCAATCTCATGTTGTCGCAATTGCCTCCACCCATGCAGTGGAGCAATATTGTAACGACCTTGTTGGAAGACTTTCAGTATCATGATGGATCGTGTACCAAATTTGTTCAAGAATTCCGGGCGCATGTGATACACTTTTTTGCCGCTACCAAAGGGAGCTTTGCTTGGGATTTGCGAGTCGATCAGGACCGATGGCACTTGATGGCTTGGTTCTGTGCCTACGAAGGTGCCAAGGAATACCTTGAGAATACAAATCCGGGGAGTGAAAAGTACAAAGCCTTGGATCAATGTGTCCGAATGCAAGAAGAGCTTCAGCACTACTGGAAGGGTATGATTCTTGGGTTGCCACTTTTCCTTCAATTTGGAAAGAACGAGAGTGAAACCAAAATTGAAGCAACAGGGGCGATTCCGTGTCTGGCATTACTCTACAAATGGATACAGGAAAGAACGGACAATGACAGTGACTTAGTGCTTCCATTAAAAGACCTAATGCCGTTGCAGCAACTCTTGGACCCGAATGGTCAGATCAAAGAGATTACTTTCGCAACGAGTGGCAAACCAGCAAAAGCAATCAAAACTTTGATCCAAGAGCTTATCATTCTGATCCATGCATATGATGGAAAATCGGAACAAGCTGAAACGAGTCATGTGGTGGACAAGGAAATTATCAACTCGAACTTGATCAGCATGATACAAGAACTCTGCAACTTGATTGGAGAGCAGATTGACTCATGGGTGGAGCGATGGATGGAAGAATGCCCCTTATTAGTGATCGAAAACAATATGAATTTAAAGATGAATGTTTGCATTCGGCGGGAAACGATCGAAGACTTGCCTCAACCAGCCAAGTCCATGTACGAATTGCTGCAAGATCGCCTATCAATCAAGAGAGAAGACTGGTTCTACGATTTCGGAGGCACGGTGGACGATTTCACCATGGGAGTCTGGATGCTGACCGTGTCAGGATTGGTGCAATGCAAACGGATTCGAGGGGGAGGAATCTTGTATGAAAAGGTCGCAGTCGTTTGGACTTCCTAGTTTTGATGCATACGTACATACATACAAATTTTGGGTTGGATTTGTAAATTGTTTCTTAGATATACGAATAGTAGCACACGTGATTGGTGCCTCCTTCAGATGTATCACATATTTGACAGACGTTCCCATCCTCATCCCAAAAATCTTTGTTGTTTTCATTTTCCGGAGTGAAACATGCAGCGCATCGAAACTGCTGGTCATTCGCAAACAGGGGCGGCTGCGCCAAGTCTATGATGCACAAACCTCCGTTTTTGCCAACACCAGCAATTAGACTCATCGATAGAACAACCAATCCGCAATTGATTATAGTTCCAATAAAGTGATATCGCAGACTTATTTCCTCTGTGCTTTGGGCCACTCTCAAACGACGCCGTTCTCTCTCGAGCCGGAAATTATCCAAATTCCGAAGATCACTGTTAGCACCTTCCTCCAATCCCAGATCATCATCAAATGATGTTTTCGACGATCCTCGAGCGAGTTTACTCTTCCTGCTCTTTGGCTTTCGACTTTCTATTTCAGTAGTAGCATCGTCGACTCGTTTTTGACCTTCATTGAACTCTTTTCGTTTTAGAAGAAAGACAACAACTTCACATCCAATGGCACTGGCTTCAATGAGCCACATGGCCACAGCTTCGAAGATACGGTCGTCGAAAAACATCCCGAAAGTGATTCCAAATCCGAGCAATGGATTGATCAAGTTGATCGGCAGTCCCTTCTTTAAGACAGGGAGGATTTCAATGAATAACAAGGCTGTGTAAATGTATGTTGTAGTTCTGATAAACACATCCCAGTCGAGCACAGTTGAAGCTGTGTCGAAAATTGGAACTTCACAGCAGGTAGTCACTCCATCGTAGGAAAAAATAGAAACCATGGCAGCGATAAAATCCAGAAACAGGGCAAACCAGATGAGGTATCGTTGTTTTCTTTGAATAGGTGTTTCGTCCGGAGTCGGTTTCATGATATGCAAATAGCGCAACACCTTCTTCCATTTTGGCTCATCTCCGAAGTCACCCAAGTCCAGTGAGTGGTTGGACAAGCTCATACTTGCTTGACTATAGCTTCGTTTGGTGTCGGCCAAAGACGGGCGTCCCCTACCTGGACGGGATGATCCAACGGACATTTCCTCAATCTGACCATCCATTTCAACCCTGGCGGAAGGCTGTCGGGCCATCATGACCCGTTTGTTTCCGCCGTGGTTGGAACCACCATCAAGACCTCCATTAAATCTATTGCTTTGTCTCATGGATGACTGTCGCGATCCCATACCCCGTCCACCTCGACCACGTCCATGCTCTGACGTTGACAGTCCTCCACCCCTCGATGGCTGGCGCATACCCATTCCTCTTCCACCTCGGCCAGGTCCATGTTCCGACATGGAAAGGCCTCCACCTCTCGATGGCTGGCGGATGCCCATTCCTCTTCCACCTCGGCCAGGTCCGTGCTCTGAAATAGAAAGACCACCGCCTCTTGACGTTTGCCGATTGCCCATTCCCCTTCCTCGTCCATTCATACTGTTTCTGCTGCTTCCTTGGCGATTCATTCCTCCTCCACGACCGCCGAAATTTAAGCTTTGGGCTCGTTGCATACCTCTGCCTGCTCCTGATGGCCTCATCTTTGGTCGACCTGAAGGGCTGGATGACCTATCTCGCGGTATTATGGCACCGTTTTCTCTGATACTTCCCAAGTCTGCAGAGTGATTAGAATCTCCTGAAAGACTTTTTGACCGTTTTAGAGTCTTCTTAGGTTCATCCTTAAGGGGTGAATCAGGCAAAAAGTCATCGTCATCATCTGATGAATCTCCTCCAAAGTCCCCGGCAACCTTCTTTTTCTTTTTCTTTTTTTTCTTCACCGGTCCATCTGCAGTCAAAGCACTTTCACTCGCTGCCTTCTTCAGTTTCTTCTTTTTCTTCTTCTTGATGGTTTCGCCATTATTTTCGTCACCTTCACCATCTTCCACTATCGACTTCTTCTTCTTCTTTTTCTTCTTGGCTATCTCTTCCTCAGTCATGTTGACATGTGTGTTTGCAGTGCTAGCAAGTTGTCGTACGTTGCTCATATTCTGACCAGTTACTGTAGTGAAACTGCGCGTAGAAGAACTCGCGACATTGATGTCGGAAGCCTGCAAGTTTTGTGACTCTCATCTTCCGCCAATGGTTGACGTTTCTGGTTGGGCCTTTTTCTAATTTTAATTAGGACCAACTCGAGTGGGCGCGATCATCTCCACATTTTTACTGTACATATAAAGAAGGTCGTAATATACTCTTTCACTACCTACAAGCTACTGATTCCATAAATTTTGAACATTCTTGGAGCATTGAGAGCTCATTAATTCTATTAGAGTTTGTAAGGATAGTAGCACTGGTGCTGATTTCCTCCAGTTGCATCGCAGACTTCACAGGTTTCAGCGGCTCCAACACAAGATGGACATCGTTCCAATTGGTCATCTTTGAAAATGGGTGGAGCCTCAAAATTGCTGATGCAGAGTCCTCCATTCTTTCCAATCCCAATGATCAGAGACAGAGAAATAAGCACTAGACCAATATTGATTGCGCTCCCAATATAATGGTATCTTAAGGTGATTTCGTCATCCAAAAGGCCCGCCTTTAAGTGTCTTCTTTCTCTTTCAATTCGAAAGCGATTAACCTTGGCATCGCCACTGTTGTAGAAGCTTCCACCTGACAAACTCTCCAAATCACTGTAAGGATCTTCGACTATACCATCAGCGGGGTTCAGTTGTTTCGTAGAGTTATCTCGCGCCCATCGTTTTCCGGTACGGACTGCCAACTCGTCGTCGCACTCCACGATGCGCTCGATGCGCCGAAGGTGTTGCTTACGCCTCAAACAGGTGATGACAGCTTCAAATGCAATAGCAAATGCTTCCATTGTCCACATTGTAATGGCTTCTCCAATACGATCATCAAAGAACATTGCCATGGTAATGGTGAAACCAATCAAAGGATTGATCAAATTCAGCGGGATTTCCTTATTGAAGACAGGAATGACTTCGAGGAAAAGGAGCACCACGTAGATGTAGGTAAAGATGCGGACGAACTCGTTCCAGTTGATCCTCGATTCTAAAAGCTCGAAAATTGGTTTGCCACAGCACATGGTCACGCTTTCATAGGTAGTAATGGACACCATGGCGGCGATGAAATCCAAAATCATGGCACCCCAAGTCATGTAACGGATAATCCTATCGCTCTTGCACTCTCTCGGGGTGGGTGCCATCAGTCGAATGTACCGCAAGCCAGATATCCAAATTGTCTCATCAGCGGAAAATTCGTCGCCCACTGTTGATGCTGTGTGCCCCGATACCGAGGCATCTAAGCTTCTGGACGACAGCCTGTTTCTCTGTGCAAATCTTTCGTATCGGGATCGAGGCTTTTGCCTCGCTAGTATCTCTGGATTGTTCGATGACTCGATCATGCCAATGATCTTTTCCAGATCGTCTGGATCACCACCACCTAGTTTTGTTCTTGATCTGGATCTCGAGCGGCTACCGCCATCATCATCGGAAGACGCATACAGAGACGATCTAGAGCTCTGTCGACTCAATCCACTCGTACTTCCTGATTTCTTCAAACCACGTGCACCTAATCGATTCATGCGCCGTCCAGTAAAGGAACTTGGAGGTTCTACTGTGCTCGTGCTTCTTGCCCGTTGAACGAGTGACCGTGGTCGACTTCCCCCCCCTAAGGATAGGCCCGAGTTTTGGCGAGATAGATTTGGATTCGAGTATTGGCGAGATAGGTTTGGATTCGAAGATTGTCGAAACAAAGACGAGCTGCTCTTGCCTCGCTCTGCCTGTTCCAACCGACGGATTGAAAGATGACCAGAATGGTCCAACCCTGTTGCACTCCGTGGTCGCTTGGCAATAACACCTCGTCCCGGTGTTCTTCCTCGCCCTGAAGCAGCCGTATCCTGACTGGGTGCTCGAAGATCAGATAATGAAGATGGTCTTAACTGATTGAAGGAGTTTTGAGATCGGTTGGACTTATTAGTCGACTTGGCGGTGTCAACAGAAGAAGCAAGTGATTCTTGAAAGTTTTTGTTCTTCAAAGCTCCTTTCTTTAGATTCTTTTTGGTAGTTGATCTGCCTCGCTTTTGTTTCGTCTTTTTTGTGGAAGACGCATCAAGTGATTTGGATGCAGCCGCCTTGTTGGTGGATGACTTTTTCTTCTTTTTCCTCCCAGTTCCATCCTCAATGCCGATCGCTGCTTTGGATTTGACAATCTTGTCGGTGGATTTCTTCCTTGTCTTTTTCTTTTTCTGTGTAGTTTCGGTCATGGTTGTTTTCTAGCCTTCCTTGGGTGCTTGCTTCTAGATTCAATCTTAACAATCTTCCATTGTGAGACAATGAAAAAAATGTGTGGACGATCGACGATATATGATATCGATGACGAGAGAGTGGTCGGCAACATCATCGAACGCGATCAGAAGTATATTTCGTATCTCCGAGAATGTCTTTCACATATCTAAAACACGGGGTATCAGTAAAATCAAAATGACCGTTGAAGTTCACACGAAACCAACGGAGCCTTGGAGAAAGGGAGCAAATATCATGTCAAGAATAAAACTTTTTCAGTTCAACGTAGTTTCGCAGCGATGCACTGAACAATACACCAATATGGGTCGATAGCCTCCTTAAGGATTTACCCTAATCGTCTCTGTCATTTATATTGGCTTACTGCAACACACTAGTAGGAACCTTTACTTGAAAATGGTATTTACATTCGGTCGATATGTGCTGAAAGTATTACAGAGCAAGCATCAATGGTCATTGCTCGTAGTCGCTTTCGTATCTGCCATCCTGAAGCTACCCCCGTCCTCGAGTGATCAATTTTCTTGTCATATATATCCCGGCGCCTGACAACCCAAACCATGTTGCAGCATATCCCGCATGGATTTCTGGAGTGGTCTTGAAGTCTGCCACCGAGGCCACTGGTGGTCGCAGTGGGTATTGTGGTTCGCCGGAGCTCTCATCGTCTTCTGTGACGACTTCAGCTAGTAAAGAGAGCTCATCTTCGGACTCTGCGATAGCCTGAAGAGCAAGGGGATCAAACCAAAACAACTGCAGTGGTCGTTTGGAATAGTCATGCACTGGAGTAATGATCTTTGGTTCTGTGAAAAGTGGTCATCACAAAAATGATAAGATACTTGGATGAGAACACTGGCACAAACAAGAATTACTAGAGAATACTGTATAACTCACTTTCAGGAGAGGATAGAACAGTCGTGAGACTGACCCTCCCTTTCGGCCGACTCCAAGTTCCTGTAGGGGGGCCACGCCTCGCATCAGGGACCATGGTCTTTGGGACCCACCCTCTATTAATCCAAGCGGTCTGTTTGCCTTGCAGTTCCATTGGGGTCAGCACGAAATAGCCTTGTGGACCTGGTGCCATTCCTGAAGATTGCCCTGATCCAGCTTGTTTGGAGCTTAGGCCTTGTCTTGGTAAAGATACTCCAGGAGGAGCACCTCTTGGGCCAATCAGAACTTCCTTATCGTGCCGAAATGCTCCGGATACAAGCCGTGTACGGTAAGGATGCTTCTGACTCTTCCAATCACTGGTAGGTGACATCTGCAACTGACTCTGACGATCCTCAATTTTCCCAATTTTTTCGTTTAGTCGCTGTAATTGCCAACAACCCAGACCGAATGTACCAGCACATAACGAGCCAAAGAAGGCCTTGCCTCCGGTTGAAATTCCACTAACAGCTGCCATGATGGTGTTTGCACCTTCTCACCACTGTGTACGGTTTGCTGCTACAATATTTTTTGCAGTCGTGATCGATGCGTGTGACACTGAAGTGTGCGATAATATTCCGCATCAATGATTCAGATCAAAAAGGTCCAATCGTGCAAAGGGCAGACGCTGAATCGAATGTCATCGTCGGAGGTCGAGGACCTCGAGATCTCAAATGAGATACTGCATCTGTCACCTTTGTCTTTATCTAAAATTTAATCAAAATCACCACCAGTGAATTTCAGTCTATTGCCAATTGATGAACTGCTGCCGGCATAATGAAAGTTAGAAAATACTATTGCTGCATTATTTATTAATATTTCAATAAGCTGTTCAAAATTGCAATAATAGTCTGCTTTCCCGCAACTTCTGTTGCATCATGGCATCTCCTGTCTTTCGGACTGATTCCTCGGGACTTAATAACAGAGCGTCAACATTGTCGTCTTCCTCTCCTTCTTCGTCCGTATCTTCTTCTGATTCAGACTCCGACTCTTCAGCACCTGCGATCCATCCCCATATACTTGTTTGCTTGGTACTCAGCTTCGCAATCTCTGCTTCCATTTCTTTGATCGCTGCGTCTTCCTTGTCAATCTTGCGTTGCAGCTCTTCCTTTTCGTGCATTGCCGTCAGCAAGGCAATCTTCACATCATCCTTCATGCCGTTGACTTCTTCCATTGCCGTCTGTACGCTGTTATCCTTTCGGGTTTCTTCGAGTTTCGCTTTCAGCTGCTCGATAGCCATGCGATTGTGTTCAATGACCAAGTTGCTCTCTTTAAGATTCGCGGATACTTTTAGAAGCTCGCCGCGAACCTTGATTCTGCCGGAGGCAACTGATACTTCTTCCTTCTCCTCCAAGTTGATATCACGAGCAGGGCCAATCGTGTCATCCATTTCGCTGTTGTCGTCCTCTCCTTCTTCCAAGATTTCGATCATTCGGTATTTTCCTTGCTGGAGACGATCATACTCGTCCTCCCGGAGTTTGCGGATGAAGTTTGTATATACTGCAAGCTGCTCTTTGAGCGCGTCGTTTTCATCTTCTAGGTCAAGCATCATTTCGTCATGCTCAGCTTCATCGTTGTCTCTCAGATCTTCCAGTTGGTATTCTGTAAAGAAAATGGCACGATCCATTTGTTCATTCTCTTGCTTGAGATTTTCCGTTTGCAGTTCAAGAAACTCTTTCTCTTTCGACAGGCTCTCGTTTTCTGTCTGCAATTCAAGCTTTTCTGCGGCGTTTTCCCTTTCTCGCTGGACGAGTTCTTCCAGTAGCAGCTCAACTCTTTCCTTTTCAGCTGCGACCATTTTCTTCAACTCCTCAGGATCCATCGTTTTTTCATCAACTTCCTCCTGCACAGTTTCCTCAGACGATTCCGATTCTTCATCAGATATTACTGGACTTTCCAACTGCACCAGTTCGGCTTCGCTCATTACTTCTTCCTCCAATTCAGCTGGCTCGCTTTCACCCAATGCATCGCCCACTTTCTCTTCGATTCCTGCAACAATCTCTCCAGCCTCATGGAACATTGATTCCAAAGGTTTTTTCTCCTTCATATCTTCTACCAAACCTTGGACGGCCGTCTTGATGGGTTGCTTTTCCTTCAAATCTTCAACAGCACCGCGAACCGCATTTAGTACGGGCTTGTTCTCTTTGATCTCTTCCGCCTTCTCCTTCAAGTCGTGAGCAACATGATTGATCTTGCTGGCGGCAGCATTGAAAGGATTCATCGGAGCCTGTCCTTCCGATTCAGATGACGATGACTTGGTTTCGTCTTCTTGATCATGCAAGGGTGGAGAATCCCTGTCTTCAATCACGTCGGACCCGGCAGCATCTGCATTGACTTCACTACTCTCAATTGCTGGATCCATCGGTGAGGCTTCATCTTCAGAATCCGAGTCGTGTGCTGCAACATTGATGCGACTACTGTCGGCTTCGACTTCGAATGCCACACCAATCTCGACAGCTTCTTCTGGAATTTGCGAGTCGTCTTGATGATATGGTTCCGAAGCTTCCACAGGTTCGGTAACTTCTGCATCAATGCAATCGGCGCTAGCCAATGTCTCGGGCTCGGCAATGGGCTCCACCAATGGTTCACCAGAGTCTAAGGTCGTATCCATGCAGTCTCGCACATCATTTGTTGCAGGGTCTTGACCATCGTCACTTGAAGCAATGCCTCCATGAGCAGAATCATCTGAGGGGTCCGCTTGCACAATGGATTCGATTGGATCTTCAATTTGAATCGGGCTGGCAATGGTTGGATCAACATCTTGGCTCTGATCTTGTTCCATCAATATCTTTTGCTCATGTGGCTGCTCCTCTTCGTCCTCTTCTTGCTCTTCTACAACCACTGGAGTTTCTGCTACCACCGCTGGCTCTTCGATTTCTTCAGTGACAGCTATAGCCGCCGCCAATTTCACTGGAGGATTTTCGTCGTTTTCATGGTTCGACTCTTTTATCACCGTCTCTGGCTCCGCAACAACGGTAGTTTGCTCCTGCTGTTCCGTGACGTAGGTTGGAGGAAACCATCCTTGCATCCCGTTGTAAGACCCCCACCACCAGGCACCGTCTTGATTAGGTTTCGCGGTAATCAAGGCTCCACTGGGAAAGCTAAGTTGTGATCCAGCGGTGTCGCCTTCGAAAGCAAAAGTGGCAAAGAACTGAGAGGTTCCAGCGTCTACCTCGCCAGCAGGCTGTATTGGACTCGATTTCTCTTCAGCAGTATTTTCCTGATTCGCAACCTGACTCTTTCGACCTCGCCGTATTGGTTTCAGCTCGTCGTCTACGTCGGCCACAGCTGCCTTGTCAAATGTACTCATTGAAAGTTCACTGTAGGCACTATCGTCGTCGTTGGTCGGTCCCACTCCGGCACCTCCCGATGCCTTTGACTTCATCTTCACGGGTCGTTCTTCTTGAATCGGTTCTCTAAGCGTACTAACATTGCTCGATGACCTCGTTTTTCTCGCCTTTGGAGCAAAAGTTCTCTCTCCCCTCTCCGATATACCCCTCATACCCAAGCTTCTCTCTGCTGGGTCTAACGAGTCCATCTCAGATGGGTCGAAAGAAATAGTATTTCCTTCAATCAAATCATTCAGAGTACCAGAGTCACTGCTCGCTGAAGTTTCAGATTTCTTTTTCCTCCGCATCTTCTTGGTACCCTTCGTGCCCTTGGTCCCCATCGTTCCCACGCTCTCTTCATCTCCCAATTTCTTCTTCTTCTTCTTTTTCTTTCTGGTGCCACCGGGGGTAGGAGGGACAGCGTTGTCATACTCTTCGCCTTCTTTAAGCTCGCCAAGTTCACTCACGCGTTCGCTGGCTCTGGTGCTATATCGATCATTGTCGTCTGCGCTGAATTCTGTCATTGCACTGACATCGCTCGACCTCGAACTTTTCGACTTGCGGACCTTCTTTTTCTTGGTACCGCCACTTTTGTTTGTCGCAATGGTGCTTTCGTCTCCGTCTTCACCATCAGCAGAAACCTTTTTCTTCTTCTTTTTCTTCTTTGTTCCTGTCGTCCCCATCGTCATTTCGCTAACAACACTCCCGTCACTTGACTTCTTCTTTTTCTTCTTCTTTCTTGGAGTATCCGAGATGGGCAAGGAATCCACAACATCTGTTTGATCGTCATCGTCGTCGTACACAATCTCATTTCCAGCAGCGGATGATACGCTTGACGGCCTAGACTTCTTCTTTTTCCTCTTTGTAGCAGGAGTGCCTACACTCTCCATCGCTGAGGCATCATCGCTTGGCTTCTTTTTCTTTTTCTTCTTCTTTCCTGTCTCTGAAGAAAGGTTTTCTCTGACTTTTCGAAGTTCATCCAATTCTTTGTCCAACAAGGCGTTCTCTTCTTCAAGAGTCAAGGATTTGCCACCCTGTGAAGCGTCATCATCTGGCGAAAGAACATCGCTCCCACTGTAATTGCTGAGTCTCGACAGCGCGCTTTCCTGTTTTTCTAGCTTGCTGGCCCTCAATTTTTTCAGCTTTGTGGTGGGCAAAAAGGATGGCATAATCTCAAACTTGCAATTGTTTTGAGATGTTTCAGAAGACTTAGATTTTCCTTAATTTTCAACAGCAAGGTTATATGTGTTGGGGATTGGTTCAAATGCTATCTCATATGTTTTGCAATCTCAGATCCGTGCTTCCTGTGCCTTCATATGAACAAGGAAGCGAATTTGTTTTGACAGAGGTCTAATGGTTCTGGGCAAAACAATACCGGTTGCAGATGAGATAGCTGGATGTGTACCGGTACAGCGGTGCAATGTAGAATAAGGCGTACCTGAAATGAGATATGTAAACTCGGAGAAACACTTTGACAGCCAAGTCGACGAAATTAAGGATGTCGCATTATATAAGTACTAGAGAGCGTGCTCACATATCGAATCTGGACTGGTATTCGATCCAACTTCCGTTTCTGAAACCCCCCGCTCGCCGCTGCACTGGCTGTACCGGTACCGGTAGGTATCGTACCTGCTGGAACAGCACGCACAGCCATCTGCTGATTACATCGCATCTGACATCCACGTCTGTCGTCTGTCGTCTGTCATCTGCATCTGTGATCTGCATCTGAAATCGACCATTCTCCGTATGTCCTTAGTAGGTTGCGGGGACTGGATGCCACATTCATCCTATACTCTTGCTTCATCTGACGAATGGCGTAGAAGAATGATCTTGTTGTGATTGGTGGGTACCAGTACCGATAGGGGTTTTACCTTGGATATTTTGTTTTGCGATACCGCGATCACCGCAAAAGAACTACTGTAGTGACCAGCTGAAACGTATATCGTCTGATATACGGTAACGTCTGTACGTCCCATCACCATATAAACATAGCTTATCGTGGATAGAAGCACAGGATATCGTTTGATGCTTCATGGCACAATTTTTTAAATATCATGGCATATTTCACTCCAAGAACACATCAAGGACACGCAAAGAGAGAAAAGAGGGAACGCCCCAGCCAGCTGGGGGGCATGCATTCTCTGGAGGAAACACGATGTGTCAGCTACTGTGAATCGTGGTGATTGGACCATGGGGCATATCTTCGACGCCCAGCACTGCCTAGTACTAGGCTAGCTAGTACTACTCTATAGTAGTAGTACTTCAAGAAGAAGTGTTACCTTCCCAAAAGAGGTGATCAGTCTTGCAAGGGGGTCTACATCGTGCATCCTCTAACTCTTGCCCCGACAATGAGACGAAATTGAAAATACTCCAACCATTTTGGTCAAGGAGGAGATGAAGTAACAATTCCCTGTCATATCTTGGGGGGAAGACCTTAAAAAGTTTAGTAGAAATGATTGTTATATTTTTCTATACTTCGTTGTTTGGATGTGAGGTACTAGTGCATGTGCCCTTCTCAATTAATTGACACGTAGTATTCCAATAGATACCAAAATGGCCGCCGACCCGATACTTAGGAGAGAATATGTCTGGTTGATTCTAGGGGAAGAAGTGCCAAGAAAAAAAACATACAAATAAACGATTCACAGTCAACTAATATCTTATATTATACTGGGGTGTTATATTATACTATGGAGACCTTCGGCTATGAAGTCATGCGTTCTAGGAGCGAAACTTGAACAACGGTATCGCCACTCCACCACATCCCTGCTTTTCGTCGTGACAGAAGCCGCCACTAGTGTTCTGGGCTCAATCCAATTTTGGATTTAAACCAGAAGTTTTTTGTATCTCTGCTGGACCCAATGGTTCGCTGCAAAAGGCAAGGTTGCAAACAGACTGTCATCGGTTTGACAACGATATCGGCCATCTGGCAGTGATCTTCTCAGCAGAGAACACAGACATCCAAGCAAAACAACGACCGGTATCAAATCAAAGCATCGATAGCCTCATGGACCAGCCATCACAGAACAGTGTTGATTGTTGAGTCACGGGATGAAGAAGTGTTGTCGAAACTGGAGATGAAGAAGGAATGCCATACAGCATGTTCTTCACAAAAGAGAGCCAAAATAATGCTCCTGACGGTCCTTTGTCTTCATCATGGCCATGATAATATCAACAAGAACTCAACAGACGCCAACACAAAGAGGATCAAGTAGCAAGTTATCGTGTCCCCAATAATGTGGTGGAAATCAAAGCCCATTTCCGTCCACGGCTGATTGATATGTTTGGCAACAAAACAAGAGGATTTCAACCTTGCACAACGCCAGCAAAAGTGGGCAAATGTGCATGTGCTGGATGCGAAGCCGAGTCTTGTGCAAAAGAAGGACCTGGAGCGCACCGTTGCAAGTTTTGTTGCAAGTTTTGTGGTATCCCCGTCCATGCAGCGTGTTCCGTTGATAGATGATGGGTTGACAAAAGCGATGCCACCAACCCTTGCCTGGTACAGGTTTTGCAGTGAGCCATTATTGAGAAAATCCACAGCGAGGCCAGAGGTATTACATTTACATAAATATCTTGGTTTCTCGTGTCTCGTTTCGTTTCATTTGTTCGTTCCATCGATATTGATGTTTGATGTTTTCGTACATATTTGAATATATACCGTGCGGTATCTGAAACCAGACCAGTATTCTGGTCTACGTTCAAATTAGTACGATTTCTACGTAACAAAATGAGTCCCAACTTGAATTCGCATCGTGTATTCGTAACCCGGAGTGCCGATATACTTTTCCGCAATACCATGCGGGAACTAAAATTTCACTAGTAATCGTATGGTAGATGATTTCCAGGTATTGCGGAAAAGTATATGATTTTGATATACGTTTCGTGCGGAAATGCGCGGTAATGATATATCCTTCAGTAAGTCTGTACCAGGTACTGTACTCTTGAAAACCTCCTTCTTTCCTCTCTTCCTTTCCCCCCTCCTCTTCTGCCCTCCCCCCCCCCCTGAGTCAATCGTATGAAAGCGCAAGGATTAGAATGCCGCTTCGCGTGCCACGTGAGATAGATTTGATGTATAAAATTTATTGTAAGCGCTCTATGGCTTCAAAGTTCAAGTTCAAGTTCCCTAAAACTGCCGGTTATCTCCCAATCTACCGGAAAGTATTGCGAATCACACTGTGGTTGCCGGTTACTCCACGAAATGATCAGATTCGATCAGATGCAATACCGGTACCCTACTGTAGGCTATTACGGCAAGATGCTAGATGCGCCCTCTCTGGCCCCGCAGATTACGAGACCTATGACGATCTTTTAAACAAGGTACCAGTAGTCAGTATGATATATAATTACAGTATGACATACCGGTAGGATGTGAAAAGGTTGCGATGTACAGTACCTTCCCCAACCGCAGTTCAAGCTATATCTTGGATTAAGAAAATATAAATTACTGTATTGTTTTTTCCCCATTTTCGCTCAGATTATAATCGAATACGTTTGATCCCACTTTTTATTTTGGCAATACCACATTGCCTTGTCTTTGATCTTTCAAATATGACTGTTTTGTAATAGGACAGCATGATTGTTCACATAACATAATAGTTTACTTTTACTACTTTTGATGCTGTTGTCAAGCTAGGCAGCCGTAGCTGTGTTCATTCCTTTTCCGTGTAGCATGTTGCCCATCAGATCGTGGATCTCCTCTGGACTGAACAGATCGAGTTTCACGACTTGACATTCATACACCAACCATTCCACGAATTGGATGTGAGATGAGGCAGTTTGAACCATGCCTTTGGATAGCTCGATCTCTGCCAAATTGTTGGAGGCAATAATCGTAATCAACAAAGTCGTTGGATTGAGACAGGAAAGATTGCCATTCTGCAAGAGCCTTAGGCATGCCGAGTATAGCTGTTCGGCCTTGTCAATGCATCGGGAGCGGCCAGTGCTCAGTCCCTCTTGGTGATATAGTAGCGCGAGATTGTAGCAAGTAGCAGCGCAGTAGGTGCTAAGGCGGTTAGCCAGTGTTTCGCTAGTCATACTAGCAGAAGAAGTGGATTCAAGGATCAAGGCCTTTTGATAGACAAAGACTCCCGATGGACCACTCTTGACAAATCGGACAGTTTTGGTGGTATGGTAATGATGATAGCGTTCATTCCCCATGTCTGTTGGCAGATGCATCGGATCAGTAGATGGAGACTGAAGATCATTATACTCGGGAGACACACCACTGAGGAGGTGCTGGGCAATCCGTAGAGACTTGCAAAACTCGTCAGCAGCTTGGTTCACATGATTGGATGCAGCATGTGCAACACCTTCATTGTTGCTTCTCATGCTTTCTTCCATTAGTTGCGATGTCATGGTTTGTTTGTGGTGTTTGTTTTTGTTTTCACGTTGTGGATAAAATGAGTGCGCTGGTGTCAAACAAATTTGACCATGCGAGAGAAGCTTTATTCTTTCTGGGTTCTATTGGTTTGTCCGTATCGGGGCTTCGCATTTTCTTGTGAAGCACGAAAAGATAATTGTGTGATTACTTCGCATCGGTGTTTTTCGGTCCCGGCTCCGAGGAGGTCTGTCATCTACAAGGGTGTGTTCATACGATGTGTTCTTCCGTGGTGAAAAGAACACGTCAGAAAGTGCCAGACTTTAATATTTGTTTGACAGAAGTCATCTGGTTCAGGCTGTGACGCTTAAACCCTTAAATGGCTATGCGGCACTCAACAATGAAGGCAAGTGTTCTCGTACCTATCAATCACATTTCAAGGGTCAACATGCTGATTCTTTGGCTTCTGGTTTTGTTCTCATGCTATCCCCAGGTGCTAACTGACAATTTGATAGCACTCGATTCAATGAAACTGGACCTGGTGGCCGGTACCGGTACCGGTACCATACCGGCGGTACTGGCGCTTCTTTACCTAGTCGACGAGGAATGAATCTTCTGGCGGGAGCCTACAGTACCGGAACAGTGAAGGTACTGCAGTGGTAGTACTACTCGCACTGCTTTGCAATGTTCGTGCAGGACTTCTTGGAGCAAGGGGTAGCTAGCTTTACTATGGTTACCGATATCTTAATCTACTGCCTATCATCATTGCAGTGCTTTGTTGTACAACAGCTTTGGTATGACAATGATAATACTTCATCACTATAATCATCCCACCTGCCTGGAGGGGCTGATCTTGCCTCTCGCCCTATCATATTCGAATATTGTTCCCTCCGGCACCTGGCACTGCCTCATGATGCCTCGCAACTCTGAATGAGAAGACCTGTTCAGTGGCAGTATTATTGGCTCCCTTCTCACGTGGGTAAATCTCTTCTTGGGGAATAACAGTACCCAGTACCAGGTACCGGTACCAGTACCAGTACCCTGTTGGATGGTGGGCAGCAGGAATCATTTCTGGCTCTTCTCACGTGGGTTATCTTTTGGTCTCCATGACGGGATTATCACTGTTCGCATGACGGTTAAAATTTACCTGCCGCATCGATTCGAAATACTGTTTAGCGAGGACGAGATGTAAAAATCATCGCAGGTAGATAGTGGAACTGAGAGGCGGATTTCATTGTCAATACTTCTTTCCTTTCCTTTCCTTCAGTAACTGTACTAAACAACCCCAATATTACCAGGAATGAGAGAAATAAAACAATCAAGGCTTCACCGCCTTACTTTTTGCTTTATTTTGCTTGCACATGTGGATGCATCCAATGACAACGAACGTGATGATAACAGCAAGTGCGGACTCTATCTCGCTCCTTCTTCTATTCCCCATGCCGGCCTTGGTATGTACGCAGGGCATCGAGAATACAAACATGGAGAACAAGTGACTGATGGAGATATCGTTATCCCAATCTTTGAAATGGAATGGCACAATCAATTGAAAGACTGGGAATACGATCATTTCTTGTGGGATGAATACACATGGAACGGAGAAGTTTTCCCAGGCAGTGAAGAAGAACAAGAAGATGTTTCCCAACTTCAATTTGCCAGTCCTGGAGTTGGAGCAGCTGCCAACAGTTACCTGAGCTTGGTCAATATTAATGATGAATGGATTCAATTAGATTTGGGAACTGATGTCAAGAGTCCGGGAGCTGGAGCACAAACTCCGTATCATGGACGTTCATTTTCAGCCACTTCCGACATTCCAATGGGTGGAGAAATATGGGTCAGGTGAGTTTTGAGTTTTATAATCCCAATGAATGTATCCCATGTGGTGCAATCACCATTTCGTGGACTGACTGATAAATTTCTGATTCTGAATGATTGATTATGATTGATTGATGTTCGCCCTACCAAAACGTATGGATTATTACATCTTCGGTCTATAGCTATGGATCTAATTACTTTGCCAGTAGAGAGAGGGTATATGGTACGTATTTGAAAGATGGAACCATCTTGTTTGGGTTTCGGATTGCAACTTTTTATCTTACGTTCTGCATTTTTAACTTGTATAGGGTACATTCCATTGCCAGACTCCTATCCCCCCGCCGACAAGCTGCTGAAGCGATTTGAACGCATGCGTATTCGGACGGAAGCAGAGCTATCAGACCAATTGTCACCTGGCATTTGGGAAGACTTGCTGGATACTATCTTGGACTATGGCAAGACTTGGAAGACTTCCCGAGTGTTGAATGCCCTGCCCGACTCTGCAGAGATTATTCCTGATGTCCTCATGGATGGTGGGACTGCCTACAGAGACTTCAATAGAAGTACCCAGGAACTATCGTGGTTGGAGGAGAATGGCCAATGCATGGACAATATCAAAGTTTTGGAAGTTAGCCAAGAATCTCCAGATGCTGGACGCGGAGCAGCTGCATCCCGATTCATTCCCAAGGATGGACTTGTGGCTCCAGCACCTGTCATTCACGTCCCAGACTATGAAGTACTCGAAATGTTTCTCCCGGTGGATACGCCCCGTACCAAGGGTGGAGGCTTCAATGTCGTCCCAGATATGGAAGGGCCAGTAATGTATCAACTATTACTGAACTATTGCTTTGGACATGAGGAATCAACTTTACTCTTGTGTCCATATGGTCTACTAACTGCTCTTATCAATCATTCATCTGAGAATGCCAATACTCGAGTCGTCTGGAGTGACGCAATGAGGCATAAGGAATGGCTGAACAATCCCATTGAACACTTTGGTGAGGAATACATTGCCGGGCTGCAGCTTGACTATGTGGCTCTGAGGGACATCGAAGAAGGTGAAGAAATCTTGATTGATTATGGCGAACCATGGGAAAAGGCTTGGGAAGAACACAAGGCAACCTTTGCTCCAAGGGAAAACTATGTACCTGCCTTTGAATTGAATAAACTACTGCCGGATTTGGAGTTTCGCACCGTCCGTGATCGACCCTACTTTCTAGATGGGGTACAGCTCCGATGTCGAACTTGGTACGTCAACAAATTCCAAGCCGAAGAAGAGGAGGAGTTGGATGATTACCCGTGCCAAATCCTCAAAAAGCTAGGAAACGATCGATACCAAGTCCAAGTGGTGAATGATGAGTCAGATAACGTGATAAGTCGCTTCGCTGGGGAACGCATGCTCTGGGACGTTCCAGTTGATGCCTTTTTGTTTATAGATCTGCCATATGAACGACTGCATCACTTTCAGTTTGATGCCTTTCGTCATGCCATGACAATGCCGGACGATATTTTCCCAGAAAAGTGGAAGAACATCAAGAAGGAAGAAAACGACGAAGCGACTGCCTCTACTACAGAATCAGCAACTGCTTCCGATTCTGAACTATAAATAATCCTCATCAATATAGTTGCAAAGAGAGTTTCAATTTGCCATGCCTACCTACAAGCTTAGTAGTCGTTGACGTATTTTTAATACTGTCTATGTAGTGGTCGACCTAGTCGAGAATTGCCAGCCATCCTCATATCATATATCGTCCGCCCGCATTTTTGGCACGATCATCATAATAATATATACCCATCTCATCCTCATCTCTCCAATGAAATTGATATGAAAGGAGCCTTGGTAATTTTCTCAATTGGAGTGTTGGCGTTATTACCAAATGTCACACTTTGTGCTTCGGTGAAGGAGAATGGCGACGATTCTTCCAGTGAGAAAGAAGACAACAGCAAATGCGGCCTTTTCCTAGCGCCATCGTCGATACCAAACAGCGGGCTGGGAATGTTTGCTGGGCATGGTGGGATATCGGAGAATGCGACGATCGGTGATGGTGATGTGATTATACCTTTCTTTGAGATGGAGTTTCATAATCAACTAAAGTCGAAAAAGCATCGAAATGATTTCCTTTGGGATGAATATGTGTGGGCATCCCACACGTTTCCTGGTGCGGAACAGGAAACGGAAGACTTGGAAGATGCGGAGTTTGCTTGCCCGGGGATCGGTTCAGCTGCTAATAGCTACTTGGCTTTGAAGAACGTTTTGGATCAAGGAGTGAGTTTGGGATTGGGTACTGATCCTGGCAGTCCAGGTGCCGGAGCTCATTCACCGTATCACAACCGATATTTTACTGCAACGGAAGACATACCCGAAGGTGGCGAGGTTTGGATGGAGTGAGTCGAGTCGTTCGTTCAGCTGCTAATTAGTTTCATGCAAGTTGAAGAGGATCTATTGTCTCACCTGTCTAATGTCTGTAGCTATGGGCCGGCATACTTCAAGTCAAGGGTAAACGAGTATGGTAAGTTCTTGATTTTGTTTCTCTCTTCATGGTTGTTTCATTCGGGGATCTAATGTCGCTATCAACTCATCAATAAATATTACAGGTTATATCCCACTCCCAGAATCTTACCCTGTCGCCGATGATCTTCTAATTGACTATCAGGAAATGCGATTTGTCGACTGTAACAGTAGCGATATTTCCAATCAGACATGGGAGGAGCTGTACCAGACGATCCTCGACTTTGCGCCCATTTGGCGGACGTCTCGGGTCCTCCACGCGCTCCCAACGAATGCTAGCAAAATTGAAGACATTTTGAATGATGGCGGCACAACCTATAGAGACTATGATGCTAGTCGACGAGATCTGGCTTGGCTGGACGAGCACGGTCAATGCATGGACAATATCAAAACGGGCATGATGAGCCAAGAGTCTCCGCATGCTGGCCGTGGGGCACTTGCCAATCGCTTCATTCCTGCTGGAGGCCTTGTGACCCCTGCACCATTGATACATATTGGAGACATGGACGAGCTGAAAATGTACCAGCGAACTACGATCAAAAAGGCTCGTTTCGAATCGAAAGTTGTCCCGGATATGAATGGTCCCACGACTTACCAACTAATACTGAACTACTGTTTTGGTCATATGGATTCGACACTCCTCCTATGTCCATATGGTCTCTTGACTGCGCTGATCAATCACTCTTCCAAAAATGCCAATACCAGAATCGTTTGGAGTGATGCCATGCGGCGGAAAGAATGGTTGGAAGAACCAATTGATGAATTCGCCGACGAATCGATTGCTGGCCTTCAATTTGATTTTGTGGCACTGAGAGATATCCAAGAGGATGAAGAAATCCTGATTGACTATGGCGACGAATGGGAACAAGCGTGGCAAGAACACATGCAAAACCATCAACCTCGAGACGGCTACATACCAGCCTTTGAATTGAACCAGCGTTTGAATGAGATTGAGTTTCGTACATTGGACGAACGGCCATATTCTGATGATGGGATCCAACTGCGATGTCGAATCCAGCATGCCAGACAATGCTTTTCACCAAGAAGTGAACACTTGAAGAAAGATTCTATCGCCTGTGCAATCATTGAAAAGCTCGGTGAGAACAAGTACACAGTGAAAGTTCTCGAAGACGGTGTGGACGACGATCTACAATTGGAGATGCCGGCAGATGCCTTCTTCTTTGTCGATTTGCCATATCAACGCCATCACTTTAGTTTTCAGGCTTTTCGACATGCCATGATGATACCAGATGACATGTTCCCGGACGTGTGGAAGTCTCGCACGGGCGACGACAAAAGGGAGGCTGGATCTCAGGAGCAAGACGAAGAGGACAGCTCTGATGACGGCGAAGATGAGGTCTTTGTGGACGAAGAGGAAGATGCGTCAGCTTTCAAGAGAAAGCCGAAAGGATGGAAGCATGATGATTCAGCCATAATAGAACTGCCGGAAGCCTAACAACAGGTTTGAATCCTTATAGAGATCTGCTTCCAATATGTTTTACTTTTTTGTCTTCGTTTACTTTCACTTATTATCATTATCTTCTTCTTCGTCTAGTACGCCGCACTTGGCAATTTTTACCAATCGGCTCGGTCTTCCATTTCTACTGCCGCACAGCTCAATGAGTTTGACGACGTCCCAGCCTTGTTCGACTACACCAAATACCACATGTCGGCCATTCAAATGTGGCGTTTTGGCTGTTGTTATGAAGAACTGACTACCATTGGTGTTCCTCCCCGCATTGGCCATACTCAAGAGTCCTGGCCCAGTATGCTTCAGGTGAAAATTCTCATCCGCAAACTTGTTCCCGTAGATCGAAAGTCCACCAGTTCCATTTCCAAAGGTAAAGTCTCCACCTGAAGCAAACGTTTGGTCATTATTAGTATCATGAGAAACAACCAATAATCGAATGTCACATTATAATACAATGTATCCTCAAAACAAATTTCATGAATGCACACACACACCTTGAATCATAAAATCGGGTATAATCCGGTGAAAGACAGATCCCTCATAGGCCAACTTGGCACCTTTGGGGTGAGAGGTATCTCCACGGCACAGAACCTCAAAATTCTTGGCAGTCTTGGGAACCACTCCTCCATACAATCCCATAACAATACGGCCAGCCGCGTGACTATCGATTTCCACATCAAAGTAGACTCGAGTTGTAATTTCAGCTTGTGGTGGGACGGGTCCGTCTCCTGTATGTTCCGCTTGATCCAGTGATAATAGATCTCCAGCAGCAGCAGCATCATCATCCGTGCTGGAAATATAGGCAATTCCCTTCGTGGCAACAACGTAGGTTCCCACCATGGCCACGACGGTGCCAATTTGCCAGGGAAGATTTGATGATCCACCGCCTGAAGACGAAGAAAAGGACCTGGATGCTTGGAACGTATTCTTGGACAGTATTAGACAAGAATGGCGTGATGATGATCGCGTCATCAGGAGACCGGATGACAGGCCGGAAGATCGAATGGCTCTGATAGTAGTAGGTGTCATGATGTAGAAATATTATGAATAATTGTGATGCGAAGTGATGAAGCGATAAATAGGAGAGGAATTGATAGCTGATTATGCCCGAATGATATGGTGACAATAGTATTGATAATATTCGCTACGGTGCGACTTATTATATTCTATTATTGTCAGCATCATCATCGTCTCGTGTTGATGATGTGTTATTGAGTCGGAGAAATCAAATTAGTTTAAAAGTACACAGGCAAAGTATGCGCGCATTTATGCGCACACGAGAAATATTATGAGAGTATATTTTTGAAGTCGATGTATTACATTATCATCTTACCTCCGCTGCTATGAGAACTCGGATATCAATAGTACAAGTTTGGAAGAGAAGAATACATGATTGGAGAATCGAGAAAAGATGTCAATCTTCAATCACTGAAGTTTCCATTTCAGCAGTAGGCTTTGACTCATCATCGTCGTCGTCATCTCTGAATGACCAATTGGTGTCTGAGCTTCAGCCACATTTCGAACGCCAAGAACCTTTACTTCTTCGTGGAGCGGTATCTGAAGCACCTGCCTTGGAGCTATGGAAATCTTTTGATTACTGGCAAAGCAAAGTTGGGCAAGAGATGGCCAAGGTAGAAATTGGTGGATCCTATGCATCCACTGGTGGTTCAGATGGGGAATCGTCCACGGCAGAGATTCCTGTGGAAGGTTATCTACAATACCTGAAGCTCTTCCAAGAGCGCCACGGCAAGTCCGTATCTCCAGATATGGAACTACCAGCATCAGAAGAAATGGTGTATATGGCGCAGAATGATCTATTCCAAAACCTGTACGAGGACATCATTCTACCTGACTTTTGTCAGGACGAATCCAACCGAGTGGGCATTGGCCGACTTTACAGCGTTATGTTGTGGCTGGGACCTCATAGCAGTGTTTCACCTATGCACAATGACCCTCTAGATAACTTATTTATGCAGTATGTGGGGCGCAAACGTGTCCTCTTGTTTCCACCGGACACCCAAGTGTATGCGGGTCACAACGGGCAGCAGTCCAACACAAGTCCCATCGAACCAGAACCTGAAAATGAAAGTTTAATCAAACAACAATATCCACTCTTTGACCAAACTACCGGGGTTTCGTGCGAGGTTGGTCCTGGGGATGCTCTTTACATTCCGTCAAAGTGGTATCACTACGTAAAATCTCTGGACATTGCAGCAAGTGTCAACATATGGTGGAGATAATAGCTATAAACGTATACTTGCTCATATAGTCGTTAATGATACACTAATTGTTAATATCAGTCTAATAGTATCCCCAATAACAGTGTTTGACTTCATCCGTGCAGACTTCGCAGCGTCCATCTGACAAATCCTCACCAATGCATTCATAACACCGATCCAACTGCCCCGAATCGAAGATGGCGGGAGCCGACAGATCGGCAATACACAAGCCTTCATTTTTGGCAATCATAAGAATGAATATCATGGTAAAAATCACCAAGCAAAAATTGTAGATGACCCCCACCAACAAATACCCCAAGTTTGACAGGGTGACTTCTTGCTCTTGTTTCCACCTACGAACGTTGATCATTTTCCTCATCTCTGCCTGATCATCCATTCGTTGTTCCTTTCGCTGGGCTTCCAATTCCTCGTCCTCGAGAGTCATGCTAAACGTACTCGACGGGTGGTGTTCGTCACTTCCCATGGGTATTAGGCGCATGGACTCCGAGGAAACACGCCTCACATCAGAGGATGAGTACTGCCGCCGGACTGGTGATCGCCCCAAGCGTGGGCCCGGGCGGTAACTGTGACCAGGACTCGCATCGGATCGTAGTGTTGACGACCCAGTGGATCGGTTGCTAAAAGCGCCAGAGGAACCTCGTCTGACGGGTGACAACGAAGCGGTTCGTTTGATGATTCGGTGTCGAACGGGAGATCTGGAAGAAGCTGCAGAGTTGTTCTCGTGGACTAAGGACCCAGGAGACCCTCGTCGCATCGGGGACAACGAAGTCCTTCGTGGATGGAAGGATTCCCGTACAGGCGACAAGGATGCGCCCCTCGATCCTATCGACTCGGTGTCACCCAATCTTTCTCGTAGCGGTGACCTGGACGAAATGCGTTTCTGAGAGTTGGAAAAGGTTCGAACCGGAGATAGAGATCCGTCTGCCGATCGACTTCCCAGACTCATCGAGCGCGATGACCTCTCGTGCATGGGGGATCTCGATACTATTCGTTTTGGTGAATTTGAAAACTTTCGAGAGCCTGGTGCAGAACGATTGTTTGAATCGGAGCGAATGGAACCAGATGATTTCGGTCCTGTTGGCGTAAAAGGTGGCTCTGGATAGGCACCATTTTCCCCACTCAGTTGCTTCATCGCCCTGCCTTTGTATTTGCCCGGAGAATTGGATGCCCCCCTACCTTTGTATTTTCCAGGAGAATTGGATGTTTCCCTGCCTTTATATTTGCCAGGAGAATTGGATGTTTCCCTCCCTTTGTATTTGCCAGGAGAATCGGGTGTTTCTCTTTCTCGAAGATTCTTCATTCTTCGCCTTCGATCTCGCATTTGGTCCTTGATTTCCTTGATTTCTTCTTCAGTCTCAATGATTAAGCCCTCTTTCTCCTGGTACGTGATTTTCTTCAAACGATATACCACAAATTCACAAATGATTGCAATGACTTCGATCACCCACATAAACACGGCTTCTGCAATATCGTCATCAAAGAACACTGCGAATGTGACCAGGAACCCAAGAGTTGGATTGATCAGATTAAATGGCAATTCGTGTCGAACCACAGGAACAACCTCCAGAAAAATCATGGTAATGTAGACGTAGACAATGACTCTGATAATCAAGTCCCAATTTGTCTTGACGATGGTTGACAAGATGGGAACACCACAACATGTATTCACAGTACGGAAGGTGGACACCGCAACAAGGCCAGCAAGAAAATCACAAAACAGAGAAGCCCATGTGAGTATTCTCATTCGTCGTTCTCGTGAGCCTTCGTTACGATGCGGTGGCAAAATGTACATGTACCGCAGGAATTTCTGTATCTTTGAATCATCTGGAAATGAGTCTGCACGATTGCTGTTGGCCAAATTTCCACCCGGCGGGGCAGCTCTATCAGACACTGGTTTCCGCTCGGACTCCGGATGCAAATGTCTGAAGGAAGGTCTCGCCATTTCAGAGTCATCATCTTCTATCGACGGTGTAGAGTTCTCTGTATCTTTGGATCTGGATTTCTGAATGTGCTCCTCTAACGCCGAACCTAATTCGCTTGTATCGAAAACAGAAAATTGCGCCGAGTCCGGAGTCTTCTCCCCAAACGATAAAACCGAAACTGGAGGTTCCGCGGCAAAGGATAGTGTTGAAGCAGGTTGGCCATAATCCTCTTCATCGTCACTTTCTTGGTGCGACTTGATTGTTTGTAAAGATTGCATTCGATTCTTTGGTCTCTCTGGGCCGTCATTGTGCACACTGGTGGGCATTGTGAGTTGTGAATGTTCACTCGGATTCTCATCCATATCAATGACAGCACCTGTAAAGTCAATCCTTGCCGAGTTTTGATGTTCTATGGCAGAACGACCTTTTGGCGACAACGATTTCCTCGACTTTGGAATCAATGGAAGACTTCTCGCCCCACGCGATGATCCATCTCCATCATTGTCCTGTGAACTTTCGGTGGTCTTTTTTATGGAACTCAATGATCGCTGCAGTTGTTCCCTCTTTTTCCTCAACATCGTGGACAGCGATCCTGGTGACGCTGGCATCTTTTCGACTTGCGACACGTCGGTATTCTCTCTCACTGGGCTCAGAGACCGACTCGCTGGTCGTCGTGTCGTCTTTCTGGATGACGCAAATGATTCGTCATCCTCTCTGGAAGTGGCTCTTCCTTTCCTAACTGGACTCGATGATCTACTTCTCGCTTCTTTCCTGACTGGGGATCTACTTCTTTCAGCCTGTTTATTTCTCTTTTTCAGAACATTCGTGAGTTGTGCTGATTGGTCGCCCTTGAGCGCTTTCGAAACAGTCTTTGCTTCCCGTATCGGGCTCAAGGTTAGACTCCTTCTGATTTCGTTCGTTTTCTTCTGTAGCACACCAGACAATGGTGAAAGTTCCCCTACTTTGACAGCTTTTGATACATTCCTTGGTTTTCGGACTGGACTAGTAGACTCACTCCTTGCCATTGCCTTCATTTTATTCCTCAGAATGGTGGATACCCCAGCGGATTCATTTTCTTCAATCACTTTTGCCAATGAGCCTCTCCGCTGCCTAGTTGGACTCAAGGACTGACTCGAACGAACGGATGATTTTCTACGAGGAAGGGTCCATAGTTCTCCACTTCCATCGGTTACACTGGAAACATGGCTACCTTTTCTGGTTGGACTTAAGGATCGGCTGCTCTCTTCCCTTTTCTTAAGAAACTTTGACAAGGCACCGTCTGATGAAGTTGAAACATTGCTGGCTTTCCTCACTGGACTTGCAGAATGGCTCCTTGAGCTTTTTATCTTCTTTTTCTTAGCTGCCCCTTTTCCCTCGGACGCAACCGACACTTTACTATCGATTCTTGTCGGACTTATGGATCGAGTCCTCCCCCTTCCCTTTCTAGCTTGCGCTACTGTTGATTTTTCTCCCTGACCATTCCCTGTGTTTAGTTTGTTTCCCCCCTGTTGCTTTGGACTAAGCAGATTTGATTGTTTCAGTCGCCTTGTAGATCTCAGAGAGCCTGGTGAATCTGGAAATGGCTGATTCAGAATGTCCTGATTTGGTACAAAATTACCAGCTTTTGGTCGAGCACTTGGCTTCCGTTTTCCAATCACCCGACCTCCTTTTTTGGTAAACTCGGACGAGGACTTGAAGGCTTCCGATGTCTCAGCTTCAGACTCTGTATCAGTTTCCTTTATCGGTCGTTGCTTTTTCTTCTTGCCTGATTTCTTGGTAGTCGTCTTTTCGAGAGGATGAGTTGAAGCTGAAGATGAGTCATTATTATTATCATTATTATTCTGAAGATCAACGAGACTCTCTGTCTTGGATTTCTTCTTTAGCGGTTGCTTCCCCTCAACTACCATTGCATCATCGAGTCTAGAAAATAGCAGCTATAGTATTGTCTTCTGCTTGCAAGTCGTCGATCTTCGTGTATTGTATTGAAAATTCGGGTATAGACGCTCCTGTGTATGCAGTTTTTGCAAGTTGATATGAGAGGGTGTGACACGGCAATGAAATAATTCACCGTACGGTACCTGGTAGTATATATTACAAGTACGGTACGCGATCGGTGGCATATTTATATATCTCTTATTGGACATTTGTGAAAATGATAGAGAAATAGCTATGCGACAGGCCCAAGACATTCGGAATTACGTATTTATCGCGAGGAACGTGACTTTTTAGTTATGCTGGCATAATTTCAATGGGGAGAACCCGTCCAAAAAATACCTTTTGACCGCAGAGGAGGAGAGTCTGTTGTCCTTTGAAAAAGTTTTATTGCTCCCTATATTTTGGTATCTACCCCCGCGCTTACAGCATAATATATCAATCTACAAAGACTTTTTCTTTTTCTTGTTTCCCTTTTTCTTGTTGGTCATGGAGCTTACAAGATAGAGTAGTATGGATACCAGCCACGACAAGATGGCCATAATGACATGGACAATGGCCATTGGAACGCTCCATTGGCTATCAGCAACGTCGGAAGATTCAGATTCCAATACCGACGAATTTTGACCTACTTCCTTCTCGTTGGCAGTCAAAGAATCGGATGAAGTCTTGCCCTTTTTCTTCTTTTTGTTTCGTTTCTTGTTTTTGGAACTACTGCTTGTTGTAGTAGCTGACGAGTTGTTGACCTCTTCCTGAGTAATTGATTTTTTCGCTTGGGACGATGATTCCACCGGTGTCTTCGGCTGAGAACGAGACTGTTGTCTGGGTTTATTTGTTGTTGGTGACTTTTGGGAAACCGCACCAAGTTTTTGGTTGCTGTTTCCACCATTATCATTGTCACCATCCTCAACATCACTATCTTCTTCCTCGCTGCTACTTGCCGCCATCATGGCGCTGAACAAATCTTGCTTTTTCAGTTTATTCTTCTTTTTGGTGACGGTTGTTGGGCCTTTTTTATCGGCTGGTGTGATCCAATTGGTGATTGGCTTTCGCGACGAGGAGGAAGAGGAGGTCGACTGATTATACGAACCAGTCATACTCTTCTTGCCCGAGCGCTTATTATTATTACTACCACCGCCAAATCGTTGTTCAAACTCATTTCGACATTCTTGTAGGCGCCATTCAAAGATTTCATCTTCTTCCAACCACCCCTGACTGGCATACTCCAATTGCTCAATTTCTTGCAACAAGTCATCTCGTTTCGCCACCAATTTACTTTCTTGGACACTCAAGAGTCGTCCACTGTTATTATTGACATCCAGATCCAATGGAATGTTGAGAGCATACACTTGTTTCCAAAGTTTGCCTAATGCTGCATGATGTTGCAACTTGGGCATGGGCACGGGAGTGAAGGATTTCAACATGGCTTTGCGTTCCCGCAACTTGGCCGCATGTTTGTCCGATTTATTCTTGGCGGCGGCAATTCGATGCTCGACTTGTTCCAACAAGAGATTTAGTTCGTATTCGGTTAAATCGCCGACTTCTGCCTGTTGGTGCATTGCCTCTTTGACAAATTCTTGCTTTTCGGTAATTTCTGTCAAGACATTGTCATAGTAGTGTTGCAAATCCGATGGCACTACTTGACCTCTCATGAGCAAATCTTCGACCGGTTCTATGATTTGTTCGACAAAGTCTTGTTGTATCAAGGCAATTAAAGCCTTCTTTTGGGACCATGTCGTGCACTTTGCCTTGACCATATTCTGAAAGACATTGAGACTGGATGCCGCCGCCTTGTATTCCATCGAATTGACAGGAAAAAGTATTGTCGTGTTGTCAGAATACGCTTGACTTTCATCATGATTGTTGTTGTTGTTGTTATTGTTGTTATTGTTGTTGCTGCCGGAAGACGATGATGATACTGCATCCATCTTGGGAAACAGAACAACAGTCTTCAAGTTCTTTCCAGTATCATGCTGGACCTTGTACATACCCTGACATTCCATCACACAGGAGGCTCCCCGATCTTCGACAAAGCCACATTTGTTCTGAAGCGTCGATGTGACAACCTTCATGGCTTGCGCATGATATTTTTGTCGGGATTGCTTTCCAGCTCCTGTCACCAGCGTGATGCGAATCATTTCCTGTCTTGCCGAAAATGGTTGCGATAGCGCATCGGCCACCACCTGTTCAATCGTATCTGGTCCCAATCCTCCAAGGTCAAAGACTTCACTTTCCGTGGCGGATCGAATGGATAATGCCAACCCATGGGTCACTGGTCCCTTATCATTGGTTCCCATGTATGTAGTATGTGTAGTGTTAACTTTATAGATGAGGTTGTGGTAGGATTTCTTTATTGATACGTAGCTATTATTTTAATAATAAACGATCAATAATGAAGAGCATCACTGATTTGAGATTCTCAATCTCGTTTCGATCATGCGAATCAATCATTCAATCGAAGCTTGTGGAAGATATGACCATAGACGGCAACGTCTGTACACGTACGTGTACGTCCTCTCACTGCATAAACATACTTTATCGTGGGTAGAAGTCATTGGATATCGTGTAATATTTCATCACAAAGACAAGAATGCAGTATATATTTCACTCCAAGAACGCTGATGAGCCATACACGGGAGGCACCCAGCCAGCTCAGGGACGTACAGCCTCTGGAGGAAGCACGTTGCCTCCATCGATACCAGCTATTGTGCACGCTGACAGGACCTTGGGGCATATGATGAACCCCAGTGCTGGCGCCGATAGGACCGCTGGTGGTGACTGACTCGAACGCCAAACATAGAAAGCCAAAACTCAGGAGGTCTGTTAGGTGCCAAAAGAGACAACGTTTGGCGAAGAAGTGTCTAGAGTAAGAAACAAATAGGGGAACGTTGCATCTTTGTGTACAGATAGTGGATAGTAGGATCATTTATATTACTTCCTCCAATGTAGTAATGCGTATTCAAGCTCACAAGATAGACAATAGCCGTAACCAAGAATAGATTTCAAGCTGCTGTCTTCTTCTTACATTCTCATGTGGTCTGGACGAAAGCATTTAGAAATGACACTGCGATACCGGTAGGCGGTACTTGTACCATTCAGTACGAATAGGAATAACTTCAGAACGTATACTCTTTCTTCGCGTTTGAAGTCTGTTTTCAACCGACTTTTGCTTTGACTTCTTCGACCATACAAAATCGTATCCAAAACGAAGAATGCAGAACAATCGAAACGCAGCAGAATCTTGCACGGTTGACACGATGAGAGTTTCCAATAGTCTTTGTTTGTGGCTAATCTGTTTTCACCTTCCTAGTTTTTTACAAGGTGCTGTGACTGAGAGAAAGAGTCCTAGCATTCGCCATGGGAAAGTGAATAAGGGAACAGTCCATGTCTTTGTGCTTGCTGGACAATCCAACATGGAAGGTCACGGGGACGTTGATGCCAGGGATCACAAAACCAACACACCAAAGAATGGAACCCTATTGTATCAGCTCCATGATCCAAGGACTCGGGGAGAATTCAAGAAATTATGGGATGACAAGGCAGACACTTGGAGAAATTTGACAGATGTCAAGGTTTGGTTCAATGAATTTGGAATCGAGCATGGCGTCAATGGATCCACCATTCCTGGAATAAACCGAAAGGATTATTTGGCTGGAGACTTGTCTACTGGGTATGGAGCTGGTGGAAATGCTCATGCGATTGGTCCTGAACTGGGATTTGGATTCAATCTCAAGCTTCCAAAAGGCGACAAGGCTCTGATTATCAAGACTGCATGGGGAGGTGAGTGGCTGTACTATAGCATTCTTCGCTTGTTCCTATAGCGTATACGAATTGCTATACTAACAATTTGCCCTCATGGACCGAACATAGGCACAGAACTGGCCTCAAATTGGCGTCCTCCCTTGTCGACTACTACTTTTGACCCCTACTGTGTGTTGCCAAAATGCAATCCATACCAAGTTGGACATCTGTATCAGGTCATGATTGAAGATGTAGAAAGGCTGCTAAAGCCGGGTGTACTAGGCAAGATTTACCCAGATCTGGAGGGTATGACTCCTGATATTGCTGGATTTGGATGGTTTCAGGGGTGGAATGATGGTACGTTTTAGTTCTATTTTGTTATCATCCTGCTAACTCATTATGCAAGTCTTACCTATGTACTTTTTGTCAATTCCATCATAGGTTGCAATGTGAACGCTACAGCGGCATATGAGACAAATATGGTCCATATGATTCAAGATTTGAGGCGTGCCTGGAAGAAACCAAAGTTACCGGCGAGCATTGCAATTTCAGGATTTGGAGGGTGGTTGATTCAAGGGCAGGGAAGGACCCCTCCTGACTGTTGGGATGGACCAAATGCTACCAAGATCCATTGTCACTGTGACGGAGATCGAGATTGTCGAAGAATAGATATTATGCTTTCACAAATTGCGGCCGCAAATTTGACAAGGCATCCAGAATTGGAATGTTGTGTGGAAGCGGTGGAAACCCGCAATTTCTATCGTCCTCCAGAGTATTCTCCTTCGGGACAAGGTTTTCACTTTAATCACAATTCGGAGACTTATTATCTGATTGGAAAGGCAATGGCAGAGAGTATGCATAATATGATGTGGAGTATCGATGGCGACGTTCCTGGTGGACATGACCAGCGTAAGATTGTTGTGCCGTCGTCATCCTCATCAGCTTCGTCGATAGAAGAGCGTGAAGCCTTTACCCTCGACTTGGACTCTAATTACCGAAGGATCGAAGAAAATTAGAACTCGTCAAAATGAAGTAAACTAGATACATGTAGGATGTTCTATTGCCGACGTCGTGCACTGGTTGTCGTTTCTTATTGCGTATTCCTTGGTCCCTAATGATCAAAATAATAATATTGCTGGACGCGTTTTATCTGGATCACATTTGAGTACATGTACGCATCAGTATTACAGATGAGCGATGACTCGAGACATGTCATGCAAAGAGCGCGTGCATGATCGATAATCCGGCCGACAGTTTTACATATGGACACATTACTTTGTACACAAAAAGTACTCGCTGGCTCTCTAATAGGTGGCATGCAGACGCGACTTTTTATTCATTTACCTGGTATTTTGCGGTTCGAGAAAGTGATCACCGCGATTGATGAATGATGCGATCTGATCTGCGTGCGAGAGATGATTATGATTCCATATATTATAGACACGACGACTTACAACACCACCATATTCTTACTGTCTCGCATCTGAAGGTAGTATCATGTCCGAACCAGGCGAAATAACACTGGACAATAGTTTCGATGATGATATGAACGATGAAACAAACCCTACTCAACCGTCCAACAGAATGCTGGCTTCGTCCGCTGCAGAATCTCTGGTTGAAATGGCGGCATACCGAATCGATCTCGAGCCTTCCAAAGTGAAATTTCTTCAGCATATCATGAAAAAAGAACTGATCACGGAAGTCTGGCAGCTTCACTACATGGACTCTGCAAATTGGCGAGAAATGGGTTTTCCAATTGGGTTGGTAGCTTCAATTCGAAGACTGATGCATGAAAAAGACATGACAGAGAGCGGCAGGAAACCTTTCAAAAAAGAATACGACTGTATCAGTGGCTTCAATAATGATGAGCTCAGAAGTCATGTCTTCAAGGGAATGCCAAGCCACACAGCAAATATGGCAGGCTTCAAGACTGATGATGATTATGACGATGGCGAGTCAGTGGCAACTGAGCCTGGAACACCAATTGAAGTTCCCCAGAAGCGTGGTGCTAGTGCCAAGATGAAACGGATATCAGACATCACCCTTTCTGAACGCCTATCTAACCGCCTTCTGATATCACCGTACGGTCCAAAGCAAAAACTTGACAGTTCCAATACCGACAGTCCGCAGACTATCAAGGCGTCATCGTCCATCAAGGACCAACCACCCGTTTCGGCGCCTCGGCGTTCCTCAAAGAAAGGAGTCCATGCAGGCACCCATTCACCAGCACTATCTCCCATAAGAACGAATCAGAATAAAACAGAGGGTCAGGTACCTTGCTTGCGGACAAGCATGCCAGTTCGTCCATTGCGACGTCCAACTATCCATGATAGACCCGATATGAAGTTTGATCTTGACGACCTATCGGACACCGGATCTTTCTCCATGGAAAGTGTGGGGCTGATCATAGCCGAATCCAAAGGACGAGAACAAAAGGTGGGCATTGATGCTAGCATGAGGGTCGTAAACGGAAGTTTCGAGGATATCAGGGACTTGTTTGTTGAAGGTGCAGAGTCTACTATTGACGAGGTAGGTGAAAGCGAAAGCAAGTTTAGTGACGACTCTAAAGATGGGCAGGATCCCTCCATGTCCACCAGAAGCTCGACTCTACACAATAATGGCAGACTACTACAGAATGTATGGAAGTGCTGACATCGACACGGGATGCAATGCTCTTGTTCGTCGATGGTTAGCCCGCGACAGGAACTTTGTTTTGTGCAACCAGCATGCGGCATCAATGTTTGAATTTCGGTATGGTTAACACAACAACGAGGTATGCACTAGACTCCCACAACAGGGATCGAAGCGACGGTTTGCTTGTTCTAGTCAAATGGATAGCTATTGGTTGTCTTGTATACGGTAGGCACGAACTCTCTCAGTGCAATAGCTAAGTTTACCATTTTCCAGCCGTACTGAAGGATATATATTATGGTTACCGTTCACAATCTAGAATAGATTATTTGCACTGTGTACGGAATTGATGACAGGACAAACCTGGGAACTTTTCCAACAAATATGCCCCCGAAGTACCGGTAGAACTGACGATTTATAACAAATATGGAATACAGTATTGTGATGCCGCTCATCTCCGCTAAATTCTCATTTCTCTTTATCCCGATGTATGTTCAGCTAAGGATTGTCAATGAATCCATGGTATTCGTAAAAGAAATTGTCTTATTACTACTGCCGTGCCGGTTATCCGTAATAGTATTTGTAGCGGTATTGTGTGTCGTATTGTTATTATAGTCGTCTCTGCTGGATACGACAAGGTACAGTATATATTCTTCTACCGGTATATCCGGCTATTTTGCAATTCGCCAAACCAAACCGCAAAGAATGTTCTTTGGAACAGATTCGTGCCGGAAAAAAAAGCAGAGAAAACACGAAGCTGGTATCTGTAAAAACAATAAGTAGCTCACTGGAAAGCGAGGATACGTAAAAGGAGCGGGTGTAACATTTGTGACTGTAATTGTGACTGTCCTTACAATCACAGCATCCAAGCACAAGTACGTCTACCAACCAAACGTACCATGCCTTTGATAAGCGAAGCACCACTTGCCCACGACCATTCTTACCACCAAGAGATGAAGGAAAACAGCTCTACCTCCGAATACTCCAGCGAAACCATGCCGTCTTCTGCTCAAGTGCTGGTACAAGCAGCGGCCTATCGAATTGATCTGGATCCATCCAAATTGAGCTTTCTTCTGCATGCCATGAATGAGGAATTGGTAACCGAACTGTGGCAGCTGCAGTATATGGATTTTCCAAGTTGGCGTGAACTGGGATTCCCCGTCGGTTTGATTGCTTCCATTCGAGCTTTGCTGGAAGAGGAAGAATCGTCAGACCACGAGGAGGCTGCTAACAAGAATGGAGCTCATCGAAGGGCTATTGCCAGTGACAATTCTACTACAGAGCTTGCGGTACCGAAGGCAACCTGGCAGCAGGCACGAATGAGAGCATCGGAACAAGACAACCGTGGTATCAAAAAACGATTGTCAGATATTACTCTCTCGGAGCGATTTTCGTTCCGCACGTCCATTATGTCGCCGCCAAGTTCCAAACCCAAGTCTGGCAGCCCTGCCGGGAGTCCGATGTATTTCTCCGTGCAGAGTAAAAGCCAGAAAAGTGAGCCCCGAAGCAATCGAATTTTCATGCCGGTTGCCGACATACCACCCACTTCGCCACCTCGCCGTTCATCCTCAAGAAGTAAGGTTCGTTCACCGATGCAGCCATCGAGTAGAGACCAGCATCAAGAAAAAACGGAGGAGCAACGACGTCGTTCTAGCTTTGAAATGCCCCTACGTCCCTCAAGGAGGCCCACTATCACTGACTTGGAGTCTCTATTCCAAGGCATTGGTGAGAAATACCTTGCGTCCTCCTCGGACAGCGTTGGGGGGTCGATGACCAGCACCAGCGGTGGAACTTCTATTGAAGCATCCCTTGCATTGGAGAGCCTGCTTCGATCAGGGGAGAGCGAGGAAAATAAGGACGTTCGTGAAAAAAGCATGGACACAATCATAACTGGAAACTTGCGTGGTACTGCGGATCAGGATGACCTGGGCTTCCTCTATGCTGAAGACTTCGAAGCATAGTGTAGTAGTGGTCTACTCCCTACTAGCTACTCAGAAGAAGTCTATGATTTGACTGATGAAGCGCTCATTTCGACACCACGGTGATATGCTATCCGGTTATGTACATACAAGGAATACCGAACTAGCAAAATATACTTGTCCTCCTCATCATCTGTCCTCCTAATGCATCACATCCTTAGTTAGCCCTTATCCCTTTTGATTTTCCCTTTTGACTTTCGACTAGGGAGTCAAACTTTTCCACGAACCAATCTTCATTCCCACAGAAAACGATGGAACAAAATCCGGACAAAAATTATCCGCCACACCTTCATTCAGGTCGCGGTAAAAACATGCATGGATTATCTTCGGCATCTGATTTTCGGAATGCACTCTAAAGGAGCGAGAAGAGCACAACACCATAAAAGGGTATCAAGCATATAATAACTCACAACACTACCATTTACTACGAATCTCAAGACAATCTCAAAAAGCTTGAGCTGAATCACATATCACACAAACGCACTACGAAAATATACTACTAACACATTATACAATCATTGTATGATCATGTCACCTCCTGCCAAACGAAGCCTTGTCATATTGTACGGAATCGGAGGACTATCTGATGTTGGCCGTCATGCCATTCTTGCAGCGCTTGAGAAGCCTGAAGTCTCCAAGATTACTGTCATTACAGAACATCCCGAAAAATTGGATGAGAAGAAATGGGAGTCTCATGGCGAGAAGTCGAATCCTTTCAACAACCCTGAGTTTGCACCGAGATTAACCATGGTGAAGGTAGAGGGCTCGTGGAAGAAGCCACAAGACAATTTTGCCACTCACTTTGCTGGTGCTGATGCAGTCATCAGTTGTCTTGGTCACCGACAGCCTGGTATTCAGAATAAGGAACTTCTGAAAAAGGGATTGATTGCATGTGATGGGAATAAGCAGGTCATTCAAGCCATGAAGGAAGCCAAAGTTGAAAGAGCAGTTGTCATTTCTTCCATGGGTTTGAAAGGAGACGATGGTGCTTGGCCACACTGGGCGGCCAAGGTTTTGAAATACATGTTGAAGACGGTTGCTAGAAAGGCCCGAAAGGACTTGGAGGCCATGGAAGCACTCTACCTCGAGTCACCATTAGACTACTTGTTTGTTCGCCCTGTTGGTATCAGCGAAGAACGTGAGCCAGTAGGAACATACTTTGTTCAAGATCCAGGAAACAAAAAGGAGGTAGTTGGCGGTGACACGGCCAAAATTGATGTTGCTCGGTTTATGGTGGAACAAGCCCTAAATCCAACCTTTCACAAGACAAGTAAGGTGGTGGGGTCCGAGCCAGGATCACCAATGTAGACTGCTACCACTGGGTAGATTTCGATTGTCATTAATGCATATACTTGTGAAATATCGATACAATATGGTGTTTTAATAGTTGTAATATCATCATCATACTACTACGCTTATCTATACTCCGGATGGTTCCATCATGGGGACAAATATCTTAGCCATGCAATTTTACCGCTTCATTTCTGACCCGCCACGAAACACACCATATTTCCGAATTTGGATTGAAAGCAAGTATTCAAATCTCGTGGAGAATAGAGTGTCGTAGGCATGTCGTGAGACATCAACAACGTTCCAAAATGATGACCGCTGACGAAATATCCAACGGAGATACGATGTTTTTTTTCCGTCATTTGCAAGAGCACAATCCGTACCGGTACCCACATGCTTCTTTACCATCATCACATGGAGATGAAACCAAAACAAGGCTCTAGAACTCTTCCGTTTCTCTAAGAAGCAATCATCATGGCAATAGAAACGATGAGGACGAGAAGCAAAGCGCACACGTCAGTGAATGATGCCGAAAATACGGCAAATCCATCGATGTCTGAATATTTTGCCAAACTTGGAGAAGGAGGGCCTGACGATCATCTTAGAACTCATGCCCGGAATGGGCCAGCTTCCCACGATGAAGCTACCATTCAATCTGCCCCTACCACATCTGGAGCATCTACAGGCACTCGGAGAAGAAAAAACAACAGATCCTCAAGCTTAAGCGGAGAAGCACAATCAGGTCAACATCACGAGCAGCACGAAGCAAAATCAAACAGACGCCGCCGCAGGAAGTCCGTGCAGAAAAGCTTAGATCTAGCTTTGGGTCATAGCTCGGAGAAGTTTGAAAATTCCATCAGCCATTCCATAGCAGCCTCCATAGCGTCTGCGCCCACGGTGCAACATCATGTCCGGCGTTCTGGACGGCGTTCGGGGCCAGGGTCCAAACGGCATCATGTTAGCTTGTCGCCAAAGAGGAATTCAGAGGGGCAGCCCCGTAGCACAAAAAGAAGTTTGTCACCACACCGGGCTACTGGTGGATCTCGTGCCGTACAAAGAAGTATCTCGCCTACTAATAGACAGGTTTCTCGTGACAATTCTCGTGGTGCTCGGCGAAGATCTCGAGAAAAGTCTCCTGGACAACAGTCCCCATCGAGGTCCTTGCGAGGCGGAAGAAAAATCAATATGCATGATAGCGTCAGTACAAGTGGTGTACAAAGGAGTATTTCGCCTACTAATAGACGGGTTTCTCGCGACAACTCTCGTGGCGCAAGGCGAAGATCTCGAGAAAAGTCTCCTGGACAGCTGTCCCCATCGAGGTCCCTGCGAGGCGGAAGACAAAGCAACCTACATGATAGCGTCAGTACGAGTGGGATGATGTCTCTAGCTAGAAGTGCTGCCACTGAGCCCACTACGCGGAAAGCGAGACATTCGAGATCTCCTCATCGTTTGGGTGCCAGCAAAGCTGATGGAGCCTCGGTCACTTCGCCGGGTACCGCAAGCACACCCAAGTCGCGGTCAATGTCACCCTTAATCAAAGGGCACAGAGGCCCATCAGCATTGGTAAGCCTGCTTGAAGAGAGGAAAGAACCGGAGCAGAGAATTAGAACAAGAGGGCAGCATACACATGATTCTAATCAAAAGCACAAGATCAGCGATCAAGAACGAAAACGACGGCATAGTCATGACAATAGTCGACACGCGGAAGGCGCTGGGAAAATGCCCAAACCACCAAATCTTCCCCAACGAGTTCAGAGTGATATCATCGGGGGTCATGCCAATGACGTCAATCATAAGCACAAGATCAGCAACAAAGAAAAAGTACGAAGGCACAGTCACGACAATAGCTTACACACAAAAGATCATCCGCGATTGCTCAAGCCAACTGCTTCTACGAGAAAAATTATGGATTCGGTGGTTAAAGTTTTGTCCCTGAATCAACAGAGAGCGAGCGTTACATCCATGTTTTCGGAAGACGACTGGGGTGAATCGCCTTCCTTTTCGGAAGCTTTCAAACCTGAGCCTACCGCACCTCCGACCCAACCAACCCAACGGGTTACATCCAAATCCCATCGGATGAAAGTGGAGGAGGTGAGGCGCGATCATCAAAGCGCTGATCATAATAGTGATCGTCGACGTTCCCGATCGGTGGACAGTAGTACTGCACAACTTCATTCCATGACTACTGCCACCAGTTCCGAAAGTGTGATGTCTCGACAAAAATCAGCACGGTCTGGACGTCGCAATGACCCACGTTCTAAATCATTGGATCCAGCAGCTAGTAGAATAGCGGAAGATGGGCCATTCTCATCGTCATCGTCTCCGTTCGCTGTCATGCCTGTGGATAGGGAGCGATTGGCTGGACCTCGCGAAAGGTGGGGAAGGGATGCCTCCTTCAGGTTCTAAATCCTATTTACGCTGATCTATTCATCATTTAGTTGATAGATAGATGAAAATGTAGAATATGTATTATATTTATGAGAGCGAAATTCGAGAAATGTGGTCGAGTGACCACAGAAGGTACATATTTATATGATTGCGGTGATTAAGCTGATGAACATAATCAGGTGGTCATTGTCGGATGCCGATTTGACACTTTCGTTGAAACGCTTACAATGAGAAAGGTTCCCCATCCATAGTATCATCATGTTGCTTTCAGACACTTGGTGGGGTAGGGAGAGGCTCAAGCCGGGCCTTTTTGCTACTGCCAATTTTGCCAGTTGGAGAGAAAAGGGAGTCGTCCACCTCTGAGGACTGACTTTGGGATCGTTTGCGCAACATTGGCATGGGCTTCATCCTCAACGGTGACAATGCCGATTCTGTTTTGGCGCTAGTATTATTCATAATGCCATCAAAACCGTCCATGTCCATGCCCATTCTCATGGATAGTTTGGGCACCGATGCTTTTGTTGCTTCGAGTTTGTCACCCTTATTTGGCGGTGGAGGTGAGAAGAGGAGCTTGTCCACACTGGGTATGCTTGATCGTTTACGGATGACCATTGTTGGTTTCACGTGCATTGGAGATAAAACGTCCAAATTGTTGGTGGAAATGGGTGGTGTGCGTTTGCCAGCAGTTTTAGAAGATCTCTTGTCAGTTTTCGCGACTGCTGAAGATTTGATGTCTGATGAAACGGGTCCACCCATATTCGACTTTTCTTCTTTCTCCTTCACTTTCAGGTCAAACTTGCAGTAAATGGTGGAGTTATCTTCCAAACCTTGTTTCTGAAGGGAGACTTTTTCAGACAGTGGTTCCTTCAGCTGACGATCCTTGCAAACGGGAAGAATCACCTGAAAACCTGAAAGTTCTTTTGCAGCCATCACATCTGCAATGGAATCACCACCCTTCAGTGGTACCTCGCGTGGGCCAATATTGCTGATGATACGAATCTTCATCTCTGTCATTTCTTTTTACAGTACTGGTTGGGATATGTTTGCGGTAGGATCTTTTGATTGATGGTGGTTCCGATGAGCAATGCGAAATATACATGCCGTGGATAGATTCCGATCCGCACTGCTGAAGTGTACGGTGGTGTCGGTACATACTGGTACCACCGGTACGGTTCAATACTGACGATCTGCCTGATCTCGAATCATCATCTTGATTCAAATCCTCCGAAAATTTGCCGTCAGTTTGGCTTTTTCACTCGAGCGCGCTACTTATTGATTCATTCATTCATTCTTCATTCGAACGTGTGTCGGACAATACAAGAGTTGTTCCTTTTCGGACACTAGCGAATTATCATGCATCCGTTTGGAACCTCTCCGCCGGCAGGCTTCTCGATGGAACATGGTGCGACCATTAAATAGTAAAACAAAACTTCTTCGATTCAGACCACAGGGTGGTTAAATGTTTCGAATGGACGCCACTCGATATTTTGATTGGGCCTAATATACTGTCTGTGTGAGAAGAAATTCATCATTGCAACGCATCATCAGCATCATCACAGCTGCACACAATACGAGGCACTTTCCAAAGAGCTTGACAGTCGTTGCATACTGTTCATAGATGATTCAATAGAAGTGAAGAATTCATCATAAGAAGGGAGCATCAATAGCCATACAGGAACAGGCGGTAGTGAAGTAAGGCATTCAGGTAGCTTTTCGGAGAACGACAGTGGTCACCTGAAGTTTTCGAGCTCATCAGATTTATCGTTCATCGAAAATTGACGACGCATCTCTATACTTCCGTGCCTTCAGCCTCTCATCATCACCTTTATCCCTTATTGACGTACTAGTATCATGCATGAACCACTGAATGAGGCGTCAGTGCCTAGTTCGCCACCACTACCAGATAATAACAAGTCATCTGCAACGAAAAGGACTTCCTACGATCATGCGAAAACGAAAAAGCCGGAAACAGAAAGGATAAGTAAATTGAGGAATCGCAGTAACTCTCCAACTGGCGGCGCTATAACTTCACCAAACAACAGCAGTCGGAGATCTCGGTCTATAGCTGTCGACAAGGTCATTAAACATGCCAAGGAGAAAGTTCAGAAGAAACGAATACGGAACAACCATAACAACAGCCTCAACAGCGAAACAATGCTCATGTCATCATCCAACCACACAAATCATACCAATCATACCAATCATACAAATGGAAGTACTATGTCTGCGAGTGCCATTCTAGACAAAAGGAGACCACTCCAACAGGATGCGGAAGGGGGGAAGCTGGGACTTCGGCCGGCTGCCATGACCAGTGGCGCAAACCAGAGTGCGATTGACAGTATACTAGGAATTGCTACAGAGCAACAACAACAGCAACAACAACAACAAAAGAATATTCGAAACAAGCGGGAGAACAGAGCGAGACGCAGCCATCGAAGGGCTGAAACACTACCTACCATTCCATCTCATGGCGGCGAACAGTACAATGATATGGATTCCGACGACGACATTGAAGAAGATTCTCTGAATGATAGGAAACCACCACGCCCAAGGCAACCAAGAAGGTTTAGAACCAGCAAAAAAAAAAGCACAATAGACCGTAACACGCAGTCACTGTCGCCCAATGGTGGACATGCGAAAATACGAGAAAAAAGAGTTCCAAGGGCCGAATCAGTCTCCTCCTTATCAGGGTCGGAAGGTGAAAGTGGGCAACGTTCCCGAGCGCTGCGGCGCCAGCAAATAAAGGCCCAAGAATCACCTACATACAATGAGTCGCCACATGCGATTCGGTCATCATTGAGGAGGAAATATGATTCCCAAAAGCCACTTGAGAAACAGAATGCCGACGGGAATGATGATACTGACATTCCGCCGGCTCCATATCCGCTTCCGCAATTTCAATCACCAACGGCCACGCGAGGGACTGTTTCGCCGCTATCCTCTCCGAGTAATCATGATATTTCCGAAAGCATGAGTCCTCTGACAATGTCCTCCAAACTATCTTTGAAGGGTCCCATTCGAATGCATATTCCATGGGCCAAAGGATCTGACATGGGTGGAGCTAAAAAGGAGCCGCGAAGGGTTGCTGGCGATAAAATCGGTGCTGATGATGAAGCAGAAGACTCGTTTGAGATGGATGTTGTTGGTGAACCAAGCATGGAGTTTAGTCGAATATTAGAGGCCGACAAGAATCCTGTTCGACCTGATAGACTGTCGTCGATTCGGAGTCTGAGCTATAAGGAGCGTCACAAGCGCACTTCGTATCCTCATGAGCTCGATATGTACAAAGGTCATCGATCCCCAAACCAAGCAGACTATATGCCACACCAACCTACCCGACCCAGAGGATCATCAGCAGCGAATATTAGTGCGGGACGAGTATCCATGTTTGAAAATTCGTCGTTGGGTAGCTTTAGCTTGGCTGGATCTTCCAGCGGAAGGGCATCCATGTTTGAAAATTCCGATCCTCATATTCGCGAAGGCGGAGATGCGAGTCCAACTGTGGATAGGGTACCAATGTGTCCCACTCGCCTTTCATCGATGCATTCCATGAAATTTAACCAATCGTCGGGATCGTTCAGCATAGGCACTTTTGATACCATAAAGGACGGGGTTCTGAGACCGGCGGATGGCACTGACGTTCCAAAGGGACCACCGGTAGATGCTACTCCCAAAATAAGAAACAAGCCAAATGTAAAAGAAACCAAGAAAAAGTTAGCAGCACCATTGGACAGTGACGATGACATTGAATCACTGGAAGAATCTGAACGGGGATCATCGGACGAAGAAGAATCGATCCAGTCCTTGTCTCCACCACCAAAAGAAAAACCGAAATCAATCCGGTCTTTGTCGCCGCCACCAAAGGAAAAACGGAAGAAAATAAAATCCCCATTGCAAACGCCAAAAACGGTTGGAGCTACGGCCAAGAAGAGGACTATTTTCCTATCGCCATTGTCAAAGCTAAGCATGCCGAAGTCACCAGCTTCACTAAGAGGTAGACGGACTTTTGGTAGAAAGAAAAATGACGATGGAAAGGATAGTACCCATTCACGTACTGGAAATGTTGAGAAGTTAAAATCATGGCTGCCTATTGCACTCGGAAGCAAGAGTAGTTCCAAACATGAGAAAAAAGAAACAGAGGAAGGCAGCAAACGTTCCAAACGATCTTCACATACGACTAGAAAGCACGGTTCCAAGGATGAGAAAACAGAGAGAGAGGAGGGCAGCAAACGTTCCAAACGATCCTCTCGAACGACAAGAAAGAAAAACGGTTCCAAACATGACAAAACAGAGACAGAGGAGGACAGCAAACGTTCCAAACGATCCTCTCGAACGACAAGAAAGAATGGTACCAAACACGAGAAAACAGAAACAGAGGAGGGCAGCAAACGTTCCCGACGATCCACTCGGACAACTAGACGCTCAGTACAGTTGGACGAAGTCACCAAGGAGCAATCGCCAAAAGAACAGTCCCCGGGCTCACTGGGTAGTCTCAAGAAAGCATTTCAAAATCGGACAGGTAAATCCAAGTCGCCACACGGGGTCAGGGCTGCATCTAAGAAGAATGCTTCCCCAACATAAAAGAAGAAGGAACAAAATGGTGATTCATTATCCTTTTACAAATAATTTTGGCAAGCCATCACGATGGCTTTCAGTAACCACTATGCTGGCTGAATAATCGAACAATGCAGTATTGTCCTTCATATTATCCTACTCGCTTCATCATCGTCAACTAAATCCCACCACTCCTTCGATCCATACTCGGTAGACGCGCGTTTCATGGTTTCCGAAACCTCACTTGGTGACCAATTTGCTCGTTTCAGTATGAATCCAATGACTGTCTTGGCTTGCGTACTATCACCGGTAGTGTCACGTTGGGCAATCTCTACAAGCTCTCTGTACCGCGGCATTTTCGTAGCATGGACACTGTCGGCTCGACCATGCACATTCTGATTCTCGGAGGAAAGATACTCATTGGTTACGTCTTGGCACCAATCTGGGTCTGGGCTGATCGCCAATACACCAGTCCAAGATCCAATCCCTTCATCTAATCGCACCGCAAAATTCCGAGCACTGTCATCCCGAATGTCCCATGTTTGATCTTGCCCATCAGTGTCGTGGGCACTGTCATCGTTAGTTCTGGGCAACAAGAACTCGGTCCAGACATGATCCCAATCCAGCGGAAGACACATTCGAATAGGAATACCCAAATAGGATGCCAGATGCAGACGCAAATCTTCTTGTTCTCCGCACAATCGTCCCCATCCCATTGATGGATTCAACAGCATTTTGGGATGCCCGGATCGGTACCAACGGGAAATTTCACCACAATTCGTACATTTTAACTGAAATATGGTCGTGGAGGAATAGGGCCTCCCTCGAAACCAACCACCCCTCAACCCAATCTCACTTCCATTCGGTTCTACCATGGAAAGACCGAGTTTCTCATTATCTTGGGGTGTACTGGTCGCATCATCTTGGACGGTGACTTGTCCACAATGCTGACATTTGAAGGGTTCATAAGCGGTCATTGGATGTTCTAGAATAAGTTCCCACAATTTCCGTTTGTCTAGACCATGAACGGTTCCAGCATGGTCATTTAGTTCTTCCAAGGTTCTACCAGACAGTTTCACGAGTTGATCCAAGGCATCCTTCCAAGTCTTATTATTGGGTGCAGCTGAGTTATTGTTGTTATGATTGTTGGTGTCATCGCCATATTTTTGGACAAGTGTCTCTTGCAAGTGCTGTGGCAATGTATGTGATACCAGTGCCTCTTCAACTTCTTCTATCGAGTAAAGATTCCGAAATTTTCCAAGGCCTTGAAATACAAGTCGCCTTATGACAGCTTGGGCAAGAACTCTGTTGTGATTATCGTTGTTCTTTAGTAGCATCAGATCAAAACAATGATTGACATCAGCATCAGAAGTGTTCGAGTCATTATTATTGCTGCTGCTGCTATTCATATTCGTGTCATGAATACTTCTACTCTTCAGAATTCGTTTTTCTTCGTTCCACAAGAGAGTATCAATCTCTTTTAGATTCGGAGCTGTCAGGTGCTGAAACTTCTGTTCCAACAAGACCGAGTCTCGTTCGTAGAGAGCTGTCAAGGCCAAGGCAGCCACAGACGAGGTCTTCATTGTGGAAGTACTGTAGCGCTACTGTGTTTCTTTCTTTGAATGTTTTGAATGTGCGGAGTGCATTATTTGGAATCTCAGCAATATTGACTGTTTATATTATATTTTTTGTCATCCTTCAACGCAGCGCATATATATCATAAAATAATAATAATATAATGTGGCGCCAAAAAGATTGACTCGTTCGATCCAGAAAAATGAACATAATGCAACAATAAAATAAAGATGAAAACAAACAATAAACAACCTACAGTATATATTCGGGACAGCAGCAATATATGCTAAATATTGCATTAGTTCAAAGATAAAAGAAGACGAGTGATTTTGAAACCCTTCAGACACGTGTAGATAGATTTGTGAGAGACTTTTTCTCCTCCTCATCCTCTTCGTCGTCACCAAACGACCCTTGTATTTTGGCCATTCGGAGGTAGACTATCAGAGTGAGAACGGAACACGTGAACCAAAAACTAGCGCTGACCACTTCCACAATCTTTTGGGTATCGGTTCGGAGTAGATTGAGACTATTATTTCCGGACCCCCCACCATCGCCCGCCCCAGGTGCGCTACTGCCAGCTGGAGAGCCAGTGAAAAGATATATCCATGCGAGGACCATATCAATAATAGTACCCAGGACGAACAACATATCAGCAAAGTGGAGAGTCTCAATCATAATGTATTTGCTTGCAATTTCCATGAAATATTTATCCCCCGAGTGAGCATAGTACACCTTGACGGCCTCACAAAAGTACATGTGATTGGCCAAAAAGTTGCAATACACACTGATTTGACTCTGCTGTCCATCTAGAACTTCAGCAGTGAGACCAAAAATACCGGCAAATATCAAGAATATGTGAAAACCTCCCATGTAGTTGCAGTATTCGACCAAACCGCAAAGAATGAATATACCAGCCCCAATTGCGTTGTACATCCAAGCATCCGAGGATGCACCAATTTGTGGAAGGTTCATGACGGTTCCGGCCACATAACAAGAACATCCTGCCACGAACAGGAGACCCGCAAGAAGTCTCAACCATGTAGATTCCTTGTCTTCATTCGCGTTTTTGGTCGTGATGGTTAGCCTCTTCCTTGGAGCCGCGTACGACGACATGATGATTCTATTCTCAATTCTGATTTGTGATGTTCTGTGATGTTGTCCTTATGTACTGGGGGGGGGGTACAGTATGATCTCTGCCAGGTATTGATTTATTGATTGATTCCAAGGTTGCAAGAGGGATGGATGGAGGTAAATAAGATGAAGGGCTCTCTCTCAATTGTTTGCGTGCGCTCAATAGCACAAGACAGTCTGGCAAGATCTTTATTGTTTCGGCAACGTGAACCCAAATAGTGAACCTTGAATCAATGCAGTTTCTTCAAAATTTCAATCCTCCTTTGATTCGTCCGACCTCGGACACCGGACGAACAACTTATTTATTCTCATGATCATCGAATCAGAGACCACCAAACGAGGATTCGAAGGAGTCAATCGTATTAAAAACACGGCAAATTGGCGATCTCCACCCGTAGCGGTTTTCACTCCACACCGCCTCGTCAACGCAACATCTCACAATTTCCATTATGAACCTCTTTGAATCAACTAATACAACAACAACAATCATGACCAACTACATCACTACCTTTGTCAATCAAGAAAGCTTGAAAAGCATCAGCTTTCCCAAGTTACCTCGAATGAGTGCCATCACTCAACAACAACAACAACAACAACAACAACAACCAGTTCGAGAAACCATCATTACCGGTTTTGTTTGTGCAGTCGCAATCGTGTTACTTCGGTACATGGTACTCGACACGTACCGAACCTATCAGAGACTTTGTAGGCAATGGAACAGACGACATCCTCCTATTTCCATCCTTCGTCGTCCAGAAGGCGGGTCTCGCAAGAAAAACCGAAGTTGGTTGGGTGTGTTCATCCGAAAACCAAATCGTGTCCGTTTCGCCAAAATCTTTCGTCGAACCTTTGTCCCAAACGAGCAGGAGCTACAATCTCGCAGGGAATGCTGGGGTCTGATTCAATGGCGCATTCAACTGCACGACGAAGTAATTCCAGAGATAGAGAACACAGTGAGATTCGTTCCACATACTCCTGTGTCTATTCTTCGTCCTTCAAGAAAATATTGGGGATCACCCAGACCAACCTCTTCAAGCCGAGTCCAATTCGCCCCTAAGACTCGAAGGAGAAACTTCATTCCCGATGAGCAAGATCTTCAGTCCCGAAGGCAGCTAATTCGTCAAATTGACCGCAAGATCAAGAGACGGAATGCCCGACGCTTGATGATCGATTTCAAACCTACCGTGCTTGCCACCATTATCGAAGATCCAGCAGAAGAAGGTTTGAGTGACATTGACTCGTCTTTGGATACTGGATTGATTGATGGTGAAGTCAACTCTGAAATCATTGCAACTGCGCTCAAGAATCACCGACAAATGCTTCCAATGGTCCTTCATGACATGCTCTCCAATATTCCAGTACCAATGGATTTGGATGACGACGACGACAACGACGACGAGCCCTGCATGGAAGAACAAGCACCATTGTCACTCAAGCGAACCGCAACTTCCTGCCTTATTTCATCCAGACCCACCAAGCGTCGCAAAATAAATTCATCATCTACGGTTCCAACTTGCGCTGCAACATGGGCCAAACGAACCAACGAACTCTTCACTCCTTTGCTACCTATCATTATCGAAAATCCAGAAGAAGACGACGACGAGAGCCACATTGACTCGTCGTTGGATGCTGGACTCAACGATGACATCGTCAATGAACGATCGACTCGTATTGCCAAGGCTGACGCTAATTGGGTCAAGAAGGCCGAGGAGATCTTGGCCGGGAAGGCGAATTTGAACAAGATGACCAAGGCCGAGAGAGCCAGATGGGCAAAAAAGGCAAGGGCCAGAAGAAGCAAGGGCCAGAAGGAGGAAATGTCTGAAAAGAAGATCGATTTTGAACCAACCCTTCTTGTCATTATCGAAGATCCAAAGGAGGAGGAAGAAGAAGTCGACAACGTGGACGAGAAGAAGGAATTCAAACCTTCCCTTCTTGCCATCATCGAAGATCCAGAGGGAGAAGACTTGAGTACCATTGACGAGTCGCCTTTGGATGCTGGATTGATTAATGACGACTTCGATTCTTTGGAGGATGGTAGCGATGGCGAGATTTTTGCAGCACCAATCGAGCAATCTGACAACGCACCTACTCATGATATTCCTTCTGATGAAATGGGATCTGGATGGACCGAATCTGGAAAACGCTACAGTCGACGACTGCAGCTCAAGCTTTCGTCAGATAAGAAGGATTCTTTTAATGAAGCTTTGGGATCTGGCATGACGGAAAAAGGACGACGATACAGTCGCCGAGTGGTAAATCGAGGAAAAGGTGCCAATTAAAGCACATTCTTGCTACGACTTTGAAAGAGATGAAGTATGATAATAGTGTGCGACAACACATGAACAACCTATCAAAGAGTTTTACCTGGAAATTCACCCCATCAATTGCATTTACTTTCTTAACCATGATCTCACTTTTTTTTCTTTTTCCTTTTAGGACATTTTGGAGAGTCTAAATTTTCGCATTTATTTTATTGTCACATTTCCGAGGGATCCTTCCGAAGGCTAGTGTTTGCCTTTGTGGTTTCTAGTGGATTGGTCACCCACTAGGCTGCACCGGCGACGCGAAACCAGACGATTTCATGGCTTGCTGCGACTGGGTGCTTCCCTCCAGTCTTGTTTGGCCACCTAAAACGAATCGTTTGGGTGGGACGACAGGGGTGGGATGGGCAGGCCGAGGCTCGTAAGCGCGTCCTGATCAGCAAGATCCCAGATAAGTGGTCCCTTTAGGATTTGGGACTGACGTACCTACTTCAAGAACAAGATCATCGATTTGAGATTACTATTTCCAAAGGATTGAAAGGCAAAGCGGAAGCCTCGCTTGGGATATCAGTGTCATGTGATCCATCACCCTGCTCAAATATGGGGAGCAAGTGATATCCGTCAGACATGTGAACAGCCGTTGTTGCCAATAATAATAATTTTTATTGCAATACTCGGTGGTGCATGCAGTATCGCGATGATGGCACTGGACTGAACATCCCAACAAAGGGGCGGCGGCGTCTTACACCATTTTAAACTAATTACTACTATAATTGTAGTACAGTACCAGATTGGCATGTCTTATTGTCATATTTATTCAAACTGTGGTCTTTGATTATCTATTACAGCGCTAGTACTTTAGAATGAACCAGAGGCAGCTTCATATTAGTTTTTGTACCATAAAATGTTGCAGCACAATAGTTTCGACTTTTTGGTACACGTGTACACGTAAATATGGCGTGAAACAGCATTCTCCAACAAACAAATGTCTGAAACTATATAAAAAACGCCATGAATGTGGCCTTGTACTGCCTTCGTCCGTCAAATAATAATTTGTCGTTCGAACGAGATATCATACACGTACGAATAGTACATATTACACGTACACGTACCGGTAAACATACTCGTGTGTGCGTACGTGTACATTATAGGTGGACCCCAACGTGATCTACGAGTTGTTGAATATTAGTATGTGTCGGTATCTTGACGAAAGGTGATCGTATTGTAACAAAGAGAAGTAAATAAAATTAAAGTCGTATTAGGCCTTCATTGGCCCGCAACAAAAAGTAATCGAGCTCTGCCTCGTCCTCGTCCCCCCACCGTCTCCTCCAAGAGCATAGGCTTGTGATCGCAAGCTCCAGGCGCCAAGTTGTCGCATTACATGGGGACTCTCTCCTTAATTTACACAAGCCAGCCATGTTTGCTGCTCCTACCTCTTGATTGCCACCTCTTGCTATAATCACAAGGAAAATTGAATTATTGTTGCTGTGCCGCCAACACCATGATGATGCCTCAGACAACTTCGGACAGGTTGGTGTTATCCTTTTCGTCGCCGACTTCCTCTCGCCCATTCGCCGACGTTTCTGCTCTGGCCATTCGAATGTAGACCATCAGAGTTAGAATGGAACAAATGAACCAAAGACTGGCGCTGGCCAACTCAGCGTTCTTTTGATCATCGGTTCGGAGTAGATTAAGACTGCCTCCAGATCCGCCCGTGCTGCTACTGCTTGCAATTGCTCCTCCACTATTGGGAGTACCGGTGAAAAGATAAATCCATGCCAGAATTATATCAATCACAGTACCCGAGAGGAACAAGATATCAGCATACCGGAGAGTCTTGATCATGATGATTTTGTTGGCAACTGCCTGAGCGTAGAAGTCTCCCGAATGAGCAATGTAGAGCTTGACTGCCTCACAGAAGTACATGTGATTGGCCAAAAAGTTGAAATGAACGCTGACAGGATTACCGTGTCCATCCAAGATTTCAGCCGTGAGACCAAAGATACCAGCAAAGATCAAGAAGACGTGAAACCCTCCCATGTAGTTGAAATATTCGACCAGACCGCACATAGTGAATACGCCAGCCCCGATTGCGTTATACATCCAAGCATTCGTGGCGTTGTTAGATGGAAGGTTCAAGGTGGTTCCAATCACGTAAAAAGAACAACCAAAGACGAACAAGATACCAGAAACAATCGTCAGCTTTGTAGATGCTTTCTCTTCATTGGAGTTTCTGACTTGGGATTTCACTTGAGACACAACCGACGCCATGATTCAATTCTATGCTGTTTTGTTCTGTTTTGTCTTGTTGGCGAGAGGTTGGTAGGTCCGATCACCGATGTATTGAGATGATTTCAAAAAGAAAAATATCTGATCAAAGTCATTGCGTGAGAAAAAAAGGACGAATAGATCTGAAAATAACCCCAACGGATACGGCATTTTCCTACTGTCCCCACGTGAGTAAAATCGAATCGTCTTCTGTTGATTCGTCCGACTGCGGTGAGAACGGTTTCCGATTCACTTTTGATCAGACAAAATAGAAGCAAGATCGACAGTCAAAGCAAGCTTTGCAATTGCATCGCTTTCTGGATGAAAAGAAATAAAGCAACAATGATCACAACTATACATACTGGCAACGGAGAAAGTCCTTTGATATAAATCCTCTGTAGTATGCACCGCAGATGTATCGTATTAGCTAGGTATTATGACGTCGTCACAGAAAAACAACATCTTCTGTTTCGCAAACTTCAGGTGTAAGCCAAAGTTTTCCACCACTTGGAGACTGATTCTTTCATTAGTTTACACCAGTTGTGTTTCGCTTATCGTGCCGCTTGGTTGCCCCCTCAACTGTATAGCAGTGTCGTCATGGTCCATCCATTTCCGCTTTCCTTATTTGATGCATTCCTTATCGGTTCAATAATTCATTCTCGTCGTTCATTTCATTTCGTTTTGTTTTGTTCTCCCAAGGGCCGCCGTTTTCGTCGCCTTCCCTTGTATGGCCCTCTTGATATCAGGTCTTCAATGTGATGATCCAAGTGCTGTCGATAAAACAAGGCCGCCTTGGTTTTGTACCTCATGAACGAAATATTGTCGTGGGACAATTGGGGTACCAAAAACTTGTCCGATGTGGGTAGCAAAGAATGCCGATCAAAAAAGGTTTCCAGCTGTCGATTTCCTCCTTCCAGCATCTTGACAATCTCGTCATGATTCCAATGGTCCATGGTGATACTTCGTACTTTGGAATTGTTGACGCCCAAAGATCGATGTTGACCACTGCAATTGATGCAGACGAGTGCGCCATAGTTCACTGCGGCCCATTCTGGGTTTTGTATTCCACAATCCACGCATTTGAGATTACCGTCCATATCCAATAAGAGAGCTTTGCAAGCATGGGGAAAGGAAGGATAGGAATCAGGATTGTTGCGGAGCTCTTCCAATTCCGCGCATGCAATATCTACCAGTGAAATGGCATCCGCGGATTGGGGAGAAACTGGTTTTGCAATTGGGCCCATGTTTCTTGTATAATATCTGCGTATCAGAAGGTGTTGCGTCGTCAATCTTAGCTTTTGATGATAGATGCTGCCGCTCTCAATCTGGGTCAACAGCTTCCGGTTTTTAATGGTTCGCCTTCAAGTTCAAAGTTGACAGGTGCGTACCGGTACTTTGGAGACTTCAGATCGGTTATGGTCTCTGTAGATTATATCCAATCCAACGCGACGGAAGGCAATCCGATCAGATCTTGACTATCTGAATCAATAATGGTAATGATAACAATGATTCGGAGTGGCTAGGACCAAATTCACAGTCGAAACGGGATTCTTAGCCAGAATTCAGGAGAATTCAGGAGACTGCTGCGGTATTTTCTTATATTTTTGCACCAATTATTTTCTCGTCAATTTCATTATCCTCTTTCAGGTCACGATGAAACTTGAAGCTGGTGTAAGAGAGAAGTAACTACAAAGGTCGTCTGGATTGCGGATGGTGTCGTTACTGAAGTTTCTGGTTTCTCCGTCCGTGTCAGAACCGGGAGAGTATGACTTGCTTTCGAAAAAAATTTCACGGCAAACGATGGTCTCATTCCGGTCGTGGAGTGTCACACATTTTCGGCGGTGCGCGGAAGATGGCAAGACTCACTCACTCACTCAAATTATCACTCTCTTCCCCCATATCTCCAATGTTCCATCACCTATTATTTTGTAAAATAAGAACTCTAATAATCTACGACCAGACCAGAATATGCTACGCTCGCCAGTACAGTACAGTACATCATCATTATAATAATAGTCCAGATTACAATATGTATATACGTTACACATAAAGCGGAATTCGAATCAGACTGTCTAGCCATGGATCCACAATGGCCGTGGACAAGAAGAAAAAGGCAACGCCCAAAAAGATGGAAATGGGCAGTGCTGGAAGGGCCTTGCCATATACTGACAGCAGTAATAAAGTGATACACAATCCCACCAGAATGACAAGCATGCACATGGCAAAGGAAGTAAAGCCATTCATGGCTGCTTTGGAGACCAACACGGAATAAAAAATGAAATCTCCCAACCCGAGCTTGATCGTATTGTCTTCAATTGCCGTAGACGTTCGTCTGGTCTCTCCTTTCTGAAATACTTTACCGGAAGCATCATCAATGACAAACTCACGCATCAGTTCGCCGTTCCGATTGTAGACATTCCACCAGCGGCGGCCACCATCATCTTCTGTGGTTGGAGATGGATCAATCCAGCCACCACGATGGGGGTAGACAACCTTGACAACAGCTTTCAATTGTCGCGGCGTCAGATCCTTGCGCTCTCGTAGTTCTAATCCAGAGTAAGATTCAGGAATTTCTTGGTCGTCTGTATTCTGGTAATCCCCTCCCTTTTTGGAGGCTCTGGCAAAAAGAGACTTGTGTTCCTTGGGACGAAGGACCCCCTCTTCATCAATAATTTGTAGTTTGTATACCATGGCAAGTGATACTGGAACTTTTCCATATCGTACTTCTTCGTGGTGATGAATCGATCTACTTGGTCGTTCCTCGCTGGACCGCTTGCTTGCCCGAGCCGCTGGTTGTGGAGGAAGCATAGTGTTGGAATCATCGGCTAATGATCTCGTCCCAACATTGCTGCTGCGATTGGCTTCCGTCGCAGGCATCTTTCGTTCATCATTATCATCGTCACTGCTGCTGCTATTATTTGCAGTCACAGTTCCGTCTTGTTGTGGAGGCTGTTCCTCCGGCTGACTGGCTCGAGATGCTTTCGCATTCGAAGTTTGATTCCTACTGGGACGTTGGACATTATTGGGCAAGGCTGCTTCGTACAACAAACCTGGAATGGCTGGAGCGTCCGCTTCCGACATCAATTCTGCCAATTTGCGCAATGGACCACAAGGAGTTAGCACTGCAAACAAATCGTACAAGGCCAAGGCGACCAACAAAGTCCATGCGGTCCAATTTCCAAAAAAGGAGAGTTGCCATGCCAGTACCACTGATGTGCATATCAAGTACCCCTGCGTGACAAAGGTCGGAATACCTTTGCCGTAAAAGATGGAAAGTGTTCCAACAATGGCAAAGTTGTACATGATGAAAATCAAAGACGGCCAATCGACTGGAATGTCATACTTTTGAATGGCAATCAAGATAATATTCGTAGTGAAATATCCGAGCAGCATCGTGGTCACTAGAATCATGTATCCATAAAAGAATTTCATGCAACGAAACTTGTAGAGCAGGACAACCACAAAGGTCATGGCACAAATGACAGCAATGATAATGAGTGTATTGCCAATGCTTGCCAAAAAGTTCTGGTTCGAGTTGCCCTCTTGCAACTCAAAGACTTCGTAAGATTGGGAAAGAGCTGCTTCACCGGCCGCTCGTGTGGCATCCGTATTGATGTAAACTACCACCAGCGCTGACAAGATCATGCAGATGCAAACGGGAGCGAACACCGCATGAAAGGAGGCAAAACAAAACATGTATTTGGACAACTCATCATCTTCATCTTCAGGAGTAGTGGGAGTATTGTTTGCCGTATCGTTGTTGCTACTGCTGTTTTGACTGTTTACATTGTTTCGATTACTCGGATCTTCGGCATCTTCCGATATACTCGCTCGCTTTCGATCTGATTTTTCCTCACCAAGAGCTTGTCGTTGTGCGGATGAGTTTATTGTTTCTTCAGGACGACGAGTCGCGGTTTCAGAAGTGGGAGCTTCCTTTTGCTCTTTGTCAAAGTCTGCCTTCCATTCCATGTTGTTTTGGATGTGTATTCTAGGATATTTGTTACTGAAGTTGCTGTGCGGTTGCTTGTAGCTTGTAGATGTCCTCTTGGACATCGTGTTGGTTCTCTGTTTGATGAAGATTATTATTGTATGTGTATCATTTTCCTTTCGTGTTTTGAATGCCTACAAACCGTTATACTAGCGTTATAGTAACAGCTACTGTAGTACCTCATTTGTTGTCCCTTCCGTAGCTACCGGTACGAGTATCCTCTTGCTTGAACACGTACACGTACACGTAGTGTACACGTACTACTGTATTAACACCGCCACAGCTAGAGATATTTTTTATGCACGTTATTTTTCATATTTGCTTCAAATATCACGTGAATCACCAATTATTTTATTGGTGAGAATAGCGTGGTAAACCATTGTGTACTTTTAGAAAAACACATTCAAAATCTCAGTACAATGGAACCGACGGACAAGTACATGTACGCATGTACCCCCAAAAGCTGTTGCAATAATAGAAAAGTATACAGGGAAAGAATCCAGGGAATCTATTAGCTATACTGTTTGCTGAACTAGAAGCTTAGATTTGGACTGCAGCAACAACCACAACCAGAGAGGTTAATACTGTACTTTATAAGACAGCGCAATAGAACCTGTAGGTGGCCAACGCCATTCAGAGTATAGCACGAAATAGTCGAATGGAAGTTGGCCTCCTACCGACTATTAAATTCCTCAGTATTTCGGAGTAGCCGACCAATAGCTTGATGTTTCGTCTGTTGAGCTCATGTCGCTAATATTTTAGGGGGTCGTCGGCCCCTCGCGTCGTCATTCCTCAATGGATATGTCTGCCATCATGATAGAGTACCATGTTCAGTACCGCATCATCTTTCAATCGAGGCTTGTCATCATCGGATGTTCTATCTCTAGTTACCAATACGTATGCACTACAAGACTTGTCATCATGGGATATTTCGTCTTTCGACTCTTACTCCATGATAGTTTTCAAAAATCGGCTTTGTGTACCAATAAAAATTACATTTTCTGTCCACATACCGACGGTATCATATTCACAGTAATGTACTGCAACACCGTCAGAAACCGTTATGTAGGTAGCCAAGGGTACTAAAGGTACAATTAGTCTCTTAGCCTGTGAATCAGTCATTTCGAAACAACCAAATACTTAAGGGGAAGTTCACAATGACCCTGACAACCCACGTGGTATTTTGAAGCGTCATTTTGTGAGCGGCAAGTCTGCACAGAGCAGTTTAGTTCTGAATTGCGAAAGCACCATAATGTACATTGCCTTGAGTTGAAGACGACTTATCATGAGTGAAGAAGTCGAGAAGCAGCGCTCCCGTAGAGGAAGCAAATCAACCAGAGCAAACGGAGAACCAAAGCATCGATCTAGCAGGCACCATCGATCATCCTCTCGAGACTCACATGATGATGATATACTAGGTGGCTCGGAACGCAAATCATCGGGATCGAAGCCTGAGCGAAGGCGATCCAAGGACGATGATGACATCGGCGGCTCGAGAAAACGATCCTCTGGTCGCCCTTCTCGACGCAAGTCCAGAGACTCTCATGATGATGAGCTTGGTGGATCTTTAGCAAATTCTCAACCACCTGAAAAGAGAAAGTCAACAGATTCTGATAATGTGATTGGTAAATCAGACCGACGCTCTTCTGAACGCCCTTCTCGACGAAAGTCCAGAGACTCTCATGGCGATGAGCTTGGTGGATCTTCCGGGAATGCCCAACCACCTGGAAAGAGAAAATCAAAAGATTCTAATGATAATGTGATCGGTAGTAGATCAGACCGACGCTCTTATGAACGCCCTTCTCGACGAAAGTCCAGAGACTCTCACGACGAACGATCTTCTGTGAACGGTAGCTCAACATCCCAAGACTCGAATGATTCTGGGTCTGCTAAAACAGAGGATAAAAAAGCCAAGGCGAAATCTCGAAGAATGGCTTCTATCCCAGCAATGCCTGGAGCATTTGAGGCGAAGTCGACGGAGGACAAAGCGGTTCGACGCAAGAGAGATGCTGCATACAAAGGCAGAGAAGCCGGCGACAACGATAGAGAATCCTCAGACAGAGAAGCGAAGAATCGAGCTCGACGACAGCCTGGAGAAACTAAGCCAGGCTCTTCTATAGAAATCATGGATCGACGAGCCAAGGACCAGGCTTGGCGATCTGTCGGAAGTGATATACGACCTGGAGCCTCTTCTCACGAAAGTATGGATCGCACAGTCAAGGATCAGGCCAAGCGATCCGTAGGTGGTGCTGTACGACCTGGAGCTAGCAGTGAAACTCGGGGCAGCCGAGAAGCGAAATCTAAAAGAGATACTTCCAGGCAGTCGACTGAGGCGCACGAGGACGAGATCAGTCTTCCACCAGCAAGCAAGATAGGATGGACTGGAGACGTCGAGGCAGTAGAGGCTATCGCTGTTGACGAAATGGAAGCTACCATTCCGTCTTCTCCTCAGGAAGTAAGAGAGGAAGCACCAAACGAAACGGAAGAGGAAGACGGTAGAGCGACTGCTAGACGTGAGAAGAAAAGTCGAAAGTATAAATATATGCTCGCTGCTTTTGTTGTGTTCGCAATTTTTGCAGGAGTATTAGTATGGCTGTTGGTGTTACGAGACTCGAGCGAACCTGATGGTGTTTCTATATCTTGGATATTTGCCCCACCTACAACAGAAGATTGTCTCGCAATCTCTCAAGGAGTGGAAACCGCAGACCAAATGGGAGCGACAGTCAAATACTTTGGAGTGGAAATGGATTTTGCAGTGGCACCTAACGTCGACCTTGATTTCCTTGAAAGCGAGCTTCAAATGCGAATCCAGCTAGATGTCCTGCCACTCGTTGCCGGATGCGATAAAGAAGGTTCAATCTCGACTGAAAACGACAGTTTCATTGTTGAGAACAGTGTGCTCAACTCGATATCCATTGGCGACCTTGCAACCTGCAGCTCGAATTCAGAAGGGGTCTGTTCGTTTGTCTATTTGCAGCTGGATCTATTTTCGAAAGATGCCAATGTGCAGAGTGCAGTATTGTTGGCCCTGATCTCAGATGTATTTCAAGACGAAGGACTATTGGAACTCCTGAATTTATTATCGCCTGTGGAAGGAATTGACTATATTACAGCGTATGAAATTGTCCTTTCTGGTGGACCGAGTTCAAGTCCATCCATCCAAGAAGACGGCAGCCCTCCAATTGACAACGGCTCGCCATCCCAAGAAACTTGTGATGCAATTGCGAACGGCACCCCTGTCTCAGGACGAGAGGATCTAGTGGTCCAAGAGTACGATATCTTGATGGATGTCGTGTTGGATTCCGAGACTGAAGAATTGTCACCCCTTACCACAGAACTGGACGAAAAGATCCAGCGCTTCCTGCTGCCTTCTCTAGTGGGTTGCGAAACAAAACAGCGCCGGCGTCTACAGATTGAAAGTTTTGTTGTCAACGCATTGGTCGATTCTGAAGGTAATGTCGGTGGTTCTTGTTTGCCTGATTCGGAGACTCCTTGCCATCGCTATGTCATCCATCTTGACATCTACGTCCAACGCACTGTCTCCTCTGCCGATTTTTCCCAAGACATTTTGGAAAAGTTCCGTGAAGCACCGTTGGTAGAGCGATTGGGCTTGCTACCACCCTTTCAGAACATAACCGTTGTGGATATTGCCTCCGATGCTGCTTCTTTCAGTCCATCCAGTAAGTACTACAACCGTAAAAGATACGCAGCACCTCTTTTCGCCGTGCAGAGAGTATCTTACTATTTCTTCTATGGCGCCTCCATCGACAGTCCCACCATCAGCGCCGCCATCGATAAATCCAACAACTTCACCAGTCACATACCCAACTACCGATGTCCCCACAAAAACACCGACAACGGCGCCGTCGTTTAATCCAACGAAAGCTCCTGTTGCATTCCCGACAACTGCAGCCCCTACAGCATTGCCGACGAAGTTTCCAACACGAGGCCCTACCAGTGGACCGACTCCCGTCCCATCGCTACAACCTATAGTTGGTCCAACGTTGGAACCATCACCTTCGCCATCACTTGAGCCCAGTGGTTCGCCGAGTGTATCACCTTCGGCCTATCCATCATCGAAGCCCTCTGCTGAGCCGACGACTACAGCTTCATCATGGCCCTCTGTGCCACCATCATTCCAACCTACCCCATCGCCACCTTCATCGCAGCCTTCCACGTCACCTTCGACTCAACCTTCCTCGTCGACAACCAATTTTCAATGCTTCGAAACCAGCAGCGATCTTTCGAATGAGGTTGGCAACTGGCTTACGTCCTCTGAGCTGAAGGCATCGGTCGAAGCCCAGTATGGGCCGATTGGAGACTGGTGCTTCAGTGCAGGTGTCACCAGCATGGCTAGGCTCTTCGAGGGTCAATCAACGTTCAACGAAGACATTTCAAAGTGGGATGTCTCTTCTGTTACTAACATGGAGTACCTCTTCTACAGAGCAACGTCCTTCAATCAAGACTTGTCATTATGGGATGTTTCTTCTGTTACAAATATGCTTGCCATGTTCACCAGTTTAGAATCATTCAATCAAGACTTGTCATCCTGGAATGTTTCTTCTGTCACAAACATGGACGTCATGTTCCGAGATACACCCTTCAATCAAGACTTGTCATCATGGGACGTTTCTTCTGTCACAACTATGTCAGCCATGTTCGCGCAAACACCGTTCAATGGAGACATCTCATCTTGGGATGTTTCTTCTGTCGATAATATGTTTTCAATGTTCCAAGACGCATCATCCTTCAATCAAGACTTGTCATCTTGGGACATTTCTTCTGTCACAAGTATGCAGCGGATGTTTCAAAGAGCAACATCGTTCAATCAAGACATATCATCATGGGATGTGTCCTCAGTTGCAAGGATGCAATTCATTTTCAATGGCGCATCATCCTTCAATCAGAATCTTTGTGCATGGGGATCGCGTCTTTCAAGCAGTGTCCCTGTGATGAATTCATTTTTAAACACCAACAGTTGCCCTTCAACATCAAGTGCGCCAGACCTCTTTGCGAACCCACCCGGCCCATTTTGCCACATTTGTTGAACTGAATAACCAAAAGTATTTTCCTTTTACAACCATTGTCTTGTCTACTTATATTTGTGAAATGCACCGCAGTTACGTTATTGCGGATTTACTAGAATTCAAAAATAAAAAGACAGCACAGTCGGGGGTTTACCGTCCGTGGCCGCCAAACATGACTAATCTTTGAATGGAGGTTATTGTTGTGGTTCGGCCTCCGTCAATGATGCTTTATAAAAGTGCAACTGACAAAGTCATGGGTTCACAGATATATTTCCCACCCTTTCATATCTTTGACTGCTTCGACCAGAGTCCGTTCCATGCGGCGCCGGAATTCAAAAGTGACATGATGTGCACATAACCCATCACCCATCAACTCAAAATGCGATCCCGCATCACATCGCTCTTATTTTGCATATGTATTCATCATCACTATCCTCCTGATGTGCAAAAGATTTGTCATGTTGGTCTTAACGTGTCTGGCTCGACAAGGCAAGGGGTTCCAAGCAGCACTTTCTTCTCCACTATTTCAATGTAAGACTAGACAGCAGCATTGCATCATGAGGATATCCAGAAGAATAGATCCACTTCACCAGCGACCACATCCCAAAAGATTGCATCAGATATCATCCGGCTGTTTCTCTTCTTCACTCTCCATGCTAACTGGTTCTCAGATGAATGCTATAATAGAAAGTAATCCTCGAAGAAATCATTTTTCGACACTGACAAAGACACGGATATGGAGAATGAGAAAAAGTGATTTACAAATGGAATGTTCCTTCCGTGGATTGCCCACCAAAGGAGATCGCAGTATTTTGATATCACGATTGATGAAAACACTCGACGATGACAATGACGTAAAGCCAAAGGGTCATGCGCATTTGCAAAATCTGGATCCCTCGGATACTTCTGTGCTTCGTGTCAAGGGGCACACAACTCCAAACTCCGAGGGGGTTGGCGTAGGGCTGGTGCTATACCATTCCGAGACCAACGAGGAACTTTGGTCTGGAAGGATCTACTGTCCTGGCGACAGAGCTGGCTTTGAAGCCGAATATTCTGCAATCATCATGGGTCTTGACTTTTGCAAGTCCTGTGGCATACAAAATCTTGTGCTTCAGTCGACGAACAATGCGATTGTCTTTCAGATCAACGGAATTTACAAGGTCAGCAAACAGTCCTTGAAGCCATTGCTAGAAATGGAAAAGGAACATGAGGAAGAATTCGATTCCTTTTCCGTGGCGGCAATACCCAATAGCGAAAACACCGTTGCTTCCGAGCTGGCAACCAAGGCGTTGTCGACTCGAAGATCAGCCGACACTCCCAAATTTTGGAAATTCAACGATCCAATTTTGACATTGTCGTCTGATGTGGTCGATGCTGACGTGATGGATGTCGATACTATCGCGGGTGAAGAAATCGACTTGGACAACGACTATACGGGTATACCACAACCTGCAGAAATAGATCCGTCCAGAGTCTACTTGCTTCGATTCGATGGTGGCTCGAGGGGAAATCCTGGAGTTGCAGGGTACGTGACAAGAAGGTGTCTTGTTCTTTAAATGCCTATATTTATAGCTTTCCTAGTTCTAACATTATTCAATCAACACAGTGCGGGAATGGTGATATATGATGATCAGGGGAACGAAATATGGAATGGATGGAAATTTCATTCCGAATCGGCTACCAACAATGTTGCAGAGTATTCAGGTCTTCTTTGGGGATTGAAATGTGCTTGTTCGTCTCTTGGCATTACACAGTTGATTGCGGAAGGAGACTCCCAACTGATCGTCAAACAATTAAATGGGGAGTATCGTGTCAAGGACGCAATGCTGAAGAAGTATCACAAGGCATGCGTAGACGTGGCTGGAAATTTTGAATATTTTGAGATTCGACACATTCCGAGAGCTGAAAACAGTAGGGCGGACTGGTTGGCCAACCATGCCATGGACCTGCAACAATCGCATGGATGTGGGGATGAGGAAGAAGATTTGGGGTTTTGATTCTGACGTTTTTTAAAATTGAACAGCTATTGCTTGTAGAACAATGGAACGCAGAATCAGCGACGAGTCAGTCAGTGGAAAGTCATTGAACTCAAATTGACTTGCTTACTTCTTTTCCGTACAGGGATGCTGTTATGCTGTTAGACTAGATAAAGAATAGTACTGTACAGAGCAGAGGATAGAAAGAGACTTGAGCTCTGTGACGTGACTAGACTAGACTCCTTCGACCACCGCAATGTGACTACTCCGACCGCATTGCAACGTGGACGCATAATAAATCTCTCACAGAATGTATCATACAACAAGGAGAAGACTAAAGTCAACAAAACAGAGCCCAATTGAGCCAAGTGAAGAAACAAATCAGTTCCATATACGTATTCCATGCCATAGTATCTGAAGCGGCTATGATGTTGAATTTCTCCCATTAGATTCGAATCAATCAACCAATCAATCTAAAATCAATCTGAAATATAAACATGACGGTAAAGATGCCAGTCTTCCGCCGTCATGGATTCCAAAGGACCACGCCGAAATTGACGCTATTGAAGAAAGAACTGCAAAAGTCTCCACAGCATAGTCAAAAGAAACGGAAACGAGTACGATTGGTTCTATTTCTGGCTGTAGTCGTCATACTACAAGTGGTTCTTTTGAGGTCGGTCAAGATTGAGAATCAAATACACGATGAAACCGCCGTCATTGACCCCAATAATGGTATCAAATTATCCGAGGAAAGGAATTCCAAGTCATCGCTTCCATTCTCTCAGCACCAAACTACAACAAATGATCAAGTCAATCAATTCAAGGGTGCTACGGGAAACCGACAACCGTCACTTGCATCATCTGTCGTTTCGGAATCCTCCCTCCTCTATTCCAAACCTCCCCAACTGAACGACTTTCCACAATGGATACAAGACTATGTCCAATGGCATCAAAAAGTCCGACAAGAGTTTCCGGGTATGGAACTTTTTGACAATCCAAACGCTCCTCCTTTGCTAATCAGAACATGTCTGGGATTGTGTGGTGGATTGCACGATCGGATTGGACAATTGCCCTGGGATTTGTATTTGGCCCACAAGACCAAGCGTTTGCTACTGATTTCTTGGCAACGACCACGCAGCTTGGAAAATTTCTTATTGCCTAGTCCATTATTAGACTGGAGGGTACCATCGCAAGCACAGTTTGGCTTTGACGACATTCGTAAAGTCCGGAACGAAACTCAAATGTTTGAAGGATTTCCAGAAGCCAATCCGACGGACGAATTCTTTCAAAAGGATTTTGATATTGCCTTGGAACGAGCCATGGTGGGCAGCTATTCCAAAATTCGAGTCTTGCGGCATCGATTTCTGGGTCACTTGTACCAAGACGTCTTGGAAGAACGGCTATTGAAAGAAGAACTAATGCCAGACTCATCCTCATTACACATTGCACCACTCTTTGGCAAAATCTTTTGGTTATTCTTTCGACCCAGCCCTCCCGTCCATGCCAAATTTGTCCAAGTCTTGGAGGAATTGCAACTTACGCCTCAAGCTTATACAGCCGTCCATTGTCGAGTACGACACCCCAAGGCCTTTTCGTATGGAGCTACCGTTTTGGGCAAGAATCCTGCCTATCCCGCCGACAAAACGGGTCTACCATGGGAAGGAGAAACGAGGGAAGCTGCCTTGGGAGTGGCATTGAAAGCCTTGCAGTGTGCCAAGTCCCTTACTACTGCTGGTGACAATGACACTGGTGGTAACAACAACAACAACAAGAACAAGGTTTATTTTTTGTCGGATTCGAACGATCTGGTGTCGCACATTTGCCAAGAATTGCCATCTGGTGGTAGTAGTAGTATTAGCTACAATTGGACGTTACCGGAACTCCAACATTTAGTAGTGTCCAACAAGAAACAGACAAATGACGACAATGATCATGGACTGACAGTGCTGTCACGAGATCCCACGGAGGAAAATGCGCACATTGATCGGCAAAAGGGACGACCACCGGAAGCCTACTACGATACCTTTGTGGATTTGCTAGTAGTGATGCATGCTCAATGTGTCGTCTATGGGGTTGGTTATTATGCTGCCTTCGGAGCCAAGATTAGCGGGACACCGTGTCAATATATTTACCAAAAGGAAGCTTGGGGAGCTCAATCCAACAAGGAAGCAGAGATTTGTCCTGATGGTGGATAGTAGGCACCACGCTATGATGGTTGCTTGCTGTATTTTATTTTAGAAGTAGAACATAACACAACATTCAATTCTTTGGAGCTAGTGTTTATCATATTGTGCTACCTACAGTACACAATGTATTGGAGTATAGTACCTAGTACTGGTGCTGTAGTGTCATTGGAGTATCTTCTCCCTTTCCTATCTTCACCTGGTACTGTATTACTCCGTTCGAAGTAAGAAAAAATCCCCACCAAAGAGGTGCGAAGAAAAAGCTGCGCAATCAAATTTACGATTGGTCCTATGACCGACGATTATCGCAAAACCTTCCTTGAACTTGGGAATTGGCTTATTCCTAACCGAAACTACGATCACCATAAGTAGAAGTGAATTCCGCATAGGAAGCAATTTATACGGATTCTTCTTGGGCCAAGACAGAGATGTAAATTTTTAATGATCCATAAATGTCACGCCTGATCAAGTCATAATCGGACGATTTTGAAATAGTACACTAGGGCCTTTTTCGCTGTCGCCAGCCAAAACCACGAGAGCGCAACTGCACCAAAAATAGCCACAAATTCTCCATTGTCACGCTACAGTACAGTGTAACAACCAAACTATTATCTGTTCAGCACTGCATTCAAACATATATATGACAATGATTACTCTTACCACCACAACCACAACCACTAATACCTCACCAAAGAAACCAGATCAGTCGTCAAGTAGCGGCTTTGGCTTTTGGAGTTTGAACAATACCTCATCCCTGCAATCATCTACTTTTTCCTACTCATCTCCAAACAAGAAGAAGAATGGACCACTTGCCACCACGACTGTCTCGCCCATTCTCACGAAAGACCCCACCATTTCCACGGTAGTCGCAAAGCAATCACCTCCTTCTCCTCAACCACAACCAAAGAAGAAGAAAAAGGTCAACTTTCAACTTCAATGTCAGGTACGAACCTTTGAGGTGGTGGCCTTGGACGAAGACTTTGAAAACAATTGCGAGGACGACGAAGAATACTGGGAACAAATGGGCGAAGATTTCTGGTACCAAGCCTATGATTTCCAAGCCTTCAAAAAGGACCGACGCAGTTTGGTCGATCGTATTCGCACCATTGGGGTCAAGAACGCCAAGGGCAATTACGCAATGGAGGGATTGGAGTTTTTCTTGACGTTAAAGGCAAGAGAAGTCCACAAGGAACGTGTCTTGGATGGCTGGGTCTCCGTATTGGAACTCCAAGCGGAATGGGAAAAAGACCAGTCCGAAGGAGACTGCTCGGAAGACGATAAGGTAGAATTGATTGCCAGCAAGTACGCCCACGTTTCCAAAGCATGCTTGGAAGATGCCAACAAGCGAGCTATCGAGACTGCTCAAGAGATTCAAGCCGAGGATGAAAAAATTGTCGCTTCGATTCCAAAGTCTCCACAACCCAAGAAAGGCTCTCTACAAAAGGATGGAAAAGGAGTCAAAGCCCTGGGCGTTTGGGGTAATACTTGGAGTAGTACTGGTACCAGCACCATCAGCAACAATACGACCACCACCACTAGTTTCAGTACCTTTCAAAAGATACGGCCCTTTCCTCGCCAATGAAACGAGATGAATTGTCATGCGGTAGAAGCATGATTGTACGATTCAATTTCATTCATTTTGTTATTGCTAAGATTGAAAGGGGGATTCGATGAATTATAGAGGAACACTGTATTATAAGTTATATAACTTGGGAATGTATTATAATATTTTGCACTATACAAAACATACGCAACTATCTCCAATGTTCTGTTATAATTTACAACATCTTACAACACTTTGGCTTGTCATTGCCCATGTTTGAAGAATGTCTTGGTTCCGACATTCCCACTGGAATTTTGCCTTCTCATCTTCATCAACGTTTCCGTTTCTCCACTCCAACATGATGATTGATTATCGCTACCAGAAAGTCAGCCAGGTGCCGGCGAGTGGAAGAGCGATGGTCATTTCTACGTGAATCTCTGGTCAGAAAGCTACGTGTTCTTTTTGAAATATCAGCTGCGCGCCACGTGCACTGCTGTATAGTATTCTTTTTCTTGTGCCTGCATGCATGACGAATGATGACCCATTTTATATTTTTGATTCGAATGAGTCCAATCTTCCACATCAACATCCGGCCGTATATTATTATATCACAGTATCGATATCATCGCGTCAATAATAACAATCGCATCTTCAACCACCATGTCACTGTACGGACATCACCAGCCATCGAACAACTTTCCTTCAGGGATATTGGTAGCATCGATAATAAGCACTTTGTCGATGAATAATGTTGTCTGTCAAGCATCGGCACTCTCTTTAGGGATTGGAGGATCATCATCATCGTCCTTCTTGAGATCAACGAGATCATTCTATTATTCCACGCCATCGCCGTTTTCGTCAACGTCAACGTGAATCCGCCGACAAACAACACTGACAAGAATTCTTTTTGGAATCCATGAGCCTCCCCCACCGTGGAAAAAGATTCTGCACTGCAGAATATGTTGGCACGGAACATAGTCACAGAGAAAGCATTCCATGCTTCAAGCTCGTGTGCTTATTGTGACAGATGAAACATCCCTTATATCTCCTTTCTTCGTCGGCGGGGCTGCATTACATCAGAAATATTGATGAACGGTCCGATGCTCCACTGAGAAAACGCCCCCCAACTAGCTACATATCTTCCAATACTTGGCAATCAGGTTTTACAAAATGTCGTTTAAAAAGACCAGTCAATGGAGTGGCTAGCCCTTATTCCTTCCAGCCTACTACGTGTCGCTTGCAATGCAATGGGGAGCGTCGACCGCGGAGGGATCAAAGGAGTTTGTCAGCATACCGTACTACCTGGTATCTATCACTGTATTGCTTGCGCTTGCGACAGAGATGCGTGGATGCTACCAGCATATGCCTGCAGTGTTGTCTCTACAGTGTTCTTTTTTTTTCAAACAAAAATGGTGATTGTGATCGATTAATTGCAAAAGTGACAGAATGGGCCAGGTGACTCCACAGAGAGCTTAGGATCCAATTGTGATTGGCAGCTGGTAGCGCCGGAAAACGCGTCGGTCACGTTGGCATTGCTCGGAATGCGGGAGCCCCACGGACAAAGATTCTGATCGAAGGATGACGCACCTTGAAACATAGTTACCATAAAGCGAACAGAAGAAACATCCCAGGATGATATGTCTTGATTGAAGGATGATGCTTCATAGAACATAGAACTCATATACCAAACAGAAGAAATGTCCCATGATGACAAGTCTTGATTGAAGGATGTTGAATACCCGAACATACCATGTATGGTAGCCACAGAAGAAACATCCCAGGATGACAAGTCTTGATTGAAGGATAATGCGTACCAGAACATTAGACCCGTGTCTGTGACAGAAGACACATCCCAAGATGATATGTCTTGATTGAAGGATTCTGCATTCATAAACATGTGACCCATATCTGTGACAGAAGACACATCCCAAGATGATATGTCTTGATTGAAGGATTCCGCATTCATAAACATGTGATTCGTATCTCTGACAGAAGACACATCCCAAGATGATATGTCTTGATTGAAGGATTCTGCATTCATAAACATGTGACTCATATCTGTGACAGAAGACACATCCCAGGATGATATGTCTTGATTGAAGGATTCTGCATCCCTGAACATCGATCTCATATTGGTAACAGAAGACACATCCCAGTTTCCAATGTCCTCATTGAAAGAACTACGACTAAAAAAGAGATTTTCCATACTGGTAATGCCAGCTGTAAAACACCATTCCCCGATACGGCCATATATGTTTTCGACTGATGCCTTAGCCAGAGAAGACAAATGCCAGTTAAAAACTGTATCGGAAAGCTCGTAATTTGTTTGAAAACATGTTGTCGTAGGTGCCAGGGTTGGCACAGGAATCGGCCGGGCAGACGTGGGTTTAGGGGTTGGGTTTCGTGTTGGTCGAAGAGTTGGATTTGATGTTGGAGTTGCAGTGGGTCCAGGGGTCGGTGCAGGAGTCGGTGCAGGAGTCGGAGATGCAGTGGGTCCAAGAGTCGGTCGAGGAGTTGGGTTTGGTGTTGGAGGTGCAGTGGGCCCAGGTGTCGGTGCAGGAGTCGGCGATCCAGTGGGCCCAGGAGACGGTCGAGGAGTTGGGTTTGGTGTCGGAGGTGCAGTGGGTCCAGGAGTTGGGTTTGGTGTTGGAGGTGCAGTGGGTCCAGGGGTCGGTCCAGGAGTTGGATTTGGTGTTGGCTGAACGGTTGGGTCTAGTATTGGTCCAAGACTTGGGTTTGCGGTTGGAGGGGCAGTGGGTCCAGGGGTTGGAAAAAACGTTGGTCCAGGTGCTGTTCTAGGAGTTGGTATTGGTGTTGGAGGAGCAGTGGACCCAGGGGTTGGATTTGGTGTTGGTCCACGAGTTGGGTTTGCTGATGGCTGAGGGGTTGGATTTGGTGTTGGTCCAGGGGTTGGATTGGGAGTTGGCTGAGGGGTTGGGTTTGGTGTTGGTCTAGGAGTTGGGCCTACAACGGGCGAGAGCGTGGGCAGAATGCTTGGTTCTGCAGTTGGGTATCCTGTTGGATTTGCGCTTGGTCTTTTGGTTGGCTCTGCTGAAGGAGATGCATTGCCCATACTAGGAGACTCTGTTGGATCCATGTATCCGAGATTCGCAACAATTATGCTCTCATACAGCCCAGTCAAATCAAGTTTCTCGACCACGGGACCACCTCCAAAATAAGAACTCAATTCACCAATCACATCGACAACTTTCACCGAATCATCTTTTACCACAACATCAATTGCTACACTGACTCGATGACATCGTTGACTCGAATCATCCAAGCATTCTACTCCTGCGACTCCAGAAGCGTCAACTGCCACATTTGCAATTGCATGTAAAAATGCACCGCTATCCAGATAGCGATGGTATCGCAAGTTTCGAACGACTCGATTACATGCAGTAAGTGCTGGGGCCATCAATTCTTTGAGTTTATCTTCAATGATACCGGCTGAAATGCTCAGGTCCACGCGAAGAAATGACGTCGCGTCGAGATCGAGCTGGTAGCTTTGTACTGGCATTGTTTCTTGACCTTGAATTACATTTCCGCACACATTCGTGACGTTCTCTGTGATCGGAATACCATCTTCTACTTGTGATGATCCATTTGAGACCGATGAAGTCGTGGTACGAGTGCCAAGCCATGCTCCAATAGCAGCAATTGCAACCACAAAGATAAAAAGTAGGCAGCAAAAGGCTCGAGCTCCTCTCTTCTGTTTGAATCGTTCCCAGTTCCTTGCATTCGAATCGTTGCCTTGTGCTTCGTTGTCATCAAGCTCTAAAGCTTGGTCAGCATCACTGATCTCCACGGCATCAGTGATTTTCACAGCATCAGCCGTCACCAATCCATCTATACTCTCTCCCTTATCAGCTTCAATTCTTGCTTGTCTTTCTGATCGTCTTTCCTCTGTGTCTCCCAAAGACCTACTGATTCTTTCTTTCCTAGTCTTTCTACCAGACCCATCGTGGGCACCAGGCACAAGTCCATTGATCATGTCTTCTTGATCTTCTTTCTCAACTTGAGTTCCACGAGAGTCCGCATGCGCACCTGGCATCGGTCCTGTAATGGGTTGGCTCGATCGATCCAAGATGGTTTTGACCTTTGCTGCAGCATCCGCCTTGGAAAGTCGATCTTGTTGGCTTCGCCTTTTACCAGTTCCATGACCGCTGTTGCCTTCCATTGGAGCTTCTTCATCCTCAGCAACCTCCGACCCATCTAATACACTGGAGTGTGGCTCATCAGCAGCCTGTTGCTCATTGGCCTCGTGCTCTTCTTTGGGTACGCTTTCCTCCATAGTATGCTCTCAAACAATTTAAGAAAGAATACTGGAATCCAAACTCTTCAAACTTCCGCCGTAGAACTAAAAAAAGAGAGTTCTTGGGTTTTGAGTCGCGATTATTCATGCACCCGAAACGTGGTCGTAGAAGAAAAGCCTGTACACGTTTAATCCATATTTACAGTAGGAGTCATTTTGCACTTAACACTGTGACATAATATGGGATTTTACATTTTGTTTGTAGACGGGAATTCATACGTAGCTAAAGTACCATGCTCTACGGATGGTATTTCTGCCAGTTTTTTGCCCGAGTATGCCCGGTCTAGCATCCTCGCGCGATGGCGCGAAATACATGGTTGACATCTAAAAGTTTTGGCGTAATCCAAAACTTCGATATTTGAAACCCACAAAAGATTTTTGTGATCCACTGCCTGAATCGACGATGGAAACTCCCATCTGACGTGTAGTAACAACATCTGTACTTGTAGTCTTCTTGCGACTTGTTTACGAAAAATATCGGACACTTTCTCTGGAAGATCGAGTTACATTCCCATCCACTGTAATCTTGTAGTTGAGTCAGTCTCAACAAAGCGAGGGAAGACATCATCTCGAATCTCCAGATTCATGATCTTTGATGATAATGAGAGAAATGCGTTTTGTCACTCCAATGTTTGATCGTCGAGTCGCATTTCCACTACCTACTCACTCGCATATACTGCATGATGTGATTGTTGTGTCCGAATATCTGAAATACTGCGGGGTGTGATGAAATGCGGCATGGTGTGATTGTTGTGTTAATGACATCTTTATGATTGAAAGATGTTGGGTGTCCACTATGCAACTACAAATAATTTGAAACACTATAAGCAAGCGATCTATAATAACTATTAGTGGGCATATTGTTGGGTGCTTCCACTATATTCCGACCTGCTGTAGTGATGGACACTTCATGCATAGATTCTTTGACCGAAGAACCATCACAGCAGAAGTGTACATCCACGGATTTATTGAACTCGACCCACACCCCATCTTTCAAGAGTACATGCTAGGGCAGTCCTAACACAGCTGGTCTGGGCTAGGCGCCAAACTATCATTAGCGGGTTTTTATGGCTTGCTCAAGCTTTGGTCGTCCGACTTGTGTTGGGACACACAGTTTTAAACTCCTCGCTCCTGAGCCTAGCTAGTTGACTGGAGGAGTGGACTGCTTATGATCCGAGGATACGAAATGGAGATGTCAAGCAAGCATAACATGGAGATTGCAAACGGAAACGATGACAACGCACAACATTGATTGTATGCCAATAAGCTGCACGATGATGTCAAGGAATTGCCATTTTGTGGGTGAGAATCCTACTCGTAGCGCTTAGTACTTAAGCTACGTATGAATTCCCGTCTGCAAAGAAAATGTAAAATCCCAAATTATGTCACAGTGTTAAGTGCAAAATGACTCCAACTGTAAATATGGATTAAACGTGTACAGACGCGGTATGCGGCTATAGTGAAGACCGCACCAATAAGGCCAATACTCACGGTCAAAGAATCCGAAAACGAATTCCAAAATACCGTATGTAAATTATGTACCTACGTACAAACCCTACCAACCTTCACTGAAGCCTCACATTTTTGTCAACGAACGGATTCGCACAAAACTCTAGGATCCAAGTCATCATGGGCAATGCCCAACCCTACGGCCCTCCAACAAGGCTGATAAGCTGTGATAAGCTGTGTTGACCCAACTACAGGAGATCTAGACCCCATGTTGTACTTTCAATACCCAAGAAACAGGGAAATTGAAGAGGCAGAGGCATGCTAAGATGTTTTTACAGGCTGAGGAATCACCATGATTCCTTCACGCTTGCAATGCCCACACGGACATATAACACGACAGTCAACCACCGCCGGCGCATTCTCTCAACTACTAAAGGTCACCCTGGCAGATGGTCCGACAAGACCTTGATCCGCTTTGACGAACTTGCCAATCAACTCAGAAAGGGTGAACGGTATGGGGACCTCATTTTCACTCTTCTTGAATTAGATGATGATGGAATTGAAAGGAGGGAGGTGGAATACTCAGGGGCTTGGACCATCGTCGACAACGGATATCTTCATTGGTATGTTTTAGTGCCTTCTATGAAGTTGTGGACAACCTACTCGGAGATGCAATGTAGCAAGTGGTTGGAGAGTATGAGGAAAGATGTGGAGTGTACCTTTGGAATAATGAAAGGACGCTTCCAAATCCTCAAGACTGGAATCCCCCTACACGGGATAGAAGTTTGTGACACAATATGGCTTACCTGTGGTACTTTGTACCGAATGAAGGATTTGTAGGTTAATGAAGATTACTAGAAATCAATGGTTAAACAATTATTGTGTGGTGCTATGATATAGGTCACAATCTCTTTGTCATTATGGCACGGTCAAAAGCTGTCAGTAAGAGGTGAAGTGGTACCCAGTACGAAGGTGAAGGAGACAAGTATCCAAAACAGAAAAAAGTGGCATCTTAAGTGGATTCTGATTGGTCTGATTCATGCTTGATTGGTCCGATTCATATGCGCGTTTATTCGTTTTCGTAATCCGTCACCGTGAGGTTGACCAGAAAAACGAATTGCAAAAAGTGTGCGAAAAACGCGCAAGGGCCGAATCCGTTTTCGGATTCGTTGACCGTGAGTATTGGCCTAAGTGTCTGACCGACATATATCGTACTCTCGTGGTATTTACCTGGTAAAATATCTATCCCATCTTGAATCTCTGCGATCCGCATTCAACAGATTTTTGGTGTTGTTCCTCCCATACCGGCGGTTGCATCCAAACCGTCATCTGGCCTACCGTATAGGGTTTTATATTGCTTGCGGTCAACATCCATTTCGCAATTCGAATGGCGAGAGCATTCTTTATTATATTGTATGGAGCATGTCTGTATCACCTTAGATCAAGAAGAAGATGAGCCCAACCAGCAGACGAAGGGATAAAACAAACACCAGCCAAGGAATCCAAATGGAGTGACTATCCAACCAGCACGACAGCGAAGGAAAAGTTAGCAATAAGGCGAGACGGATATGCGGGAAAAGTAATACTGTTCTATCAGCCAGACGAGGGGGTGCATTGCAAGCTATATTTTGGATTCGCTCGCAATAGCATATAAGGCGAGACGGATATGCGGGAAAAGTAATACTGTTCTATCAGCCAGACGAGGGGGTGCATTGCAAGCTATATTTTGGATTCGCTCGCAATAGCATTACTTTTGCTAGGGCCAGGAAGCATTTGTTGGATGGGCAAAACAGAGAGTCCAATCTTGGACTTATCTCCTAATCAGTCATACAGCAGCCACTGGAAACCACCCATACTAGTGGTGGACCCAAGTCACCACCTTCCACTTTTTCTGACTTGCCGAGTCCACAGAATTATCTTCTTGGGAATTTTCATCCGCCATGTATTCTGGATAGTTACGACAAGAAGGGCATTTGTAAGTAGTGTGACTGGAATAAGTAATGATGGCCCTTATAGTTCAGAAGCATATGATTGGATATCCTTTCGCAATGAACAATTCATTCCTAGATTCTTTAGATGGTATGTTGGATTTGCTTGCTTGCTTTCTCATACTTTAGCACTGAATCTTAGCATTCTATTGTTTATAGTGTTTGTAGCATCCCAGTGACAAGCACTGCCTCCTGCTGTTTGGAACAAAAGGATACAATGTGTTTCAAAATCTTGTATTCTTCCTTTGCGCTCGTAAAATTTCCTTCATGGACTCATACAGTCAACTTCGTGAACTTGTGTTGGACGGATTCCATTCCATTCCATTCGGGCATCGAAACTATCCTGTACTGTAGTCGTTTCTGATTGGTTCTAATCCTCTTTTCCTTGGTTTGAACGGTATTGCAGGTAATAGCCGTGATACTTTCCTTGAAAAGCCATTGCCATGAAGTCGGCTGGCACGTTCCGTCAGGGAGAGTTTCTCAGGCTTTTGGACCGCACGACCTCCCTTAGTCATGCAGGCTTCGTGTTTGTAATCCAAGTGCCTTACGCTAGCAGTATATGCTTGTTGGCTAGCTCTTGTCCAATCACAGTGTTGAACTCGAGCACCGAGATTGTATCGTCAAACGACAGCAGCTTCACACTGCTACTATAGAGGAGCTGGAAGAGTGGGAATGATTTGAGTTCGAGTTCGAGTTGGAGGAGGAAACACTCTTCTTTTTGGTGGGTGCATTTTGGGTTGACAAGATGAGTTGTTCCATTCCCATGCATCCTTCGTCGGAAGTATTGTCATGTTGACCATGCTGCTGCTGATCATGCTATGACCATGGGCGGCACCAAGAATAAGCTGTCGCATTTTTTTTAGTGTACAAATATATAGCCACACGCCGTTCCGCATTATTGTTAATTCGAAGCAATCAAAGCAAGGATAAAGTCAAGGCATAGCAGTCAACGCAGTCAAAGCCACCCGCAAATCAAACACAGATATATTATAATCATATTCTAATAATTCACGCCCAGCATACCAAGCTCCTCATGGAAATGGGCTGTGTTTCTCTGTTTTGACAAACGTGGGAAAAAGGAACCTGCTAGCAGATTTAAAGCGAGATTTGCACTGGATATTTGTGATGGACTGTTGACAATGTGAAGAATGAATGCAGCCGAGCCCCCCATCCACAAGGATTTGGAATGAAGAATGATAGAACCTGGAACAAAGAAATGAACAGGAAACATCACATCCTGACAAGTCTCGATTGCAAGATGATGATGCTGGTTCAAACATCAAATTGGCAGCAGAAACATGTGGCAGCAGAAACACATCCTGCATGTATTGCACCCATCAGAAGCACTGCACATGCGCTCTACCAAGACCGTTTTCAAAACTTCCATGCAGTAGCCCCTCCTTCTAAGGTATGTGTCACTAGGAACTTTGTATACTTTAAAACCTGGTACCTAAGCTTGCATTTAAATACAGTTGTGACAGAGATGCTTCGTTGCTGCTACCATGCATAGAGTACTATCTCTAGAGAGTTCAGTTATTCCAAAATATTTGAATGAAATTATTATCAAAGGTGCTTTCAATTAATTGCAAAAGTGACAGAATGGTCCTGGTGGGTTTGTATAGAGGTTTGGATCAGATTGTGATTGGCAGCTGGTGGCGCTGGAAAACGCATTATTATTGGCAACATTCTTGTTCTGCATGAGCAAGCCCCATGAACAAAGATTCTGATTGAAGGATGTAGCTGTCATAAACATGGATCCCATATCCATGACCAAAGAAACATCCCAGGATGACAAGTCTTGATTGAAGGATGTTGCACCTTGGAACATGAAATACATGTCCGTCACAGAAGAAACATCCCAGGATGATATGTCTCCGTTAAAGGCTGCGGCCCCATTGAAAAGTGATCTCATTGTTGTGACAGAAGAAACATCCCATGATGACAAGTCTTGATTGAAGGAAGCTGCATTGCAGAACATGCACTTCATGTCCATAACAGAAGAGACATCCCAGGATGACAGGTCTTGATTGAAGGACGCTACATCTCGGAACATGTTTTCCATATTTATGACAGAAGAAACATCCCAAGTGGATATGTCTTCATTGAAGTCATATGCCCTACGGAACATGTATCTCATAATTGTGACCGAAGAAACATCCCACGATGACAAGTCTTGATTGAAGGATGTTGCCTCATTGAACATTAATTCCATTGTTGTTACAGAAGAAACATCCCATGATGACAAGTCTTGATTGAAGGATGATGCCGCAGTGAACATGTAACTCATATCTCTGACCGAAGAAACATCCCAGGATGACAAGTCTTGATTGAAGGATCTTGCATTCACAAACATGAGATACATGTCAGTCACAGAAGAAACATCCCAGGATGATATGTCTCCATTAAAGGATATTGCTCCATTGAAAAGTGATCTCATCCTGGTGACAGAAGAAACGTCCCATGATGACAAGTCTTGATTGAAGGACGCTGCACTGCAGAACATGCACCTCATGTCTCGAAGAGAAGAGACATCCCACGATGACAAGTCTTGATTGAAAGATGCAAGGTTTCGGAACATGTTATCCATATTTGTGACAGAAGAAACATCCCAAGAGGAGATGTCTTGATTGAAGTCTGATGCATACCCAAACATGTATTTCATACTTGTGACCGAAGAAACATCCCATGATGACAGGTCTTCATTGAACGTAGTGCGCTCATAGAATAGGAATTCCATACTTGTCACAACAGGACCGAAACACCAGTTGCTGATTAGTCCATATTGACCCTCGACAGATGCCTTCGACTGAGACGACTGAAACCAGACCCCAACCGCATTATAAAGTTCCGTACTGGATTGAAAACAAGTCACTGTCGGAGGTGCAGGGGTTGGCACAGGAGTAGGTTGGGCAGTCGTGGGCTGAGGCGTGGGCGGCACGGTTGGTGGCAAAGTAGGCCCAGGTGTCGGAGGTGCTGTAGGTCCAGGAGTTGGGTTGGGTGTCGGCTGAGGAGTTGGTCCAGGAGTTGGGATTGATGTTGGCTGAGGAGTTGGGTTTGGTGTTGGTCCAGGAGTTGGGCCAACAACTGGAGGTGGTGGATTGGGACCCACTGGAGCAACAGTTGGTAGAGGAGACGGTGGTGGAGTTGGGGGTGGAGTTGGTGGAAGAGTGGGCGCCCGAGCGAATGTTGGCAAAGGTGTTGGCGCTGGCGTTGGTCCTGGAATAGGCAAAAACGTCGGTCTTGGAGTAGGAAATAATGTCGGTCTTGGAGTAGGTCTTGGGGTAGGAAATAATGTAGGTCCTGGAGTAGGAAATAGGGTGGGTCCAGGAGTTGGATTTGGTGTTGGTCCAGGGGTAGGGCCTACAACGGGAGAAAACGTGGGTGGAATACTTGGTTCTGCGGTTGGGTATCCTGTTGGATTTGCGCTTGGTCCTTTGGTTTCAGATGGTGGTAATATGGTCGGCTCTGCTGAAGGAGACGCATCGCTGATACTTGGAGATTCTGTTGGATCCATTGATCCAAGATTCACAACAATGATGCTCTCATACAGCCCAGTCAAATCAAGTTTCTCAGCAAGAAAACCATCTCCAAAAAAGGTACTGAGTTCACCAATCACATCGACAACTTTCACTGAATCATCTTTTACCACAACATCAAGTGCCACGCTGACCCGATGACATTGTTGACTCGAAACATCCAAGCATTGTACTCCTTTGACTCCAGAAGCGTCAACTGCCACATTTCCGATTGCATATGAAAATGCACCGCTATCCAGATAGCGATGGTATCGCAAGTTTCGAACAATTCGATTACATCCAGTAAGGGCTGGGGCCATCAATTCTCTGATTTCATCTTCAATGATACCGGCTGAAATGCTCAGATCCATGGGAAGAAACGGCGTCGCATCGAGATCGAGCTGGTAGCTTTGTACCGGCATTGTGTCTTGACCTGGTATTGCATTTCCACCAGCAATGGCGGCACAGTCTTCTGTCGATGGTGGTTCAAACGTAACCTCAATGTTGGTACTAGTAGGAGGCCCGGAAGGAGATGCACTTGTGAAAGGATTTTCAATCGCATCAGAATCTTGAGTTGGTGATACTGTATTGACTGGCACATTCGTTACATTCTCTGTGATTGGAATGCCACCGGCTTGTGACGAAGGTCCATTGGATGCATCGTTCCTCGTGGCAAGCCAAGCTGCAACAGCACCGATCGCGAGGACAACGAGGCAAAGGAGATAGCAACATATTCGAACGCTCTTGTTCTGCTTGATACGTTCCCAGTCTGTTCCATTTGATTCTTCATTCTTGTTCCTTGCCTTTTTCCTTGTCTTTTGGTTTGGATCATCACCAGGCGCATTTCCATCCATAGACTTGTTCAATGATTTTGAAGCAGCACCCCCACTTTCGGCGTTGTGCTGATCTAGCATTGAATTGAGTAGTGCCGTAGCAAGGTCGGCATCATGGCTGTCTACAGCATTAGCCATCACGAGACCGTCCATACTGTCTTCCTTATCAACTTCAACTTTCGCTCGTTCTTCCACAGCAAACACTGATTGGGATCCCAGAGGTCTGCGGTGCCTTTCTTTTCCAGAGTTCTTGTCTTTTGACTCTTGGGTTCCGCGAGAATCCGCATGTGCACCAGGCATTGGTCCAGTAATGGCTTCACTCATTCGATCCATGAGAGTGTTCGCCTTTGCAGCATTATCTTTGGTGTATCGATCTTGTTGACTTCTTCTTTTGCCACGCCGATGCTTGCTGGGGCCATCGATCGGTTCTACGGCATCCGAATGGTCGACATCATCAGAACTGGTGTCCGGCACTGTGGACTCACCTTGCGTTTTCTTGCTTCCCTTATTGGTGCTTTCCTTTCCTGAAGCTTTGGAGTCAATGGTATTGGCTTCGGATCCACGAGATTCCGCATGCGCACCAGGCATCGGTCCAGTTGCAAGATCGTCGCCTGCTCCTCGATTCATGAGGCTCTTTGCCTTTGCGGCAGCATCCTCCTTGGATAGTACCACTCTATCTTGCTGGCTTTTTCTTTTGCTACTTCGATATTTGTTGTTGCTGCGACCTTTGCCTGCTACTGCTCCAGTGTGATCGACGGCATTCGTCCCGGATACACCACTGTCACGTTCAGCACGAGCCTTATCTTTGGCCTCCTGCTCTTCTTTGCTTTTTTTGGTTCGACGCAGTTCGTTGTTGCTCCTCTTTGGACTGCGGCTGCTACTACCACTGCGACGGGATTTCCTGGTAGAGGATCTGCTCCCACTGCTTCGTGATTTCTTGCTGCTGTTGGTGATGAAATCGTCCATGGTGCATGCAATCTGTCTGAAACGCGGTGATATGAGACGAAAATAATACAAAACTTCGGCACTTTTGGAGGGATTTTCGGCAGTTGCGGATGGGAAAAGGAATTCGAGCAGCGGTCGAAAAATATAGGTAGGCGAAACGCCTGTAAGATGACCACGAAAATTCATGACTTATGGGAAATATCCGGCAAACTTTCCCTTTGCGATATCTTCTTGATCCGCTTTGTTCTCGATTTTGCCATTCCAAGACCAGAATGTCTCAGCAAGAGGATTAGTAATGTACGAAAGTTCCTTGGTTTCATAGGGATATCTTGGACTCGTTTGTAACAAAAGGCAACCAGTCAGTCTTCATCAGGCTTGTTCTGAAGGGTATGGCGATACTGTAAGTGAAAATGCCTAAACGATTGGGAGCTGCCTGACAAGAAACATGATTTTCAATTTCAACTAGTACCCCAGTGGTATTAATACTACTAGGCTACTAGCGCGTTATCATCATCTTGTTTCCAAGAGTACCTGGTGCCGTAAGCGTTCTGGGACGGCCGGGAAAATCAACATTTACTTCTAAGAATTGTATGCTAAATTTCTATTTCCCGGCCGTTCCTGCCTCAAATTCAAATTGATGACGCACAGCGGAATGGAAATACTGTATGGAATGGAGAAAGATTGGAGGTGGGGATGATGACAGTCGTCAACAACAAAGATATATATTGCCGCCGGTATGTGACGTATTTGGGAAAATTATTCTATTCAAATGAGTCGAAAACGTCAAAGTCAAACTTTTTATTATGTGCTCTCGACGACATAAAAAATATGCATCATCATCGCATCATATCGCATCATTTTCCACCAGCGCATTTATATGCTCCACGCTATGAGTTTGACCAATCGAACAGTAACATCCAAGTCAATCCTTTCTGCATGGATATTGGCATTGGTTGGGTCACTATTATTACTCAATTTATCGGTGAATAATGTTGTTTGTCAAGCATTGTCATTGTCGCCCACTTTTCGGATTGGACGATCATCACCACCATCATCATCATCATCGCCACCACCATCACAATTATTATTGAGATCAAGAACCGATGCCCAGTCGTCAGCATCAACGACGGCCTTATCCTCTTCCAAAAGCAGCTCGTCGTCGTCACCCATTCCACCGCCTCCTGCTCTTTCCGTACCAGTGTGGTCCTTGGCTGTTAAGGATGATAATAATGCTGATGATGCCACCACCACCACCACCACCAATATGAATATCATGACGTATTGCATGCCAGTTTCCATTGGACCCCCCAAATTGTGGGCATTGAGCATTTTCAAGAATACCTTGACAGAAGATCTATTTTTATTTTTAAATGGTACTTATTCTGCTGAATCGGGATTTGCAAAAAGAGGAATACTGCAATTGCTGACCAAAGATCATCATGTCTTGGTGCACATTTTGGGTAAAATTCCGGAAGGGATATCGACAAAGAACAAGCCTGTTCCGAGGCAGGTTGGAAATGGACAATACCAACAACTGAGCCATGCGAGTCAAGTGAATCATCATCGACAGTAGTAGACTGCCAAGTGATACCATCCTGCAGTCTTTATTTACAAGTCCAAGTGGTGGTGGATTCCGAGCCACAAATGATGGATGCAGGGGACCATTGGGTAGTATTGTGTCAAGTGATAAATACTGGAGAATGGGACGCCGCAAGCAATGGCATTCGATGGAGGACTTTAGACGACGACAACGACACGGCACCTATGAGTGCGATTGATGGAATTGAAGATAATGCCATGTACTCTGGTTGGTTACGACAAGAAGGACACCTGTAGTAGTGTGGCCACCAAATTCCGTCGAAGAAGAAAGGATGATGTGGTAAACATGAATGTGAAAATTGATAGCTGCCGTGAGTATTCCACCTCTTGCAGGATCATACTAAATAGGTGATTACAGTTAGATGCATAATATAGTTACGATAATTAGAAACTGAAACGAGTGGTACTCTTTAGCATTGCTTAGAAATGGCTTGAACGATGTCTGTTGCTGTAGTGTAGTAGTAAAGGAGCTCCATTGGGGGTAGGGTCAATTATAAATGTAGTTGCTTGATTTGATAACATGCTTTTAATCTGATAGCACTTTATAAATTAGCATTGTATATTCTATAGTCTTTGTTTCGCCCTGTGCGATTGGAAGGATAATGTTGGTTGGTGAAAAAGGATTGGATACAATGTGTCTGTGAAGAAAAAAATAGACAAAATCTTGCATCCTTCCTTTTGATCTCTGGCGATTGCTCGCTCCAGTGCTCCAGTGCTCCATTCATTCATTCATGGACCAGTAATCAACTTCTTGACCTTGCGTTGGACGGATTCCACCCACAAGTTAAAGCTATCCCATTGTCGTTTCTGATTGGTTCTCAGTCTCTTTTCCTTGGCTTGGAGGGTATCATAGGTAGCCGTGGCAATCTCCTTGACGGAAAAGCCAGCCTGATGCAATCGGTTGGCCCGTTCTGTCAGGGATAGTTTTTGCGGCTTTTGGGAAGCACGTCCTCGTGCTGTTCGGGCTTCGTGCTCGTAATCCAAATGCCGCAAACTGGCAGTGCTCTTGTTGGCCAGCTCTTGTCCCAAGGCGATGGGACAGCCTCCCGAGACACCTGGATTATCGCCAATCACAGTGTTGAACTCCAAAACAGAGACTTTGTTGTCAAACGAAAGGAGTTTGAGGCTGCTGTTCGAGCTGGAATTGGAATGGTTCAGTTTTTTGGTGATGGTTGGTCCATCCTGCTGATGGATTGGCACAAGCTGTTCCAAGCTGATGGAGCCTTCATCGGAAGAAGAGTCTCCTTGTGCCGTCTTTGCAGTATTATCTTGTTGCTGTTGCTGCTGCTGCTTTTGTTGTTGCTGCTGCTTTGGCTTTTGCGAATCATCCTGAACGCTACAAGCTTGACTCGAGATCATAGTACTCGAGATCATAGTATCTCTCTCCTTGTGGTTGGACACTCGATTGGTGTCATACGCTAGGCAATCTTCAGCATCCGGTGACACTCTATGGAAGCACACTAACGTGCTTCCTCGAAAATGTTGGTGATTCATTACTGTTGTTGTTGTTGTTGTTGTTGTTGTTGTTGTTGTTGTTGTTGTTGTTGTTGTTGTTGTTGTTGATTGATTGAACTTGAGACCAACTGTCTAGTTTTGTGCTAAAGATTCCGGCCACAAAATTTCCTTTCGGTGGACATGGAGCTCTAGAGTAGGCGGGTGATAACGAAACCACACTTATTGAATCATGTGGAGTTCTCGATTTGTTTGTTCTTGACTCCTGTTCTGACGGTTTTGCACCATCGCGCGACAAATTGAATAGGAAATGAGTTGAAGTTTCTAACTGCGATCACCTTTGAGGTCCGATGCCATAAACAAAAAAGAATCGTCCACTTCTTGTCGAACACTTAAGAGGAATCCGGCCGATGTGAAGGGGATAAATGTTAAACTGGGATTGTGAAAACCCAATAAGTGTGTTATGACAACTGTGCTTCTTGACTCTTCTCATGGTGCCGGTTGGGCCTTAAGTGTGGTACCAGGTAAAACAACTAATAGATCTTTTTATGATTCTTGACTCTTCCAACACCCAACAGGGGTAGCACAGGTCTGGCTTGAATGATACTCGCCATGGGGGCGGTTTACGCCGAACGTGGGTCCCGACGCTAAAGAAGTGACAGTTTTAGACGAGCCTGAAATGAAAAATGGCAAAATGCCTACCGTACTATGGTACCCGGTAGCTAAGGTTTCGAAACCATGCTGATCAGACCAACAAATGCTTCTGGTTTGCCGTCGTTTATTTTCGGCTGTGGAGTCAAGTTATCACATCCGAGTAGCGCTTAGCGCGGAGCCATGGGACCAGTAACATGATGCTGATACTATATCCTCTCTGTGCTGGTACCATACCAACAGGTGCAGTATACCAACGATAACTCTAGTCCCTACAGTACAGTAGGAGGTGCTATTCATTCTCCTGCCTGTTTGCTACGTCATTGGTGAAACAAACTTTTAAGTTGTATTCTAATATGAACAACAAGCAAGGAGCACAAGGAAGGGAATGTGGTAGGTACACGTATGGGAATGTGGACCATCCATCCAAGAATCATCCTCCTCCTCCTCCGTTGCGCATTTTCGTTCCATTCAAACAAAAAGTGTATAGACGCGACTAGTTCGACAGCTCCAACGCATCAGCATTTTTCAATTTCGTTCAAATTCAAAGCCTGCAGAGACGACCTGTTCGATCTCGCTTCGTGAAATTTTAAAAAAATATCGACGACTCGAGTAGTTCGACCGAGTCAGTCAAAATGCTGCAGACTGGCGCAACTAATATAATGCAATGTGTATAATATTATTACAATAGAATACAATAAGTTTCTTCCATCATCACTGTGGATTGCCCAACGCCCGGAGTGCTTTCCAATTTTTCTTTTCTTTTTCTCCTTATTAGTAGCTCATCCTCCACAACCTTTCCGCCTACAGCTGCGCTTATATGAAACGAGGAGGAATATAACAATATTGACACACGATGAGAACGACAAGTTTTCTGTCATTCTTACAATTCTTCGTCATTTCAATCAGTCTCCACAGTATTGTTGATGCTCTGGTGGATTGGAACGCGATTCCAGAAGGATCCGTCGTTGGTCCAGGGTTTGGCATCGTCAAGGCCAATAGCTTTTGCGATGTTGTCAAGGATGATTCCTTGGAATTGAACGAAGCCTTGCAGGGACGAAACTTGTCTGTGGTGGTACAATATGGTCCTGGATTTGATTTCTTTCAATACGATCCTGATATGGAGTTGTCTTTGGAAAATCCAAGTGGAATGGTGGCCACACTGTTGGATGACTTGGCGGAACGAGCAGGCTTTTCCTGGCGGGAATCCTTTGTGGCTTACGACACGGCCACAACCGATCTCTTGCATGGTTCGGGTGCCGGAAAGTGGGACCGCATGCTGAATTGGACCACTTCGAATTTTGATCTGTCTGTAGACAAATGGTATGTAGCAACAGGATCTGCATGCCCTAGAGTCTTACTTCTGCATTCTTATTTAATAAAAAAAAACGACCCATTTCTTCCTTATCTTCTCGTTTCAGGTTCTTGACCACTGCTCGACTCGAAAGTGAAATTGTCTTTTTGCACTCTTGGTTCGATGCTAGTTTAATCTTGGTGGATCAAGGAGACGAAGTAGATTTTAATTGGTTTGGCTTTGCGGCTCCCTTTGATTTCTGGGTCTGGATGGCCATTGTGGGTACGGTGATTGCCAGTGCCATTTTCATGATGTGCATTGAAGCCTTGGAGAATCGGCGGCAGAATAGGTCACTTTCGTCTTGGTTTGGGGATCATATCTACTCGTCCAACCTGGCCTTTTCCCAACACTTCTTATACGACTATCCCCGCACGGGAGCGGGCCGAATTTTCTTGTCCACCTTTGCCTTTTGGTCCCTGCTGATTGTTTCCACTTATACTGCCAGCTTGGCGTCGATTCTGGTTGAAAATGTGCTGTCAAGTTCTGTTGATTCCATTCAAGGAGCCATGGACAACAGCCTCTTCATTTGCATTCATGATGGAAGTGCCAGTGATACGATTGTCAAGACCCTTTTTCCCACATTTAAGAATTATGAAAATGTCGTGAGAGCATCGACTCCCACCCAAATGTACCAGCTACTGTTGGCGAGAAAGTGCGACATTCTGGTAGGAACTCGGCAAGAGTATGAAATTCTTCAGAATCAAGAAAGGTATGGATGCAATTTGGTGCAAGCCGGTCCCGAGATCCACTCGGGTTCGGCAAGTTTTGCCATTAAATTTGATCCGCTCCGTTGCGATTCCGTCCTGGCCTATGTGCTCAACATTCACATGCACGCTTTGACTGCGGATGGGACCCTCGGAAAGTACTGGGATACTTACCTGAGTGGTCTTCCACAAAAATGCCCCACGGAAGACTTTTGGGGGAATGTACTGGAACAGAATCGTCGCTTGGAAGTTGAGATGGAAGGGAAAGAGATGTTGCAAGACAAGATTGATTTGCCAACAACTACGGCGCGAAATCTCAAGGGAGGCGGCGGAGGTGGTGGTGGTGGCGGCGGTGGTGGTGGAAGAAGTGCCGCTGTTCAGGGTGGGACTGAAAAAGAATTCAATCAGCTCAAGGGAATGGCAGGAATGTTCATGGTCCATGCCATTGGTACAGTTGTTGCATTGATATTGGCCACATATACACAATTCCATAGGAAGACGATTAAAGAACCTCGGAATCGAGAGAAGGTGGAAAAGATGAATTTGGGAGAGTTGGATGTGTCGGAGAGAGGTGCCGAAGTGCTGAAGCAACAAATGCTTAAAGACTCTCGGCTTCGAAGGCAGGTTTCGAATCAGCTATCGACCAGGGGAACTTCGGTTGGTTTACCCTCTGATTATACTACCGGAACAAGCGAACGAAAACTAATAACTACGGCGGGACGTCGCAATCGAGGACATCATCATGAGTCCATGTGCCAGCAGCAGTTGTCGGCACGACAAATGCCCCGTATTGCTGACGATGGTGAAGGGAAAGGAGAATTGCTAGAGCAGTATGAAGCGCTGAAACAAGACTTTGAGAATCGAATACATGATGTGAAGCAAGATTTCACGAGTCGATTAGACGATCTCCTAGCACAACACCTTGGCGATCATAGTACGACCTCAAAAACTCATGAAACCAAGGACGATTCTTCATCCGATGACTCGTTGGACGGATCAGCGATTGGTAGTCCCACTCTTCCGAGAAAGACGCCCATCGTATCTGTTGATATGGACGGGTCCATCAATGAAGTACAGGGGGAAGGAAAACGTTCTACTATTGATGCCTCTGGACGGACGACGACAAGTTGCTGAAACTTTCAAACGAAGTATAGTAAAAAGTATTTATTAAAATAATTGTATTCTGAGTGTATTCTCAGTGTTTCAATCTTAATAACGTACCAGATATTATACCAGTAGACAAAGGCATACTGTAGCGTAATAGTTAGCAAATATCTTAGAAACCTATTTGGGAATGGTTCTTGCTTTTTCCGAGACCTGTCATCGACAGAGAAACTTATTTTGACGGCATGTCCGCCGATCGATCAATAGAGACCCACTAACCCTGTGTAAGATTGTGATGGGAGTATCTCCAATGCCAAACTACGAAGGGACTGCTGTTGGCGAAATGGATGTGGCCAAAAAATGGGATGAGCTAGATTTGTCAAATCGAGACGAGGTGAAGCGATACATTCATGAATGCGGTCGGCTTCTCATGCCAGTATCCAACACTCACAAGGTGGCGACCGAAGACATTTCCGTACATATTGGGGGAAAGAGTGTAACATTTTCGAAAGGAACCATCATTTACATCCCTATGCTTCTGGCAGGGACGGACAAGAATGCCGATGTTGGAGGCTGCCCATTTCAATTTGACCATTCTCGCAAGAATGTTGTAGATGCCCCCATGATCTTTCACTCGGCTGGTAACGAAACGAATGGACGCATATATGCCCAGGAAAAGACGTAGCAGAGAACGTTATCATTGAAATGTTGATACTCATTGGGAAAATTAGGCGATAGGTAATTGCCACGCGGTTGGTAAAAGACTGACCAGGATCATCGTGGGTCCTGTGAAATACTATCTATGTTAATACAATCTATATTGTATACGATGTGTTGCTGTATTTCTATAATCTATAGTCGGTTTGTAACTCATTCTTCATCAGGTAATTCATCAATCATGATGCTGTGCATTGACTCGAACACTTCAACCTTGCGCATACTACTCTCCGTACGGCGTTTTTCCTTTCGTTGCTTCCCAAGGATTTTACCTGTGGGTGTGACGAGCTTCGAAGCGGATTGCTCCACTCGCGTCAAGCCCAGCTGATCGCGAGCACTAACTTTTGGAGTGCTTAGTACTGGCGTCGCAGGCGTACGACAACCCTTGATTACGGTAGGAGATAAGAATTGTGGTGAATCTTGCGAAAGTCGGGGCCTTGGCATACGAGGAGCAACATCATTGTTTCTGGGCACTTCCGAATCAGAATCCTGGTCAATGCCAGAGATTCTATTCAATAGGAAGTCCACACCGCCGACACGACTTGACGGACTCTGGTGGACATTCTTGGGAGGCTTTGAAACAGGCTTGATGTCGTTGGAGTCTATTGTCCCTTTTGATACTCGCCTAGCCGGAAGACTTGGAGGAGATTGGCTGCTAATATTTCTTTGCGACATGGAAGGAAGACTATCGACGCTTCCTTCTTCCCCCCAATCTCTGGTCATTTCCTTCCTGGGGATTGGGACTAGAGGCCTCGAAGGTTCGCCATCGGCAAATGTTACCGATTTCCTCTTGGTCTTCTTGACGCTCACCTTTGGACGGAATGATGGGCGAATTGGTTTGTCTGAAAGTGCGCTGGGTTTGGGACTGGAGAATCTAGTCGTTTCCATTTCAAGACACGATTGGATGGAGTGATTCGATGAGTCAAGGTCTGAATTGCGGCTTCGTCTGGATCGGTTTCCAAGAACCTTCTGTCTAGAGGAGCCAAATTCAACAGCTGACTGCACTGAATGATTTGAAGTGTCGAGGTCATCTCGCTTCTTTAGGACACCTATCGTTTTCAGATCTGGAAGCTCGCCGACTTCAAAAGTGGATCGGTCAGATTCACCGAAGACTGAGCGATCGGAATCATCGAGTTTCTTCTTTATTCTTGCTTTCAAAGTGGCTACTGTGTCATCGGTACCAGCGCTGCGCTCCGAGTCATCCAGTTTTTTCTTCTTGGATTTCTTGCTAGGTTTCTTCAAAGTTTCACCATTGTGCAACTGGGTGCCATGTTCGGAGTCGTCCAATTTGGCACGATCGGAATCTTTTGGCTTTTTCTTCTTTCCTTTGGCCTTCGTCTTCCTGGGCTTGTGATCCAGAATACCATCATTGGAATGTTCGGATTCATCCAACGTTTTCTTGATCTTTTTCTTCAACTTCTTGTTCTTTGACTTCACACCTCCACCAGCCTTTGTCTTGGTGCCCTTCTTTTTGGATACAGATTCCACCGAATGTTCAGACTCCCGAGGCAGTGTCTTACCCCCCATCGCCTTGGTCTCCATACTCTTCTTATAGACCTTCTTGGATTTGGAAACCTTCTTGGGCTCAGACGGTTCGTCGGACTCTTCCAAATAGTCCGAGTCGTCGGAAAACCCAAGTAGATCAAAGCTCGAGGCTGAGTTTTTCCGCCTGGGTATCGTTGGCAGGGTATCGTCTTCCAATCGAACCAAATCGTCCAAGTTCATTTGCGTTGTTTCTATAAGTCTCATTTTCATTTTGTTCTCAGGCGATGCTTCCTCTTTTGCAGGCCACCCTGATGTGACGCCAATAGCCTCATTGATCTCTTTCGATCCGTCAGAGGTGGATGGTGTTCCAGACCCTTCATTGACAACCTCCATAATGCTGGTGCGCATCAGATCGCTGATCTTCAACGAACTCTCAGAATTCATCCAACTCAACTCGGAAACAGTAGAATCATGAAAGGAGGACCTTTGTCGTGATGACGATGTCCTCGTGTCCGATGATAATTCCACATTGTTAGCACTGCTTCTAGCGGGAGACCTTGATCTGGAATCCGGTGTATAAGCATGTGCTGCATTAAACAACTCATTTGTATTCGAAAAGGATGGCCTCCCTACTGTGGAGTTATCCAAGTCCATCCAAGTAATATCCGAAACGAGCGATGATACAGAATCGTCATAGGAAAGTTGTCTTTGTGGTTCTTTCTGTGTCGTTTTTTTGTACCTGTAGCCATCGCGTGCTTTTGGAGCACGGTGGTCTGCTGCTACTGATGATTTACCCTCAGGTGCTTCCAATTTTCCCAAGACCGATGTTGTCTTTGGCGGCTGTGAAGTCAAACCCAAAACTTGCTGATGCGAGGAGCTACCACCTTTTTCATTTAGCAAGCTCGGTTCCTGTGGCAATGGTTCGTTCCAAGTAAGCTCTGAAACCACAGATGACACGGATGCTCGCTTACGTTGCCTATGTTGAGGCCTTGTCACCTGTGGCTTGGCATTCGTAGCTGAATCATTGCCATAGTTTTGTACAAGGTTTTTGGGTGCATAATCAGGTCTTGGTGAATCAGCAGAATGTTGGTGATACGGAGATGTAGACGTTGACGTCGATGGTGGATGTGGAAGTGGATGTGATATGTACGGATTAGATGACAAGGAATTCCGGCTCCTCCCTGAAACGTTTGCAAGCTCCTGCTCTTGCCACGTCACATCAGAGACTACCGATTGTTGGCAATCGGCACGTTCTGGACGCTCTGCAATTCCCCGAACCTTAGGTTTCGACGCACTCTGAGGCGTTGGAGGAAACTGATAGGATAACGTGGCGTTCGATGTTAAATCAGCAGTAGATTCGTCAAATTCATCGCCTGCAGGGGCTCTAGACAGCGCCTTATTCTCTATAGGCTGGCTTGTATGCTGTATCCTACTTTTTATTCTCTCCTTTGTTGAGGAAAAGCTTGGTAGGTGAGTCCTCATGGTTATACACTAACCCTGCATATTTGAGTTGCTCTGCGATTTTTCTTCAGGAAAAGTTAAGCGAGTCAGCTAGCCTCACCGTCCATAATTTGCAAATTACGACTAGAGAGACAAGACCCGGCAATTAAAGGATGAGACTACATCTAAGCCCCGAGTGAAATTTCCAAATAATCTTCGTGTCTCGGCAGATTTATCGGACTATGTCGGAGGGCTTTTCATAAATAGCGTTCCTCCCTCCGCCCGTTTTTTCGGAATGGTAAAAGAATATTGACATATTGGAATAAAATTCAGGCATCCTTCACCATTGATAAAAAATGACACAATCTCCACACGGTACTGGTATTAGGTAGAAGGCGAATGCAACTGTACTACCATTCCCGGTTTATACCGGGGATATTTTCTCTTGTCACCAGGCACCAGGGGCAGTCTCGTTTACCGTGGTACCTGGTACCGGAGGTATTGTGCTGTATAAAAAGCTTCGATGGTACGTGCCCATACCAGTACCGATAACATGGGATGGTGAAAATAAAAACACATTTGGGACTTCAGACTTCAGTGCAGAGGCGCGGGCCAAAAAGAAGGGTACGGTACGAGGAAGCATGCTGTCAACATCCTAAAAGAGATAGCTAATTTGAAAAGTGGTACTGGTACCGTTGATAGATGTCGTTTAGCTCAAAATTATAAAAATGTGTTTGAGGTGGAGCAAGTGGTTGCTTGAAACATTCTTCATAGAATAATATAGTATCAGCTGGTTCACTTTGCAACCTACCTAGAATGGCACTTTAGGACCGTTTGGAGTGCAGCCATCAATCAGTTTGGACATGGCGCTGTCCACATTGTTCCTCCGTTCCACTGATTCGGCACATCTTCTCGAACTACTACCCCTCATATTCACGGTATTTCGTTTCAGTGATCTTGCTCGTCGAGGGTTGTGATTACTGCCACCCAAACCAGAAGCGTTTTTGGAATCTTCCTGCATCATGCTGGCTCTAAGATTTCCTATTTCACTTCGTCTCATTCGAACAGGTCGCTTGGAGGCGGCGGGAGCTGTCATTGGAGCATTCAATGGGCCTCTTCGGTGGGGTCCTGGGGATGCATAGCGACCAGGAGAAGCGTATCTGCCCTTCAAGTCGGGACCAGGAGATTCAGCCCGAGCTATGGGGGCTTGGCCTCCTCCTGTCTGTTTGGACCTTTGCGACAGGTCACCCCAACCTGCTTCATCAACTTCAGTCGTCTCTTTATTGGCATTACTCGTGCTTGGTCTGCGACCTCCTCTCAGAGGTGCAGCACCCGTGAACCCTTCGACATTCATGCGACGACGGTTTATTAGTGTCGATTTTCTTCCACGTGGAGTATCGTGTACCGAGGCATCAAGTTTGGTGGGTTTTGGTGCAGCGAAGGGATCAAAGGCTTCGGCAGAGGTGCTGCCCCGTCGAGATGAGAAGGACGCAGGCTTGCCCATGTTGTTCGGTGCGCTCTGTTGAGATCGAAATGATTCGCTGTTGTAATCTTGAGTGCTCGATACTGACGGTCTTTGCTTTTTTCTTCCAGGAGTAACGAGGACTCCGGTACGAGAAACCTGTTGCGGGGGCGTAAGCGGTGCTGCCGGCATGCTCTGCCGCCTTCCACCAGATCTAACATGTGGTCTAGTAGTGTGGGCCGATCTTGGTGACATTGGTGGAAAGGTTGATTTCCTACCCATGGAAGGAGAAACGGATTGCCTTCCAGGCGAAGGGCTAGCACGGCGGCCTCTGCGTTTCGTTGTCCAACCAGCGGACATGGGCGAGTCCGGATAATTGCTAGATGACCGCCGAAAAGAATCGGAGGCTGCAGCCTTTTGGGGCGGAGACATGGGTGCATCAGCTGTTTCTCGCTGCTCAGTGGCGGAAGCAAAAGACTCTTGCGATGCTTGTCTTCTGTGAAAGCGGTTTCGTAATGAAGATGCGGAGGATGCACGTTTTTTCTTCCTAGTACTGATGTCATTCGGGGACGAATCTTGTTCGCCACCTTCAGCATTATTGATCGATCCCTGTGATCCTTGTCTTCTGTGAAAGCGATTTCGTAGTGAAGATGTGGAGGATGCACGTTTTTTCTTCTCCAAAGTGTCATTCGGGGACGACTCCTCGTTCTGGTCGCCACCTTCCGCATCATTGATCAATCCTTGTGATCCTTGTTTTCTGCGAAAGCGGTCTCGTAGTGTTCGCTCTTTCGAAGTAGATGCAGATCTGTTCTTCATCTTTGGCTTCTTGTCTTCCTTTTCAATATCATCATTATCTTCCTCCTCCTCCTGCTGTTCGTTTCCTGAATTGCGCGACTCCTCTTTCTTGCGAAGACGACCTCGCAAGGATCGTTCTTTTGACGCAGAGGCAGATCGTCGCTTTATCTTTCCATCCGTTTCATTTGGTTCCGCCTTCAAATCTTCGGATTGCACCTCGTCCAACTCGGCAGACTCTTCTTCCTGCTTTTTTCGAACGCGGCCTCTTAGTTTTCGTTCTTTGGAAGCTGATGCGGACCGGCGCTTTTTCTTTAGTTCCTTTCCAGACTTCTCCTTGCTTTCCTCCGTCTTCAATTGCTCCCACAGTTCCCCATCGCCTCGTTCTGACAAATCCTCCTGCTTGGGCGTTTTCCGTTCTTTGGAGGCCGACGATCGCTTCTTTTTCTTGCCTTTGTGCTGTTCCGGCGTTCCCTCCATTGATGCTGGGGTCTTTAGCTCCGCCACGCTAACATCGAAATTCACCTCACTAAATTCAAATGGCTCTGCTGCAAATTCTTTGGAAACCTCAGGCTCTTCGTGAACCATGGTAGGTCGTGGTGTGGAGGAAGATCTCCTCTTTTTCTCCTTCTTTTCTTTCCGTTCGGCGTTATCCTTTTTTTTCGATGATTTCTTTTCAGAACTACTCGTGCGCCTATTCTTCTTGGAGGACTTGGATGAGGATCGAGTCTTTTTGGACAAATTGTCTTCCTCCTCTCCATTTGTCTCGCGCACGTCATTCAATGGCATGAAATTGGGCAAGGCACCGACGTCGGATTGCGTTCGCTTTTTATTCTTGTTGGACTTTTTGAAGAGACTGTCGGATGACTCCAAGGACATTTTGGAATGACACGAAATAGAACCCAAGGAACCGCCAGTGGAAACCCGACGGAGTTCAATCTTCTTTTTTGCTACAGTCTTTGGTGACTTTAGATAAATAGTAGCTTCCGAAGGAGACCGCATCAAGTCGGGTGGTGGGAGTTCCATCTCGCTCACTGCTTGAGAATTGGCCTCCAAGGATTCTCTCAAAGCCTGCCGTCTCAGACGTCGCGCTTCCGATGTGTACGCTATGGACTTGCGGAAATGCAATGGAGTATTCGTCACAGTACCGGGGGACTGAGCACCATGCGACTCGTTGTGAATAGATCCGTGCAGTGACCCACCACCTGTGGACGACAAGCTGGATTGTCGCTGATGTCTCGGAAGCGGTTTGAGACTGCTCTTTTTGCTTGTGGGTGTTGTGGTGGTGGCACCATGATCTGAATTGCCAGGTATGGCCACGCCCTTGAAACTCGAAGGTTTGGTCTTCTTTTCAGCTTGCAATCGTTGCACTCTGTCCTTGAGACTGGAAGAAGTAAAGGCGGGTGCTGCCTTGGGTGTTGTAGCCAAAGTTTCCTTTGGGTCTGCACTTAGGAAATCCAATTCATCTGGTTTAATATCAATGTCGCTGAAGGACGTCAAGAAGGCAAAGGATGATTCACCAATGTCGTTCACCACTTCGGCTTCTTCTTTTGATTCACTGCTCATATCATGGAACGCTCCTATCGAACCTCCTGTCATATCAATTCTATTGATTATTCCTGAATTTTTTTAAAAAAGATTGTTGTATACTGAGACTATCTTCTGATCATGTCCTTTCACTGAATAATTCAATCTTTTCAGTTGCTGAGGTTCAGTTGAAATTAGTTTGCACTTGATGCTGAATGGGGGTGCAACTGTATGTTGGTTGGAGGTAAATTGTGTATGCGGGGAGATACATGCGTCGAAAGTGGTTGACGATTTTTTTGCCTGCCGACGAGAGAGTTTTGTTTGATCGTTGTTTTGGTTTCTACACTTGTTTTACCCTATTTAAAATATGGGATTGGGCATAAGTGAGGTCGACCATTCGGACCAGACGCTATTTGCTATGTATTTCATACATTTAATCCGCTGGATATCAAAAGAAAAAACATTTATGCAGATTATGCCAACCGCCTAATTCCTGTTTAGGAGCTATGACCATGAATCCTCTGATTCCATGGGGAATACGGAATCTTTCCTATAAAATGAGTCATAAAATCTTCTCAGACCAGAAATTCCGAGATACCACACATAATCAAAGCGCATTTTATATCGCGCGATTTTAAAAAAATTGCGTATCATCACATAAAATAATAAAATATTAACCAAGAGTAAAAACTGCATATATGACAACGACAATTTCAAAGGATGGCCCTGAAGCCAATGCACCATCTTCCTTGAGCACATCCAATGGAGAAGCTTCCAAAGAAGATGCGAAGCTATCCAAAACGATAAAGGCCATTTTGGATCCAGATCGCATAGAAGCTCTCTTGGCGTTTGATGCCACTCTGGTTCGCTACGAACCCTTTTCCTTTTTGGTGATATTTCGGTTTCAAGGGCGGAACTGGAGCATGATGATTTTGCCGTTATTGATATTGGGAATGCTCGACCTTGCTTGGTGGTTTATTTTGCATCAAGTGTTGTTACCAAGCAATGCCATTCGAGGGATTGAGAATGGAGAAATGACAGAAGATCTCACTGCGAGAGTGGAACGATTGGACGAATTGGTTTCTCCCATTCTGGTGCCAGTCTCTTTTCTTTTAGTATTTCGGTTGGGTCGGGCTGCTGTAAGGTATGTTGATTTATTTGTTTGACGAGCGTAATTTGCCCGTCTGAGGATTCAGGACAAATGAGGGATCGTGTATTCTCATATTGATCAATTATGTTTCAATCCCACCCATCAGATTCTGGGACGCGAGATCGGCCATGGGAAAATTGATTGAAGTTTGTCGGACCTTTATTTCCACCGCAGTAGTGGGGTGTCAAGCTTGCAAGGCCCTTGATCCTCCTGCACTGAGTGCCATGAACATTGTGGAACTTGTTCACGCCAAGAAGCAGGACGATGTTCGATTAAAATTGGTGAGACAGTTTGCTCGATGGACCTGTGTCTTTCCAATTGCCGTTCGAAACTTCTTAAGACCAGAGAGTCGAGCAGAATTTGAAGCTTGTTGCAATTTGGTTTGCAACAGCAAACGCACGAAAGGGAACGACGAGAAGCACGAGATGGGAATCAGCCCAGATCTGTTGGATTTGGTTTCTTTTCAGGAGGCCACGGAATTGCAGCATAGTGCCTTCCCAACTATCTTCGTATTGAATAAAATGCGATTGCTGGCGTGGGATGCTTCAGAAAGTGCGGGAGCTTCACCTAGCAAACAAGCACTACTCTATCGGCAACTGAACGAACAGATTGACATTTTGACCGGGGCATGGGGAGCTATGGAACGCATCAACTTGACACCGCTACCATTTGTCTACGTAGCCCACTTACGGACATTTCTAATGTTATACCTGTGCTTTTGGCATATATCCTCGATCGCACTGAATGGGTGGGTTTGCATTCCACCCTTGATGATTGCATCATGGGGACTGCTGGGAATTGAAGCGGCTGCTGTTGAATGTGAGCGACCATTTCACTGGAACAGAAATCACTTGGCACTGGGTAAGATGGGGGTTGTAGTTGCCAAGAATGTTCACCAAACACTGCTCAATTGCGGGTATTCCTAATAGAATTGGGAGAAGTACCAGGATCATGTGCATTGCCTAGCTACAGCTTTACTTCAGATGACTGGCATGAATCGTTGCAATGCAATACCTACTCAAAGGAAGTGGGACTAGGACTACAATATAGCCACTGTAAAATATAGTTATAATGTAAATTAATAGTCCAAACATGAAAACTACATGTACTCTCGAGAATTATTTGTAAGTAGCCGACGGGACAATTCAAAACAAAAAATGGGACTATGTTAGTGTTTCAACTCCCAGTCGTGCGCAGGTGCTCCAACCTTCAACGCATCAATTTTGGATAAGATCCGCGATAAAAAGAACATCTGTCAGCTTTTCGTTGGGATCATCGATCGGGAAGGAATCCTTCAACTCATCAAGGCAACATATTCTGCAGGGAAAATGACTTCTCTAACCGGGGCACCATTAGCCAAAATCGTGGCAGTGACATCTGAGAATCAAGAATTGAAGTCCAAATTGACAGAATCAAGGACCCAATGTGAGAATCTCGAGCAAGAATTGAGATTTCAAACGGCAAAGGCTCTAGAGTTCCAAGAGATGCTCGCACTCAAGAGTGACGGGGACGTGGATGCACTTTTGGCCAAGTTTATGGAACATTCTTTGACGTTGGCGGAACAGACTCTGGAGATTGATCAGCTGAAGTTGAAACTACGTGAATCCGAAAAGGAAAAGATCGCGAGAGACCAAGAACGCGAGGCGCACATTGAAATGATGGCGTCGCTCAATAGATATATTCGACAACAAGGAATTGCACTTCAACGCCTTGAAAATCCGTCCTCGCTGACACCAAAAGATTACGAATATGACGAGATTGATTCAGAATTTGATCAACTTTGTAATATTCATGACCACTTGAAGGACGTCAAGCTTGTCATTGAAAGGAAAGAGGCCCCAGTCGTGATAGAGGACAGTCAAAAAGTTAAAAAGTTAAATAAAGATCTGAAGCAAGTACTGGCTGAGAGGGCTCACCTGAAAAGGAAGGTCGAAGCACAGAATGCTGCCATCTCCATTCTTCAAGAGCGAAGTAAGACACGAGAAACAAGTAACTTAGCCTTGGTGAAAGACTTGAAAGAAAAGTACGAAAGCGAAAAACGTGGGTTACAGGATACGCTACGCTCGCTGGAAGCGCAAATCCAAACCCTCCGACAAAACGAAGAGCAATCAGAATCGGAGCCAAGCTGTCTTCATGGCGAGCTCATCGAAATTGAATCCCAAAAGTACGAGGAGAACTACGAGATTTACGAGCCCCTCCTATTCCTTACTGATACAAAGGCAGACTGTGACGTGTTTGAAGATGATGCATCCGAAATCACAGCCAGCACGTTCCTCAATTCAGAGTCCGAACAGTCCACCCCAGCATCCATGTCATCTCTGCACCAGAGGAAGCATGTGTCGCTAGATGACTACATGGATTTTGGAACCAAATTTGAGGCGATTGCAGACTTTTCGATGCAACGTTTCGAAATATAAGCGCGCTTTATGCGACAACGGGATCTCTCTACGAGGATCACAATGCATGCTACTCTATACAATATACACGTACACTTAGCGCCGACGCGACGAGCTTTAAAGGGTAACTACTGAGGCAAATAAAGGAAAAAAGTGCCTACACATACATGAATATGTCTGATAAAACACAAACTAAAAGTTACTTCGACACCCTGTGATGTTTCTGATTAGCTGAGTTGACTCAATCTTCCTCCATTTCGAGAGCAAGACGAGGAGAGAGTTGAACGAGTCGGAGTAGGAGACAACAGTTTGGTGCCCTTCAACCTCCGTTCTGTAGACTTAGATCTCCATTGCTGTCTTCTATTATCCTCCTCTTCGTTAGACTTGTCGCTGCATGTCGATTTTCGTCCTCTTCTGTGGCCGTCCGATGCAACCAGGTTCCGAGACGAAGGAAGCCGTTTGGGGGCGACGGGAACAAGATCTCCCAACATCGTGCAGGCTGATCTAGAACGGCGGACTGCCTCATTCAAAGATCCAGGAGTCTCCCAGATATCGGAGGAGGACTTGCTTGTTTTGAGGCGGCGTGGGCTGGGGGCTTTCAGCGGCATTTCGAATTCTGCATTTTGTGCACCAACGAATTGACTGGGCTTTCTCCTGAGAGCATTCTCAATAATTTGAAGTGTATCCTTTGATGGGGTGCGAGAGCTTTGTGTTCTACGATGGCCAGTTGACCGACGACTTCCTTGCTGGGGTCTTGTTTGCATGCTTCGTTGTCTTCGCCTTTGTGCTGGGTTGCTGACTAAACTTCTATGTGAGGAGCTTCGACAGTCAGCAAGTAGTCGTGAAGAAGAACCACCCCGCGGAAGGCCGCCCCTGCCTGCAGAACGGCAAGAATCAGCAAGTAGACGTGAAGACGAACCATCACGCGTAAGACCGGGTCTTCTTCTTTGGTGGCTTCCTGGGTCCTTGACTAAACTTTTTTCTGAATTAGTGCGAGAGTCAGCTACTAGTAGTCGTGAAGACGAGCCACCACGTGCAAGACCGACCCTATGGCTCCTTCTCTTGAAACTCCGTTGAGCAATCTTCGCATCTTTCGTCGCCTGGTCCGTGGCGGCCTCGGGCTCATCAAAATTGCCCTCTTCGTCCGAAAGGTCACTAACGTAAGCAGCCTCATCGTCCCCGTAGATGAGGTCTGCCAATGCTGAGCTTGACTCTCCTTGTTTTGTTGTTGTTACAACAACCTGATGGTCTTCCATTTCGCTGTCAGCACCATGCGAATTATCCGTGAGAAGTGCAGTTTCTTCCTCTGATTGAGACTTTCCCATCATCAAACTTCTTATGGATACAGCTTTCTTTAGCATTCCTGGTCCTCTTCGAGACTCTGACTCCTTCCGATTGATGGATATGTCGATTTCATAATCGTCTTCATTGAAGAGAACTGAGAAACTCTGGCTATTAATCTCTTCGAAGTTCATTTGCTTGCTTGGATATGTAGAGAATAACTTGAACAACTTTATTTTGTGAAGAGATTTACGGAGACATCTGGAAGTCATACCAGATATCATGTTCACTAAGACTTCACTTTTCGCTTCTCGGAGGTTCTAAGGTGCGGAATCCTAACGCCAATGACCACGGAATTATGCCAGGAAATCACAATGCCACCATTATTACTTATATACTGTTAAGAATATATATGGTGTCGAAACGCGCTTGAATTAATCGGAAAAAAATCTGTCACAAACCCGACAAGAAGTTTTGCGCTCTCGTGCGTATGGCCCCGCCGGCACGCAGGGATTTATTCGGAATAAAGTATAATACATTGTGTTAATCCCTGCGCGGAGGGACGCGCATGCCTATCTCCGACTGTCTCTATCGAGCATTCCGTAGCACCCATAACTTATGTAGAACATGGTTTTGAGCACTACTTCAATAGTTCTACATAATTATCCCTTGACAAGAATGGTGTAGGTGATTCCCTCCAACGCAGAAGTGTCGACAATCACTCCCCCTGACGGATACCAAACCCCGCCTCAGGACTCCCAAGGAGCCCGATGTTCAGCTCCTCAACGCGAGGACACACCACCACCATCGGCTTGTCATTGTATTTTTTCGGCTTCCCGACTCCCAAAAGTCGTCCACCGAAGCCCCTAATATTTCAGAAGTGCCTGTTCTATTATGGTTTATGGCTCATGTTTCCTCTCCAGGAGGTTGTTCATGAGCAAGTCTAACTGTTTCAATTTTTGCAACGGCAAAGAATCGGTCCAATCTATTCCCGGTTCTGACGCAAACTACCAGTAGTGGCCACGTCCATTGCTTGTGCGATTTCCTTTCTTCTTGCCTCATCCCACCCACATAAAAACAGTGACTTCACCTATATTGCTTGTTACAAGCCTGCATTGACACTATGCACATTGCAATCCGACACGGAACGTTCGAAACGAAAAAATCGAGACCCCAGAAATACCCTCGCTGACCTGGACGTCTCCCTTCCTGAAACAGAACATGGACTTCATATCGTCGGGCGCCTAGATCGAGATAGCGAGGGTTTACTTCTTCTGACAGATGATGGGCAATTCACAGCATCGGTCCTGTCAGAAAACTGCCACAAGGAATACTGGGCATTCATCAATCGCGGTCCACCATCAGCTGAATCCATGGAAGAAATGAGGAGAGGCAATCTCAATATTCGAGGAGCCACCACGAGACCGCCCTTGGCAGTTAATATCCTAGAGTCGGAAAAGAGGGAAGAATTGGCGTTGCCACCGCCTGTTCCTGGGATGGATCGTGGAACAACATGGCTTGAAATCCACTTGAATGAAGGAAAGAACCGCCAAGTGCGAAGGATCACCGGATGCACAGGCCACAACACAGTTCGGTTGTGTCGAGTAGCAATAGGATCATTCAGACTGCAAGACCATGCAGAACTACTTGAACCTGGAGCATGGAAATACATTCGCCGAGAGGATGTCCAAAGCGTCGGGGTATGAGTGAATGAGACTCAATCGGATTTCATCTTACGCGAGAGAACAAAAATTCGAATACTCTGTCTTCTCCAGTGGGATGTTGTGGTAGTCTCACCGACGAGACACTGACAATATACCACTGTAGCAACTTGTCCTTGGCCAAACAACTTTCGATAGGATCTAGTGCAACAACGAGAAGCACTGAAGCGGGCAATTCTTCTGCTTTCGGAATATACAGCCGTTATGTTCCCGTTTTTCCAATGTCCAGCTTGTTGGTGAGGCTTTGAAGCGGTCAGACCATCATAGTTTTACGACAGCGTTTACTTGTATGATCCTCCGCCAACCTACACCGTCGGTACTCAGAGAGATGAAAGACGCCGCTACGGAGAAAGTTATGAGCAGAAGACGGAGGCTGCAACTATCATCTCTAATAACACAATTCGTACACATACCAGTGGGATCAATTGTCGTACTCCTACTAAGCAGCACCTGTAACATGCTAATTCAATAGCAATTTGTTCGTATCAAATCATCCCCCGCAACCACCATGGAAATAATTTAATAGTTCGGTATAAGAACCAGGTACCTGGTGCAGAGGTACCGGTACTTTAAAATAGGATCTTCCAGCGATCTACTGTATTAGGCTTGTAAAAAGTTTTTCTATTTCAGCTCCATAATGATGCAGTACCTACAGTGCCCATACCAGTAACCGGTAAGCTTCTCACGTCCAACAGCAATTGTTCGTATCAAATCATCCCCTGCAGCCTCGGCGTCTTCCAGCGAAGAGTTCCAGCAGATCGTTGACTTTCCAGTGCATATATAGGTACGAGTACCAGGTACAGTGCCGCTACGAGAGACGAAGGAGTACGAATATCTTCCGGCAGCTGCTCACTGCCTCCTAGGAGGGAAAAACTTCATGCGTGGTCAGTCTAGGAGGCAACCTCCCGCTTTGAAAAAGTGCTCCGTTAAACACATTGGAAGTTTCAGCCACCAAATTCCAGGCTTTTCTAGTAATTTTGTCTTATATCTCCGCAAAGTTGTTTAACATTTGTCGCAATTGTGAGAAAAGGCTCTCCTTGAAGTTGTTCGCTGCTGTATTTTCGCAAATGAATTGAAACATACTTAATGAGAATATACCTGAGGCGTAACTATCCGCTATCGTGTGTTTAAAAGATTCTTCCGACTGTTATATCCGCCTGGGCCATTTTCTCCGATCTGTTGCGAATAGCTCCCATAAAATCTTTCCAACCTGAAATCATTTCAAACTTCCATATAATCGGACAACGACGAAACAAAATGGATTATCAAGAAACAGGAGACACCAAGGTTCAATTTTATCCTTCAGCCAAGCTAAGGATGTATCCAATGCCTGACAAGGAAGACCGTGTAGCGGCCTGGTACAGCCGTGAAGACTTTGTTGAGTTTCGAAAGCAACGAGCTGAGAACATTCGGACCATCCGAAAGTTGGGTATTCTAAACTTGAGAGCCGAACAGCAAGAGAAGATGTCGATTACTACCATGGGCATCCGTGGCGATCTTTCCTCCAAAAGGCGGCAAATCAGAGAACTGCGTCGAGATTCTCGATTATATTGTGTCCTTAAAGAGCAATATCGTCAGTATCAAGAAGGGATCAATGATCCGGAGGCGATCGCAATGTCATGCCAACATATTTCGCAGGAAAGCTCTATCGAAGCCCAAGAGGAAGGACAAAGAACTCACGAGTCAAGCTTGAAAGTATACGAAGAAAGCACATTGGAACAGAAATTGTGTTTCTCAGGCTTCATTATTGGTACAAATAACAAGAGAGCCGTCGTTCCAGAGCATGCGACCTCGTTTGCAAGGAGGAATGTCACACGATCGGCAATTGCAGCATGAATGCATTCTACGATGTTATTCTATTCTATTCTACGGGGACTATTCTTCCCATGATGGGCACGGGAGGTAAAATCGCATTCAGCGAGCGACGCTATTGCAAACTAGTCATGGCTAACAGCAACAAGCACAGCCAACACAAGTTTTCCGAAGCAGAAAATCAATTTTCTGCTTCAACTAGGACTACACTGATACATTATATTACATATATAAAAAGAAACATACGATAGACCTATTATATCCTTTTGACTTCCCTACGTATTTCATATTCCAATTTGACTTGAATGGACCACGGTGTTATTGCGCTCTTCCAAATTTTTTGTAGTTCGTGGAGTGAAAATCCATCCGACAGGTATATATGAAAGAGTGAGTGCGGCGGTATTTTAATACTTGCAGTCCGCGGTGTTCTTTTTGCCGTAAAAAATTCGCAAACCCGTTTTTTTGGTCACACATGATGTCATTTGAACGATGTAGCTCAAAATTTCAGGAGTATAGTAGTATGGGGCGCTGTCGGTAAGATACCAGGTATCATACGTAGTATTAAATTTTATTACTATTATAATACTAGAGTCAAACTAGGACTATGCCATAATAATATGAATTTAATTTTTATCAGACAGCAACGAGTCAATGTCGTCCAATGAAGACTTTTTCTTGTCGTTATCGCCCGTCTTCTTTGAACCAGCATTTCCTTCCTGCTGTTGTTGTTGTTGTTCCTGTTCCAAGAGATCCGATTTCTTCTTGACTTGCTTCGCCACCATGGATGCATAAATGCCACCCTTGGCAACCAATTCATCATGATTGCCTTGTTCCAGAACTGATCCTTGGTCCACCACACAAATGGCATCCGCATTCACGACAGTCGAAAGACGATGGGCAACCAAGACTACAGTGGCCTGGCTTTCCGCAATCAGATTGGACAGAGCCTTGTGCACAGCTTCTTGGCTATGTTCATCCAATGCACTTGTGGCTTCATCCAATAGAATAATCTTGGGTCGTCGTAAGAACACCCGAGCGATGGCAAGTCTCTGACGTTGACCTCCGCTGAGCCTGTTTCCACGCTCCCCAATGCGTGTTTTGTACCCATCCTTCATTTCGGAAATGAATTCGTGTGCATATGCCTTCTTTGCTGCTTCGACGACATCCTCGTGGGTATACTCGTCCTTGTCGAGTCCATAGGCAATGTTTTCTTCGACCGACAGGGCGAAGAGCTCTGTCTCTTGTGTCACCACACCAAAGAGTCTGCGAAGTTGCTGGACCTTGAGGGTCTCGTAATCCTGTCCATCCAATGTGATTTTGCCACCCTTTGGATCGTAGAAACGCAGGAGAAGATTAATGATGGTCGATTTGCCTCCACCCGAACGTCCCACAAGAGCCACAGTCTTTCCAGCCGGTATGGATAAACTAAAATTGGAAAGGACCTTATTGTCGGGTCTCATTTGATAATGAAAGGATACATTTTCGAGTTGAAGACCCCCTTGGACATTTTCTCTCACAATGTCCCGACCCTTTTGTGGATCAATGTCGGGATCGGAATCCCAAAGAGAAAAAACCTTTTCGGCTCCTGCCGCACTTCGAGTAAAGCTGGTAATGAGGCCTTGAAGATTTTGGTAGGCATTGTTCATCATGTTCCAAAAGAGTTGAAAGGTGACTAGTTCTCCAACAGTGAGTTCCCCATTGTAGACCAAGATACCTCCATAGTACAAAATCAAGATTCCCGATCCCAAATCGAGATATCCCGTCAAAGCTGAAGTGAGACCATTTCCCCAGGCATCCTTGATTCCACAATTCAGCGCTTCCTTGTTGGTTTGCGAATAATTGTGAAGGACTTGATGTTCGCAACCAAAGGCCTTGACGGTTCGAACATGGATCAATGCCTGCGAGGCAATGCTATTTCCTTCGGCCCAATGGGACATCATTTCTCTGGCCAATCCCTTGCTCCACTGTGCGTATTGTTCCCAAAGGTAGGAAATGGGACCGACCGTGACAAAGGCCAGCATGCTCAATCGGTATGATTTCCAAAAGCACATGATGAGTCCTCCAATTAAAATGAGAATATTACTGAGAAGCGAACTTAGGGAAGATTGAATGGGCGCCATCATGAGATTCAAATCATTCGTCAATCTTGAAATCAATCGTCCCGATTCGGTTCCATCAAAGTAGGCCACATCTTGGACCAAGATTTTTTCCAAGAGTTTATTGCGGAGCACAAACTTGAGTCGTCGGCTGACCAGCGTGAAAATGGCCGAATAAATGGTCGAAATGGCACCCTGTGCCACCATGATCCAGACGTAGATTTTGATAAAGTGCAAAAATCCAGCCTTGTCATATGCCCCAGTGTCTGGATCCGGAATGACCTTGTCAATAATATTGCCTTGATAATGTGGAAGGAGGAGTCGTGAGGCACTGCTCATGGCCAACAAGACAAAGCTAAGAAGCAACAGTGGCAATTCCGATTTGGCCATTTTCATGGACCTCGAAAAAAATCCCCCATTGGAGACACTAGCTTCCACCCGCACACCTCGATCTCCGCGCAACATGTTTTCACCGACCGTCGCGGCATCGCTTCGACGAGCACACGACAAACAAACATCGTAATCGCACAAGGAGCATCGGTAACATCCAATGATCGCCCCATTTTTGGCGGCCGAATTTTTCAATGTCATTTTTTGTTTGCACAAGTCGCACCAATGGATGCTAATGGCCCGACTGGTGGAATAATACATGGGATGTCGATGGACTTCGGCCGGCAAATACAGGGCTTCCGGTCGGGTCAATTCTTCCACCAAGGCTCGAAAGACAAAGGTCTGGACATTGATCCATAACACCGTGAGACAGAGAAGCACAATAATGACATAGGTGTAGGCGGCAGAGTCGTGATCGTGGTCATTATGATCGACAATATGTGTGGTGGAAACCTTCAATCCCGCATAGACTTGAAAAAAGGTCGAAGCCAAAAAGAGACATACAAAAATGACGTTTTTGACAAACTCTGGTTGGGTGCCTTTTGCCATGATTTTTTGGAGCCATTTGGAACATTTGGACGTGTTGTTGTTGTTGTTGTTGTTGTTGTTGTCGTTTGCTTCATCGTAGTCTTCATGATTGTCTTGATCATCGTGGTCGTCATTGTTGTTATTGTTATTATTGTTGTTTCCCAAAAGAGGTTCCTCTAACCCGTTCCTTCCTTCTTCTTCTTCACTTATGACAGTACAGGTTTGCTGCAGAGGTTCATCGCGATCATCTTCCGTCGGAACCTTACTATAGCTTCCATATCGTACGCCAATCCACAAGAATAGTAACGTGAGACAAGACCGAATCAACGCCAATACAAAAAGGTCTCCAAATTCCGCACTTGGCTGCGTCTCTTCGGCGATCTTGGAAATGGGATGCAAATGAATTCCTTGTTGGATGGAATGCAGCAAGCATTTGGAGAGACAGTGATGAGGATGAGGATTGTCATTATCATAAGTATTACCATAAGTGTCACCATCACCATCACCATCATCATGATCGTCATGACAACCACGACACGTCAGATACAGCGTCAGAAAGGATCCACCAACATCCAAACTTAGCAATAAGGCCAAAATGGAACCAAAGATGCGCACCGTCCGCTTCTGGGCTTCGTCGTCGGAGCGAGCCTCGGAATTCAAAATACCTGCCAAGGACGCTCCCAGCATTGGTCCTCCGCGTCTTCCACCAGGAGGCATGTTTGTTTGCTTGTTTGCTTGTTTGCTTGCTTGTTTGTTTCTATTTTATTGTTTGTTTCTTAGATCCAACCACAACAATTTATAGAAGACGTGTACCGTACCCTATGAATAATACTGCAGCTTCATCTAGAGAGTAGTTTTTCAGAAGCCAAAGGATGGAGAAAGATGTTTATATTTTATATGTGACGAAACGTGGGTATGTGTTCTTTCGGGCGGGGCGGGACTGAAAATGTTTGGTCGGACATGTCGAACAATGCGGATTTTAGAATCTTCTCTTTGCTCCCTTTCTGGATTCCTGCAGCTTCTTGGCACGTTTATTGCTTCCTGGAGATTTTGCTTTTTTGTTCATCTTGGGAGCTTTGGCCGGTCTGGCCTGGTTCATTGTTGGTGGCGGGGCTAGGACTTCTCCTCCTTCTTCTCCTCCTCTTCCTGTTGTGGATGAAGGAGCGGTAGAAGGCGACTCGGATGGTGACCCAATAGAAGGAGCGGGCGACTTTATTTGGTTTGGATCGCTCCCCCAAGGCCCTCTTGGCTTGTTTCCACCTCCGCCGCCGCCGCCGCCACCACCACCAGCAGCGGACAATGGTGGTGTTTTGCTTGGAGCTGCGCTTGCAACTAGGTTCATAGTTGGAGCACCACTGGGTGAACTACTTCCACTCGGAGCTGTACTGGGAGATTTGCTCAAGCTTGGTTGTTCAGATCCAGTGGGAACAACACTGGGAGATTCGCTTTCACTTGGAAAAGCACTGGGCGAAATGCTCTCACTCGGATTTGAACTGGGAGAATTGCTTTCACTTGGGGAGCCACTTGGTGCCATACTTTCGGATGGAGCAGCACTGGGAGAACTGCTCTTACTCGGAACAGAACTGGGAGACATGCTTTCAGTCGTAGAGCTACTGGGCTTAAAGCTTTGACTTGGAACAGAACTGGGAGACATGCTTTCACTTGGAGAACCACTTGGTGCAATACTTTCACTTGGAGCACCGCTGGGAGAAATGCTCTTACTCGGAACAGAACTGGGAGACATGCTTTCACTTGGAACAGCACTGGGCTTAAAGCTTTGACTTGGAGCACCGCTGGGAGAATTGCTTTCACTTGGAGAACCACTTGGTGCAATACTTTCACTTGGAACAGCACTGGGCTTAAAGCTTTCACTTGGAGCACCACTTGGAGCATCACTGGGAGCTGCAGACGGGGCACAAGTGTTGTAGTCTGCAACAATGGGAGCTGCATTGTTGATTTGCGCAGCATTATTATTGTTCGCATTCCCAGTAGCTTTGCCGCCAAAACTGGCAAAACCAGAATTGGAGAAGTATTGAATCCTGGCGCAGGCGCTCAAAGGATTGCTGCCGCATCGATCAGAATCACAGTTAGTTGACACGATGGTACGGAACTCTGCAGTGGGTTCTTGGTACGCAAAGTTGGTGTTGGAAAACGCGGATGTATCACATGAGCTCTCAGCTCCCCTGTCATGTATGCAGCCGAAATTGTGGCCCAACTCGTGAGCAAAGGTATAGACTCCCGTGGCGCAATCCCAACGTGTGATAGAAACCATTTTATTTATTGGAAGAATGTAGGGGGAACTTGTTCTGCGACGTGCAAGCCCACCTTCAATCAATAATGTTAGATGATTGCAACATTGGAATACTCGAACAACGAGCCAACAAGCCAAACTTACAAATGCGAGTGTCGTCCTCAATGATCATGGCAACTGCATCGGCGCATTTCTCGTCCCGCAAGGCAATCGAGTTCGTCATACCATCGTCAATACCTGCTTCTAGAGCATTTAGAGCTGGTACAAAAGCATTAGGTGCGACACTATCCTCGGTATAGCTCGTTCTATAGGCATGAACCAGACGAACCTCGGCATTAATGCCAGAGTTAGTAAAGGCAGTGTTTGTTTCCGAAAATGCCAAATTAATTAGGCCTCGCATGTTTTGCTCCGTGGTGGAAGTAGTAGTGCATCCTCCGGCCATGCCAGACGCATTGCATTCAGCATCCCTAGTCCATAAAACCATAATATCAATGACGGGTGTGATTTGTAGAGATCGCCCTTCCTGTAAAACCTGCCGGACCTTGTTGTTGTCAGTTAACATGCGGCTAGCTGGAGAGACTTCTACTTCCGCATCTTCAGAATCTTCAGAATCAGGATAGTCGCTGCCTGGTTTGCAATCAATCACCTGGCTGCCAGCGAAATCCCGTCTCAACTGGCAGACAGTCCATGCTCCGTCTTCCATGTCCACAAGAGAACCAAAGAAGCCATTGTCGCTGCTGATAATGTTCGCTGCGCCACCAGCCGGGGACTCTCCAGCCCAACCTTCGACTTTGCTGGGTTTCTTCTTATAAGAGATTTTCTTACCATTGGGCAAAGTGAAGTCAATGTCATCGTTGGACTCGACATCGATCTCAAGTTCAACCTGACAGCGAGGCGCTCTGGAGTTGTCATTGCAGTTTATAGCTTTGATAGTTTTGCGTCCTTGGTGCGCTGTTGAGGGAAAGATTGAGAGCTTTGTACTCCTGCTGAAAGATGCTTTCGCTGGGTTATAGTGCTTACCATTTTGCGAGGAGACAAGACCAAGTCCGCTGAAGAAAAGAAAGAGGTTCAATTTCATGTTCAAACTGCTCGATAATGGGTACCAGTAGTAGTCGCCGAATGATGATCGTTCCTGTGAAAGATTTTATGTTTGCATTTCCGATAGTCATTTCCCGCTCCCGATGCGGACGGGCGACCAATGATATTGTATTGTTTAGACCATTGATCACCGATACTTTCCGTTGTAATAATTTTGTCTGTTCAAAAGCCAGCAGAGCCCAAAACATTTTTTCAAAGCACCGCGGTCATTAGAGTTTCAAAAGAAGAAAACTTAGAAATACATACTGTTTTACCATCGGTTCCGGTAGCACGATCAAACTGCCCGCCGTACAAAATGCGTAGACGTGGTACAAAACCTGTATTCGATTGAGTCTATCGGCACTAATGACACGTGCGATTCAAAAATAGTAACCGAGGCAATCGCCTCAAACCGTACAAACGACCTTGTTGTGATTACATATCTTGTTTTTTGAATGTGTACTATGTGCTTAATGTATACAGATTAGTGATATATGCACTTTAATTACAATATTTGGTATAGGCTCGATCAGATTCAGGCATTTCCACCAAGTCATCTGAAATGTTGGAATGAGTCAAAAGAAAACAGTTGCCGAGCATCTCTTTTCCATCGTAGCACTCCATACCATCGCCAAATACTGATCCCAATAGGTAAAGTAACAACTTTGCTGGCGGTCCGACCTTGTCTGGGTACCGGCACAGGGCCCTAGGAAAGATTCTCAACAACTGTTAGACTGTAGGCCCACCATTCGACCATCCAGGTCAAATGTATGCAGTTTGATCCCTTCTACCTAGAAAACCCCCAATTCAACCAACCTATCGTCGTTACATGTACCCATAGAGAAACAATGTATGTTAGAATAAAGAAATGCAATTAAATTAGGCCCATCTTACGACAAATACTGGTTTTGGGGCAAAACTTACATGAATTCTGACCCATTCAGGCCACTGTACGCTTGATTCAGGCCGGATTAATGACGAAGTCGCATAATCTTCGAACCACAAGGATCAATGTAAGAGACTGGTGCATTGTTGAGTGGCTGTCCCTTACCATGGCGGCCATGAGCGGCCTTTGGGACCTGCCGAACAATGGCAAACCGAAAGGAAAAAAAATGAAAATCCAGAAATCTCTGCAGCCAAAGTACATGAAGCAACCCAGCAAGGTTTCCGACCTGTATAGACACCAATAGAGCCTACCAACCCTCGGAGAAACCCTTTCTTTGTATGTGGAGCCCATTATGGACCCCAAAGGATCGCCCTGCAGAACCAGGTGGACGAGCCATGGTTGATTGTAGTATGATTGAGGCGGAACAAATATTGAACTGCCACCACAGAAGTAGCCATAATATCAATAAAGACCACCGCCGCATCTGATTCCATCTTCTCTTCTTGTGGGACTCATGCCATGCAATTCATCTGTTTTTGACGAGTTTTGCCACTTGATGGACTTGGTTCAAAATCGTTATGTACGAACCATGATAGCAACCATTAGATAGTAGCAAGGCCTTTGGGATATCAATAGAAGCAGTCCCCGCAGAATGTTTCGTGTCTTTTCCCCTTTCTTCGTCCTAAGGAGTCCAGAAACGGGGGGACAACCACTGTTGAGACATTGTTGGTGTGCTTCAGCGGTCATTTTGGAGACCAAAGAAAGCAATGCGCTCAGATCACTTCGTACAAAGAAGATAGATAGGAATGATACAAAGATATCGTTAGCTCTGCATCCATTTCCTCTGGGCGGACGATGCCTGCAAGAATGATACAAAGATATCGTTAGCTCTGCATCCATTTCCTCTGGGCGGACGATGACTGCAAGTCTGTCAAAGCTCACCATAATGTCGCAGCAATCACATCCATCGGCCATTTTCGGTAAATTTCAACGGTGGGATCTTCCGTTGTGCAAGGATTTTTTCGATTTTGGGCTTCTACAATGCATAATGAACGAGAGTATTCAAAAAATCCTTGCACAACAATGTTTGTTGACGCCAACGAGCCTCCAGGAGGTTGATGATGGAAATGGAAGGTTTGTGTTTCTTCCATATGGTACAATTTCTACGAATAGCCACGAAGGTGCGCGCAAAATGTAAAGGTACTATTCTAGGCATGATTGATGACACATCCTACCAGAAACTTGGATTCTACGCAAATCTACGGCGAGTTTCCAAAAATTGATTTGGACTGTACCTACCGGGTACATGCATTTGCCGAAAACGCCTTCAAGCCCAACATGACTGACTCCTTCAGGGCATCAGCAGCGCTTCATACTGCATAAGTAAGTATCTGGTGAAAAATGCTCAATATGGACTATTTGAGTGCTGACGTTCGTTTTTCCGTAAATGAATTTTTTCAGAACCAGCCAGCTCAGCAATTATTTAATTTTTATATGGACCCAGACCAACAGAAATAGACGACTCTTAAATGAGCTGACGTGTCAGTAAAAACTTGGATCTAACACACATGTACCAAAATGCGAACCGTCGTCAACGGGTTGCCTACATTGGACACACACGTATTACACGTAGCGTGCGAGTGAGGCCAATCCACACGGTCAACGCGAAACTCGATATGTGCGCGTTTTGTGCACACTTTTTCTGTTTCGTTTTGGTGCCGGGCAAAACTCTCCACACAGCTGACAAACGCGAAACAGAAAAACTCTAGTCAATCGGACCAATCAAAATTCAGCTTGAATGTACCCTCGTTTTGTTTTATTTCTTTCATCAACGTCAAAACATCCGCGCCATAGCGTTTTCATCATGGTTACTGTAGAATCCTACAGGTTTGGTTGTTTTCAGGATCGCTCGTCCTACAAATACTGAAACTTCTACTACCCTTTAAATATTGTTAACTTTAAATAGTGTTAACTAGTAATACCTTTAAGTGTTGCTACCCAATGTATCTTTCATTTGGTTTATTGATTGGCGGTGGTGGCTTGTCTCCAGTCCTGGATGGCCAATATATTTCATGGCGATGCCAAAGTATATCAAAATGTTGAATCAGCTTCCTTCTGAAGCTCTTCAAAGAAAGGGTGCACACCGGGATAGCCGCTGGAACAGCTACTGTTTCGTCATCAATAGCCATGAAATCCATGGCATCTCCATTATCGTCATCATTATCCTCGTCATTGTCATCGCTGTCATCACTCTCTTTGTTTGTACGATCAATGTCCACTCCCATGCCAGAAGAATCGTGAGTTAGCATGTCCTCAACTACACGAGGTGGGATTTGTGGCAATGCAGTTCCAAAAAGGTCGCAGATGTCATCACGGTCATGATCCCCATCTTCTCCTCCAAGATAGCGGGATGCATTCCATCCTTCATCCAGACCATCCTCCGCCAATAAAAAGTTGTGGAGGGCGCAGCAAGTCAGCCATATTCTGTCGCAAACTTCTATTCCATGTAGGGGAATTCCTGTTTTGAGGATGCGGAAGCGCCCTTTCATGATGCCAAAGGTACACTCCACGTCTTTCCTCATGCTTTCCAACCACTTGCTAAAACATCTCCTGTAGTTGAGTCGATACAGCTCATCAGCCTTGTTGGAGGGCCATAGGGTTGGGCATTGCCCATGACGCCTTGAATCGGAGTTTTTGTGTTTGTTTGATTGTTGTGCTGATGATTCGTTGGACCCAAAATCCTGTTTGGTTGGACGTCAAAAATCCAACATTCCAGGAGCTCTGGAATGTTGGATTTTCATTTTCCCAACATTCGCGAAACAGAAGTAGTCTGTAGAGCTGGTAGGATTTCTACGTTGGTACATATTCTACCTACGGTATTTCCTGTTTCGCGTTCGCGAATGTTGACCGTGTGTGGATTGGCCTGAGTGGAACCAAAAGTGACGACATCACTCCCCAACACCGATCGCCTCCCCGAATGGAAAATTGAAAAATAGAAGGCAATCCCACCTTCCCCTTTTATGCTAGTGATATATTTGCACTTCTCAGCACGCTCATCAGGGGATGTTTCACCATTACCATTAGAACCAACCAATGCAAAAACTAAAAAGTACAATACAACAGTATCAAGTGCATTTTCCAAAATCTTCTCTTGTTTATTAGTTTTTAAATTGTGTGCGTGTGCTTTAGTGTGGTGGTGGTGGTGGTGTTTCTCTATGTTCAATTTCAAGTGTGTGTTGTCTGCAAAGTGGCCCGTCTTCTTTTCCCCTGGCAGCTTTGCTTACTACTTTGTGTGTGTGCACGTGAAAACTGAGATGTACGGTGGGGTTTGGTGCAACAATTTTAAGCTATTTATTTAGTACTCATTTTCGTGTAGCTCCGTGTCGCAGTTGACCACCAAATAAAAATGGTTCCTTTTTGCTCCGACTCATTCGACCGTTTGAATGTCTGAGCTGATATCATTCATTCTTTGGAATAAAATTGTAGGATGAAGTTAATAATACACGTACACGTACACGTACTGCAGCATACACTGCCAGCAGGAGTGGTCGCTCTTCTCTGCCTAATACTAGTAATTACTTGTACTAAGAGCTGGTACTACTTCTGCTGGTGTGCAGCAGTAAAAGGAAGGGATGACGTCAAATAACAAATAAAACTGGTATAAAGGATTGATGGATTGATGGATTGATTGATGCATTCATTCGTGTTATTGGAGTAGATAGGTACATTGTTTGGCGATGACACAAAACGATGATATTGGAGTATGACAATAAAACTGTTTGGCGATGACACTCCCTTTTTTTGTGTGTCCGTTTTACTCTTGTCCGTACACGTGTACTGTGTGCGTATGGAGAAGATTGACGAAAGGTCGTTGTGGGTGATGTCATCCGTTGGGTATCGCTGTTGGTCGAATTTTGATTGACGGAAGCGTCATATGCTCCCTTGCGTGTTCCTAACACATGTCCCAAAATGCGAACCGTCGTTAATTACGGTTCGTACTGCAGAAGAAGGAGCCATTGGATTACATACCTACAGTACCGGTACCTGGTACGGTATCTGCTCGTTGGACACACACGCACGTGCGTGCGTGTGGAACCAGAAGTGACGACATCACTTGCCCCCCCGTCCAACCGAACGAACGCGTTCGCCTCCCCAAGCCAACCCGAATGGAAAATTGAAAAATAGAAGGCAATCCCACCTTCCCCTTCGAATATTTATGCTAGTGATATTACTGTAAAATTTGCAATTCCCACTCTCTTTACCATTTTATAATACCATTAGAACCAACCAACCAACCAATGCAACTAGCCATCAAGAATAGTTTCCAAAATCTTTTATTTTTTATAAGGTTTTTAAATTGTGTGCGTGTGCTTTAGTGTGGTGTCTGTTTGTTCTCTATGTTCAATTTCAAGTGTGTGCGTGTGGTACAGTTGAAAGTTATAGTGGCATTGTGGTTCTTGTACAATCCATCCATCTATTGATTCATTGTGGTTCTAGCTGGAAAAGAATTCTCGTTGAATCTTGCGCTGTGCCTTGCGAGTGCATTGTCTGCGACAAGCCTTGCGAATAGCCCCAGCGTCTTGAGAATGATCCGAAGAAGTCAAAATACTGCGTCTTTCTTCTGGACTCAAGAGCAATTCACCTCGAGATTTGCGACGCTGATGGTCACGTAATTCTTCAAAATCGTTAATGGCCTTGGTCTCTTCTTGATTGTATTCCCATCCAAGTTCTACGGGACATCCAATGCTACAACATGGATGGTCTCCCAAGACTTGTGGATACGAGCGAATCTTGCAGTCTCCAAAGCGGACCGATTTGGTGCCGGTGGAATGTCGTCTCATCATTTTGGACGAGAGACCGGAAAACGAAGTGGTGGATTCATCGTCACTCAAGGTGGAAGAGGAATTGGAGCGCACGGGTTCGTGTTCTGGTTGTTCTTGTTCCTCTTCTTTAATGGTCTTGGCTGGTTTCGTGGAAACATCATCCTCGTGCTTGTGGTGACGGAATCGTTGCAAGTTGACAATGCTGCTCAACGAGTTTCTGCGGCCCATGAGTCCCATTTTGTATTTGTATTTGCGGTTGCGTTAGTTGCTGTGGGTTGTTTTGTTTTGTTTTGGTTGGAATAAAGTTTGAGACAAACTTTATATGGACTGATGACAGGCTATTATTATCTTTGTGTTCATGTAAGGCAATCGAATGTCTATTGTCTTTGTGTATTGTAGTGTTGTGTTGTGTTGTGTTGTGTTGGTTCTGTATTGTAAAACAAAACAAATTGAGAAAGGAGTTTCAAATTTGTTTGTTCGTTTTGTGAGATAATCGTGTGGGCCTCGAAAAAACTCGAAAGGAGAAAAACGCAACTCACTTCGGGAGGTTGGACGTAAAACTGCTGTAGCAGTGAGCAGCGGCGTATGTGGCACAAAGCTGGCTGGTCGTGCCAGATAGGCTACGTTGTTAGTCCGTGGGCACCACATATACCAAAAAAGGGCCTTGGACATTTCCTGTGTAGAATATGTACCAACAGTCGCGTGGAGAAGGTCTTTTATGGGAATCCCGGACAAGACAGGAACAAAACCCGAAGCCACACGTACACACACACACAAGTTTGAATGCAATTGCATTGTTTCTGGGATTGCGCGCGCAGGCACATATCATTTTCTATACGTGCACGAGGATCCCAAAAATCGCTTACGAATGACCACCAGGGGCGTTGAAACGCACCTCCGACCAGGAAAAAAAGTACCAGTGCAGCCTCCGAAACGACTTCGGCATTGAATATCTCTGGAGCATTCGTTTCGACCACACATTGTGCACAGCGTTAAGTAATGGTCAGTGATTTGGTCGTTTTGTCACGTCTGTGATAATTAGACTTCTCACCAATCCTCGGAAGAACCTTTCGTCTCACACAAGCTTCGGGCAGAAGTCTGCTCTGCGAACCCAAACATCATTATCCGGCAGTTCTGAGTTTCGTTTTTTTTTTGGTAATCCGGTAAAGGGGAAAAGTGTACGTCGATCATTCCCACAAGTACACACGTCGATCGTTGTCGAACGTCATTCATTCGTTCCTTTGATCGTAATATATATATATATAACGTCGTGAAATGTCGATCGTCATTTTGTAAATGTCTTTTTTTTAAATATGGGACCAAAGAAACACGTTGTGTTTATTTGAAATCCTTCAGGTTTCTTTTTGTAGTTATATATATAATGAGTTTTATGAGAACTCTAAAAGTGATTAAAAAGTACGGTGTAGTTGATGTTTTACTCTTGTTCCGGTTTTACTTTGGAATAACAGGGGGTAATGGTACTGCAATGGTACTGCAATGGTACTGCAATGGTACTGCAATGGTACTGCAATGGTACTGCAATGGTACTGCAATGGTACTGCAATGGTACTGCAATGGTAAGGGTAATGGTAATGGTAATGGTAATGGTAATGGTATTGGGCAAAAAAGGACAGAGACAGTAGTCTTGGTAGAAATTGGGTATGGAAATATATGACAATAAGACTAGTATTTTAAAAAATCCTAATAGTAGTCCTATACTGTATAAATAATACTATGATGATAGCTGCTGGCCATTAATACCAATATTATAGACTCCTGCTCCTGACTACATGGTGTACGTCTGTCAAGGACGAATGGGCCAGATGATGATGCTGGATTTATTATATAGTTCCATCTTCCTCTAGTCCTAGCATCAGCTAGTATCCTATGCTACAAGAACTCCTCTGCTGTTGTGTGACCTTACTACTGCCAAGGGACAGGGACAATATGAACAGCCACATACCACTAAATGAACCAGGTGCATGAAATTGGAGCAACAACATTTACGCAAAAACCACAACCGCAAAAAAGACCATGGACTGGGCGGAAGACGATGTCCTCTTATGAGCAGGCCACCAAAGAAGATTTCTTATCCACTACTAGAGCAGCAAGTGGATGGATTGGATTACATGTGTGCTGATCATTACTATAGGAGGTACCATACGATACTATCCTCTTGACAAAATACCATGGGTGGTTGCTGGTAGTTCTAGTGGTATATGTTCAGCAATGCAAGAATGCAATGGATGTCGTTCAGATTCCTCAGCATGATCATTGCGCCGCTGGCCATGTAGTAGCAGGTTATGCAAATAATAAGTTTTTGAGGTTGGGGATTTTGATGATCCTGATGATCCAGACTATAATGTCGTTCATGCAAAAGGGATCAGCAGATTGCACATCAACGACGGCCGTGGGTTGGCTGCCTCCTCCTAAAAGCGACTATGACTACTGCTAGAAAATTGTTGGAAAGAATTGAGGCAGCAACAAGCGGGTGTAATGTAATGAAGAGTATACTAGTTGTACTAATGACAAGAATGATAATAATTGTCATAGATCATGCATCATGATTCTTCCAGTTTGGCTCCATCCCTCCCATTGGCATTACTATTGTATTTCAGTTTATGAACCCAATACAGTAAGTCTATTTTCATGTTTCTCACTTGTTTTCTCGAAAACACTATCACATTATATTTACCAATAGTCTGACCATCACCTCCCACAGACATGGAATAATTCCCAAATTTACGCAAGTTCAAATACTATGTTATACTGCTGTATGATACGATAGTCACTATTTGTAGCTAGAAGTCGGCAACTGAATTGAAGCTTTAAAGAACACTTGAAGAAAAAGTAAAAGAGCTGACAGCTCCCATAGATACGCCGTGACTGTACATATACTAAATCTGAAGGGACGAGGCCAACATTTCTCCCTAGCCTGCAATTTGAAAAGGAGCAGCACTTGCATTAAATGAAGATGGTGCTTGGTTTTTGTGTCACAGCATGTGGTGTGGAAGTAGTCTACTGACAGGTATTTAGATCCATTATATGATTTTGGTGCTGGTACTGGTACACTGGTCCCTCCGTTTTTGATTTGTGCTGCCACGACATCAGTGTGTGGAACATCAATATTATCAAACTAGACAATAGAGCAAAACCTGAAAAGCAACAAAGCAGTTGCCGCCTTGTAGCTAGAATGATTACGTGGTGCAAAATGAAAAGCAGGTGCTGCCAACAAGGGACGATGGTGGCGGAACAAGAGGCAATAGCCCCATCTTGTACGATATGACCTTCTTTGATTAAAAATCTTAAAATTTGAATATGCACCATTTGCTCACAGTGTATAGACCAGAGTTGTATCCGTTTTAGATTCCAAATTTTGGTCTAGAAGGGGTCAACAGGAAACCAGAGCCGGGAATCTCATTTCTGCCGCAGCATTGCAAACATCATCCAAAGTTGATATAGACAGGTATATTGATAACTTTTGTTGGGGTCTTCCCGTGTCTGGATACCGACACGGAGATTCTTGGCCACTTCTGGCTGGATTGCATTCTGAATCGACGACAAATGACAAGTAGGTGCAATTCAATCACTTCTACCTTAAATTCTCCCATTCCAAGCCGCCAAACCTTGTTAGATATACCCATGGAAGTAAAATAAGTTTTAGACTAAGGAAGTTTGAGGAAATTAGGCCAACAATTCGACAATTCCAGAATTTTCAACAAACTTACCTCTTTTCTGACCCCATTTTGGCCTCATGATACTTGATGTAGGCCGAATCATTGCCTTGGTCCCAAAAAATCCAAGCCTTTGGTATCCAAGGGAGACTCTGGTGTATTGTTGAATGGATAGCTGTCCCAATGGCGGCCACAGGGACCTTCAGAGCGGCTGAGAACGGACAGCACCAGTCCTAATAGTAGTCCTATAGTAGCTGCTGGTCAATGTCATTATTATAGACTCCTGCTGGCTATGTCTGTCAAGGACAAATGAGCCAGATAATATCATTATTATGATATTAAATCACTTCATGATTTGAAGCTTCAATGCTGATGCTAACATAACTTTCACTCGATCGAAAGACAGCATACCTATATTATTACAAGAAATGATTGCTACCGTACAATCCTGAACGCCATTCATTCGGTCCACATGAGACTAGCTAGTATTAAAATGGCTATTGTTTTGCGTATAGACTAGACAAAGAGTGAACATCATAGTATGGTTGTCTCAGTTCAATTCCATCCTCGCCGTCGCATCACACAACTCTCTCAAGTGATTATTGAATGATCATCATTTGTACAAAGTCATCAATGGTCTCCCTTTGTTCTGGAGAGGCTCCCAACTTTGGTAGTTTGTTTGTGATTGGTTTCAGAATCAAACTTATTGTTTCAGTCTTTGAATCGCTGCTGCCATGATCATAGTTATCATCATTGTCATCATCACCGTTGTGATAAAATATACTCACTGCCTTTGCAACCCTTGTCAAAACCTCATTGTTGATACTAGTACTACTACTAGTACTACTATTGTCTGGCAACAACAGCAAGGCTTTGCTCCATTTCTCGCGCATGGCTCCTTCGGTAAAGCGGAAAATGCAAAGCGAGAATACAGAAGACTTGTTGACATTGGCCTCATCGCCCTGAAACAAGATAGTATCAATTCGCTCCAATGCTTCCTTCACCAAATTAGAATATTCCTCATGCTTTAAAGGATTAGAAATCACCTTGCGGATTTCAGCCTTCCACAATACATTCAACAGTCCGGCAGCATTCCAATAATCCGCTTTCATTGCTTCTGACATAGTTCCCCACAGACTACCATTGACAATTAAAGCATGCAACTTGGCGTCATCTTTGAGATACAAGTAGGATAGTGCCAAATGAAATTCCATGTGTCCCTTCATGAAAAAGTTGCAATCTTCAAACTTTGGTCTGTGCAAGATCAGCCAGTTGGCGCACTGTTCATGAAAACCTTGAGACGTCAACGCATGGGCTACGGCATGGATGGTCCAAGGGTCGTCCATGCCACTAGCAATGGCGGTTCTGGCAATCGATTCGGCTTGTTTGGAATCACCCGACATATAATGGGCAAACGCCAAGATACCACCACAAAAGGGCGTGTCTTGAATATTGGCCTCCAATACTTTGGACGCCTCCAACATGCTGCCCGTGCAGGCCATCCAAAAGGCAATGTTGACGGCACGTTCGGTAAAGAATGCTTTCAATAATGATTGTGAATGTGAGCAAGCAGCAGTAGCCTGTCGAAAACTAATCAACGCTTCGGTGAATTTTCCCACATTCAATGACTGCAATCCCTCGGCAAAGGACTGATGCATATTATCATTATCATCTGATTGTTCTTGTTCTTGTTTTTGTCGTTGCGTCGAGAGCTGTTCCAGGCAAGACTTGACTATTTCTTGAGACTTCGCGGATTCACCTAAATTCCACAAGGAATCGGCTTGGAACAATAGCAAAGTCCGATGTTGTGAATCATCATCACTTTCATTCATCATCAGCTCATCTACTCCCTCATCGTGCTGTTTTGGCGAAAGCTCATAAGGCTGCCTCATGCCTAATATGGCTGAAATATAATCATGTAGTTCATTTGGTAACTCTGTTTGCATCGTGGTGGTCCTGGGTGTGATCTAGCAGTACCATCGATCTCACAATATGATAATGATATATAGATGATGATGATGATGATGATGATGATAGACGCTGATTTTTATTTTCGGTCGCGTCGGATTTTGATTGCATGATTCCTGCAACGCGATTCATTCCCGAATATACCGGTACCGCGGTAGTATAATACCGCGGTAGGTATATACCGACTATTGAAGAATTGAAATCCTGAAAGGAAGAATTTTTAAAACGGAGCGCCATATAAACTGAATGATATAAATACAGCACTTATTTATGATAATTGTTAGTGATACTACTACAGCTGTCCTCTTCGTTCCATTTCATCCGCTTGCTGTCTCCATTCTTTCAGTGATTTTCTAGGCATCTCTTGCATCACGTCATAGCCTGGGTCATCGTAATCATCAAAATCCCCATCCTCAAAGTTTGCATTTGCATCACCGTCACCGCCTTCTTCATCCCAACTGGCAGCATAACCTACATTATAACTGCTATCGCCATATTCATCTTCGTACATGACTGATGCTGAATCCTGGATCCAGTCGTACCCTTGATTGTAGACGACATCTTCCCCATCGTCAAAGAATTCGGATTTTTCTTGTTCGTCTTCTGCTCGTGCCTTGGCCCCTTGTTCCAATAGTTTGGTGCGCAATTCTGCCACACCACCCTCACATGCCTCCATGATGATTCTCCACAAATCCTTGATCCCTTCTCCCGTCGTACTACTGACACAAAGTGGTTGTCCTTCCGGCAATCCCAATTCTTGTTGAATTTCATACAGTGCCTTTTCCAGTTCCAATGGCAGTTCTTCCATAGTAGAAATGGGACTAGAAGTAATCTTGTCCACCTTGGTTGCCACCACAATGATAGGAACTCCACTGTCGTACAAGGCCGCCAATACCGCCTTGTCGTCGTCGCTGGGCACTCGTCGAATGTCGACCAGCAAAATCCCCAACATGAGTTCCTTGCGTTCGGCCAAATACCGTTCGGCGGCCATTTGGACCGCTTCCTTGTTGTCTTTGGACAGTTTGGCGTATCCAAAACCTGGCAAGTCGACCAGGCCCATCAGACACTTTGGCGCCTTTTTCTTATTGGCCGCCGAATTTCCTCCACCTCGGTACAAACCATACAAGTTCACGGAAGCTGTCGCTCCGGGCGTCTTGCCCACTCGAGCTTGATCGGACTGGACGAGTCTATTCAATAAGGAAGACTTTCCGACGTTACTTCGACCCAAAAAGGCCACCTCGGGGGCACCCAAGGTGGGTGGGAGTTGCTTGTTCAGGTAGGCGCCCACAAATTCGACTTGGTCCTGTCGGGGTTGGGCCTTGAATCGTTTCCAGGCCACCAGTGCCTTGTCTTGGACGGACAAGAAGGATTGCGACAATTCCAATTCCAATTCGGCTTCTTGTTGCAAAGTATCGACGTTGTGAAGGCCTTCTTCCTTGGCCAATTTCCGTCGTTTCTTTTCGGCTTGGACGTTGCGCGCCATGTCTTTTTTCGAGACAACTTGCCATGGCGGGGGTACATGAGGTTGTTTCTTTGGTTGTTGTTGTTTGGGTGGTGATGAGGATGTCAAAGTTGGATTCATTTGTTGGTCTTTTTCTCGCTTTTTCTCCGTCTTGGTTGTCTTTCGGGTCTTTTTGGGATTTCCCTTCTTGTTGGTGGGAGGGCCACTCGATTTCTTCTTTTTCTTGGTTGGACCACCACCACCACCACCACCACCAGTAGGGCCAGCTTTCTTCTTCTTATTGCCTGCTGCTGATGCTGGTCCACTGCTTCTTCTCGCTGCATATAATGGCTGAAGTCCAAATGGTGATGCCCTTCTGCTGCTAATGTTGCTCTGGTAGCCTCCTTCTTGTGACGACGTTGATTGCAAATATGAAATGGATGACGGTGGCGTCAATAAGAGGGCATCCGCTAATTTTATTTTCCACTGGAACGAGGACATCATCAGAAAGAAGAGTATTATTATGTGATCATGCTTCATTGTGAACGAAGATGAGAGCAATAATGCTTCGGTTGGTTTTGTGTATAATATACAGTACTGTATGATGTTCTGTTTTACTATTTTATCTGATGCGATATAGACGCGATAGGATGAGATCACTGGATTTATTGATGGATTCTGGAGAAGGCGGGTGCGCGGTGCTGTGCGCATGCATGACATCAAATACGTACGCAGTATGGACAGTTTTCTGAAACATACAGATTGAATACCATCGTACCTGGTACCGGTGTAAACATGTATTGATCTCTTTTATATATTTTCCTGCCACCCTCCATGCTATATTACCCTATTCCACGCCTATACTCGTACTGTACCTGCGTTCTAATCATCCATCCGTCTTGAAATGGGACGAGCTCGAAGGAATCAACGAGATGCCATTCGGAAGCAACGGGCAAAGAGGAGAAGGAAAAAAGGCGAGGATCATGACGATGAGGATGACTCGGATCATGGAAATGATGATGTTTCTGATGTTCTTCTTCCGGCAATAAGAACGACAAGTCGAAGTCGAAAGAGCATTATTGCTGCTGGTACGGGTGCAGATACTACTACTACTACTACTAATACTACTAATACTACTACTACTACTAAGGAAGAAAAGAAGTCGAACAATGATGAACATGGGATGGATGGGGAAACAGAGACGAAATCGCCATTGGAACGAAACGGAAACGAACAACAAATTAATGAGAAAGAAGAACAAGACTCCAATAAGGTGCCCTCCTCGACGTCAATCACCAAATGTGGAGCTACTAGCACGATTGCCAAAAAGAAGGCGCCGATGGACAAGATTGAACGTATGAGACTCAAGAAACAACAGCAAAAAGCACGGCGCAAAGAAAAAAAGGAGGCCAAAATGAAGCTGCTGCAATCGTGATGACTTTCCATGCGGTTGAATTTTCGATGAATGAAAAGATTTGGTTTTTGCCAAATACGTTCAACAGAATCGGGATCTATCATCATGGAATATGTCTAGTATTCAGGCAATGAGAAGTGCTATCCAGCCATGATAGAATGGTGCAACAGCGATCTTCCGTCAATCTAAATGAGTTGCCATCATCATTCATGGGAGTTTCTTCCCTGTTCACAAACATTCTTTTAAAATCTTGTTGAAGTTTGCATCCTTTTGCAACCGAAACATGTACTAGATGCGATCAGTTAATAGTTGCATGAAATAATGGGACTTTTTCGTTGGTCAAATGGCAGACACCAATAGTCACTATTATAACAATAACAATAATATTATTCTATTACTATTGATTACAGTGATTCTTCATTAATAATGGACGGTCTCTTTCGAAATAGTACGTTTCTTCGACCGGTCACTTGAAAATCATCCTGCTTCAAATCATGGCCCTCGTCCTCCTCGTCATCGGTAGGCAAGTGGAAGGTATCCACACTCCCATCCGTATCTTCCGGAAGAGGTTCCATCTTGTTGCCGCCCTTTTTCCCTAGTCCAAGATTATGACTGCCATAATAGATATCATACGATCCATCTTCAATATCATCCTTCAAATCATCATCATCATCATCATCATCGCTATCAACTCCGCCATCATCATCATTGACTAGCACTGCTCCCGAACGGGGCTTGGGTAGCATTTCGCTGTCCGAAGAAGAAGAAGAAGAAGACATGACTTCGGCATCTTCCAGATTGTCGTGAAGGTTGGGTGTCGTTGGAGGAAGTCGATAGGCCTTTCGGTCAGCACTACTAGTAGGCTTTGGCGAGAGTGATTTCGAGACCCTGGACGACGGCCCAAACAATTGACGCTTGTAATGCTGGGGTGTTTGTGGTGCCGAGACATTCCTACTAGCCAGGTTTGGCTTATGGGGAACAATGTTCCGAGACAATTTGCGATGAGACGATCGGACCTTTTTGGCAGTAGTACTCGAGGCTGATCTGGCTCCGAGCGACTCGAAAGAATGTTCCGATGGAGCCAAACTGTTGTTGGAAGAAATAGTCCTCAAATATGGTGGCGTCGTGTTCATGACAGCAGCAGCAGAAGCAGCCGTGCCTCGAAGGGAAGTGGATTTTGATCTTGTAGAGGTACTGAGCTGAGATATCACTGAATGCTGAGAATGTTGAGAACTTCGAGTGGTTGGTCGGCCATCAATGACTTCATCAATACAGGGACCACCGTTGGACTGGACGGATGTGCTATTAATGGACGAAGCTGTAGAGGAAGCCCCATCGGTCACCACGGAATGGCTGCTAATGCTGGGAATTTCTTCGTACAGACGGCCCGAATGACTATTGTCCGAGTCCTCCACCACGTGTAATCCCTTCATTTTGTTCTGCAAGGCATTTTTCCGTTGTCGTTGTCTCTGTACTCGTTCTTCCTTTTCCATTTTGGACAAATGCTCGCGCATGTCCATGGTGAGTGGTTTCAAACCAATCTCGGTCAAAAAGTGCACTGCAAATTTCATATTCTTGGCATTCTGCAAGACGGAATTTGTAGTGTACGACGTCAATGTGGATGTCGTGGAAGTAAAGGATGCTCTGCTTCCACCACCAGTACTTGCCCCACTCGCAGTATTATTGTTGTTATTATTTGTAGAAGTATTCAATAACAATACCAATCCGGCAAAGGCGTGAGAAAATTCCTGTATTCTTCTTTGGAGACGAGGCAATGTCAAGTGTTGTGCCAGATCCTTCAGCAGAATCTTTAGAAAATACCGACATGAGGGGGTGGTAGTTTTTTCCGAAAGTTTGACAATGTCAAAGATTTGATACGAAATGGCATTGTTGACCAGCAAATGAGAAAAGAACATGGCCATATTCCTCAGTTTCCTCAGTTTCTTGGTCTCTTTGCGATAACAAGATGCAAATTTGTGCTCCAAGGCTTGTCGCCATTTGGAGCGGGCGGATCGTGTTGGAAATCGGGGAGACCGTGGAGGGAGTCCACTTTTGCTGTTGCTGCTGCTGCCGCCCAAATTGGAATGCCGGGGCGTCATATTGGTATTGTGACAGAGATGGGCCGCCACGGCCCCATAATTTTCAAAATAGACTTGTTCTTGCGAACAGCACTTGACCAAAATATCTACCAACTCGCGTTCGTCCTTGACGTCCAACAAATCAACTTGATCCAAACACTCTTCCATACTGGTGGTTGCAAAATTGAAAATGACTGGCAAGTTTCCTCCTCCTTGAGGGATGGACCATGTCCGACCCATGGCAGAACGTCGATGCAATTCATGTGGATTGGGTCGTTGTTGTAATCCATATCGTGAAAGTCTCTGACTGTTGCTATTGAGTGTCGATTCGGAGTGGCTTTCCTCATCATCCTTAGTATTGTAGTTGTTGCCTGTCAAATTGGAAGTTCGTGAAGTGCTGGTAACATCATCCGAAGCAGAAAATCCAGTCGACAATTGAAATCTGGCATTCTTCTTCTTTTTGTTGAGCTTGTTCGTGATGTTTCTCGCAAACCCACCACCACCGAATTTTCCTCCCTTTTTCATGAGAGACGAGGAGGCGGAAGTATGTGTGGTGATGGATGCTCCCCCCGAGGCCTTTTTATGTTTCCGCCGTAATAATCTTCGTTCATTCCACCATCGAAACCCAAGATTGACCAAGTGCAAGAGTGCAATTAACAGTATAGCATCTATTACCTCCCGGAACCAGGACTTTGCGACAGCCGTTGTGGCATCAGTCACCACTGTTTGTACAATATCATCGGCGGCTGCTTTTGTGGAAGAAGCAGCGGCGGAAGCTGTAGCAGTAGTAGCACTTGCAGATACTGATTCAGGTGTCAAGGCAGATTTGATCCGAGACAGTGTGGATGTATCCGTTTCAGCTACGTCTTCAGGGGCATTATCAGTACTTGTACTCCAAGAAAACATGGTGATTAGCGATAGGTATATATATATATATATGTCGAGCAAGTAAACGCAATCGGGAAGAATTATGGAAAAAGTAGAAACGCTTGATCCGCAAGAGAGAGAGAGAGAGATAGAAGAAGGAATCTAACTGCACCGTTCAGTGAGATGTGAACTGATGATTCTTCTGTGCTTCCGCGTGCCTGAGGATCAGAAGAATTTCTAACTTATTCCCTCTTATGCACAATCTCCAAGGTCTTCAGCATCAAGAAGATGTTGCTTGGTGGAAACAAGATTGGAAGCTCGCTATAGTTCAGGTTTTGGTCGAATTCAAATAACCTATCTGCTCTTCGCTGAGTTGTCACACTTAATTTTCAGTTCAGACTTCAGTTCGTGGACGGGCCGGAATTTTGTCGATTCATTCCATATGGAAGGCAGGCATGCCTCGCGCGTTGGAGACGGTCGATTGCTTCGATTGCTTCGAAATGCGTCTGTCGGGTATTCATATCATGTTCTACCGGGTATGCACGCGCACGCGTTATTTTCACAGCATTGGATCGATTTTGAATTTCTCATCATCAACATTGCAGGCAACTTATAATAAGTTTCAGGTCAGTTATTTTATACGTATTGCTGTGCGGTTATTGATTCAGGACGATAATACGGAATATATGAGGCGAGTAGAAGTCTTCTAGAATACGAAGACACAACCACGGCAGCGGAACCAAAGGAAAGTTTAGACATAAGAACCACGACCTGAAGCATTCCTGAATACGTGCTGTAATATATAGACTGCGTGTTTGGAGCATCCTCCTCTATACCGGTACTGTCAAATTTCGATAAGATGCTGAATATGGACAGGAAAATGCCATCGCCCAATAGAAAAAAGACTCCACCAAGGACTGCAACGCCAAACAGGGCCATTCCGTTACGTCCAGTGGCTTTGATTGGTCTCCTTTTGGGTGCTACTCAGCTTGCGTTTGTGCACAACAAGGCCATGAAACCTTTTCAGCATGAGACTTCCGAAGTGGACATTCTTCATGAAATACCCACCATTCGAGACTTGTCGGAAACTTCAAAACAAATAAGGAATGCTCCTGAGCATCACAGTGCCAAGACGGATAGCAGTGCTGATCGAAAAGCAGATGACGCAAACAAGCCAAGACCTATTGCTACAACTGCGAAGCCGACACCTCAACCTTCTGAAGTCAAAGTCAAACCCATTGTCATCACCAATCCGACGACAGAAACGACGACGAATACGCAACAAATAGCAACAGCGGCAACAGCAGGTGCCACAAAGGAACCTCTGCCGTATCCTCCTCAACATTTGACGGACATACTCCAGGAAACTACTGGCACCAAATACCAAAAAGCCAAGAAATCCAGCAAGCACGATTACCTCAAAATGAAGAACCGCAACAAAAATTATGTTCCCGGATACTATCCAATCACCAACAGTAACAATGGTGTACCAGTCAAGTATCCACCTTTTGTACACGTCGATCCCTATCCACCCCACTATCAACCCCTCCTTTCCGAATTTTTGGTCCAACAATATCCATTGCATCCCGGTCATGACATGGATGCCGTCGTCTTGGCGTCCAGTCCCGATTCGACTTTGGCGGCCTCCATTCACAATTTGTACCATTTGCAAGGATTCCGACGATTCATCTTTGTCGTGGACAATTCCACCAAGACGTGTCCCCAAGTCTTTGATTTGTTGCCCCAACATGGAGGGGAACCAATCAAACGAACCATTCGATTTGGAGATGGTTACGGCAAGGGAGATGGAGAAGGTGATGACAGTAGTAGCGATGAGGATGAGGATAGTAGTGAAGATACTCCAGAAGAAATAGAAGCCGAAAAACGAAAAAACAAACCATTTCTGGAAATGCCCACGACCTATGATCCACGAAAGAAACATGTCTGTCTATCCCATACTGATTTCTATACTCCTGAACAAGTGCAAATACTCATGGATCCGAATGGTCGCTATAGCAACATCATGGAAGGACCGCCCACCAAAGTGAAACGGGGCGGAAAGATGTATGCCAATCCACGAATGGGCTGGTATCTTCAACAGTTCACCAAATTGTTGATTCCAAGATTGATTCCAGACTTGTCATCACAATATTTTACCATTGATGGTGATATCATCCCCAATCGACCATTTGATTACCGAAAATTCAACTACCGATCCGAAGAGCTTACCTTTGTCATGCCCCAAGTCTACAATGACCAGTTTCACTGTCGCAAGTTTGTCGACGAGGTATTTCCAGAATTGGTGGGTACACGGTATCATCCCAAGGCTACCAATGTCGTTGGCTGGATGGTCATTGATCGGGAAATATCCGATGCCATGATTGAAAACTTGGATCGAAACATGACCAATGTCTTTGGATATCAAGATACCTTCCCTTTTAATGTATTGCAATACGCCAATGAACTCATCAAGGAGGACATGTACTTTTCAGAATACTTTACCTATGGTCTATTCGCCTTGGATTATGACAAGCGCAACGAGGATTACAACCACAAGATTGTCATTCAGGAATTTGAAATGCCAGCCAGGAATCAGAACATTAACAAGTCGTGCTTGATGAATCGAAAGCATTACATTCAAGTCCAAAAACATATCACATTACCTCCATGGATAATTTGGGAAATGCACAAGTATACTCGGTTCAATTCATGCCCGGATGATGACATTTTCTTACACTTTTCGACCGTGGGCATTTGGCACGACTTTCACAAGCCGCCATGGGGTGGCGGCAATCAATTCCTGTTGGCCCTGCGACACGGAATGGACGAAGTTGGAGTTCGAGTTATTGGAAAGAACGACCCAGACAATGGACAACAGCGACTACTGAATGAGTCTCAAATCATGTTGGCCAATTCCATTACCTTCAAGGGTGACACCACGCCTCTGGACAACCTCAAGGCGGCTAACAATTTGGGATTGGTTCATCGCGTCGATGGACCCTACTATGTTGCTCGCTACTTCAAGGCTCTCAATTTTACAGACGAGCAAGGTCCTGGTCCATTGGATAAGGAAGATAATGCCACGCGGAAAATCAATCGGCGGTACGCCTGTTCGACCATCTTTCAATCTCACTGGAGTATGGAAGCCAACATTAAGATTGGATTAGACTTGAGAAACCCTGTGGTGATTCCCAACATGATTGACGAAACAATCTTTTATCCACCCAAGGAACCACGAGCACCAATAGAAGGACGCAAGATTCGCATCGTGGCAACAAGCCATAGTGATAACCAGCGTAAGGGTTTCGACAGTATGCTTTGGATGGACGAGAATTTGGATTTTGATCGATATGAAATGATGTTCATGGGCGGGTACCCGAAATGGTTCACGCCGAAACGCCTTCAAATCGTCACGGCTAACGGTTCTGCAGCTGTGGCTGACTTTTTGCGATCCGGTGACATTTACTTTGCACCCTCACGGTTTGAACCAGCATCCAATGCAGTATCGGAAGCGCTTGCTTGTGGACTACCGGTGTTGTATCAACAAGGTAGTAGCCACGGTGACTTGGTCGGTGAGGCTGGACTGGGTTTCAAAAATGTGGGCCCAGCTCTGTTGAAGTCTCTCGATAAAATGGTCGAAAACTACTCAAAGCACTTTGATGCAATTTATGTGCCTAGAATGGAGGAAATCACAGACAAGTACCTTTCGATTATGCGATGGTGCTTTTACATGAAGCGGTTAATATTGTAAAGTAGCCAAGATGGTCAAGAAATTATTGCACCATACCCATTGCTCACCATATTGGCCAAGTCCAAAATTATAAAAGATGCAAATATAAAGACGAAATTCGATCCGGATGAAGTGACGCAAGTACACGTGTTTTGATACTACGACATTCCATTTCTCCGATCTTCGATCATGTTGACGTGAGAATCGGAACAAACTGTGAGCGAAATGACTCTTTTCTATCAATGACTTTTTTCTTTCGAAAATCCGATGGTCCTGCAAAGGTGGTTTTTCCGTATGTTCGGAAGAAAATGACAGTGATATATTTTCACAAGATCGAATAAGTATATATTGCCATCATCATCATACAGCACAATTGAACATCAGATACGATACTACTTTTCTCATGATAAGATCGTCCTCTCTCAACGACTTCTAACATCATGGCTGAAGTTCGAATCTTCGTGGAGGAAGTCGCAAACATAATTAATATTTCCACAGAAAAACAAGAGGAAATAATAAAACAACTGGACTATGAATCGATTTCGAAAAGGTGGCAGCTGAAATCAGTTTCTAACGAACAATGGGAATCCATGGGTGCTCCTGATGGATTTGTCACTATCTTACAAACCTGCCTTGATAGACATGCAGAGCGTGAACTTGAAGAGTTGAAGAACACAATAAACTCAGATGTGAACCATGCGATTGCCTCAGCGCAACCTCGCGCCAGAAGTAAGACAGGAAGACGGCGCAGGCTATCGAAAGCTAATTCTATGAGCGAGCTCGATCTGGATAATGCCAATAAAGAGGCCAGTCCTGTCGCCCTGGAGCTAAGGCGAAGGAATAGTGTCGGACCCCGTCGCCGATCATCCAATTCAGGTGGCTCACTAAATAACTCTCTATCGGATCTTATCGATCTTATTGGCGATATTGGCGGCGACAAGGAGAGTAATCCTGTTGCCCCAGCTTCACCTGTACGACGATCGAGAAATACTATCGGGGACACACGCCGTGTATCAAAGTCCCCTGAAAAGCGTCGTGGTGTGATTGGGCATGATGTCAGTGATAAAGAATTGGAAATTGCAGGCGGCCAACGAAGTACCAGCCGCGGACCTCGGCGTCGAGAGTCCAGATCTGTTGAATCTCTGAATGATATCAATCGGCGTGTATCAAAGTCTCCTGAAAAGCACCGTGCCGTGATTGGACATGATGTCAGTGATAAAGAGTTGGACATGGCGGGTAAAAGAAGAAGCAGCACTGGACCTCGGCAACGAAAGTCCAAATCAATTGAGCCTCTGAACGATGTCAATCGGCGTGTATCAAAGTCCCCTGAATCTCGCCGTGCTGTGATTGGCCATGATGTCAGTGATAAGGAACTGGACATGCAGGGACAAAGACGAAGAAGAAGCCTTGGACCTCGTCGCCAAAAGTCAAAGTCAATTGAGCCTCTGAATGACGTCGAAATTGTCGGTGGCGATGATAATGGGCGTCGACGCCGAATGTTGAAGTCTGCCGAATCTCTCAGAAGTCTTGGGGATATTGATACAGGGAATACGGATAGCAATCCTATCGCAGGAGCCTCACCTGGAAGACGACGAAAGTTAAAGTCTGCTGGGTCTCTCAGAAGTCTTGGTGATATTGATATTGGTAATACGGATAGCAATCCTATTACAGTAGCCTCCCCTGGAAGGCAAGGACGGAGGCATACTAGCCTTGGGCCACGTCGTTTTTCCAAATCCCCTGACAAGCGTCGAGCTGTCACTGGCAATGATTCCAGCCATAAAGACCTAGACGCAGTTGAACGCAGCAGACTAAACCGACAAGAATCTCGACGCCGGCTCCAAAAGAAGACGGCTTCGGCTAGCAGCACTCTTCCTTTAAAGGGTGAAGAAGGAAACGGTCGCACCAACAGCGGTCTCCGTCAAAGTAATAGAGGTACAAAAGCCGACGACAACAGTGTTGGCAGCGGATGTGGACTTAAAAATAGCACCAGCGATGACGAAAACAACGTTGGCAGTGGACGTCGACGAGCGAGAGGTAAAAGTTCCAATTATGCCGCCTTTGGTCCAAAAACTCAAAGATCACTAGTTTTGGCACCGCGACCACAAAGTCCTGGTGGACCCACGCAACTCGACAATGACGGAACGATGAAAACAAGACGACGAGCTAGAACAGCAAGAAGGCCAAGCGGCGGCCGTCTACAATCGGAAAGTCAGTCGCCACGCCGATCTTTTGCAAGATGCCAATCCGAATCGCCCTCTGCAAAACGAGCGTTGGTAAGTGAACTGAATCTTCCAGCTGCTCCCATGTTCGACAGAGCTAATAGCTCTGTGCATCTTGGGTGTTCAGCTAAACAGGCTGCCAAATCAGATATAGCACAATTCCAGCCCTCCTTGGAACACGCCGTTCAAAGGAACAACCGATCGTACTTACCCTCCAATGACTCTTCGTCCCCCCAGCCTTTGAGTATGCCGGAGCACTCGTTTTCCATTGAAAAAGACACCAACTCCGGCCGCTTCTGCTACTTGTCCCGTGGTAAAATCCTTTACGAGTGGAATCAGAGCTTTGACACAATGGTTCTGATGGTTCCCAAGCCACCTGAAGTCCCAGAGGCCGACGTCGTCTGCACCATTGAAGAATCGTCTCTCCAATTGGGACGCAAGGGTGACAGGCAGGCATTCTTCCATCGGCCATTGGGTGGAAAGTGTATTCCCGAGAGTTCGATTTGGGTCCCATACGGAGGTGCTGATGTCAAGGGTATTATTGTTCATCTAAAGAAGGCCAATCCTGGTGAGAAATGGCAGCGCCCACTTCTGGCAGTCACTGGCACTAAAGTCAAGAAGACAGAGCGATCTGCTCGCCGAGATTCCCTCCCAGAAGACTTTGGAAGCCCGAGACTGCACAAAGATTCCATCACAGATGCTGCCCACCAAAAAGAAAGGAGAAGAATGAGTATGGGACAGAAATCTTCTTCGAGCAGAGGATTGGAAATTTTGGAACCGGAGAACATAAATTGCACTCCTAGAGCCGTCGCCAAAACCGGAGTTGACCTGGAAACACTTCAGCACGCAAATAGGGTCGAGAAATTTTCATCGCACTCTGTGGATTTTCTTTTGGATCTTCCTGATGAGGAGACAGGCTCCGAAGATGATGAGGAGAGTTTCTGGGGCTCTTCGGCAAGTTTGCCGACATTAGGTCCAAATCTCACGGAAGAAGCTGATGAAAAGAGGGGAAAAGAGGGGAAAAAGAGGCGCAGTAGGCGACGACGAATAAAAAGAGGAAGCCGACAAATGATTTTGCAAGCGGCTTCTTCAATGTCACCAGGCAAATTGAAGTTTTCGATTACAAAAAGAACCCTTTCAACCGACACTTCTGATAGTAAAACAAACGGCAAAGGACTTGCGGAAGGCCCGATGCACAGCAGCTACCAGCAGTTGGATGGTGGTGACAATGAATCAGTCTTTTCCATGAACGACGAGTCTGGATCGTCACCCAAACAGCAGCCATTAGAAGGGAAATCTGAACCCAATTGCTTTACGCATATGCTGGTGGAAGCAGCCCCGTTGCCGTTTGACGCTGACGAGAATGCCATAGCAACCTGAAGTTGCAAGAAAGCTTTGGCCGTCTCTGAATGAAAGTGTTATATATTAAAATAATCCAAGCCAAAAAATTAAATTGCCTGATCAAGCACCGTTAGGTTCAAATTTAGGGCTGGTGGTGCCTATCATCACCAAAGTATTGGAAATTAGAAATTGTAACTAAATACGAATCTAGAAAAATTAAGAGCTGCGCATAGTTTCGCGAAGCAATAAATCCGATTCTTTCCCCTGTCAAATACTCGTTGACTCTCATTTGATCTCAGAACCGCAAACATGGTACCAAAAGAAAGCTAAAATTGTGTTTACCCAATTTCCCCATGCTTCTTCATGTTCCGCCACACTACTTCCTAGACTTCTTTTGACTTCGGAACAGCTGCTTGACTTTTTTCTCCACTTCTGCAAAATCGCTCTCGACCCAGCCCCCGCTTTCCGTCTTCTTTAAGAATCGGATGCCTTTCCCCAGCAAGACACCGGTGAGATCTTGAAAAGTGGTTACCCGCTTGTACCTTGGGGTATTATTGTACTCCTCTTGGTGATCCTTTATAAACTGGCGAAAACGGACATTGCCTGGATGCATTTGCAACACGCTACCTTTGCCGAATAATACATCATCTGGGGTCGGTTTGATCAAGCTGACGGCTGTGTTTGCAGGAGGGTCGGTGCCGTGATCATTTTTCTGTGGAGCTATTGGTAGTTTGGGACGAGTCAAAGCCTGCACCATAGAGTCAGTAGAGTCTTCTTGCTCATCCGTCATGATCTCTCCGTCTTTAGCAGGTGGCGAGGAGACAGAGTTTCTATTCCGTTGATGCAGGTATTTGTGGGCCCAGACATCTAGGATGTCCTGCCGAAGATTCCCAGTTGCGTCTACAGGACAATTTTCCATGTTCAAGCCGTAGCTCTTGAGAGTGTATTGTAGCTCCATGTCGGATCCATAATGCAGCCGAGCCCTGCTTCTTGTCGAACGCCCGAATCGCCTAAGGACGTTTTCCAAAAATTTGTTGCTTGATACAAGACCTCCGCGATGGGGTTTAAGGCAAAGATGCAATGCTGAGCGACGGACAGGGATCATTGGAACAAAATCCATAAACTTCAACAGAGCATCCAATTTGGGAAGTTTTGCCGGTTTATCAGGTGTTGAAAAGTCGTAGTAGCACAAGACAATACCTTTTTTTTGTACTGACGGCATTGGACTCAATATATTGAAGAACATGAAATAATTTACGCGAATCTACAAGACGGGCAGTAGTGATGAGAGCCGTGATTATACATTGCCAACATCGAGACAACGACATTACTTACAGCCGTCTCGGCCGAACTCAATTGTCCCAATATATGGTTCAAAAGGTATACCACCATTCTACCATTTCGATCAGTGCCGTCTTGAATATGATAATACAGACCAGAAAATAGAATTTCTGTTTCCTCAGCAGTCAAATCATCTAAGGTAATGTCACGGGCGATCGCGTCTCTTCCAAAGTATATCTCTTTCCGACTCAACAAGCCAAGCATTTGATTGACAGACTCGCCCACATCGTGAATATTGGCTCTCAGAAACTTTAGGCGGAAATTGGGATCTTCCACATAGGATCGATTCTGGCTTGCTGCCAAGTCATAAATCTTAGCTTTTTTCTTTTGCAATAGTTTGTCAAATTCCTTGAGGGACTGCTGAATCATTTCAGGAGTCTCCTTGAGCTCTTCTCCAACACAGTGCAACTCGTCCATAGCCTTGGACCGTTCCTGAACTGATAGTTTGCTCATTTCCGAAGCAAGAAAGTCTTCCGTTGGTTTCATAATGTCGCTCAAAGTATCATTATTATCTTGACTGGGGGCAGGAATGGGAGATGATGAGGTACCCAAGCATTGCTGAAACCATCCATCATTGTTGTTATTGTTGTTGATGATGCCGGTCGTGTGCTGATACGGAGATGACGATGATGCCATTTTCAATTTCGAACAAGCAGAGGGATCACTCATCTATCGACGATTGATATCATGAGCCCTTGCAGTCGCAAAAAAGAATGCGGCAATAATGTATGTGATACTGCAATCAACTAATGGTTCTCGTCAACATGAGGTGAGGCATTCTCATACAATATAACAGTGACTATTTTATATAATATATATATAATATATGCCGGGGTATTTTTGTGATTTTGGGAACTGAAAAATATAACGTGGACACCAAACACATTCGTCATTCAATACGGTACGTGTACCTACACGTATTAAAGCAGCTACGAGTACATGTACACGAAACGTACGGGTAGAATTTTTTCGCACTATATCAGTACCAAGTACTGTCAAGGAGTACTGTCGCGCTTCCGTTTTCAAATATTTTATAATATACGATATACGAGAGACATGCGAATCGTCTACTGTTTTGTATGTGCATATGATAGAGGATGACAACCACGCAACCGTTTCCACTCTCTCTGTTTTCCATACAATGACACAAGTCACTGCAGCGGCTCCGCGCCTCGGCAAAAGTGAAAATTGCGAACAACAATGGGATTCATTCGGCTAGAAGTTGTTGCTCTACGAAACGATAATGAAGAACGTATTCCGTACTATTGCTATTGTTGTGAAGAGCGAGAGTATCAATCTTTCCATCTTTCCCCTTCTATACCTGCTGGTCTTTTATATTCCCTTGGTGTCATCGATGAATGATGCTCCAATCTGGATATCGAAAGGTGTGAGTTCCTATTCCAATCAAGATCTCGCTGGTCGTCGACTTGCTATCAGCCCCACATTATTCAGAACAACCAATGTTGAAGGCAAAAAACAAAAGACAAGCGACATACTAAAAGAGCTTCGATACAAGCATGCGATTTTAATGCCAAGAAAACAGACCAAAAAAACATCCTACAGCAAGAAAGAGAATGGCGGGCCCATTCGTGATTGGTTTCCAGATGTATCTTGGCCAATATCGGAACCTCTTGCCCACCCATCACCAAGCATGACACCATCCTCCACTACAGACGTTTTGGACACGTCCTCTCCAACCTTCGAAGATGTTGTCAATACCATCGTGCCAACAGAAATCACGCGTTTTCCCTCTGCTACGCCCACGACGTTCATGCCAACTGTCATCACAGATGTTCCTACGGGATATCAACCTCTATCGTCATCTCGACCCACAGCAACACCCAGCCTTACGCCTGTACCTACAACTGAAAGTGTTCCAACCATGCCACCATCGAAGGCAGCATTGCCTACTGGATCACCGTTGTCGCCCAGTCCTTCCGAATCCACAAGTGGTCTGCCCACGGCCCAGACTTCTTCAGTTCCATCAGACACCCCATCACTGACCCCAAGCAGCATTCCCATGGCTCCAATCAACACCGTCACTGACCGGCCCAGTATTACTGATGGTGCCGATCAAATTAGCGACGCTCCAGTTGTTGCAACCGGCACCGAAAGCCCAACGAATCATCCTGCAAGTGACAGTACTAATCCAGCAGCATTGCCTACTGGACCACCCTTGTCACCCAGTCCCTCAGAGTCCCCGAGTATTTGGTCCACAGTCATTCCATCAGAATCGCCGAGCAATCAGTCTACGGCCAGTCCATCCGAATCTTCAAGGAATCAGCCTACAAACGAGACTTCTGAATCCCCAAGTAATCAGCCCATCGTGAAGCCTTCTGAATCGCCAAGTGACAAGCCCACAGTCAGTCCATCTGAATCTCCAAGTAATCAGCCCACACTCGATCCATCTGAATCGCCAAGTGACAAGCCCACAGTCAAGACTTCTGAATCGCCAACCAATCAGCCCACAGTCAATCCATCTGAATCGCCCAGTAACCAGCCCACAGTCAATCCATCTGAATTGCCAAGCAACCATCCCACAGTCAAGACTTCCGAATCCCCAAGCATTCAGCCCACAGTCAGTCCATCCGAATCCCCAAGTATTCAACCCACAGTCAGTCCATCTGAATCTCCAAGTATCCAGCCCACAATCGGTCCAACTGAATCTCCAAGTATCCAGCCCACAACCAAGCCTTCCACAGTTGCATCTGACGTTCCGTCACTGCCGCCAAGCACCACAACTTCTATGCCTCCAACGAAAGCAGCTAGCCATTATCCAACTAGCAACGCTCCAACTGTTGCCATTGGAACTGAAAGCCCATCGTCCATGGAAAACACGAATCCACCTGATGACTCGGTGGCAAATAAGCGGTCGTTGAATGGTTTTGAGCTATCATTAAAACCCAAACAGGATCGTTCCACGAGGGGCAATGCAATCGATACAGACGATTTGGAACCTACCATTGCAGCTGCTATGGGCTCCTTTTTCTTTTCTGAGTTTCATTCCACATGGAACAACCTTCAGAGCATACAATTATCAGTCCAAGCTCGATCGGATGGTACCTTTGGCAAGAATACCACCACCTCCAATGATACCCGAAAGTCTAGGAGATTGAGCCATGATTCCCATTTGACTGATGATCGGAGACTACTGGGCAGTTGGATCTTTGTCGTTTCGATTGGAATCGCAAGTTTTGACGCTACCACCACTACCATTCCTACCTCAATTGAAATCGACCTGTCACAAAAGAATGCCTTGGACCAAACGCTTGCCATTGATTCGCTCTTTGAGGAATGGAATATTCCATGGACCATTTATAATGTCACCATGATTGGGCAGTTCGCATCATCATCATCTCCACCTCCTTCTCAAATGGACGAAAACTCATCCGGAACCAATGCACAAGTGACCGTCTTGGTTCCCACTGCCTTTTGTGTCTTGATCATTTCCATGATATTCCTATGGGCACAATCGCACTACCGCAAGCGTCGTCGCGGTGGCTTTCCACGATTTGCAACGAGTACTAGCGTCATGACAAAGAACAGCACGTCCGAAGCAAGTCATGATGAGCCAGAAATCACTGGCAGCCAAGAAGGCCCCACCACTATATTTCAATCCCCGACTACTACCACGACCCCCGAGGCTGATGAAGACGATGACGACGAAGATGATGATGATGAAGAAATTGAAATTCACTTTCGCTATAGCAAAGATCACGAAGAGCAACGAGAAATGGTGCTATTTGAAGATTTGGACGAGTTTGTATGGGAAATATCTTCTTCTTCCTCCAATCCCACTGACGAAACCACCAACAGTCATGATAGCGATCGCAGTGACAGCGAGAACAACCTACCAAACCGAGAACTCAGCATCATTGAGGAGCAGTCCGAATCATCCGAGCACTTTGAGGAAGCCCTTCAATACAGCCATGAACAGTATGGTAATGACGACGAGGACGAGGTCGACGCCGACGCCAAGTCTACTCAACACAAGCCTATGGGCAGTACTTCGACACGCAAAAAGACATCTACCATCGCCAGTATAACCATCCCGGGCTTCAAACCCTCACCAAACACTGCCATGACTCGTGTCGACGAGGTCAAGAGGACCGAGTCCACGACAGCCACCACCAATACGACCACCCCGCCAACCAAGTCTTCGCTCAAACCCGCACCAAGCAAGAAGGCTAATAGTAGCTCAGCAAACCAGCAGTATCAGAATCACTTTTTGACGTGGGACAGTTTGGTGGAAGCCTCCTATTTGGCCCATGCTTCCCCCGAGAAGGACAGCATTTATGAATCCTAGACTATATATTTCATAGTATAATATCAAAACGTATTTTTGAAATGCATCATTTGTCCTGGAACAACACTCTAATTTGAAATACTGGTACATATCTTTCTTTTGTTTTCTTACCATGGTATGATAATTATACTGATCAATCAATTGCTGAATCATCCTTATACCGGAATCATCTTTATACCATGGTACCATAATAAACAACCTACAGTATTATTGCTCAAATCATTTGGTGTCATCTGGCGTATCTCCCCCAATAAAAATAAACCAATCCCCCAATATCATTGTCAACATCATCAAAAGCCGCTCATAATCATAATAACTCATCATCATCAACTGCAATCATAGCGACGAGAATACATATGCCTACAGTTTATTCCTTCGTTGATTCGCATACATACAATGTCTTCTAGTGCCATCATGTCCTCTCGTGTCAGTGAATTCAAAATGATTGTTTTTGACAAAGACGGGACACTGGGAAATGACAAAGGTACACACAAACGATGGGTTCAACACATGACACGGCATTTAGAAATGGAGCTTGATTCATTGTGCACGATGCCATCATCGTCTGACGTCGCACAGCTGTCCAAAGAGGACATTCCTACTTTGATTGAATCCTTCCATGCGGCACTTGGATTCCGTTCGACGACTTCAAAAGGTGATGGCGGCGGGATTCTGCTGCCGTCCGCACCTGTGACATCTGGTACATGGGCATCGATTTTGACAATTTGTGCCCATCAACTTCAGTCCATGGGGGTCCAAGATGCCTCCCAAAAAGTAAGGCAGTGGCACAACTCTATAAAAGGAGCGTTGCATGCGCAAGACCGACCTCTGATTGATGATTTACCATCACTCATGGTCAAACTAAAGAAAACTTATGGATTCCACATAGCCATTTGTACCTCTGACGATCGATCATCCACGGATATTTGCGTGGAGAACTGGAACTTGACCGACGTTATTGATGTAAGAAAACCTGAAGCGCAATCTATGTATGTTGCTTGAGATGCACTGCGTGGAAATCAACCTCAACGTTGTTTTTTTAAAATTCCTCACCTCGACGATGATTCATAAAATAGTATTCGATCTGTGGAGATGAAGTTTCGAATGGGAAGCCGAGCGGCGATCCTTTACTAGCACTATGCAATCAAGCTGCAATGCAGCCTTTTGAATGCATTGTCGTCGGTGATACAACGTCGGATACGGGCATGGCAAAAAACGCGGGTGCTGGATTGATGATCGGAGTATTATCAGGGAGTGGGACGAAGCAACAGCTACTGGCCTCTGGTGCGATTGTCGCATTGGAAGATGTTGGACGAATACCGGAGTACCTCGAGTCTCAAGTATATACTCAACAAGTAACTACAATTGGTCACTGCGCTGCGACAAATTTTGATTGACAAGAGCAAGGTTTCCATGTGACACCAACATAGGCCTATGAATACCGCAGTTGTGAGAATAATACAAGTGACACCCTCGTCTGTTTCGTTGCCATCTGCCACTTAGATGCTAGCAAACTGGTCCATTTTACCTTACCAGAAAAGAATCCTCTGTAAAGTGCCCGTTGGTAGTAGAGGGAATCCAGAAGCGACAGAGCGAGAGAGAGAGAGAGACTTTTTTGTTGTTGGGTGTCGCAGTGGCTACTGTTACTCATTATTATATCCTAGATGCTCATCTAGAGGCCGGAATGAATGAATGAATCGCTACTACAGCTTCAAGTATAGTCAATTCAAGTGACGCCTTGCATCTGTTTCATTGCCGCCCATCTGCCGTTTTCGACGCTACCTTGCAACTCCATTCAAGCGTACAGTATTTCTAATAATAAAAGATGAACTAACTACTGTATTTTATATATAATACTGAGTTATATTTACATATAAAAGATATTAGGAGGCCTAGGACTACTCCATAAAAAAACGCGCGCTGAGTATATATCAAGGGAACAAGAACAGAGGGAGGCTTCGACGTTTCACTTCCAATGACTTTTAACCAATCAATGAAACAATGAATCAATGAAACAATGAATCAATGAATCAATCACATCTGATTAGTACATTATTTCTTTCTTTTTTATGCAATTGCAGCCACGGCCTTTTCAGCCGCATCGTCCAAATCATTGGCCGAGATCAATTGGAGACCAGACTCATTGAGCATTTTCTTGCCCTCATTGACCTTGGTTCCTTCGAGTCTCACAACGACGGGAATCTTGAGTTCGAGCGTCTTGCTAGCTTCAATGATACCCTGGGCGATCACGTCGCAACGCATGATACCACCAAAGATGTTGACCAAAATGGCCTTGACGGCCGGATCGGCGGTGATGATTTCAAAGGCAGCCGTGATTTGTTCCGTCGTGGCCGAACCACCGACGTCCAAAAAGTTGGCGGGTGTTCCACCCTTCATGCTGATAATGTCCATGGTGGCCATGGCAAGTCCGGCACCATTGACCATGCAACCAATGTCGCCTTCGAGACCGATGTAGTTCAAATCGTGCTTGGTGGCAGCGACTTCACGGGAATCTTCTTGCGTAAAGTCGCGTTGGGCAAAGATATCCTTTTGTCGAAAGGAGGCATTGTCATCAAAGCCAATCTTGGCATCGGCGGCAAGCAGATTGCCATCAAAGTCAACCGCCAGGGGGTTGACTTCGACCATGGTACAATCCTTTTCCACGAAAAGGTTGAAGAGAGCCCGGATTTGTTCTCCGGCGGCAGCCTTGTTGTCGGCAGCCACTTCCAGTCCATTGACAATGGTCTCAATGTCTGCTTCGGTAATCCCGCGTTGCAGATCGACGGGCACTTGGATGATCTTTTCGGGGTTGGATTCGGCCAAGTCTTCAATGCTGGTGCCTCCTTCGGCCGAGGCGATGATGAGGGCGCCTTGCGACGCACGGTCCATGATGATGCTAAAGTAACATTCCCGTGCCAATGCCATTTTCTTGGCAATCAGCAACGTATTGACGGGCTTTCCAGCCGGTCCGGATTGCTTGGTGACCAAGGTGCCTCCCAGCATTTTGGAAGCATATTCTTCCACTTCCGAAGTCTTGATGATGTGGACTCCGCCTTGGAGGCCATTGGTAAAGGCACCCAACCCGCGGCCCCCGGCTAGAATCTGAGACTTGATGACGACTTCTTCATCTCCAATTTGATTGGCGGCAGCGACAGCTTCTTCCACGGAGTGAGCGGCAATCCCAAAGGGAACGTTGACGCCGGCTTGTTCCATAATGGCCGAGGATTGGTATTCGTGCAAATTCAAAAAACGCTTGCTTTGAAAGTTGACCTTGTGGCATTTGCTGCTGCTGTTGCTAGCAGAAGCAGAAGCAGAAACAGAACGAAGGGAACGGGCAGCCAATCTGTGAAACATTGTGGCGTATGTGATTTGTATCTGTCAAGACCTATGCAGTACAGTAATAATTGTTGTTGGACTTGACAATTGATTTGGACAACAACAAGGAGAAGGAAGATCCAAATCTGCCGGAAGAGGAGGGACAGATTGGGGGTACACTACTACTGCACGGGTTGAATTGATTTTTTGCATCCATTTCCATTTGAAAGGAGCGTTATTTCCGATTGTTTGCCTACCATTTCTAGTTCTTTTCTACGGCATTCTATGAACACATGGTTCAATATATGTGCTAAAAAGGGTCTCCCCCATCCCCAAACGTCGAAGGATGGAAGAAGGCATTCATCCTTCTCCTTCTTTGACAAAACAGGGGGGAAGGAAGGACGTTCTCCTGATTTCAGATTGATGCCATATTGAATATGTTACTATTGATATAGATATATCTCTGGATGACTCGCTCTGTGATGAATGAATGAATGAATGATTCATCAATCATCATAATCCATCCATCAATCATCCATCAATCATCCATCAATCATGATCTTCAACATCATCGGCTGCAACAATTATAAAAGATCCTCCAATTTGATACAATGATGCGTGAGGTCATATGATCCACGATGATGATTTCGTGACAACAAACACGTTCGTCCATACCGGTATGCATGTCGAATCGGTTCTTTGCTTTTATTGCTTAGGTATTTACCTGCGATGACGCAAAACATAACAAAACAAAACAACACAAAACAAAGCTCAAAAAGTCTACCAAACCTTGTTATCAAGATCCCTTCCAAACCGATCTGAATCAATAAATCATTGTAGGTCAGCATCATACATACATACTATTATTTTCACACCAACAGGATCAAGAACCACCACCACCACCACCACCACCACCACCCCAACAAACATCATCATCAACAACATTTGAATCAAATGCTGCAACAACAGAAATACGGTCCAAATTTTTGTTGCAGGCAACAACGATGAGGCAACAACGATTCATTATTTGTCAAGAATGGGGTACTACTGTACGGTTCATCATTTGCAGATACAGTCTACTGTATGGAATTTGGGTATACGGTACTATACCGTAGTATTTTGACGAAAAAACCTTTATTACGGCGGTACAAAAAACACAACTCGTACCATATACTACTGTACAAATTCGTCTTAATTCCGGGGAGGGGGGTCATCCAGGCCGTTGATTCATTCATCAAACTTTGGGCCATCAAAACGTCAACAAACCAATAAGGTGGAAACTTACACTTGCTTGTTGGAACATGGAGATGATGATGATGGTGAGGATGATGGTGAAGGTATCGGATCCTGATAAAAATATTCATGATCGAGCAACAACAAGTGATGATAATGGCAATAATGACGATAATAATGCCTGTCTCTCTCGTTTGCTGCGGTGCCAATATAGTATATTGTCCCAACCGTACTACCGTTTTCTAGAAAGGTAATAGTAACTAATGATTATCAGGATTGAATGAATCAGACCAATCGCCTGCTAGATATCATAGATGATGAGGCATTCGTCGAGTGGCATTCATTGTGTACTACTAAATACTAAATGTAACACATATATAAAATCATCATCATCATCATCATCATCATCATCATAGTCTTTTATAGAAGCTATTAGCATCGTTACGTTCTTCTGCGATTCGAAAACGGACACAATCTCATTATATATATATATATATATATATATATATATAATGAGATTGGCATATATATCATGATGACATCCATCATGGTGATAAACTACACCGCATAGGGAATAGGAACAGTACAATAGGTACTGTAATAATAACAGGAATGCGAAAATAAGATCTAGGTATATCCTAGAGGTTATTGTTTGTAGGTTCTTAGCAAGCACCTTGCGAACAGTATTTACAATAATAATGTATCGCAGAGGTGAGGGATAATATTCATATTGATACAGTAATGATGATGGCCGATTTCCACCATTTGGTCAGTGCAAATAAAAAAGGCGCGAGATCTTTCCCCATTCTCCATACGCGCCTCATCGCATTCTTCGAACATTGCGAAATTGCTTCGACACCTTCTCACGGGCCGCTTCGTCAGACACCACCTCCCATCGTCCAACATGATCAGCGGAGGGCTTCAGAAAGCGACCACCATTCTTTTGGATGCGTTCTACCAATTGAGATACTGTATTCTTTTTCTCTCCACGATCAGTGCGGTTATACTCGTCTGATAATGCAATAACAAGCTCTCGTAGTCGTTGGTTACCTGGATTGTCCGGCCGTTGCCCAAACAAGACATCGTTTGGCCCGATCTGATCTACGACTACAACCTGCTTTGATGACGATGCTCCTGCTGCTGCTGCAAAGGGGGGGAGCCCTGCAATGGAAGCACTGCTTGTGCTTGGTCGAGATCGACGACGACGCAAATTGCGGAAGAGCTGTGTGATCTTGACACGTTGTTCATCTGGCGATAGTTCCACCCATTGGATGTTTCTCATTTCATCCTCTGATGACATGGAATCTGCTTTCGAAACAGATTGAGGGTCTGGTTTTAGGAATCTACCTCCATGCCTGTGGACTTCATCGATGATTCCAGATACAATGGTCCGTCGATTGGAAATACTTCCATTCGCGTACGCTGTGGCATAAATGAGTGCCAAGGAATGCAGCCGTTCGTTGCCCACACCTTTGACTCTCTGACCCAAGGACAAGACATCGTTTTCATTGCCGCTGTTCGGTCCTGATGTGGCGTCATGACAGGATGGGTTCTGTTGGTGCGTTATAGAAGCATTGGTAGAAGGAATGCGCAATGATGCTTGTTGCCGTTGCTCCTTCTCTCGAAGAATTCGTCTCTGAAACCAAGCATTATGATGGTTCAAATCCATCTCACTCTCAAGGCCCGTCAAAGGCAGCGCTCCTCTGGTTATACCGTAGCTTGCAAGCAAATATTGACATTCTGTATGAGATCCCAAGTGTACACGAGATTTGACGCGCTCCTCATATGGCAGCATTGCAATGCATGCCTTGAGCACCAAGCATTCAATGGAATTGCTGAAACATAGATGAAACCCATCAATTTTCATAGGAACAACGTTGTGGTACAAGTTTGTTGTTTCTGCGAACCCCGCCCCCTTCAAATGGTCTTTATACTGTTCCACAAGATAGCTTACAACGACGGCGCCTTTGCTAATGTCAACCATTGTTTCAACACTGTTTGCGGAAGCGTAAAATCTAGCTCGCATCTCTGTACGGACAGTTGTCTTGGATCGAATGCCGGGAAACTCCAAATGAATCATTCGTCCTGATCGATCCCGAAATGGGCAGAACTGGAAGAAGCCTTCCAACAAACAGGATAGGTCATCTTGGTCCAAATCTTGTGCGGTGATGTCCCGAACCAAGCTCTCCTCACCAAAGAGGTCTTGTTTATGTTTGAAAAAGTTAATCAGCTTCTCAGCTGAATCTTTTGGTTTAAAATGGCTCGCTCGTAAGAAAGCCAACTGAAGTTCCCGATTGGAAACATACGATGGGTCTTGCCTTTCCGCTGATTCGTATGCAGTTCCTTTCTTCATACGATTAAGATGCATCTCCAGCCCAACCAGCAGATCGTTTTCATTTAAGTCAACTTCACCAGCAACTCCATGAAGCAGTTCCTGTTCATGTTGAATCTCATCGAAGGTAAGATGCTTCATGCCTTCCATCAGAACGTCTTCATAATCGGAAACCCCTGGTACTGTTCGTTTCCGACTGCTATTCAATTGACTGGTGACGCCAAATCCGCCTGGGAAATTGATTCCGCAGAGGCATGATTTGCTTGGGGCTTCAACTGATGTGCTCATGCTCTATTCCTTTTTCTAATTCAGCCGTGTCTTAACTTCTAGGTTTCAAGGAAACTGTAATGTCAGCAGCGTTCTTAATGGGATGATGCTGAGATGCTGAGATGCTGATGTGCTGGTGCGATGATGAAGGTTTGGTTTTAAAAATAGAAATCGATTCATATCTCATCGTGCGACGCGAGCTCGTTAGCAATAGAAACGCGGTGGGATTGATTGACGCAGTAGGCAAAGTTCTTCCGAAATCGGAAAATTACGAAAATCCCAATTAGTTCAATTTTACCGGTACTCGTACCCATATATACCGGGTATAGTATGTGTTCAGTCATTTAATGAATAAAAGGCTTCAAGAATAGAATGATACCGTCCCAAGAGTTCAGAGTAGGCCGTTTGGACAGAATGACAGACGAGTGCAGCTGGTACAAAGAACAAATGAGGGGGGACAACAAAGGGAGGGGGAGACGCGTATACCGGTATAGTAATAGCATGCCTAGGAATAGTGCCTCTACAAGGAAAGTCTAAGCATAACAAAAAGGTGAAGGTAATTTCATTTTCAATCGTTCCTGTTGCAAAATTCAGCGGAACTTTTGCATACTTCCTCCCTCGAAAATAGTATTTGAAGGATCTTAGTAGAAGCGACTCAATAGTAGTGGTGATTGTCGATCCGCCTATGAAAATTCAATTTCGTTTCCACTAATTAATCAACCATTCACTTTTACCAACCCGCCAACGGCAACCATTTTATGCTACATAATATATGTATGCGTTCGACCGATTTGAAATTGCGAAATTGTATTATTCTACACTTTTTTAATAGCGGACCAAAACTATGGTTCAACACGTACACTAGCCTACTTTTTAGAAAAGTAAGTAAGTAAGTAAGGAAGGAAGGAATGAATGAATTGAATGAATTGAATGAATCACTGTACGTAGAATAATAGATCATCACACATGATGATTTTCTCATCGCAATCGTCGCATATTACGAAATTGTTTGGACACCTTCTCATGGGCCGCTTCATCGGATGCCACCTCCCATCTTCCATCATGATTAGCAGAGGGCTTTAAAAAACGACCCCCCCTCTTTTGAATATGTTTGATCAATTGCGATACTGTATTCTTTTTCTTGCCGCGATCGGTGCGGCTGTATTCGTCGGATAGCCCCGCAACTATCTCTCGTAGTCGTTGGTTC